GTTATTAGCTTCCCTTATAAGGCTCCTTTTCTATTATATTTCTTATATATTATATAAAAGTAAATAGATTCTTAATAATAAAGTAATATATTTAAAAAAGGAAGATTTAATTCTTAAATATTTAAACTTTTATTTTCTTTATATAGTATTTATTTAATATATAGTAAATAAACTCTATTTAATTTTTAAAAGTTTTAATCTTTTATAAAATTTATATAAAAGGTTTTCTTAATAGATTTATTATTATAATATTATTATTCTATTAATAGCTATATATTTAAAATAAAGATTATAATATATTTAGTTTATTTAATAAAGGTAGATTTAAATAGTTATATAATAAGTTTATTAATAAAGAAGAGTTAGCTTATTAAGTTTTATATTATAAAATTCTTTTTTATAAAGATTATTTTAAAACTATTTTAATTTTATTATATAACTACTTTACTAATTATTAATTCTTAAATTATTTATATTAATAATTTTAATATAATATTATTAAAAGTAATACTTTCTAACTTTATTTATATAATATAAAACTTAACTATATACTTATATATTATATTCTCTTTTTATTATTATTAATATTATATTTCTTTAAATATCAAATTTTAAGTATTTACTATTATATAAAGGCGCTATATATATTTTATATATATAGGGATTAAAAACAAAACCACCACATGTTGGAGATTACTGATGAACAGACTACCGTAGGGTACGGACTGGCGTTCTGTCTGGCTGAACATCCCCGAACCCCTGGCTGTCGAGGCCTAACTCGACCGGGTTGCTGTTGAGAAATGGCAGGAACAAGTCGCGGACGGCGAGACCTCTTCAGTCCGAATCGCCATGCCTTTCATGGCGCAGCTCAGTGCTGTCAATTCTCTGGCATATCATGGCCAAGCTATTCCTCGGCTTACTTGCTGATCTCTTCGTCAGTTTCTCGCTCTACCAGTGGCGGCAGTCGTGTTGGAATGCAAATAATTGTCTTCTCGACCTTCCAGATCACCACCCTCTTCTCGACGATTGTACAACAGATCCAAGCACTATTTGTCGCTCAGAGGTCCCTATACGAAGTCCTTAGGCGACCAAGCAAGGCATACAGGTGGCAGGTCTTCATGGTGGCTGGCGTCATGGTCGAGGACCCCTGGAAAATTCGCACTCGTACCATCATCTGAGCGTGCTTCTACTACGCATGGTGGGCGCAGACCAGAGCGGAGAGATACAATTCCTCGTCCTGCTGCTTACCATTGCCGTGTGCTTCTCATATACGCCAGCACCTTTGCCCATATGGCCATCGCTGCCCTTCCAGACGCAACCACAGCAGGATCCATCGTTACCATTCTGATACTGCTGTCCATAATGTTCTGCGGTGTCCTGCGGATGCTGAGTGCGCTGCTGGAATTCTGGGTGCTGATGTACCGCGTCAGCCCTTTTACATCCTGAATCGCAGCCATGTCAACGTCCGTGATCCACGGGCGATCAGTCACCTGGTCCGTGTCGGAGATGACCATCAACCACACTCCTTAGACCTACGGCGACTACTTCTCGGGCCATCTGTCGGGCGGCGAGGGCAGCATGGGCAACCTGCAGAATCTCAACGACACAAGCGCGTGCCGCCACTGCTCCCTCTTCAACCGCGACTAGGACAGTGAGGGTCACACAAGTTGACCAGGCGAGAAGACCGAATATAGATGTATCAAGATTGTGTGAATTACGGCATACTCTACAGGTTTATACCCTGCTTGGAAATGAAAATCGCGGTGCATATTAGGCTTTCCTGCTCTATCATTCCCAAAACGTTGTGTACCTCATGGGCTCGGCGTGTCATGGTGCGGAAGACGGGGACCGTGGACTGCGAGAAAGTCAATCACCACCACGACCGTATCTACCTACCATACAGAAATTTGGTGTCCACTTGAGTGAGGCAAACAAACAGGGTAAAAAAAATCAATCGTCAAGAGTAGTCAGTCCAAAAAGCTGCAAAAAAGAAACAACTGTCCTCGGTGAGATTCGAACTCACGACCTTTGGATTGGGGTATTTCTCCAGTATTCTGAAGAATCATACATTGTATGAGACCAACGCTCTAACCGACTGAGCCACGAAGACTTGTTTTGCCATCTTGAATAAGGAAATTCTATGCTGCAACGTTTCTGGTTGTCGAGAAGCAATGCCGGCCACACCGGACAAGAAGGTCTCTAGAGAGAGGGGACATTCACACATCCACAATTAGAAGACACACAGGTATATAATAATAAAAATATAAATAAAATTATATATATATTAAAGTCTTTTAATATATATAAATAAAGTATAAATATTTAATTACTATAATATTATAAATAAAACTTTCTATTTATTAATATTAATAAATCTTTTTAAATTTTTCTTTTTTATATTTAAAAAGTTTTAAAGCTCTTATATTAAGAATTTTAAATATTAGTAGAGAGTGTGCGAATTTTATCTCTCATCTTTTAAGGTGTTTAGATATTTCTAAGGCTGCGAAATATCGTAAATTGCCCTTTTCGGCCCTTAATAATGTGTTAAATATGTCACAAGGCTTGGAGCTCGAGAGGTGGTGCCTGGATCAACGTCCGTCCTCCCGATGTTGCTCACAGCTGATCTTTCACGATGTGGACTAACTAGGTACGTACCTAGGTAGGTAATCTATGTACTGTCAACTTAACAGCCACACCCAGAATACTAATACGTCATGAAAGCCGTCAGGACTACCAATCTCCTACGCGTTCTACTACCCCGGCACGAGCGGGGGCCGACCAGTTTAAATTCACAAGGTTCGGTTTATATTGACCTACAACCTTTAACAGAGAAGTCTAGTCTGCGAGGTGCCAGGTCTTTTGAAGAGAAGTCTAATCCACACTCGAATCGCAAGCCCTAAAATCGCTTTTCAGTTCCGTCGCACCGCAAAAGCCCTACCCGGTCCTCGACACGGAAACAGCAGTTTCTATCCTATCCTCCGTATCCAGCACGAGCCTTCACGTATTCTGTGTACTGGCTGGTCGAGGCTGGGCCCCAGAACCACATCAACAGGAAGACTACTGTGAACACAGCGGCAGCGCCGGCCAGCTTCGCCCTCGCCGGGTTGTTCTGGCGGTACTGGCTGACCTGCAGCTGCGTGTCCTTAGCCAGGGACTGGATCTTGTCAGGTCCAAGCTTGTAGTACACCAGGCCAGCGAGGGCAATGGAGTAGCCGAAGAATTGCTGGCCAGTGACGGGGTCGTGGAATAGGATCATGGATGCGAAGACGAGTAGCACATCCTTCAGCACACCGGACATGGTCAGGACGACGGCGGAGGTCTTGCCGATCTGAAGGAGGCCTGTTAGCCATCGGTCTGGAGGGCCCAGGCAGGGAATAACCTACGAGGAGAACGCCGGAGACGTTCAGGAGGAAGGCAACAAAGGCGTTTGCAAAGAGGACCATGGGCCCAAGACGGTATATATCATCCATGGTCAGGCGGGGCAGCTCGACTAGCGCGGTAAAGAGACCGTTGGTGACCGCACAGGCAGGTGCGAAGTAGTACAGAGACACCAGAGGATCCATCTTGAAGTCGCCGGAGCTCAGGAGCCTCTGGACCAAGACAAGACGAAGCGCCTCGAAGATGACACCGCCGACTTGGAACATGAACCCGCTGAAGACAAACTTGATCTCACCGAAGGAGGCGATGACGACGCCCAGCACGATGACGGTGACGTTGCCGAGGACCTTGACGTTTGGAGGGGCAATGCGGAAGGCCCATGTGGCAAGCAGGGTCGCCACAGCGGTCGTAGCCTGGGCAGTGGGGAGGACGTTGTCAGCGACGCAGTTACTGCGAGTCAAAACGGGCTGATCCTAGGCCGAACGCACCTTGAGCATCTGGATGAAAGACACGCTAAGTGTCAGGTAGGCCAGGTTGCCGCACACGAGACTCAAGCTGAACATGACGCCTATAGGCACGATCGCACGCCTGCCCGGGGAGATTGAGAGGTCAGTAACACCCCATGAACAACATCCTCTTTTAGGCTCAGCCCATGGAACACTAACCCATATGTATGTGGTGTCATTGGGACGTTATGTCTCGAGTCGAGGATCTTGGTGAAGCGGGCCATGAGCTGGGTCATGATCGTGGCAAAGACTTGGTGCCATGTTGTCAGGAACAAGGCTGTGCGAAGAGGGCATCGTCAGTACTCGAATGGCTGCTGGGTGCTTGGGAGTTCCGGGCGGTTCGTCTGCGAAACATGACGGGGTAGCTTACGGTATTCTGTTGGACATGTAAGTCAGCCGTGGTCCAGCAAGTTTGGTTGGGAATATCACAAGAGGGAGAGGGAGAGGGAGGGGGAATCCTACCGAACTTTGCCGTGGACAGAATCCATTTGTTGAAGAGGATGACACTGGAGCTAAGCGCAATCCAAAGACTGTATGTCGAGACACGGCATGTTAGTCCAGCGTCCCGAGCTACCACGGCCACGACCACGACGTCGAACGCACTCACGCGATGAAGAAGGCCGGATGCAAGCCACCCAGACCCCCGGAGCTGTTGGCAGGTTCCGGCGCCTTGGCCGTGCCGCTCTCCAGCTTCCGGTCAGCCTCTGCCGACTTGCGCTCGCTGCTTGCCATGGTCAATGCTTGGGTTTATGTTGGCCGAGCTGCGGCACCATGGACGGGTTGCGTTGGACGAAGTGGTGACGATTGACAGTTGGGGCTTGGCTGGCAGGTGCAGCAATGTCTCCAGGGCTGCCAGTGCCAGGGTGATGGAGAACACCTGGCACTAATAATAATATAGAGTACAGTAACCCCCACGAGTCAAGGGAGCCTCCTACTAGTGGCCGGCCGCACAGGGGTCCACCCATCCCTGGGCAAATATCAGTAGACCCCTGAAATGACGCACATCAGCATGCGTCGGCACCTGCAAAAGCCGGCCCTTCAGCCCTTTGCCTTGGAAAGCACGTGCAACTGCAATTGTTGACATTGCCTTAGGTACCTACCTGCCTGGCAGCCTGGGTGAGTACCTAGGTATGCAACCATGCCCGGCCTCCGGGTCCCTGTTGTGATTTACGGAAGAAAACTAGTAAAGATATAAAGGTTCACAGATATATGCTCATACGCTACGAATGTACTCGAACCGCCACGCTGTCGGCTCTGTGCTGTACTCATCAAGGGATGCTCATCAACGTTCGTCCCCACTTCGCCCCTTGAGGTTTGTTCTTCTCATCTGTCGAAAGGGAATGTGATCCCAGGGATCATTACAAGGTTGGCACATCAACGCTGAGTCTAGATTGTTTTTTTCCCTCTCAATTTTACTCGTAAATACATCAAGCAAAAGGTCCATTGGTTCTCAAGCCCCTAGGGAGATGATCAGTGTTCATGTCTCAAATGAAACTCCGGGCATTGCTTACATGTAGTATCCTTGGAAGACCGATTCTTCTTCCACCGGTGCAACCTTTCTCTGATAGCATCAGAGTCGTGCGCATGCCACGCCTCCACACGACGCTTCATTGAATCGCCAATCTTCTTCTTGTTCTGGCACACCTCCATGAGCTCCAGGGCAACTTCCAGCTTCACCAAATCCGCTGCCACCCTCCGCTGCCGACTCGCACCGCCCTCGTCCTTGTCAGCTTGACCACCAAACGTGCCAAAATGGTATGCGACCCTCAGTCGCTCTTCATCAGTGTCGAGAACCGTGGATACGACCTGACAGGCCAAGCGTATTATCTCTGGCCAGCGGAGGGCACACGTCTCGTCTTCTTGGAGCATTGCCCGCAGGCGTTCGTCCAGCCTCGAGACAAACGCTTCGCAGCCCTGGTCCCCTTTGTACCAGCCCGGGGTGTGAACTAGCGAAAGCTCCAACTTTGTCGTTGACGGGAGCATAACCCGTTGGCCCAACTTCTTTTTGTCCTTCACCAATTCTATAACCCTACCTGCAATGAAACGGCGATTGTTATGCCATCTCTCATACTCAACACTGGTCCTTAGGGTCGCTGACCTTGGCGCTAGAGAGCCCACGAGGCTCTCCCACGTCGCCGTATGTTTCTCGTAATCTTCAAGATATAGTTTCGCGTGTTGTAGGATCATGTCAATCAGCACTCCACGCTCGATGGGCAGGTCCTGCACGGGACCCAGCAGCTCCAACAGCACCTGCGTTTCCCAGCCATCGACGGGGCCGCGGTCATAAGTATTCAGCCAGTGCTGCACCTCAGGGCTCTTTCTGAGGTCCACGTCCGCTCGCAGAGATGCGCTGAATTTGCTGACTGCCGGCGTCGGCGCAATGCGGTGAACAGAGTATTTGTTGAAGTCAGCTAGGTGCTTCTTGGGGACGGAACGGTAGTGGCTGCGCAGAACGTGAAACCAGAGTTTTGGTTCTATCGGGGTCTCCGGTACATCATCTTTCAGGGCTGTGGCGTTCAAGTTGTGCTTGGCTAGGAACATGTTGATCCATCTCGTGTGCTCCTGCTGGGATTGCTCGAGCACAGGAAGAATCAGATGCTCGACGAATTCGGTCTCCAGTTTTTGGAGTCCCGGGCGAGAGTCATCTTCGGCGATGCTGAGCAGTACTGACATCAAAGGCGGCAGCTCTCCCGTTTGCAAAAAGGACAAGTCTGGCAGTATACCAGTCGCCTCTGCTTCCGTCCAGTCTGCTTCCTGCAAGGGTCGCCGCTCATTTATGCTCCCAGCCACCGGAACGACGGTCTTCAGAGCGGCCATGACGTTGCGTACCGTTGGATTGGCTCGGCCTTCTCCCTGGGTTCCCCTGCAGAGGCTGTCCAGCAAGCTCAAAAGACTGTCTAGTGCGGCAAACCGGATATCTTGGTGCTGCGCGACCCTGAACAGCTCAATTAGGACCTCGACGGCTGCGTCATCTGAGATGAACTCGGCCTGGTTGAGGAGCTGCGCCAGGTATTTCACCGTCGTTACCTTGACGGCAGGCTGTGATGGCATATGTACCGGGGCCTCTGACTCGCCAACTCTGACATACGACTGCTCCTCCAGCTTCTCGCCGATACCTTTTGCGAGGCCCATGAGCAACCCATGTGCTTCTTCTGCTCGCAGCTTCTTCAAAAGGCCAGAGGAAAGGAGCAGCCTGTGCCACGAGCTGGCGTCCGGCCTGTCAAGGATCGTCTGCTGTATGAGCGGCGACGCAAGTGCTGGCTTGCCGCTGTTCCTCAGCCTCATTAGAGCCTCATAGGACATCAACTCAAGCACTCCATCAATCGGCGTCGAATCTTCCCTCCCCTCCCTCTTCTGTCTCTTGCGTCTCTCAGAACCAATGTCAAGCAAAGATCTCGTGGCTGCCGCAAGAAACTCAGGCGGCGACCGTGCCAGCATCCCTTCGGCTGGCGTTCGGACAGCGTGGATAAAATCTGGGTGCACCCACTGGAAGGATGACAGCAGGCCTTTCCACACAACGTTGAAGAGTCCACTCCTCGGCACAGCGAAGTGCCTTTGTATGGTCTCTGAGCGAGACACTCGTGAGTTAAGAGCCGCACTGAACAGCTCTTTGACATGTCTCCAGTCATGCTCTTGGAACGAAGGCTCTCGCTTCGCAAGGAGGTAAGTCTCCTGGAAAGTCCTGAGAATTCCGTCTGCCTTCTCGATCCCGCGAGATGCATCCTCCAGCAGCACTGAAACGCTGGCCTTGGATTCCGGGGACAATGTATCAGGAGTGCCGATCCCAGACACAAGCTCAACGCCTTCATTGGTGAGGACTGCACTTTGGCCGAACAGCACCTTCGCTGTCAGTGGGTCACGGACAAAGCGCTGTTGCCAGACAACTATCTCTCCGTATACATCGAGATCACCAGTCGCAATAGCATAGGAAGCTGCTGCCTTTGCTAGTGCCGCTCTGTCTGACTGCTCCCTGGCCGCAGAAGCCTTCTTTCGCAATGTGTCAATCGACTTCCTGGCATTTTCTTGTACTCTCAGATTATCGCGTTATAGCAATGTCAGGTACAAATCCACGTTGAAATTGAGCTGCGGTCCAGTATTCCCGTCAGGGATAATCGACTTTGCATCCGATGCTTGAAGAAAGTTGAACTGCGGATTCGCCTGGTATAGCTTCTTCAGCAGCCGAACTTGTTGTTCGATGGTCATGGAACGGATCAAGTCGATTGGCCAGGTTTGTATGGACAATGCTGAGTAGTTGTCGGCCGAAAAGAGGTCCAACCCTTGCTCTGGAATATCAAGGTAGCAAAGTTGGAGCAGCCTCTCCCTGGGGCCCTGGTCCAAACGACGGACCACATTGAGATAGCTGCTGGGATCCGTGTGAGGTAATTTGGCAAGTCCTGATTTCAGTCCAAGCCTCAGAAGGTCTTCATACCGATCTGGCCATTTCTGCCATCGCGAAAATGTCACAGCCCACAGATCTCGGGAACCGGCCCACGCCTTGTCTCGATCTGTTCCAACTATTTCCCAGCCAAGCTTGATCAGATCGTAGATTTCAAGATTGTCCTCAATACAAGCACGTCGATGTTTGGCAAGTCCGTCCACGATCGGCATCAACAGCCTCAGCTCTTGGTTATGCCACTTGTGATTTGCGATGGCGCCGTCGCGACGGCCCCTGAGTGCCTTTATCGCGAACTCCTTTTCGCTGCACAGGAAGTGATCGAGATAGGCCGGGACATCCCCATCGTAGTGGCTGCTACCAAAGAGATGGTTGATCGCACGTTCCCTCATCAAGGCCATATGGCTCCGCACCAGTCTAGTGATGTCGCGCCATCTGAACAAAGGGTTTGCTTCGTCGTGGGAGTTAAGAACTTGTGTGATAAAGGCTGATGAGCAGGCGCAAAGCATTTTGGCGTAATGGTGTTGGACAGGGCGTCTGTCTTTGCCTATGATAGAAGCGGAGTCGTAAACGCCGGGAAGCAAGGCTCGCAGCAGCTCCTCGACGCATTCCTCCCTTTTCTTGTCCTCTTTACCAGAACTTCTGCATCCAATATACCCAGACATCTTCTTCAAATCGGCAACAGAGCTCTTGCCAAAGATCTCAACTAGCCCTTCCGCGCCCCCCAAAGCTTTCCACGTCATCTCCCATTCGAACCTCCCAGGGCGCCTCAGATGTTTACCGAGTTCTTTCATGGCGATGTTCCGTACTTCCAAGTTGGGTTCATAATTGATGCATCGAGCAATGACAGCAGGGGACTTCGACCACGAAATGAATATCGTGAAGAGATGCGCCGACACCAGGTCTTGTTCAAGGGCTTCAAGCAGGGACTGGCAAATAGCGGCATCATTGTCTTGCACACCTGCTCGGAGCTCATCCAGGTGCGCCAAAAAGCCTTTGACCTCTCCCCGCTCTGAGCCCCTAACTCGGGAGATATCGATTGCGATGCCACCCATGCTGTTCTTTGGGCAACACAAGGCACCGCAGTGGGCGGAAGGTTTTGAGAGCAGAGATAGCACTGGTTGTATTCAGTGGATGGCCTGTTATATCGACTCCAGTGAAAGTCAGTGCTGTCGTGTCTGCCCCGTTGGTAGAGTATGGAGCCTAGAGATGGCTGCTGAAGCATTTCTATGGTTGCTGCTGTGGCTCGCGGCGCCGCAGTCTCTAGCTGGAGTCACCCGGCAAGAGGCCATTGAAGCTAGGCCTAAAAGGCAAGTGAGTAAGCACTTGGGCACAAAGCCGTTCAGCTGGGCCAAGGCGCTGGTGCACGATGAAACCCCGTATTCTCACTCCATTACAATACGCCATTTATGCCTTGGAAACACGACCAATCGACGCTGTATAAGATCTGTTAGACGAGGAAGAGAACGATGGTCTTTGTGTTGTTCTGAATGGTCGACTTTGAGTCCAGACTCATGCAGTCATCCAGATGTCAGGAGTGGGCGATCGATCCAATGGTGGGCCCATCCCCCAATCCTTGAAGGATACGAGGCTTCACTTGGCATCCAGGAAATGAAGACACCTTTGTCGTCCATGCCGAACTGGACGATGGAATCAGCCCTTCCTGACACAACTGGGAAGGGTCCATTGTCTGTATCATCCCTCAATCTGGACGTCTTTCGATCCGTCGCCTGTCCTCGCAGCAGAGGCCAACCATGTGCCTGCCTGCCTGCCACATAACCATGAGGATCACTGTTCCCATACTAGAGTGACAACTAACGCCACCAGGAGTCCTATTCGCTGGTATCAAAGCCTGGTCCTAGTCCGAGGGAGCACGTCCAGAAGGCGCTACGACCTTGTGTTTGAGCTCATGGCTCGGTGAGCCGTGATCTGCTGTTGTCATGAATCGTGCGAATTCAACCCCCATAGTTACCCTTGGTGCAAGAGGGCGGGCATCACCACTGGCATTACCCAGGTACAGCAGCAATGCCATGAACGGCATTTGATGTGGCGACTACCAAGAAGATGGATATCGTATTCCAGTTGTATCCAGGATGCCCATCGCTCTGCTTCAAATAGAACGTCAACACGGGGTGAGAATGATGAACCATTGTGGTCAAGACCCGGCCGCCCGATCGCATATTTTACCGGAGGCATTCGATATCACATTGACCCATGCTTGAAGAAGCGATTGGATGTATACTTGAACATCATGTATCGAGATCATGTCGCCGAGATGTCCGGTTTGTTAAGAGGGATGCCGATTCCATCCCTCAATATCACGACTATCCATTTATGGCGAAACAGTGGCAATCAATACTGGAGCAGATTTGAACCTCGCCATGTACACCTCCACAGGGGTAATAAACGTTGTTTAGTGACCTCCCCACCGAAAGTCGCTTTTGCCAGAAAGTTCGCCGAAGCGTGACGTGGTGGGTCCGGCCAACCAATGGCCAAAGATCCAACCTCAATCAACGTTTACTTCCCCTGCGGAGGTGTAATTGGAGACACCTGGAAGATTCCTCGAGTGCGCTCTGCGCAGTCTCACATGGTAGTTGGGCACCTGAGCACTCACACTAAGCCTGAGGTGGTGGACCAAGAACTCGAGACTTTAATCATCACGTTCCGTCCGCTCTCCCATAAAGAATAAACAATGAGATGCAACACTTTACAATTCTCGATGCTCAGGACTATCTCGCCGACCTCTCGCATAGCAATCTATGCTGCTGGCCATTGGCATCGGGTGCTCCAAGTGTATTGCTACGAGTCGTTTGGGTTTCGCTTTGTCGAGCTCAATGTGCTGACCTAGGTAGCATTGGAGGTCGTCTTAATACCCAGAAAGGCCCAAAGTAATAGACAGGACGTTTCAAAACTTGTGCTGGCTTTTTGATAGGTGCTGTTAACGTCCAGGTGCCGGCTTCATCACATACATCGATCCGTACCCAGGTACGTATAAGACGACTGGGCGGGACCCGAAACATGGCAAGGGTTAGGGTCAGAAGGCGCTCACATCAACACTTACACAACCCCTTTTACTCCTTTTACGAGCTGCGCAAGCTGTAAGATGATTCGACCGGACTGAAAGCAAGTGCACATGTGAACAACCTTGGCGTAAAGCTGCCAGATTGTCCAGCTGAGATTAGATGCTGCAGAACGCAGATCTTCTTGCTGGTCACTGCTCACTAACTGACGGGTGATCATTCTGATGTCATGCCAGGGACTGCTCGGTGCAACCATCACGTCACTCCAAAGAGGAGAGCTACTAGTATAGCTCCGGAGCTCCCATAGCTCCCTCAGACGAACAAGTCTTGACCTCTACACAGTATCTTTCGGCAAATATTGTTGTTCTTGCGCCTCCCAAAACCTGGACTGAGTGATAGTCGAACAACATGGCTGAACACGACAAGTTCGGCTCCCATTGGGGGTCCAAACCCAACAATCCAACCACCGAACCAGTTCCAATCCCCGTGCCTCGAGGCTCGGGAGCTGAGCAGGACCTCTGGGCCACTCATCTCAGCCGTCAGGCACAGCGCAGCGGCCCAGCCGAAGACGCATCCTTCCGCGTCTGGACAGCCTCTGGAGCTGAGCAGGACCGGTATGCCGCTCACTGGAGTCCATCGGCTTCTCGCAACGCCGAGGCCGAGGGGCTCAGCGTCCCAGTCTGGGCCACGTCCGGCGCCGAACAAGATCGATATGCATCCCACTGGAGCCGAGGCGAGGCAAACAACCCTACGAGCAGCCGAATTGGGATTCCCATCCGGGGGCCAAGCAGTGGAGCCACAGAGCAGGATATATACGGCGCCCATTTTACACGTGACCGGTATAATGTTCCACGCGACCTCACAGCGATTGGAATCCTGCGGGACACCCTTCTGCCTTCTCTTGGCCTTCACTCGGGTCTCAGCATTGCTGCCTATACTGCTTCTCGGGTCGCCAACCGCGTCGATGGAAAGGACTGGCTCTGGCCTGTTGCTCCGGTTGCGAATGCTTGGTGGAGTGCCGTTGGTACCCGTGTTATCTATGATGGCGTGTCTGTTGGTTCTGCTCTGTCATCCCTGGTCTACCCAGACAAGGTCCTTCTGGGTGGAATCACGGCTTGGGGCGCACGTCTCTTCTACCAAGTCGCCTCCCGAAGCTCAAAGTCAAACTCTGACGACGGTCGATACCTTGCGGAAAAAAAGGACCCTGGTTTCTGGAACAGAGCCCTTTTCAAGTACTTCCTCCCTGAGGCTCTCATACAGGCTGTCATTTCTCTACCTTTCACGCTGTCTTTGCATAACCCATATGCTAGGTAAGTATCGTGTCATCGCCTGCGGAAGGCCACAGGATAATGTCTGACCCCTTGCAGTGCTCGTCAGTCTCTTTCGGCTCCTCTTGAATGGGCTCATGACCTCGCCGTCTTCGTTTTCAGTGCTGGATTTGTTCTTGAGGTCCTTGCGGATTATCAGCTCAACCAACACAAGAAGAAGACTGGTAATGACACCTTGAACGTCCAAGGCGTCTGGAGCATTGTTCGGCACCCCAAGTATGCACCAACCATGTCAAGGGTTCTGGCCCGACTTCTACTAACTTGCTGATTCCAGCTACCTTGGAGACGCGCTTGTCCACTTCTCATTTCCTCTCTTCCTCTGTGGCTCTGGCAAGCTTCACCCCTTAACTTTACTCGCACCTGCCGCCAACTACGTATTCCTGCGATATGTGAGCGGCGATGCTCAGAATGAGGCCTACCAGGAGGAGCAGTACGCCAAGTCCAACGTACTCAAGGCCAAGGCGTTCGCCGAGTACAAGGCAACCAAGAACAGCTTCTGGCCCAAGGCCCAGGAAGCCGCCAATCCATGGACATTGACAGTGGTTGGGGCCGGCGCCGCTGGTCTGGTGGCTGAGCGGGCTGTGCGGCACTTTGTCCTGCAGCCCTGAATATTGGAGTCGCTCGACTTTGCGCAAGCAAACCTTATTTGATAAGGGATAAAGGTAGGCCAAAAATAGGAGAGTCTCCGGGCCCAATATTGTCCCGATGTTGACGTATAACTCACCTATGTGGATAGATAGTTATTAATGGATTTACGATGGCTGCACACCGTGCCGCTGCGGCCGATCAGAAGACAAGCTCATCCCTTGACTCGTGCCCTTTCTAGAATCTGAGCGTCTGACGATTACGGCCGCAGTGACTCCTGGATGGCCCTTGTTTCAACGCTTTCCTACAGAAGCAACTCATTATTCCCGGCTTGTCTCCCGGTCTTTAGATGTGCGTCCCGTTGAAGATTCCAAGGTTTTAGCTTCGACCAGTGGCGGCCATTGGCTGACCACCAATCGCCCTCTGACCCTAGAAGCAACATCAACAAAGTTGGCATTGTCGCATCGAACTGCCGGTATCTGACTCGTGGGCTGCTGCATCGGGCAGATGGCTGCCGCGTGTGGCAAGTGGCACACTGGGTCGACAGAATGCGCAGCAGCCCAAATGCCGTCGGTGAAAGCTCCGCATTGTGCAAATGATTTACCTATTTCAAATCTCTCGACCGATCATTCACTACGGCTGTAAAAGCGAGGAGCGTCTGATGCTCTGACGTCTGCGTTTTCTCGTCTCTTGTTGTTTACTTTCTCAATCAACCTGGGCGGAGCATAGCTGTGGGAGGCCCACGATGCGCTGCTGCGAGCCCTGCAGCTCTGCCCAGGTGTTTCACGCGCGATGAAGAGCATGCAGATAACGGGGATCTTGTCCTTGGCCATACCGTGGTTGCTATCTACAGCTGCGATTACATTACGCTTTCTCGCCCGACGCATCACCAAGACCCGGCTGTGGTGGGATGACTGGGCGGCACTATCTGCCTATGTGAGTTTCCGGACTTGGCCAGTCGCATGGCCACGAATAAGAACAACTGTGGTTGACCAGCCTGGACGCTGCGCAGGTATGGGCAATCGGAAACAGTGCCTTTGGTATCAAGTGTATGTCACCTCTCAGAACAAGAGCGAAATACGACGTCCCAACACACCTGCTTGGATTTGGCTAAAGTCTGTGTTTGGTCCTCAGGGGTTTGTGATGGCCTCGGTCTGTATAGGACTGATATCTGGTGGATGACACCAAGCCAGTCGCTGGAGGCTGCGCGACTGAACCTCTTCTTTCTTGGAGTCTTTTACGCACTTGCTGTCGGCTTCGCTAAGGTTGCCGTGCTGGCCCTTTACTGGCGGATGTTTTCGCTCGGCCGTTTGAGATACCCCATCATTGTGCTTACTTTTTTCTCGGTCATGTGGACCGTGGTGAGGGTGCGTATCGTCCAACTTGATACTTCATTCTCCGTCCAGAAGTCATGCACTCCGAGTCTAACTTAGACGGACTAGTCCACGCTAGGAATTCTGCTCTGCATACCGGTGTGCAGGTATTGGGACCCATCAGTGGATGGTAAATGTCCCATCAACGATGCGAAGTTGTTCCCTGCCGGGGCCTTCAGTCACCTTACTTTGGATGTTTTGATCATTGTTCTTCCATTGTTTGAGCTCCGCAAACTTCGGATGACTCTACTGCGCAAGATCGGTGTTATTGTCTTATTCATGGTCGGAATAATGTAGGAAGCCCATACTACCTTTTAAGCGTCAGAAGACACAAGCCGCTCACACATTGGCCAGAACCTGTCTGGGGACAGTCTTTGTCATCATTGGCTCTCTTCGTCTGGATGAGACATCAGAAGAAGTATCATACAATATTACCAGCATGTTTGTTTGGGCCAATGTAGAGGTCAACTTTGGTGTGGTTGCAGGTCAGTGCCTTCTTAGTCACGCCTTCTATAGCTGTGCAGATGTACTGACCCTCGTCTAGCTTGCGCACCTTTATTACGGCCGTTGTTTTCGATGTACACAGTGGGTCAATGGGCAAGATCTGACAAATATGAACCGCACAAAAAGCGTTTCTTTGGTGGGAACCTGCATGCCAGCAGGAAACAGGAAAAGCTGCAAGACTCGGTGCCCAGCCTCCTCATCTCGACGAGGTTGAACAGCAAGAAGAACAATGCCAGTCGTAACAGCACAACCGACAGTAGCCAGACTAGGTCGATGATGGAATCAAGAGCAACGGTACACCCAGTGTCCGTTTTGGACGATCCCGAGTATTACCAAGTCCCCGTTATGATACCCGAAACAGTCCTCGAAACGCCTGAGCATATGGCGACGGAGGAAAACTTTGTGTGCCAAGAGAGAAGCAGGTTGAAACCCATACCAGGAGTTGAGGATATCGAGGGAATGTCTTGGGATATATGGGCTGGCCCTACCGATAACATCCCAAACCTTCCCAAGCCGCCGCGCGCTGTTTATCCGGGTGACGCAAGTATCGAGGACAGTCCCAACCTTCGATTTCTTACCGTCCACCATATTGTTTGAGCCCCAACGCCGGCTAAGCTCTACTACGAGCCCCTGCAAGATTTGGGTGCAAACCTCTGACTACCACGGTCACCACGTATGAACCGCGGTTCGAACAGCACCGCCCGGGCGACGGTCCACCCCTCCCGCGCCGAGATACTGCTAAGCACCTGGGCAAGCAACTGTGCACATATGCTCACCGCATACAGTCGAGTTGGGCGATCGGATGCATCTGATGTGCCCAGCACTTATCTAGCGAAAGGGTCCCGGGGCTTATGCGAGGATCAACACCTGCCTTCAGGACAAGATGGTAAAATTCTGGGCCCCCAACAGAGAAGGGATGGGACCAAGAAATATTCAGTGAGGAGCACATGCATGATTATGTGCTAAACAGCACCTGTGATGACAGCATTGGATTGGGGGAATCTCCGTTTCAGGATAGGGATCAATTCGCACATAAAGCCTCGTGTAGACAAATAGAATTCCTTAATATATAATTTGAGTTGAATCAAAAAGTTCGCAATTGCAAAGACTTCAATGTTGTTCTAGTATTTCCAAGGAGCTAGCTCACGCGCGTGTCTAAGTGGCGTGTTTTCCTATCAGCCATATCCAAGGCGCACCCCATATTCATCTTAGGCAACAGGATGGGCCATCCAGGGGTAAATGGGAAGCTCCATCAGCTTCAAGAAGATTTCATGCCCTCACCACTAACCTTGAAGGTGTAGTACAAGCAACACAGGGGCCCAGATTATGCCGTTGGCAGGTGGGACACCCGTGGAATGCATCATTCATTTTACCATCAACGAAGGAAGACATACAAATGATGGATCAGGCGACTTGTTTACACCGAAGACAGTGGTCAACCGTTTCGGTTCCAGAACTCATCATTAGGGCTTCCATTGAATGGGTACTGTGCGGACTCTTCTTAGACATGAAGAGGGAATCTTGGTAAGCACCATGTCTTTCCCCCCTCCCCCTCAAGAACCACCACAACAGAGAGATACAGCTTAAGTAGGCGTACGTCATGTATAAAACAAATAGGATGACCCAATCAAGCTTTGACAACGTTTGCTAGCAAAGCAACAGCTTGAGCAGGGTTTCACTTCACCCAATGATTTGCTTCCGTACCTAGGTACATTGCATGATGCGTTAGGTCTGCCAAGGCGGGCCGGTCATCGGAGCAACAGACCTCAGAACCTTGGAAGCTGTTTGCTCAGAAACCAACATCCACAGGGTCTCCCTTCATGCTGTCCATCTAATCTCGACACAGCTTTAGCAGACCGAACTCGTCTTCTTTTAGTCGAATCAGGTCTCCGTACCAAGACATAACCACTTCTTAAACGAAAAGCCCACTACCTCGTTGCCGTCCGCCAGCAATCGCCCAAAAGATTGAAATACCTCAGACTTGTTGTCCCACCATGGAGGACGGACCCCTTCACGGCGCCTATCCTTTGGATGATGCCATGTTTATACGATTTCCTAGCCGACGCAGTGTAGTGCACGGCACTAATGGAATGGTCAGCACAAGCTCGCCCTTGGCAACTGAGGCCGGGCTCCAGGTCTTGAGGGATGGTGGCAATGCTGCCGTAAGTCTGCCCGATCACAGATTACATTTTGCTGGTGATTCCTGAAAATACTGACCTTAAAATGACGTTCAAATTTTAGGATGCAGCAATTGCTGCAGCGGCTGTATTGAACCTTGTTGACCCATCCATGACTGGCGTTGGGGGCGATGCATTTTGTCTTTTCTACCGTGCTGAGACGAGGAAAGTGCACGCCCTGAATGGCTCAGGAAGGTCACCCGCGAACGCAAGTCTTGATGATATCTGCGCAAAGCTTGGTATAATAGACCGAAATTCTGGGTCTATTCCGAGCACGTCAATCCACTCTGTAACTGTACCAGGGGCGGCAGCCGCTTGGCTGGACATCATCGGCAAATATGGTTCTGGCCAAGTCACAGTGTCACAGGTCCTAGCACCTGCAATCCGCATGGCTAAGGAGGGAGCGCCTATCAGTGAGATCTCAAGCTACAATGTAAGCCTTTTTCCACTTCAAAGCTTGGCCAAGTCTGAAATGAGTTGTGATTTAGTGGCACAATTCTGAGAAGGACCTGCGACAAGCCGTTACCGAGGAAGGCCTGCTCAAATGGGACCCAGATTGCACTGGGAAGTATCGAGCTCCTAGGGCTGGGGAGATTATCGCAAACATTCCACTCGCGAGAACCTTCAAGCTCCTTGCTGAGCGCGGCAAGAGTGGCTTTTATGAAGGTCCGGTGGCGGAGGCAATCGTTGAAGCAAGTCAGAGACACGGTGGATACTTAACACTTGATGATCTCAAAAACCACAAAAGCGAGGAGGTGAATCCTATCGCAATTCAGCTCGACCTTCCATCCGCCAAGACTCCCGTCAACCTGTGGGAGCACCCTCCCAACGGTCAGGGCATCGTTGCTCAGATGGCCCTTGGGATCCTCGCTGAGCTAGAGAGAGAAGGGAAGATACCACAATTCACTCTTGAGGATCACAACTCGTCCAAGTAAGAACGAGATATAGTGTTGATTCGTCTTAATCTCCGAGACGATCCCGGACCTAGCTGACCGTTCTCTCGGCAGATATCTCCACGCCGTGATCCAGGCACTGCGCATTGCGTTCGCTGACGGGAGCTGGCACATCACAGACCCTACCTGCGCTGTCGACCCAGAAGATCTGATTTCGCAGTCCTACCTAGCTCAACGTGCAAAGCTATTTGATCCGGTGAGGTCTACAGATATCGCAGAGCCGGGTGATTTGGGCGGGTTGCACAAGACCAGCGACACTGTCTACCTCTGCGTTACAGACCCGGAAGGGAATGCGTGTTCTCTCGTCAACAGCGTCTCGGACAGCTTTGGAAGCCGGATCATACCTTCCGGCACCGGATTTGTGCTTCAAAACCGCGGCTCTGGCTTCCACCTCGGTCCCGAACACCATCCAAACATCTACGCTCCAGGAAAAAGGCCTTATACTACGATCATCCCGGCCATGGTGACAAATGCGTCTGATAGGACACTTCATACTGCATTTGGCGTCATGGGCGGTGCGATGCAGCCTCAAGGCCATGTGCAGGTCCTCATGAACATGCTGCGATTTGGCATGGACCCACAGATGGCACTCGATGCACCCAGGATTTGCATCGGGGTAAGCCTACCGGGCAAATCGACAGACCCAAGCAAGACCATCGACAGGACAGTGTATATCGAGGAGGGCATAGATGCAACTGTGGTACGCGAGCTGGCAGAGATGGGCCATGAGGTCAAGATTGTCACAGGGACGGGGCGGTCGCTGTTTGGCCGAGGGCAGATAATCCATGTCCACCAGGATCAAGCTTCCGGTCAGAGAATCTACTCCGCGGGAAGTGACATGAGAGGCGATGGGAATGCGGCGCCCTTGCTCTAGTTGAGCAGTGCGCTAGTAAGAAGCCTGATATGAGCCGTTTAGGAGAGATCTGTTTGATGTCGTTGAGCATGGTTGGGGGTAATCTTTGGCACGTTGCGTGCTTTGAATGATCTCCGCAACCACGCAAACAAAGCAACGTGAAGTAAGGAGGCCGGTCGTCCAGTCGTTTGCACACGGTGTAAAATTGTCACAAAACTGGATTGTAAATTCAATAGACGACCAGTACTTGGCACTGGACCAGTCATCTCAAGTGCTCCTACCCATGTATGTGCGATCTAATGAATGCTGCCACCTTCTGTTTCCAGCAGTGGGTATTGCGGCTGGCCATGGTGAATATGTCGACCATCACCACCTCCGGTCAGCAGCGAGTCACGGTTGGCTTCAAGGGAAGATGCTTATCTCCATCAAGCATTCATTTCCGTGCCTTAACCTCCGGATTACACTGCTGGCTTATTCTCCGGGTCGTGAGATTGCACATGTGGGCTGCCCGGTCGGCACAACCGGCACGGCGGGATCTCTCTGTCCAATAGATTGACCCACGAGTCACCCTTCCAGCACCACGATTGAGAGGCACCTGAACAATTGAGGACTTTTGAGAGCACGCTAAGCCTAGACTAGCTATCTCCATGTCTATGCCATGTCAAGTGCATACGTACTCCACAGTCTCGGTCTTTACGAGAACGCGCTCATCACGCGCAGGAATGCGGGCCGCTCCGTTGAGGGCCAAGGTCATAAATATATCAGTGGAGCCGCCTCGCTGCGGCGATCTTGAGGCGGTGTTCTTGGGGAGGTTGTTGTCGTGCACTGTATTCCATAACACACGTACCTGAAACCGAGGTTCGACTTACTCATCATGTACAATCTCAGGAATCGTGTCTGGGGCTTGCTTACTTTTGTCCCCATCGCCACCGCCGCAGCACATTATCCTGCCATTCCGTCCGACAAGACAACCCCAGTCCAGCAGCGCTTGGCTATCAGCGGAGCAAACTGTAAGCTATAACACCTGAAGCGGCCTGAGGACGTGAAACTTGGCTGACTTGATGTCAACTGGTCCTCTGAGCAGCTATTTCAGTCGGATGGAATACCTTTGAGCAGCTGAGCCGACCTTGTGTCCAGTATGGTACCAGCAGTAGCAACCTCGACCGCGAGCAATGCTCGGATGTCTCGGTGACATATAAGACGTCTCGCACATGGTCCAATACTGTCATCCTCAGCGGTCTGGCTGCCGGTCAAACTTATTACTATAAGATCGTCTCCACTAATTCGACAGTTGAGAGTTTCATGAGCCCTAGAGCACCAGGTGATAGAACCCCGTTTACCACGAGCGTTGTTATTGATCTCGGCGTATACGGCCAAGATGGATACACCATCAAGCGAGACAGTTCGAAGCGTGACCAAATTCCTGCGATAGACCCTGCTTTGAACCACACGACCATCGGACGCCTGGCTGAGAACTTCAACGACTACGAGTGGGTTATGCATCCTGGTGACCTGGCCTAGTAAGCAGCTTCTAGATACATCTTTGACCCCTTCTAGAACAAATACACTCTAGTATTTCCAGCCTGTACAGCAAGTGCTTTACGGGTTACAGATTATACGACAGGCTATGAACACCTTATGGGCTTACTCCCCGCCGTGTTTCTGTCAAGCTTCGTCTGTGGTTCTTTGACAGCTAACTCCTGACGCCGAAAAGTGCCGATGACTGGATTCTGAGCTTGGATAACCTATTCGACGGCACTAATGCATACGAGGCGATCACGGAGAACTTTTACAACCAGCTGTCTCCGATAGCCAGCCGCAAGCCATACATGGCGAGCCCTGGGAATCACGAGGCAGACTGTGCCGAAGTTGGCACACTTTTAATTCGGACCATCTGCCCCGAGGGGCAGAAGAACTTCACGGACTTCAATGTGCGCTTCGGCAAGAACATGCCAAGCGCCTTCTCGTCAACGTCGTCCGATGACACTGCAAAGGTCAACGCAAACAAGGCCAAGATGCTCGCGAATCCGCCATTTTGGTATTCTTTCGAGTATGGAATGGTTCATGTCACTATGATCGATACTGAAACGGATTTTCCCGACGCTCCGGACGCGCCCTTCGGCTCTGCTGGCCTCGATGGCGGACCCTTTGGCTATACAGGTCAGCGTAAGCATCACTTTTCACCTTTTACGGATCCCTGTCTTTCATGTTTTGGAATGTTCTAGAATGCAACACTTTAGAACCCGTAGTATGACTAACTTCACCACTAGAGTTGGATTTCCTGAAAGCGGATCTGGCATCAGTGGACCGCACTGTGACTCCATGGGTTATAGTCGGTGGCCACCGCCCGTGGTATTCGACAGGTGGAAGCGCTTGTACCGCATGCCAGAAGGCTTTTGAGCCAGTGTTGTATCAATTTGGCGTCGACCTAGGAGTGTTTGGGCATGTCCACAATTCTCAGCGGTTTACCCCTGTGAATAACAGTATCATCGACCCAGCTGGGATGAATGACCCGAAGAGCCCGATGTACATTGTTGCAGGAGGCGCTGGCAACATCGAAGGCCTGAGTTCTGTTGGGTCCAACATTTCGTCGAACCGCTTCGCTTACGCCGACGACTTCAGCTATGCAACGCTCACTTTCAAGGATGCGAACCATCTCGACATAAATTTTATTCAATCATCGACGGGTGAGATCCTCGATTCGTCGACGCTGTACAAGACGCACTCTGAACAGTTTGTTGTGCAGTAGGACTGGCAATGTACCTCGGTGGTGGCAGCGAGGAAGAAAGACATGAAAGAATGTAGTCGCGTACACACGTCCCATCATGCATTTAATCATAATATCAACCTCGTAGACAAAAGGGGGGGCCTGCATCGAAGTAAGTTGCTGTCTCAAAGCGGCTACAAGCGGCTGGCTTACCCTAAGTACAGTACCGTGACAAAAAAAAACGCCAATTTAGATCCACCCACCTAGATTACCGCCAACACCTATATATTACCACCTTATATATAGACTTTTATATAATACAATTCTATTACTATAGGTTTATAATTAATTAAGTATATAGTTTAAAGCTATTACTATTAATTAATATAAGTTAATTATAGCTAATATTTAATATATTACCTTTAGGCGATAAGTATCATTATAACCCTTTATAATATTAAGTTAATTAACCTATTAACTATCTTTTTAATGAAAATTTTTAATATCTTAATTATAGCTTAGTATATTTTTTATAATAATTTAGATATTTTTAATATAGTAAAAGTTTAGAGTATTACTTTAAAATCTTTTCTTTTAATAAATATTATAAGTTTTTAATAGAATTTAAGTTAAGTAAGTATAGTAACTACTTAAAAATATAAATACCCTTTTCTTTAAATTAATTTTATATAATTTTTATTATATATATAGATATATTATTTTATATAAAATAGTATTATAGTTTAAGATTATTAATAGATATTTTTAAAGGATTTTAAGGTAAATTATAGTATTAATATTATCTTACTTAATATATAGGTTATTAAATAGTAGTATAAAGTTAGACTTTATATTATATTAAATTTTTATTAAAATATTTAAGAATACTTTAATATTTTTATTAGACTTATATATATTTAGGATTTATTATTAGATTATTTATAAATAAATTATTAAAAATATAATAATTATTAATTAAAAATATTATTAGAGTTAAATTTTAAACTTTTAATTAAAATATTTATTTTTATAATCTATTAATATTATATTTACTTATTAATTTATATATAAATAAAATATATTATTAATATTTAAATAGTTTATTATAATACTTTAAAGTTTAAATAAAGTGTTATATAGTATGTTTTTAGTTAAAAATAGCCTTATTATAATCTATTTATATATAATTTTATTTTAAATAAAGTCCTTTTTAATAGTTATATTTAAGTACTTTAAACTATAATCCTTAATAATTTAAATGATTTATATAAAAGGATTAAAGGTAATATAATATAGTATATATTTTATATCACGTTTATTAAGTATATATAGGTACTTATAGCTAGGTTTATTAATACTTAGGTTATTATAGTTTTAATACTTAATAATACTATAAATATAGTTTAGTGATATTTTTTCTTTATATATAATCCTCTTAACTGGTTGGCCTGAATTGTATTTTAAATAAATGTGATTTCTTGTGTGAGGTGTGGAGTATTTGAATTTTTCCTTTTTAGTAGGTGTTTGTAGTATGGTAGAGTGTTGAAGTTGGTACGCAGCAACCTCAAACCGCACTGGACTTTGACGTCATCACATGCAGTGAATGGCACCATCTCACGCCTTTGACGTTGGTTTCGAAGAGAGGACCACACATCAACACAAACCATTGATCATTGATTTCACAACCTTAAAAACATTCACGACACACCGTCCTACGAAGCAAACCTTGCAACCCACAAGACCTAATTCGATAACTCTCAACTTGAAGCTTCAATACCATGGTGAGAGCTCTCATCGTGGGCGCCACCAGAGGCCTGGGTGCCTCTCTTGCCAATCAGTACGCATCTGAGGCCGCGAGCACTGTGTTTGCAACCACGCGATCATCGGTTCCGAGTGACTTCCCTCAGAATGTTAAGTGGTTATCAGGAATCGACCTGCAAAAGCCCAAGGTCGGTGATGACCTAGCAGCCCAGCTGAAGGGAGAGAAGCCTCTGGACCTCGTGGTTAGTACCAGAACCGATGTCCTTTTGAAATAGCCCACAGACCAGACGACGCTTACGGATATACCAGATCATCACGGCAGGTCGTTTTACCACCGAGGATTTCCACGGGAAAGGGCCGAACTGGGACGAGGAAGTCACGATGTACACCACAAGCTCTATCGCCCCGGTTTTCCTGGTCCACGCGCTCTTCCACGGCGGGCTGCTCGACAAGGGCTCCAAGGTAGTGCTCGTTTCGTCCGAGTCGGGAAGCATCACGTTGCGTCACGAGTCCGAAGGCGGCGGGAATTACGCTCATCATGCAAGCAAGGCAGCACTCAACATGGTGGGCAAGCTGCTTAGCCTGGACCTCAAGGACGCGGGAGTGGTCATCAGCATCGTCCATCCAGGTTTCATGCGCTCAGACATGACTAAGGGCGTTGGCTTTGACAAATTCTGGGACGATGGCGGAGGTACGTCGAAGCCAATGCCATTTCTCATTCCGAATTTTTAGTGCTAATTATTCCTGTCGTAGCTGTGACCACTGATGAGGCAGCCAGCAGCCTCGTGGAGTGGGTGGACCAGCTAGATATCAGCAAGACCGGCGAGTACTGGGCTCCCAGGGGACCAGGTTAGTTTCCCATTTGTGATCTCAAAGCAAAGTCAAGTGGACAGCTCCGCTAACTGCTATAGGGGATATTGGCACGGCTGATGCGACGCTTGGTAAGGGCTTGCCTACGCCACTGAAGCTGCCATGGTGAGCTGGATTACTACCTACTGTGCATTCGGAGGGCGTATCTCTTTCCAACTCGAGACAATAGAAACAGCCCGTCAATTTGTTGCTGAAGTCAAATCACCTCGATTGTGATACTTGTTGAATCAGTTTGTCTTGATCCCGTCACTCCAAGTTTTCCAGTGGCTCACCTCCTTGTCGACTCCCAAACGCCGAGTGCGCTATATCACTCATCGAAAAGTCATCATAAGGCTATGTAACACAATACCTGCAATCTGCATTCCATTCTCGTGCGAGAGAACGAGTAGCATCGATCATTCTGTGAGACTTTCCACTGCTATCCAAACACCATAATGCCTGAACTTGAAGTCGGCTCTGAAGTCGTGGAACGCGTGCCATAATATGTCAAACATTGAGCATACTGGATGGGTTCGGGTCACCGACTCGATCACCGAGGCGCTCCGAATATGCAGGCGGTGGTTTCTGAGGCAAGCCGCCAATGTAATCCTGCCGCGCATCATCGTGACGTTCTGCTTGTTGTTGCGAATTGGAGCCCGCGTCCCTGCGTGAATTGTTGTGGTTGGCGGCGATCGATGATTGCGAGCTATTCCGGTTGGGGGCCATTGGTGGCTCGTAGGCTGGTGGGCGCACCACAAGATTCTCGTCGTTTCGTGCGGCCGCTTTCTTGCGACGCTGCCTGATCACGATGCCGGTGACGATCCCCAAACAGATGATTCCGAAGGCAACGCTGCCGGCGATGATGAGACCCCTGCGATGAGCAGTGAAGTCCTTCCTGGAGAATGCGTAACCATACGAGAAACCACCGAAAATTAGGACCACAAGACCGCCCCACCCGAATTTTCTGCAGAAAGGGTTTCCTCTGTCCTTCAACATATTGAAATGACTTGCTTCGGTACGAAGGCCTTGTTTGAGAGCATTAAGTCACCGATCCAGCGTTGACTAGGATGGCTGCAGTCGTCTTTTGTTAGTCCCAGCCAAGGGATGCGATTCGAAGTTTGGTATATTCTGGCCGCGATTGAAGATTGCGATGAATAGTCGTCCTCTTGAGCAGCGTCGCCAAATGAGCCTTCGGGCTGGCCAGAACGTCAATGAGGATAGAAGTATGTCATCACACATAGGCCGTACCTTACGCCAAAAACCCTGCACAAAACCTGTCCAAGAACTGACAGGCATTCTTGTGCGTCACAGCCTAACGCCAATGCAACACTACCATCCTACAACCTTACCAAAGTCGGTCGGTCTATATATACACCGGCGTCAGCGCTAGAAGCAAGCTTGATCTGCTTGCATCACACCATGACTTCGACAACTGTACAAGCTGTCTACCTGTGGGTAATGGAAAGGATATAAAGTGAATGTAGGACGCTTACTACTATATAAATAATAGTAACATCCCTAGCCTTTAATTTAATAACTTTAAATCTTATAGTAAGATTAAAAAGTTTTAAAATAATTAAATATATACTTAAAACCTCTACTTTTTCTTTTTATAATACTTTTTAAATAATTATTTTTAAAGATTTAATTTATTTTATATTAAATAAAACTTATTTAAATATATTAAATAGATTTTAAAATAAAGATTTATAAATAATATTATAATTTATATTTATAAATATTAATTATATAAAGGTTTTTAATATTATTTAATTATTTTAATAAAAGCTTTTTTTTAATATATAAATATTTAAGAGACTATATACTCTATAAAATAATGAAACTAGAATATCTTCTCTTCTTTTATAAGTTATATAAAGCGGATGCTAATCAATGGTGTTTAAAAGGGAGGCACGACTACTCGCCACACGCTGTCCCATCCGGCCAACCATAATAACCAATCTACCTATTGGTGATTCTAGCAGCACATAAGCACCGTACCATCACTATGTTAAACTTTGCAGACCCCTCTAAACCCTATCGGCATTCACATGTTGTATCCCGAGTCTATCTGGCGCTGCGTCAACGTTAAGTTTTGATCATTATGTCAAGTTATCGCCCTGTAGCCACGGATCGAAAAACCACGCGGTCAAACTTATCTTAGCTTATGGCAATGCTATTTATTTAAGTTCCCAGTCTGAGCATTTACTTCTGTATCAAGGCGGCAAGTACACTCTATCTGTATTAGAAATGATACCCCTGGCTAGTTCCCAGATCGCCAGGCTGCATGTACAGTGAGCAGTTCTCCCCAACGGTTATACTTCATCCAATTGAATACAGGCAACAATTTCTGTTTCCTTAGCACTACTAGTAACCATTTGTGTAAAAACTCCGGAATGGGAAAAAGCCTTTAGGAGATGCCGTGATGTTAAGCCCCAACTCATCTTGCCTTCATTTGTTTTTCTTCTTCTTCTTCTTACTAGGATGGGCTCTGATTCAAGCACCTTTTGAAGCAAGGTACTCGGCAGCTAGTTTGTTGATGCTCGCCATCTCTTGTAACATCCGTGTGATTTCCTGGATATTTGGCCGGGTGGATGAATCCTCCCATTGCCCGATTTGGAGGAAGTCACGACAGATGGCAAGCGGAAGAGGTGTAAAGGGGTGCACCTGGTAAGAAAAAGGACGAAGTCCCGAAGTCAGCGATGAATCTGACAGCAAAGAATAGGAATCAGCTGTGGTTGGAGAAATGCTACCTTAAAATAGCTCAAGGAGGCGATGAGGCTTGAGAGACCTATGATACTGGACACAGCCTTGGACGCACGATCCTGCCACGCCGGGATCACTGTGTCGATGCCTTCGGCGTTTGCCTGGTACACTTTTTTGAAGCTGGTGCACAGGCACAACTGAAGGGCATTTGAAAACACTGTAAACGTTAGGCTCCATAAAAAACTTCCCTTCTGAAGTAGTCGAGATTGGGGGTGGGTGTAAGCGATGAGAGCCGAAAGCACGAGGTGTCACTGAACAGTGTCACATATCAAGGTATCATCCTTCTACAGCCTATATTAAAGCCTAAAAGCCGACAAAGAGATTCATGGATCCTATGTATGGATATCCGTTGAAAAGGGGCAAGAGAAACAAAGTCAAGGGGATGACTGCTTACTGCGAACAAAGAGCAGGATAGGGTCAGAACATAGAGACTCTGGGCTACAGTTGGCCTGTAGGGCCTCGGTCCGGAGGTCCAACATCTTGGTCAGCTGGGAATGGTGGCTGTAAAAATCATTTGCCGAGAGCACAAGTGGGAAGCTGTGGTTGTCGATCCGGTCTCGCTTGAACGAGGCGATGTGGCGGGACATGGTGCAGAAGATGATGAGCTCGGTAAACGGGCCTCTCACGGGCGATGCCAGCTGGCCTTCGAAAAGTTCGTGGAGATACTGTGCCTCGCAGGCCTCGGAATTCTGAAATTCTTTCTCGGCTAAGGGCAGTCTGGTAGTGCGCTGTTGCTCAAGCCAGTCAGTATATGTCTGTGTGCTTTGGCCGGGGGCAGAGATGGTGGCGGACCACATGCTCATGTAATGTCAGCGGGAATTGTCCGCGCTTGCTGGCGAGAACGTCGACACAATATGCCATCCAAAACGCACGGCGTTTTTCCTCTCTTCGGATCCACTGTTTTCCGCCACCTTCTCTCCTCTCTGGACTTTGTCCTGGGCTGTCGAGCTCATGCAAACGCATCAATTGAACCAGGCGGAAGCAGTGGCCAGCACTCATCCAGCCCTGGTGGTGGCTGCGATGTGTAAATTCATGTATCGCCATGAGGATGCCCGCCTGGACATATTCAATGTCCATTGCTGTTTTTCCGTCCGTGTTCCTACTGACCGCCAACAGGGTTTGGGTGTTATGGTATAGCGAGTCCTGGATCGACTGAAGGCGTACTGATGTTGAACTAGCAGATGTCCATATGGCATTCTGCAAACAGATTTGTGCTGCCGTCTTGCTTGGAGATCGGGCCCATGAAAAGTAATGTTGCCGATGCAGAATAGGTACAGACGGGTGTATCCTTTCAAAATAGACCTGATCTCTAATACGTTCCATCAGCCACCTGAGCCCCAGACTTGGAAGAAAAAGGGGAATGCTAACAAATCAGCCTGCAGTAGACTTGGGTCGGGGTATTTTCCAGTTACTGAAGAAGGCTGGCCCATCCCGTCAGGAAAGGGGAGGCTGTCATCAGCGCCGGTAAAGTGCCAAGGATCTGTCGAGACCGTGCCCGCCGAGAGGGCGCGCATTAGCAGCTCGGGGGACGAAACAATGACGGGCCATTCTGTGCTTTGAAAGGAGTGTGCCAGGCCAAGCTCAGCCGGCGGCGTTATGAGGTGGTCGAAATGGGGATAAGCGTCTTGGTGGGCATAATCGGGGCTGGAGATGACAGGCTCCAGGTCCATTGGGAGGGAGCCAAGCTCGACGTGCAGAGGCGATGATGACAGGGACTCTGGCGGCTTCATTGCTGATTCCTTTGAGCCGTTGGCTTCTGCGAGTTGTTGCTCCAGCCTGGCCACCTGGTCCTGTAGTGTCTTGAGGTAGCCTTTCTTTGGCCCACGTCGAACCTGCGGTGCGGCTGGCTCACAATCTGCGTTGGCAGAGAGACATGTGCCACATCGCGGACGACGGCTGTCGCACTTGAGCTTCTTGTCCCGGCAACGAACGCAGGCTCCACCAGTCTGGCCCTGCCGGCGCCCACATGCATCGTTTGCCGTGTCCATGGTTTCTGAAATAATACCAAGACCTCCTCTTACCAGTATTATGGTCGAATGGAGCCGTCACTATGCGAGGTGAGGAGCCGCCGTTCAGGAAACGCCCACCCGACTGACACTGGCGGCGACAGACCAAGCGATATTTGGCTCGTGAGAGCCCTCTTCAGCCATACAGGTACGTATGTAGATCGCCCGACCTCAAAGCACTTGAGCCACCCCGGTGTACGGGTACCCTTGAGCATCCGCACGATGCTTCGTTCGCTAGCACATGTAATACGTGTAAAAGAATGCATAGTCTATCTTAATTCTTATCCTAATCATGGTTGAGCTGCCGCGCTGTAACGCTGCGACGCAGAGGGTTCCACGAGCTGCGTTGCTGACGCGTTTGGGCGAAACTTAGCGATGGAAGCCACGCCAAGACACGCCTGGTAAGGCGGCCTTCTGTCGTGTAACTGAGATGAAGTTTAATACAGCCACTGTGCAGCACTTGAGCACACAATCTGCACGTGTACCTGCGAACAGCCCATCTCCGCGACCCGCCCCGCCCGCGACATGTCCAATAGCGCCCGGGCGACCACGCCAGTTATAATTAGTGTACCGTACCGCGAGATCGGATCATGGGCGAAGTAAGATAGAGAGTGAACTCAACGAGCTATGGTGTATGGTGTTGCCGACCTGCCGACCCTGGCCACAAACCCTATCTAGCAGGGCTCAGATGTTCTGGGGAAGATCTAGACCGCAGGCTATCAACATGCTGGCACGTTATTATGGTCTTCTATCAACCTGGTCTCTCAGTACGGAGGTGCGAATACTCCGTACACCACGTGCTTTTGCCCCACATTTACCATCACTCACCACGGCACGTTTTAAGTCCTGATGCTGCCGGATCGCAGCCTCCTTGACTCGGACTGCGGGTGATTTCCTGAATATTTCCTTTTTAATCCCCATATGTACAAACCGTATGCGGCGCTTTCATGCAGTAGTAAACGCCCAAGGCTCAGCCTTTAAAAAAAAAAAAAACACAATGGAAACTCCTGGGCTCCCATAGGGCGGTGCCAAGAATACTGGCAGTGCAGAACATAGTTGAACATCTGCAACTGTAAATCCGGATGCACCCTGATATTCCCCCGTGCTCGACTTTAGTCTGCCGAATCTCCTGCCGAGCCGTTCAGCACCACATTTCGCCACTTGTTACTAACGGGACCCCACGGCCGAGCAGTAGCCAAATTGACGGCATCCGTGGTGTGATACAATCTCAGGTACGAACCGTTCACTCACGCCCCCCGCCCTTTCTCAAAGCTTATAGCACATCAGCCGGGTCTTCAACACAAACAAGAGCGCCCAAAGCTAACGCTTCGCCCCGCTGGGGATCAGCTCGGGTCCCGAATTCTCCGTGGTGCTGCGGAGTCGTCGCGGCCTCCGCAAATCCGCATCGGTAACATAATATCTAGGTAGTGTACTAATCAGCATCGGTGGTGGCGCGATATAGTTTGGCCACATAACTTAAGCCTCGCAGTGTATTGTTCAACCAACAGGCCAGAACGTGACTCGTACCATTTGCACAGACGGTTCTAAGGGGCTGCAGTTCGTACAGTGCTAAAGCTTGTTCACAATGATGCGTAGGATACAGATCCTCTTCTCAATGACATCTCCGATTCTTTGCCCCACCAGCACTGATTCGAACGCGACCGGGCCACAACTGTCAGTCCTCAAAACTTCCGTGATACCCAGCGAAGCCCTTCCAAAACCTTGTCAATGTCTGCGTCTCTCCAAGTCAAGGAAGCTTCGAAGTCATTACCCTTGTCTGGTACCCCACATGTGCAGGAACAAAGCGGTATCCACACCGCAAGCCTGCAGCGAAGAACGTGCTGCTTCAGAGGATCTTACAGGACTGACAACATCTACCGCGCCATGTACGAACACCGTTGGCGAGACATCGGGCCCAAACATGTGCGCTGGGTCAATCCGCGCCAAATCCTCGTCCTTGACGGCCTCCTTTAGCCACCAACCTTCCTTGATAGAGGTCAATAGCCATGCATTGCGCGGCTTTTTTCAAATCTGGTCCGTTGGGCCCTCACGATGACGGGGCAGACACCACTACGCGTTCGTCATAGACTTGATTATACAGCTCCTTGCTGATGACAGGGAGCTCAGCAAGAGCAGCCTTAGGATTCGTCCAAACGGCAGGGGTCCCGACCAGTAGACCTCACTATAGAATGCCAAACAAGGCGTAAGTTTATACTTCTGGGAGGCCTGTGTTCTTGCAGTATTAGTGGACTTTTGGGCTTAAGGGAAAGGAGAAGAATTCTTCGGAATTGATGACGGGCGAGACAAGATCAACATCCCCAGACGGAAATTCCGTTCACTAGGAATAGGGTCAACGTGCTACCGGCTGAAAACCCGGCTGTTGCAATCCTATCTGTATTGAGAACTATTCCATCACCAGTCTTCGCCGAGATTCCGAGGAGTTCATCGTGGACCCATGTCAGACAGGCTTTTGCATTGGTCACTGGACCCTGCCACAGTGAGACGCCCGGACGAAGACGGTAGTCTTGGACCACGGCCACTGTGCCCAATTCCAATTCCAAATTCAGATAATTTATAATGGCCTTCGACACGAGGCTCTCATCGCCGACTACAAATCCACCAGCATGAAACAAAATGACTTAAGGGGTATTATCAGCCACCCTCATGTCTTCATACCGCTGCTCATCATAGGAGCAACTCAGCTCACCAGCCAGTTTCCCAAGGGTTGACTCATGATTGTGGAAGGGAGCATGTTATACATCTGCCGTGACGTGAGGCCAGGGGCTGCCCACTGGTGTCGTGTATACGTATTCCGCCTCCATTTTGACTAGCTCGTTCGTACAATGCTCGGATCTCGCATTGTTTTTATCAGAGACACCTGCGTGATAAATGTGATCAATACATTCATCATATTACTGTATTCTCTCTATACTGTTATTGGCACTGTATTTCTTTAAACGCTGGGTCTTGAGTGTTTACTACTATATGAAGTCGCCGTATACATTTTATGTATATGGGGATTAGAAACGAAACCACGCACATTCATCACACACGATTTATAGGTGAATGTCATAGCATAGCGTGGATGGTTTTGAGTAGAGACCCGAGTCCTCGTTGTACGTTTCGAGAAACCGATCCTCCGCAGAGACTCCTTTGATCCAAACTGTTTCTCGCTTGAAGCTAACATCTCCTACACGTTATCTCCAACGGACACTTTTGTCCGGAAAGTTTTCCCGAACACATCTTCCCCGCCGACAGCTGCACCATTTCAGGTTAACACCCAATTAAATGTTGCAAGAATCAAACATTATTCAGACTATTGACTACAGGAATCGACTTGTTTGAGTCCAAAGACTGTAAATAAAACATTTCCAATCTAAGCTCGGCTCATAGAACTCCGATATTCGCTGGCCACAGAAATACCCGGTGTCAAGAGTCCGGAATGCCCCGATCTTGCCATTGTCGATGGACTATCAGGTGTCGATTTCAATGATAAATGCCACTGCCACATGAAAAGAACTCTTGCTGCTTTCTCCCAAAGAGAACGGACCACTCCATCACTTCGTCACATCATTGTCTGACTGCAGCCTGTAATATACTCATTTTATATCACAAAGACAATCACTCCAAGTGCACGGCATCAGATACTATGGCTATCAGCAAATCATTAGCCCAGGGCGCAAAAGGATCCGTAACTAACAACGGAATCGACCAGACGCAAAACATCCTCGGCCTTCTGCCGGGTGAGCTCCCACAATGCACAATTCCGACACATGTCAGCCCCACCGATATAGCGCAGCAGCTCATCGCCGGCTTATCTACACTGTCTATCTCTCAGCTACAAAACGACAGCATGTGGCGTGACACCGTTGCCCTGACTGGTACTTTGCGCACATTCTATACCGCGCCCACGGTTATTGAGGCGTGGAATGAGCTTATCTACAGCCGTGCCGCCGGAGACTTCCAGCTTTTGGCGCCGACTGTACAAGTCGCGAAGCTAGACGAGAGCACACAATGGATTGAAGCCAGTTTCAGCTTCACCATCTTGGAGCCGCAGAAGCTTCTGTGCTCTGGATTCCTTTCAATTGTCTTGTCTCCGGAAGGAAAATGGAAAATCTGGGTTATTAAGACCATTCTGGAGCAAATCTGCGGCCAGCCTGATGTTGACAAATTAGACCCTGTGCAGCCTGCGCAAGATGATGTTCGACAGCTACGTAACAGTACCAACAACGGCATCCCCTACTTTGATGTCGCCATCGTTGGTGGCGGAATGTGTGGCCTTGCAACAGGAGGTCGCCTTAAAGCTCTCGGGGTCTCTTATGTATGTCTTGAAAGCCAGGATCGTCTGGAAGACGTATGGGGGAAGCGATACAAGTCCGCCAAGCGTAAGTGCCGCCTGAAACCCAAGTTTTGGGCAAACATGACTAAAGCGCCGGTTATAGTGCATACCGTGAGGAATTATTGTATGTAGCAGTATTACATGTTGTCCCGTTGCAGAGAACAAAGAGTTCTGACGAATGACGGTCCAGCGCATATGCCCTTCGATCGCACCTTCGGTCCCGAGTTTCAGGAGTTCTTGACGAAAGATGATGTTGCAAAAGGCCATGCTGACTGGGCCAGGCGCTACGGAGTTGTATGTGTTGGCATCCCCTTCAGCACACTTTCTTCACACTGAGTGCTGACGCTGTGTTCGCAAGAATGTGTGGCTATCAACCAGCCTTGAGTCGGGATTCTATAACGAGAGTTCTGGGTCATGGACATTGAACACCACTTGTCACTTCTATGGCGAAGCAGTAACCCTCCAGTGCCGCCATCTTGTCTTTGCCACTGGCGCAGGCTGTCACACACCGGTGGTCCCGCATTGGCCCAACCGTGACAGCTTTCGAGGTCAGGTCATCCACTCAGTCGACTACCACGACGCAGAGCCCTGGAAGGGTCTCCGCGGGATTGTCATCGGCTCTGGGAACACTGGCCATGATGTGGCCAGTGACATGGTTGCGGCAGGCCTGTCTTCCGTGACCATGGTTCAGCGATCCCCAACCTGTTAGTTAAATTTCCAACCCCGCCAAGAAATTAGATCTGTCGTGATCACCGAGAAATTAACGAGTCCTGCTACAGTCGTCCTTCCTGTTGAGAATATGATGAAGCGATACTCAGGTGTGTATTCACTACTGCCGATGGAGACACTTGACAGCCTTCGTCACCCTCCGCTTAGAATACACGATAGCTTGCTTACTCACATTTGATGCAAGCTGTATATAACGACGTGACCCCGACTGCAACCAGTGACAGAATCTGGTTCTCCATGCCGATGTCTGTCGCACGTCTGGTGGCTGCCAAGAACTTTCACCGCATGGCTGCCGAAACGCCCAACAGATGGGAAGCCCTAGCAAAGACCGGCTTCAAGGCCGACCCCTTTGGTGACATCCAGCACGCCATTAATGTCAAGCTAGGCGGCTTCTACATTGATGTCGGTGCTGGTAAGCTCATCACGGATGGCAAGATCAAGATCAAGTCGGACGGTGTACCGGTCGCCTATACCGACGAGGGGTTGGTGTGCAACGACGGTTCGGTGCTTCCTGCAGATGTTGTGGTCCTAGCAACTGGGTTTTTGGGCAACCTGAAGGAGCACGTAGCGCGTCTACTAGGGAAAGAGGTGGCCAACCGAGCGGGAGATTGTTTTGGCGTGGATGAGGAGGGTGAGCTGCACGGTGTGTTCAAGCCCACAGGACGTAAGTGACCAATTTCTGAAAGCATTGTGCATCTGGAATTGGCAAGCGACTAACTCATCAAACTGCACTACAGATCCTGGACTTTGGTATGTTGGTGGCGGCATGGGACACTCAAGGTATTATTCTCGCTTTCTGGCTCTACAGATCAAAGCACACGTCATGGGAAGCCCTTTCCCCGTGTATTCTAAGCATAAGCATGCTTTGGGTAAGTGAGTGATGAAATTACCTATATAGGCAGGTAGTTTAGTTACTAGGTTTGTAGTAAATTGAGATTTTCTTCGGCTGCTGGCGACGAGTTTTACTGCCCATGATTGATATGCATGACCAGAAAATGTTTATCTACTGTAGCGGAAGCCCATGGGGTCTGCCAACCGTAGCTAATAAAAGATATGGTAATATATAGACTAACTGTGGCAGATAAGTAAGGGGGGAAGCAGTTAGGTCTGAAAAGAGTGTATTGGGTTGGTTGCTTGCTAAGTTAGGTTGTAGGCGGGCTGGGGTAAAGGCCCCAGCCTTGGTTAAAAACCTACTAACTAATTTGATAACTAAGCTAGAATTAAGTTGGCTTACTTGCACCCCTTCGTGCCTGCCACACTAACTATAAGATCTAGCTTAACTATAAGATCTTCCCCCTATAATATTTTACTATAGGATTAATTTTAGCCGTTAAAGAATGCTTTTCTTTCTAGGTTATTTATATTATTTTTTCTTCTTTTTAAGTCTAGTCTTATTCCTAGCCCTCCCTAGCTCTCCTTAACCCTTCTTAACCCTTTAAGACCTATAAACTTTAGGCTATTTCCTTTAAGTATCTAGGTATATAGTCCTTTTTTATTTAAAATTTAAAGGAAAGGAAGGTATATCTAGCTAGCTTTATAGTAGCTAGTTAATAAGAATCCCTTATTAAAATGTAAGACTAGATCTAATTATAAAACATTTTATTATAATATCTTTTTTACTAAGGGTTGCCAGTCCTTATGGTGATCTAGTACAGTATGTATCCTGTGCATATAGTACTCTTTCTCATATTTCCAGTACGTCATTCTTAACAATACCTTTTGAGTGGTGCTTGATTCCTGCCTTCCCAGGTAGGCGGCTCTTAGGCCTGGTGGTCTACCAGTACGAGTCTCTTGAGTACGTCACGAACACTTTCCCAGTTGTTTGTCAGGGCAGTAACATCTCGCCAACTTTTGAAAGCTGCATTGAAGGTAAAACTCAATTCTGTCTGATCAAATGTTAGTAGTTCTATCTTGGTTACAATTATTGATGTAATGAGTACCCGCCTAGGTAGGTAGGGACTGGTATGTGCTCATGGAAACTGTTAGTTTCTTTATTTAAAAGTCCAAATTCTATATTTTATTGTTTTTGACTATCTTCGTTACATTTCTTATGGATAAGTATCTAAAGCTTTATATTAAATCAGAACACCTTCATAAGACTCCTTCCACCGGCAGCCACGCGTGCAACAACTATCATTACACCTCCTGCAACGATAAGAACACCTGTGTAAACCTGGAGTCTCCAAAATGGATCTACTGAGGTTTTGGTACCATGAGCCCTGCGATGGAGTTGCTCACATGATACGCAATCGCGGTGAAAGCGAAACCTGTGCCCTGACGGACCCCGAGCTCGGGAAGCGGCGGGATCTGCGCGACATTGCCGAGTGCTAATGACATAAAGGCGCCGGATCCGAACCCGTACAAAATATAGAAGGTAATGACGGCACCATTGTCCATACCTAGAATCCAAAGCCCAAGAACAACGACCGCGGAGAACAATGTTATCAGGACTGCGCACGGTAGGTGAGTTCAAGAATATTAATACGGTGTCACTATATGAAGGCGCCACATACATTTTATATGTATGGGGATTGAAAACGAAACCACACTAGTACGGTGTACAAGGGTAAAAATCTCATGATGTAAAAGAGACCGAGACGATCCGCGAGCCATCCCGGGGCAACATACCCGACCAAGCTGTTTAATCAGTCCAGTCCAAGATATCAGTTGATCGAGCTTTCAAGGTGAGACCCAGGTCAACCTTACCCGCCACCGTTCATAAGAGGGATCAAATAAGAGGACAGGCCGGATGACATCCAGTATCGCTCGGAATCGAGTATGATGAAATGGAAAGGAACAATAAGCCCAATAGAAGAGGAAGTAGACAAATGTGAAAGTGCCGAAGGGACCTTCACTTGAGGGCCGCCAATAGTCGCCGATGCGAAAGTCCTTGGGAGAGTGATGTAGCCGTGATGTGACCACGAAGTTTGCGAAGATGGAAAGGACGAGCATAAGAAACGCGCAGGCTCTCAATGTCCAAGAAAAGCCAATCTGAGGAACAAGAAGCTGAAACATTATCGGAAAAACGACACCACCTAAGCTGGAGCCAGCGACAGTAATTCCATACTATATGTTGGTGGGTACTAGAGATAGTTACTAGGGCTATTATTTGTATTAGAAACCCCTTATTTATAAAACTATTATTAAATAGATTTAAAGAGAATAATAACTTTATAATATAGATAATTATTTAACTTTTTAGTAATTTCTTTTATAGTTAAATAAACTTATAAAAAAAGGGTTATTAAAAGAAGAAAGAGTTATAAAAAAGTCTTTATACCTTTCTTTATATAAGGAGAGAAAGAGTACTTCTTTCTTACTTCCTTCCTTTTTTCCTTCCTTCCTTTTTTCCTTCCTTCTTTTAATATTAAATCTTTTACTTTTAATATTAAATTCTCTACCTTTTATTATTAAATTAGTTAATTAATTAAATTAATTTAAAAACTTAAAAAATAAACCTTTTAAAAATAAATTTAATAAAAGTTAAAAGCTTAAAAAAAAACTTAATAAAAAGGTGAAGGAAGGGAATTTCTTTTAATTACTTAGTATATTTAAATAAAAGACTAATTATAAGGGAATAAAAAGAGAGTTACTTAAAAAAGGAGCCTTTTTAATAAGTTTATATTTATTTTTATAACCTTTTTTTTCTTTATAACTATTTTAAATCTTTAAAATAACTTTAGAATTTAAAAAGGATTATTTAAGTTTAATAATATATACTATTATAATTATTAAATTAAAATAAATATTATAGTAATTACCTTAAAGGAAGAGAAGTAGTATAGTAGTTAAAAAGTAGTAAGAGGTATATAGGTAGTTATAGTGACTATCTCTAGTACCCACCAACGCACGGTATGGTTCCTAGTGCCAATCCGCGGCGGCAGATGAACCAGGTTGAGACAGATGTCGCCCCCCGTGAAGAAGAGCAGAGAAGCTCCTGTGGCGGTGCGAAATCCATGTACCAGGATGAATTGATAATATCTTTCACACAGCGAAATCATAAAGAGTCCGAGTGCGTGCAGAGCGGTACCAACAGGGAGAAGCCATCGTGGTCCGTAGGGTAATTATCAAACAGCCTCCCTACGACCGGGCCCTAGTTAAAGGACTGAGCAGCTACCCGAGCTTTGGAGTCGATAGATTTGCTGCCGGCTCACTCATAGGAAGATAACGCAAGTCTCCACGGAGGAGATCCAGGCAACAGCACTCGGCGAATACGCTCTAAGCTGGTGTGTCTGGTAGTAGCTCTGGAAGATGCCAATGCCTTGGACGAACTTGTAAGAGCACGCTTCACGTTTCAGAGATGCATTGCAGTTACAGCTGATCCACCCGAACCTGACAAACAGGTGACAAACAGGTGACAAAATCCCCCAGCGACTGTTGCCCATGCGGCTACATTTTGATCTGGGGGCTCCAGGTTGCGGGGGCTATCTGACATGACATCCTCCTTATCACAGCTGCCAGTCCCAGCGAGGCCCGAGGGCGGTGGAGGAGTCAGCGTCTGCTTCTGCTCCATTGCGGATACTGAATGGAGACTTTGATCGCAATTGCTGGTCGAGAGAGTGACAGATGGGCCAGAGAAAAAGGAAACAGGAGGCTAATGGGGAGTGATTCTGCAGCGTTTCACTTTTGTAATCTTCGAAGAGAAAGCTTTCCCGGGGAAGGTGCAAGGAACGTATGCGATTGGTGGACAACTTTCGAATATATTTTCTCCGAACTACTCAACCGTCCACTGTGTGGGTGCCTAGGTACATTGATTCAGGGTACATATGTACCAATCTTGTAATGTTGCAGCCCTTGGGAAGCATTAGAAGAGCAAACGTGCTGACCGGGGCGGTGTTAAGCTCGGAGATCCGAAGGCAAAGCAGAGACAGATTCAAAATGGACGAGTGGCTCTCCATTAAGCTTCAAGCTAGGTTGTGTCGGTCGACACGTTGTGCGAACGAAGCGGTTTCGTTCGTGAACCATGTGCATGCTGTTTGAAGAAATATGCAATCACTTTCAGAGCGTGGCAAACGCAGGATTATCGACGGTATGGTCGGTATCCTAGTGTATGTCAGAAAATACAACTCTTATTCTCATTCTCATTTCCCTCGACAGTATTTAATGGCCTACCTTTCAGCATTGGTAAACATCACAAGGTTTTCATCTATTATGGACCCGTCTTTCATGTTTTGCAATCTACAATGCAACACTTTAAGATCCATAGCAGGACTGACGTCACCATCAGCGTCAAGACAGAATTGCCGCTTACTATGTATGCCCTTGGATGTTCAAATCGTTCTTCTTGACACCCCCGAATAGTGTGGAGACACGGTCGTGTGGCTTACGAGGCAGCGAAGGGAGTGATTGCAGGATCGGTTTGTGGATTGTCAATGGCATATGGAAGGATTGGAGGCACGCGCGGAGGGCATTGTTTCTCGAAATCTTTTGCCGTACCAATTGTTAAAAGTGTACCCTAAGAAAAGTGTCTTCGGCCAGGATATCGAAAGGCCCTGGCTCTTTTCTAATATCACAGGTACTATTAATCAGGCTCTATTATCCTAAACCCTGACCAAAATCGTGGAAAAGACGGTCACAATACAAGAATCCAGGCATAAAAAAGGAGGCCTAAGCTCAGGAACAAAGTGTACCCAGGTACTGACCACGTAGACTAGCAAGTCAAATTGCATCCCGGACACGATGATGGGGCTTTGCGTGAATATGGCACAAGCCGATCAATGACGCGATGCGGTCCGTGAGTAGGTTTCACGGAATAAAAAAGTTCCATATGCTCTGGAGGAACTATTATGAACGACCCCACTTAACTTTGAGATACCCAGACATGGATCGGGTCCAGACAAGAGCTTCCCGGGAAACGTTGCAATCTTTCGCACGGGCAGACTACTCGAGGTGAAGGAATGAGTGAAAGACACAGCACTAGAAATTTGAGTTATGGTCGTCCACCTAGGTACTCTGCTCACATCATGTCCTCCTGACACCCAACTTAAACCTGTAGACGCGTATCCGTCTTCCCTTGCAAACAACCACGCAAGATCTGACCCTGACAAAGCACTGACGTGTGTATTTTGGGGAAATACCAAGATGATTCCAACAGAAATACAAAGTTTCTCACGAATGCTTGCTCTGCATGGGGGAGGTACCAACAGTCGTGTCTTTAAAGCCCAGTGTCGTGCTTTGGAAGCATCGCTCATCAATCACGGCATTCGACTTGTGTACGCCGAAGCACCTTTCCCGTCTGCGCCCGGACCCGACGTGCGATCTGTGTATTCCAAATGGGGCCCGTTCAGGGCTTGGCTTCGTTCGCCCGATGCCACCACGCCCAATCCTCAGGACCTCGCGGCGGTCGAGAGGGCCATTATGGAAGCTGTTTGTGCAGATGAAAAACTTGGCGGCACTGGCGCCTGGGTCGCAGTACTGGGCTTTAGTCAGGGGGCCAGGATCGCGGCCAGCTTACTTCTCCAGCAGCAGCGCCGCTTCATCCACCACTTCGATTTCGACTTCAACTTTGGCGTGCTTTTTGCTGGAAGGGGGCCGTTGATCGACTTTTGTCCCGAACTCGAGATTGAGTCACATGACACGCGTCTTTTTATCCCGACCATCCACGTCCATGGCCACCATGATCCGGGGTTGCCTCTTCATCGAAAAATGCTTGACCAGTGTTGTGGGAGGGGGGCCACACGTCTAGTGACTTGGGAAGGGGACCATCGGCTGCCGATCAAGAAAAAGGATGTACAGGATGTGATTTCGGCAATTCTGGAACTGGCGAGTGCGGCACGAGGCTGAGCCACGTGCCCACGTACTGTATTCTCTTTCCACTGATATTGGCACTGTAGGTATTTATTTAAACACTAGGTTTTGAGCGTTTACCACTGTATGAAGGCGCCACATGCATTTTATATGTATGGGTATTAAAAATGAAAGCACTTAGTGAGACCACAAGTTATGTTAGTCCAACAGGTTTTCTTGGTTCATTTGTTGGTCAGGGCGTAAATGTACAGCCAGATGATTTGACACGGCGGGAAGACACGTGAGAGATGGACAATTGTTGGTTTCTGAAACGGGTTGACGCTACTCCGAGGTTACAACACGATGCTATCAAATACTAAAGAGAACGGAGATTCGCAGGGCAAAAAACGGAGGGTACAGGGCAACATGTACCCCTAGTGCGCCAACCTTAATTTACACCACCAATTTACCACACAAAACACCAATACACAATCATTAACTACACATCTATCACCCTATATAAATACCACTCTCATCACTTCTGCTTGCCCCCATCGCTTCTGCTTGCCCCCATCGCTTCTTCTACCCTAATAGTTTGCTACTACTTTCCTCATCGTCGCTTAGAGCCCTCTAGTAAGTCCTTAAATCTCCTCCTAAGTCTCCTTCTCGTAGATTGGTAAGTCTACAGATCAGGGCGTAAAAAGCACTTGGTTGGGGTGGTGTAGGTAGTGAGGTAAGGTTGAATAAAGCCCTCTAATTGGCTGGCGGTACTTCTTGCCCTGTACCCTCCGTTTTTTGCCCTGCGAATCTCCGCTCTCATACTAAATTAATCCAGATATGATACAGGCAGTATCAGCTTTGATGCAACTTCGCCGCCCAAGTGTAAAGTGTGCGTCACTGGCTTCATCGTGGTCCCGGTCCCCTGATCTTGCCCTGTGCCCAAGTTGAACGAATACAAAGGAAAGTTTCCGCCAGCGATGATAATCCTGATAGAAGTCCCCTTTTTGAACCTGTGCGCACAATCTACTAGGTCAAGCTCAACCTTTACTGTCTGACCGGCATGAGCGCGGCTGGGGTCTAGCCGTTTGTACACCTCGGTGATGTTGTGCGAGACACCCCTAGCATCAACCTCGGAGAGACGGACGAAAAGGTCAACGTGCACACTATCACTACTGTGCGCAAGCTCAATGTGAGCCTTGCCTAGCACTTCCAGCCCATGATCCAGGGGTGTTGTGGTAAAGGTGAGGACGTCAGAGCGTTTTGCCAGCGCGGTGTCGTCGACTACACCGCCGCGCGACAAGAGGGGCCCGCCCATCGTTGGCGTCGGGTTGTGGGGATCGAACACGAAGAAGACCTCGTCCTTCTTCTCCACCTGCTCTTTAACAAGTCTCCCCTTTGTATTGAGGCTCAATTCAAGGGCTGTTGTGGCAGGCGGCCAGCTGGGCAACCACCTCCACTCGTTGACTCCTGTGACGTTGACTCTCACTGGAGCTGGCCGAATCTCTCCATATTGGCGTTTAGCAAGATACGTGTCCAGCCATTCCAGCGATTGCTTTGTCACGCCCTCTCCATTTCCCGCCTGAAGATGATTCCAAGGTCCCACAGTCAAGCCCACGTTGCAACCATTCTCTCGAAGTAGCTGGTATTGCTCCATAACAGCATCGCAAAACACGTCCTGCCAGCCACCAATGAGAAGGATTGGAACCTTTGAGTTGCTTAGAGCTTTTGCTTGCTTCATTGAGTCGTAGAAAGAATCATTCTTCCAATCCGGGCGGGCGATCCATTCCAGAACCCAGGGAGACTTGCCCTTGAAGAAGGATCTTGCACCTTCGACAAGCGGGACAGACTTCTTGACGTGGACGAAGGTATTCAGGTTCATCGATAACAAACCGTAGATCTCGCCGAAAAATGATCGCGACTCTTGGATGCTCATGTTCCGCGCCCAGTCCACACAGGTGAGCCAGAGAGCCCCCGTCCCCCACAATAGCTTGGAAAAGTCGTGCGGCCCGACACTTGGAATGGCCGCAGCCATGTCCCCGGGAGGGCCGTTGGGGCCATTTAGCAGAGCCCACTGCACATAAGCGAGGTAGCTAGCGCCTACGGTTGCAAAACTCCCAGTGTACCACGGTTGCTGACGCATCCACTCCACAACCCGTGGCCCGTCCTGCATTTCCATCCTGCCCGCGTCAAATTGCCCGCTGGACCCGAAGGTGCCGCGGACGGAAACGAACAGCACGATGTAGCCGCGTGGCGCATAGTAGCGGGCGCTTACAGCAAGGATGCTGCGGCCGTAGGGACATTGCATGAGGATCGTCCCCTTTGGAACATCATTATCCTTGAGAAGCGGGGTATAGAGGTCTGCTGCGATTTTTATATCGTCCTCGCCCGCGAGGGGAATCTTCACCGGTGTGATGGTGTAGCTGCATGTTTCGGTTGGCAGACCTTCCATCCACGACATGAGGCGGTCAAAGACAGCGCCGCTGTAGCCCCGCTGAACTGATCGTGCTGCCATTGGCCGAGGATTTGAACGGAGCTTGATGTGTTGATTTCAAGTTGGTCAATACCACAGTAATTCTGACTCTCAATTGTACTTGGTGATGGGGTCTTGGGCAAGGTTTGTATGAAGATGGTTGGAACATTGCTGAGGATGCGGAGGCTCTTGAATCTTTCGGTCGGAGACTTTAAATTCTCAGACGGGGAACCAACATGTTGTTATTGTTCCGTTCGCCGAGTTCAGTGTGTGAACGGGAATCCTACCACAACCAAGTCCCGTAAGCCGTCGGAGGGTAGTACCGTACTGGGAAATAGGGTGAATCAGCAAGCATTACAGCCCATCATAAGCATTGTACCTAGGTACTGTAAGACTTACATGTACTATAAGACTTACACCCTTCTATAAAGGTTAGCTTATTTTAAATATAAAAGTTATATAAGAAGAAATTAATAACTTAATAGTTATTTTATAAAGTAGGGAGTGGGAATATATTTTTAAATATATATAGAATAGAAGTAAAATTATATATTTTTATATATTAATAAAAAGAAGTTAAATTTAATTTAATTTAAAATTTATTCTTTTTAATCCTTAAAATATTCTATTAATATTAAAAATTTAAAATAGTTCTATTATAAATTAACTCTTTAATATATTTCTAAAGCTTTAATTATATTATATTTTTCTTTATATTATATAATTACTTATTTCTTTCTTTATAGTTTAAAGCTTATATATAAAGTCTTTAATAATTTTATATATATTTTATAATCCTCTTATAAAGAAACTTTAAATCCTTTTTTCTTTATTTTTATTATATTTTTCTATATTATTAAAAGTTAATAATTATTAAAAATAAAAATATAAATTTAAAGAAAGATAAATTTATTATACTTTTTTTTATTTTTTTATAAATTACTTTTAAGATTTTTTTTAAAAGTTTTAATACTTTATTATAAAAGTTTTAAAAATAATATATTAAAAATTATTTCTTTATTTTAAGTTTTTTTAAAGTTAATTATATATTTAAATAAAGGTTATAATACTTATTTAATAAAAGTTTTATTATAATATATATATAAACTAACGTCCACTCACCCAACAATTATATCCACTCACCTAGTTTTTTTTAACTACTTACCCAGTACAAGAATTTACATACAGGGCCCATACAAAACTATGTACCTGACCAGGATTCTCTAAATTTTCGATACTTTCAGTATAAGCCCCTTCTGCACCCCTTCTGGCACGCCTTCTGGCACGCCTTCTGGCCTACACGCATTTAGGTACTAACTAAGTATTTAGATACTAACTAAACGCTAGAAGGCTAGAAGTCTAGAGGGCCAGAAGGCTAGAAGGAGGGCTAAAAGGCTAGAAAGCGTATAGTTTTCACCTTTACCTTCTTAGCTTCTAGCCCTCTAGTGTTTAGTTGGTATCTAAACGCTTAGTTGGTACCTGAATGTATGTAGGCTAGAAGGCCTAGAAGGTGTGCTAGAAGGTATGCTAAAAGGCGTGCTAGAAGGGGTGTAGAAGGGGCTTATATTAAAAGTATTAAAATTAAAGAAGGAAATTATACTATAGGGTCTTTTAGTGCTAACTTAAAAGGTACTTATAAACGTAAGGGAGTTACTTAGAAAAATTAGTATTAGATAAGTGGTTAGCGGGAATTAGGTAAGTAGATATAATTATTAGATAAGTAGATATTAGTTTTATATATATATATATTTAAAAGGGTAATTTTTAATTAAACTTCTTTTAATATAATTTATTTATATAATAATTATTTTTAATTTTATTATATAACTTCTTTATAATATTCTAATTAATATTATTACTAAAATAATACTTTTTAACTTTATTTATATATTATAAAGTTAAGGTTTTAAATATTTATTATATTATATTTATTATTATTAATATTATATTTTTTTTAAGTATTAAATTTTAAATACTTATTTATTATTATATAAAATTATTATATATATCCTTAAATATATATAAAATAAAAGTAAAACTATATATTTCTAGATTTCTATATAAGTCTATTATAATATAATAGAGCTCCTATATAATTGTAATCTCAATAGGAAATGGTAGCATAAAGATAGGGAGGTTGGCCTAGATGTGTAGTGGCTGATTTAATAGGCTCTCTGTGCTTAGAACCTTGAGGAATAAGGAGGTGCCTAGAGGGACTACGGTTAACGTAAATTTCTTGCGCCAAGGTTATCTGATGTCAAACACTAACACGCCGTATAAAGCTCACAGCTGTGTTCATACCTGGATATCTAACTAGCTGGCCTGCCTAGAAAAGCGTAAGCAAGAGTACTCTGAATGGAAAACAATGGCCGGAGTCACCCAAACTATAAATCATGGACGGACTTTCATGACATGTGATATCCCTTCTGCTTGACAAAAGGCGAGAGCACATTATTGTTGGGTGATCTATGCAATTTGACTACTCTTTGTTGTTAGTACTGTCAACCAGAAACGTGGAACCTTAAGGTTGCAACACGCCAGAACAATATTTTCATCGCTTGGCTTCCAAGGGTGAGCTGGGCATGACATTGCCGAAAGAAGAATCAATTTGATATAGGCCAGGCACTAGATAATGAACGTTGAACACCTTTAGCGCCGCCGAAAGTAGATGAAGTCCTGAAGTCAATGGGATACCCACACTCGTATCAACATATGATAATTCTCGTCTAAGAACGAAGCGGCCCATATCCTTTTACAGGTCATCATGGGTATTTAAAGACGACATAATTATTTGTTGATATACGTTCCAGGGCCAGTTCGACTCCCACCTGGGCATTCATCTGCCCTTGAACACCGGTTTCCGCTTGTCTCCGAAGGCCCTCAGGGCTTCGAACCAGTCCTCACTCCCCACAACTCTCTCCATCATAGCCTTCTCCGACTTCTCACTGGGTTCCTTCAGGGCCTGTATCGTTGCCCTCACAGCTACAGGACCGCCCTCACAGATCTCTTCGCTCAGCCGGATGGCCTCGACCAGGACCTTGCGCCGCGCAACCCCGAGGAAGGGCAGATCCTGGAGACCTGGCTCGTCCGCGGCCATATCCACCATCCTGTTTGCGATTCCCATGGAGACCGCCTCTGGCGCCGTCACCCGCCGGCCCGTCAGGATGATGTCGCGTGCGCGCGCGACGCCTATGAGCGTGGATAAGCGGTGGGTACCACCTGCGGCTGGGATTATGCCGAGGCCGGTCTCCGGGAGTGCGATGTAGGCATTTGATGACATGATCCTGAAATGGGTAGCCAGGGCAAGCTCGAAGCCGCTTCCAAATGCGCTCGAGCCGATTGCTGAGATGGTAGGTATCGGAAGATTTGAGAGTGCTTTCAGCGTATCTCTTAATGACGAGAAGTAGCCGGATACCCTTTTCCCGAAAGATCAGCGACCGAGTCATGGCAAGCAACTTGCCAGATATGGTTTTCATGGCCACAGGAGACAAAAGAGCAAAAAGACTTACTGCTCTTGCGTGAATCCTACCAACTCCTTCAGATCCGCACCAGCAGAGAAGCATGAATCGACCGCTGAAGCTATGATCAAGGCTCTTGTTGGGCCTTTGATATCGCCTTCGGTCCATGGCATCTCTGCGCCCGTAAACTGGCTGTACTGTGCTTGAATTGTCTGGATCTCCTTCCGCAGGGCGGAGAGCAATGCGTATGAGATGGCATTGGAGGCGGATGGCCTGCTGATCTGCAGTATTCTGATGTGACCGCTGTGTGGTGCAGGCAAGTCCACTATCTCTATGAGAGCCCCCGAACTTTGTTGTTGTTGACCCTGCTGCATCTGCTTCTGAAATTGGGCCTGTGAAAATGTCTCGACAGCTGCGGATTTGGGTGGCGAAGGTGGCAAATCCTTTTCGACCCGTCGGGACGACGAGTCGGAGAGGTGGCTCGCCTCTTGAGTCCCTGTCATGTTGGGGGGTGATGGGTGAAGGTGTGTGTTTGTGTGATTGTGGTCAACTGGTGGGAACGGCAGAGAGGGAGGCTGCACGCGGCATCAGAGAAGAAGGTACGCTGCCATTGTCCTAAGAGGGGCCCGCTCAAGAGATATTGATTCTTAAAGCCTTACGTCAACCTGTCTGGAGTTTCGAAAGCCTTGGGTTCTGGATCGTCTTGGGGCCTCCACTATGGGCGGCAGCCTGCAAGGTCGAGTGCGATCCAGGACGGTGGGTTCGTATTGCCCCTTGAATCAAACCCTGACCAGCGACAAGGGTGGCTTCTCCTTTAGGCAGTGTTGAGCCCGGATCCCTGAATCCCTGTGAGGGACGGCTCGGGCAGGGCTGCGAGAGCTGAAGAAGATCCACAAGACGATGAAACGAAACAACGTGTTTGACTAGCCGGCTAGCTAGCTGGGTATCTCTCTCTGCCCGAAGCGAGGTGGTCGCTACGCCACTCCTCAAGCCCGCCGCATACGGAGTACTGTGTAAAGAAGCTAAGAAGGTGTTGAAGACAAGGCCTTTGTGATGTCAAGATCCAAGGAAGAGTGATGTTTGACCCTGGGTTAGGGTCGATATCCCATCTCCTCGCAGGTCTGAAGGGTTGAAGCAGCTATCGACGGCCATCTCCGGGCGAGACCATGCAGCCAGTCAAGAATCAGGCACTCATGTCGACTGACTGGCTGGCTGACTGACTGACGCCCTTGGAGATGCGAAACAACCCATCCCGAGAGCTGATCCAAAGCGAACTAGCATCGGGCAATAAACAAGGTTGAGGAAAGGCCCGAGAGGCATGAGCTGTGGGACTGACTCAAAAGGGCATCGTCGTGGGCGTCACTAATGGTTGGAAACTCTCCGACCTGGATGCCACCGTATGTAGTACTAGGTCGAGCCCAGGCAGACCTCAGCACCCCAGCCTGACAGAGCCGTCCTGGCGCCTTGTTTCAGGAAGCGCAAACGAGGCCCTCACGGCTGCTGGGCGGCGAAGCAGAGAGTCAGTAGCCGCTTAGCCGGCGCTACGGCTGAGCAGGCCAAACACCAAGCCCCCATCATGGTTCGCGCCTGTCTCGTCTCGACCTCTGCCGCGCCTTGGCCGCTGCTCCACGCGTCTTGCCGCATGGGAGCACACTCCCGTCGGAAGCCATCTTTGACGATGACATGCAAACCCAACGCAAGGGTAGGATGCCTCAGTGGGTACTGCATGAAATCGCCCTCGACGGCCGAGTTGAGATGTAGGCCTGTCTTCAGGGCGACTGGGCGACTGGGCGACTGGCATTGACAGGCCACAGAGATGCAGCCAAGCAGTGACATCGTCCGTCTCATGGCTGAGCTTTGAGCTGGAACTCACGACCATGCACACGGAAGTGTTGGCCCCTAGCTTGAGGACCCATCACGCAATGCCTCAAGCACGGAACGGCCACGCCGAGACGAAGGTCGGGCTGGGGCGACAAGAAGGAGATTGCTGCGTTTCTCCAAAAGGACTCTGCAGAGAAATGGACGCACATCAACCGGGGCTGTAGGGTTAGGAGCTCCCAAGCTGGCTGGCTGCTCCAGCAACGTCAATGGTCGGGTCGAGGTGCGTCATTGTTGTCTGCAGGCCATAGCAGGACCCCGCCAACCCGCCAACCGCCAACTGGAGCCCCTGAGAGCTACACACGTCGCACGATGCTCCATCCATAGCCGCAGCGAGTGGCTAGGTACCTAGGTACCTCCTAAACACTACACAGTAGAACAACTCCTCTTGCATCAAGCAGACCAAAAGGTCATCTTGACTGCACTGCAAGCCAAGCAGAGAAACCAGACACGCCTTTTAACAACACCAGACCGTCAAGATGCAGTCAGGAATATCGGGTATGTCAGAGATCCGGAATGCCTCTCCCCTTCAACGTCCCCAGGCACTGACAACAGCCCGCTTCAACAGCATCGCAGGAGCTCACCTCCAAGTTCACCGACCTCCTACAGAACGACGAGCACTTTGGACTGCTGGCTACCATCGAAAATGAATCCCTCACTCCCGTCTCCCTGCTGACCGCCTCATCGCCCTCCGCCACCTTCGCCGACAACGTCACCGCCCTCGTCCAGCCCGCCCTCGCCGACGCCGAGCCGCTGTACCTCCTCCTGAAGCGCTACGACACCGCCCCGCGCCTGGTCGCCGTGAGCTACATCCCGGACATCGCCAAGGTCCGGCAGAAGATGCTGTTCGCGTCGACCAGGCTGACCCTGGTGCGCGAGCTCGGCCGCGAGCACTTCCGCGACACCATCTACGCCACCACTCGCGACGAGCTCACCCCCGAGGGCTTCGAGAGGCACGACAAGCACGAGAAGCTCGAGGCACCCCTGACTGAGCAGGAGAGGGACCTCGAGAGCGTCAAGCAGGCCGAGGCCGCCGAGGGCGCCAGGGGCACTGGCTCCAGGGAGCTGAACCTCGGCCAGCGCATGGCCATGCCCGTGCTCGACGACGCGTTGGCGGCTCTCAAAGAGCTGCAGCCTGACGGCGGTAGGAGCCTGGTAATGTTGGTATGCTACTACAAGCTCCCCCCCCCCCAAACCCCCCGTGTAAATCGATGGGTGGCCGGAGGGAGCACGATTGCACTAACCACACCCTCTCGTCCCGCCACAGAAAATCAACCCAGAGACCGAAAAGGTCGAGCTCGTCCCGGACTCGTCCGCGCCGGCCTCGATATCCGAGCTCACCTCCGACATCTCGACCTCCGAGCCGCGGTTCACCTTCTTCCGCTACGCGCACGAGCACGGCGGGAGCCAGAGCGCACCGCTCCTGTTCTTCTACACGTGCCCCGTCACGACGGGCCGCAGGGCCATCAAGGACCGCATGCTGTACCCGCTCATGAAGCGCGCCGTGCTGGACGCGGCCGCCAGCGAGTGCGGGCTCGAGGTGGACAAGAAGTTCGAGGTCGAGGATCCCAGCGAGATCACCGAGGACGGCGTCCTCTCCGAGCTGCACCCCAAGGTCGAGGCGCGGAAGGGCTTCAGCAGGCCCAAGAGGCCCGGCCGGTAAGGCGAGCGACTAGGTTATGACGGGAAGAGAACAACATGGGATTCGTTTACAATACATGCATGCTTGCATGCAAAGTTTGGTTGAGAGCTAAATACCGACAGGTGTTCACGAGCAGCGGCTAGTCCTACAATATACCGAGAGCGGCAGGTTGTGCGTTCAGGATGGATGCTGCCCAAGAGGGATTCATGTTCAAAATTACAGGCTAAATGCTACTGCTCTGATCGCCGAGTCCCCAGCTTACAAGGGGAAAGATGCCCAGCCCTCACCTGCTTCCCGCCCTCTATGCGTCCGTGGTATCGAGCTGACAGTGTACGCACGTCTACTCCTCGTACTTGCCTCCGACAGACGTCCACTGGCTACGCTCGATCTTGTCCTTGAGGTACTCGTACACTGTGAAGGTGACAGCCTGGCCCGGCGCAACGCGCATTATCCGCGGCGTTATACCCTTGTAGAAAGCATGGACACCTTCTTGCCTATTCGACAACGCATGTCAGTTTACCGTAGGGGCGCGGCCAAAACCTCGGGTGCTTGCGGTAGCGGCCTGACTTACCTGAACATATCCCCGGCAATGGCTGTTATCCTCTTCATGGCGCTGACGCCCTCCTCGGCCGGGGTCTTCTGCAGGCGCGTCTTGATGGTATCGATCGGCGCGTTACTCAGGGGGCCCATGGCGCCGCTGACAAGCCCGATGAGGGTTGTCTGGTAGCCAGGCAGGCCGTTGCCCTCGCGCTGCGGCTGGTACGCCATGAGGGCCTCCTTGAAGTATGTGTAGGCGGTGAAGTTGACGGCCTGGTTGGAGCCCTGGCGCAGGGCAGTCAGGCTGACGCCGCGGTAGAGGGCGCCGACGCCCTCCTCCTTAAGCACGGTGTACAGCGCGTGGGCGGCGTTGCGGTACTTTGGTATGTCAAGGGGGTCCGCCAGGCTGTGGTGCTGGGCCTGCAGGCGGATCTTGATGACCTCCATGGGGGTGACGACGGCGACGGCCTCGGTGACGCCGGCGGCCAGGCCGGCCAGGAAGGTGGCGCGCCCCGTCACGGCGCCCGTCTCCTTGTCGGCCAGCATCTGCTTGTAGGCCTCGAACGAGGTGAACCGGATGGCCATCTTGGGGATGATGCCGGTCATGACGGCGCCGAGGCCCTTGTACAAGCCGAGGGGCGTCTCGCGCTTGACGATGTGGGCGCCCGTGAGCAGGAAGCCCCGCTTGGGGGACCCTGGTGTCCGGCCGCGGCGCGAGAGCTGCATTCGGACCTTGATCGTGTCTGTTTGGCCGCAAAGAGGTGAGGGTCAGCGTGTGTGATGCGTGTCGGTCGGGGTCGGCGAGGAACAGGTCCTTGGGACACATACCCAGTGGATGACAGGCCAATGCCTCCATCATGCCTGCCCCACCTCCTGCTATGAGGTTGACAGCCGCTCCTGGTGGCGCCTTGCCATCTTTCCCTTGTACCTTGGTCGCCATGCTGCTGTGTGTCTATCGCCGTCGTCCTGTCTCGGCAATGATCCCTCTGGCTTGCGCCGGTCTCTGTACTCGCGCCAGCAGCAACGTCTTTCCCGTATCCCAAAGAGAAATTTAGCAGATAGTACTACTTAGTATAGCCTAGGACTGAAGACAAAGGTGCGATGGAAGTATCGGCGACAAGAAGGAAGAATATGAGGAGTAGGAAAGGGGGTATCAAGCATGGAAAACAAGCATGTGACAGAGGAACCTCAACCTTGGGCGAGAAGAGAAGGGCAGGGACGGGCCGTTCTATATTAGACCAGGCCACAGAAGCGAGGCAAGCGAGGAACCAAAAGCATAACTAGGACTGAAAGGGACAGGATCGAGCCGACAGCATGGGCAGTGTGACTCAAAGAGAGACAGAGAGGCGGCTCAAGGGGGAAATGCCCTTGGTCCGCGGCTGTTAGGAAATGTGTAATAAGGCTTGGGAGCGAGGTACCAAGCCGCGACCAGGTACTGAGGTACTTCCAAGGTTTCAAGCTTGTTAATTGGGCGCGCTCGACTCTACTAACACACCGTACCAGCACCATCAAGTGTCAGGAGTATAATTCGGTTGCAGCCCGTTCGGGCGCAGGGACTTGGCCGTGAGGGACTGAGAGGGACCAGAGTTGGGGATGGCTTCGGCGCAGCGGAGGAACCAATCTCCAACTCTGGCTTTGTTATAAGCCAATTGATTCATGCTGCAGCATCACACATCCTCTGTACAATGCCAGATGCATTTTCTTGACCTCAATTGCTTCGTTGTCAGTTAGTAGTAGCCTCTGACTGCTGCACGACAGTCGACAATGACAGATACACAACGGCAATAGAGGCAGGTAATTCCCATGTGATGATGCCCAGACGACAGACTCACTCGCTCACACGTCAGTCAAACAGTCGGTGCCCTGATGAATGCGGCGCGCGCAAGGGGAGCAGTGACGTCGCCGTTTTGGGGTTAGCCGACCGCAAGCCGAGCTTGTGATTCCAGGTGTCCGTCCACGTTGGAGTCTTGCGGGGAACCCTTGGGCGAGCTTGCGAGGTGGGCTGGTGGGGCAGCTCTGCCACTTTGGGGACAAGGACGCTGGGAATCCGGGGTGCAGCACATGAGGACCAGCGGACCAGGACAGGGCCTGTCGGATCGGGCACTACCGGGACAGCAGTTGGACTGACTGCTCACACTGCCCAGTGCACGCCCGTTCTAGGCCGAGGCCCAGCCCAAGCTCCCTTCCCACGCTTGCCACGGCATCTCCTCTGATCAGCCTCGGCTGGCTGGCTGGGCCATTTCACTTTTGGGCGGGAGGTCACTCGGACCGACACTTGATCACCTAGCCATGGCGTTGTTACGTCGCCTGGCCATAACATCTGCGGTGGTTGGCGGGCCAGCCTGCTACGTCTACGCGGCGGTCACGCGACTCGAGGCGACTTACCCACGCCTCCAGCCCGAGACTGCATCAACTTCCGCCCTCAGGACTGCCTCAGCAAACACCTACCTGCACCCCGGAAGACACCACACCCCTCACATCGACGTCTACAGCGCCAGGGTGCCAGCAGCAGTCCTGCACGAGCAACATGACCCAAGCTCCGGCCGCAGGCTGAGTCCCGACGAGGCCTGGGCCCGCCTCTTCCTGCGCTCACCCGTGCTGCAGCTCGAGGGCAAGCTCTTTGGTGGATTCTCCAACGGCACGGGCGACGTCGGCGACCATGGCTTTCACAGGGGCCAGAGGCTCCTCAATGGCGTCTTCGAGGTGTTGAGGGTCCCCTCTGAACCTCCGTCCGTCTTCCGCCCGCTCGCCCACCCTGAGCCCCTGCTCGTCCAGTGGGTATTCCCACCACACCTTGTGGCATTCTGCCGCACTGCCGCCGCGGACTGGGGCTACCCTTTCCGTTTCATGAGCGGCGGACGCCACGAGTTCAGCGTCGGCGACGTGGACAAGACCGGCATGGTCGAGGTGCGGTTCGGCTCCGCTCATGACTATGAGTGGGCCGACAGCGAGGGCAAGAACCAAAAGACCATCCCGGAATGGGTGTCAAGGCTACACAGGGCTTATACCATGTGGCTGCTAGACGAGAGAGTTCGGGCCTTGAAGATGCAGGCTGGTAAAGGGTCATGATACCTGGGCTTCTCTCACTGATTGGCCACAGCTTATGGCACCTTTTTAATGCGATGGGAGAAGAAAAGAGAGGCGTTGCTATCAGAAGCGTCCATTACGCAGCATTGGTCGCACCATCCAGATGTCATGAACCCTCCTCTACCTTGGATATGCTCCTCACCAGGTCCGCCATGGTGGAACCCATCACAATCTTGCTGTTCATCTGCCGGACCGTCCTGTCAAGCCATTCGCACTGGGCACCCTTAGCCCCCTTGACGAACGCAGTCGTGTCCTGACCACCAGCGATATCCTGGCGCAAGAACTTGAGCCCTGTCCCAAGGTTCTTCCCGATCGACAAGACGTCCATTGCCCCCGTGAAGGTGACCTTGTTGTCCCCGGGCTTCAGGAACAGGTCCGCCTCCACAGTCGCTATCTGCATGCCCGAGTAGACAATCGACACCTGCGTCCGGCCCATGTGGATGGCCACCGGCGAGCCCGAGGCGATACACACGTCGACCTCGATCTCGGTGGGCTTCCCCTTGAGCAGCGACCGCGACGGCTTGCGGGTCTCGAGCACGCTGATATGCACGCCGTCGAGCCCCCGCAGCACCTCCACCTTGTCGTACCGCACCACGGTGTTCAGCGGCACCGGCCGGGGGACGGTGAGCTTGCCGCTTCCCCTCACGTACGCGGGCAGCTCCCCCTGCAGCAGCAGGTTCCTGTTGAAGGTGTCGAAGGCGTCGAAGTCGAGGATCTCGACACGCTGCTCAAACACCTCGCACACCGTCCCCTCGGGCGTCGCGTTGATGGTGGGCAGCCGCACCCTGGCGAACTCCTTGCCTGACTTGGTGGCGAACATGGAGAGGACCATGTCTGAGATGGTGGCCTCGAGGGGACCAGTGTCGTAGATCCTCGCGCTGAGGCTGATTGTGAAGCCTGTCTCGTCGCACCCTGTGATCTCAATGGATGTGATTTCCATCTTGGAGGCGTCGACCAGGGTCTGGGCTACGTAATTGACGATCCGGTCCAGGTTTAGGTAGAGGAGCCCTGCGCCTAGCAGGGCGATGATGAGGATGAGGCCGAAGAACCCCATGACCGCGATGTTGGAGTTGAACTCTATTTTGGTTCTTGGACACTGTTGACACAATCAAGGTAGAACTTAGGGCAAGTATAGACTTCCAAGGTTGTGAAATGGTGGATGCAGGATGTGGTTTTTAACTGCCAGGTGAATTCTAGGATGGTGATGATGACGATGTTGTTGATCACCCTTCCATGCACTTGGCACCAGTCGCATGAAATAACCGATTGGGGCCATCTCTTGCTGCCCCTCTAGGCCATGACGACCTGCAGGCCACGGGAGCCTTCCGACCCTGGCTAGTTGCGCCTGGGTCTCCTGAGAGCCCAGCCGACGTAATAATTCATTGATGGGATGGACACGATGGCACATAGTTAATTATGGGACGAAGATATGCAAAGCATGCTGCCGAGGTACGCTCACTGGACTCTCATATGTATTTATTTCTTCTGACGTCTACTGCTGGATGTCGTCAACAGTCGCTCTCGGGGCACTGCCATCGAGGCAGACATAATGCACCTGTGAGGCTCTGTTCCCGAGTCGGCTCGCACGGGCTACTGCAAGCCATGGCTTGGTTTAAGACACGGGTCACAAGATGAGACAACGTTTCTGAGCATGTCTTAGATGGCCAACGACTGACACAATAATCTATCAACTTCCTTCTGCCGGTGCGCAATTTCGTATCTCGAAATGAAGCCCTTGATGAGAGCTAATTTGGATAATCCGTTCTGGGGCAACTGGACTTTGGTGCCGGTGGGTTGCTCAATGCTGGCTCAGCAACAGGCAACCAAGGCAGTGGAACGTTGACTTGGCCTTTATGAAGTGATGTTCGTATCAATTTGATACGAAATGAGCTGGCTTGATTTGACTATTTGCCTGGCCAATCTGGACTGTCTGCAGTTGCTTACGTGGGTGAGTAAGCACATTATCTGTGGTCAACTCCCCCCACAAGATAACGGCTCTCTCATGTCAACAGGAGAGGCGGCATAAATGTGCAGATTAAAGGCAGGTCGAGCAGTCGTGCAAGATCTAGAACGGTCTCTGAGGAGGCGTGCAGGCGTGCAGGTGTCACACGGCGCAGTTGGGGAAGGTGTAGGGTGGCCCGGGGTGCAAGCTAATGTACTACTGTAATGTACTAATGTGCTTGGGTAGCCGTGCTTTGGTGGACTGAGTCTCGACGCCGCCATGGAGACGCAGGAATAAATTGCTTGCCGTCATGCCCTCTCCCCTCAGGAAGGAGCTGCTGTGAGCTGCCCAGCCAATGGCACACTTGCCTGTGACCTGACTGCCTGATAGCCAACACAACTAATCAGGCATCTAGTCCATGCCGCTCTGCTCTGCTTGCGGGACACAAGGCGGGACAAGACATGCACATTACGTGACATCCGAGATCAGACTTGTTATTAGCGACCTACCTAACTCAACTCATCGACGCCACCTCTATCAGGTCCTGTTGGACATAAGCACACCGCAGGGCCCGGGGCAAAAAAACAAATCATCATAAACGTTTTACAGCCATGTGCCCTCGAACAACGGGCAGACAGAACCTCAGCTAACCAACAAGCAGTCCATCATCTTGGCCCGGCCCAATTGTCCACCATGAAAGCACTCGTCCTCGACGCAGACAACAAGACCGCCACCGTCCAGGACCTGCCCATCCCCCCCACGCCCGGCCCCAACGAGCTCCTTATCGCGGTCAAGGCCATCGCCCTGAACCCGGTCGACGCCCTCTACACCTCGCAGCCCCTTGGCGCCACAGGCCGTATCGTGGGCAGCGACTTCGCAGGCCTGGTCGTCGCCCGCGGCCCCAGCCCCATCAGCCCACCACAGTCCCCATCCGACTCCAGGAACCCCACGGAGCCAGCCTGGCCGCCCCCCAAGTTTGTCCCCGGCGGCAGCAGGCTCCGCCGCTCCTCCACCACCCTGTCCTCCCGCATCATCAACCGTGGTGACAGGGTCGCAGGGTTCCTGCAGGGCGCCTGCAGCGTCAACGACCGCCCCGGTGCCTTCGCCGAGTATGTCGTGTGCCCTGCCGACCTCGTCTGGCGCGTGCCGGGGAACGTGTCCTACGAGCAGGCCGCGGCCGTCAGCCTTTGTGCACTCACCGCCGCCCAGGGCCTGTTCTTCCGGATGGGCCTCGATGCGCCCTTCCGGTGGGAGGACGACTCGGACGAGGGGGTGCTGAAGCGCGTGCGGAGCGAGGAATGTACTGCATCTGACGTCAGTACAGGTGCGCAGCAGCAGCAGCAGCAGAGCGTCATCATCTCTTTCTTCGTGTCGGGTGCATCGACCTCCGTGGGGTTATACGTTGCACAGCTTGTCCGGCGGAGCGCGGAGCACACCGGCCGGAGGATCAGGCTCATCGGGGCGGCGAACCCGCGAAACTGGTACATGCTGAAGGACGAGCCGTATGCGTACGATCACCTGGTGGACTACAGGGACCGGAATTGGCCGGAGCAGGTCCGGAGGTTGTCATCTGGCGGGGTCCACTATGCATATGATGCTATATCCGAGGGATCGACAGTCAGAGAAGTCAGCTCAACACTCAGAGCGGGCGGCAAGCTGGCGGTGGTAAGATCAAAGGAGGCCGGCGCGTGGGAGCCCGAGGGTGTCAACACGGAGCCCATCTACGGTGCGGTCTGGGAAGGCCTGGGCGAGGACATCGAGTACCACAACCTGGTGGTGCGCACATCCCCAGCTAAAAGGTCATTCGCGACCGCCTTCTACAAGTGGCTGTCCGACGGAGGTCTCCTGCAACCCAATCCGATCCGTTTGATGCCCGGTGGGCTGGAAAATGTCGTGCCAGACGGCTTTGCGGTGTTGGGAACCGGAGTGACGAGTCGAGGTCATGTGAGGACGGAGCAGCATATGAGGCCCATCAGTGCTGAGAAGCTCGTCTACAAGATCGAGACCGAGAGGAGAGGTAGCTCCGGTGATGGTCACATCGCGTGACTTTGTGATTATCGGCCGAAAGCTTAAAGTGTCTTCGAAATTGTAAAAACCGCCGGAATTTTCGCAACTTCATTTCTATCTGAGTGATGACGAAGCAGGCGAACACTGCCCTTCTGTGCTTTTTAAAACCCCACCGCAACAAACATTGAATGGTTTGCCTCTCTAAAGGCCGAGTGCTTTCCAAATCCTTGGTGTCATGTCCAATGTGCTCCTTCCTTCAGCCACTGTTTGGCACGCGAAGGATTGTCACATTTCTTGTCATCATTTCAAAGCCCACAGCACCAAGAAGATGCCCACGACGAGCGCAGGCAGGCAGTACTGCTCCAACGTACCGGCGTCGACTTGGTAGTTGGGAAATAGCCGTATTACCTGCGTCAGAGCTGCGCCACCGCGGGCATGATCCACGCCCTTGTCTGTCATCTCACGCAGTCGCTGCAGCTGGTCATCCTTGGCCTCAATCTCTCGCTCCTTGGCGTGCAAAAGCAAACTCTTTCGCTGCAGCTCCTCGATCAGCTTCGACACCATCGCGGGCACCTGCTTCTCCTCGTCGGAGATGGGCTCCCCAAAGTCGGCACACTCGGCCCACCGGTCGCAGCACGGTATGATCCGGTAGGGCGAGCTGGCATGCGGCCCGGCGCCGGAGTGGACCTTGAGCCAGAGCGGGCAGTTCTCGCAGGGCTCCTCGAGGACGTGGTGGATCGAGGTGTTGGTGACGAGGCGGACGATGGGGGACCTGGTGCTCGGGTCCAGCTCGTCCACGAAGATGACCATCAGGTAGATCCTGCCCGGGTCCCTGTCGAGGTAGCGGATGTGCACGCTCCTGATGCCGCGGACGGTGGCCCTCTTGGACCGCCACACGTCGAGTTCGACGTGGCCCGGGTGGGCGGCGGCCTGGGCCGGGTACAGCTCGTAGTACTTCTGGAGGATCTGCTTGGGGTACAGGCCCGCGTTGATGCTGACGCACTGCATTGCCTCCCGCCACAGCTTGGGGACTTCGAACGGGGCCGCCATGGCGGCGTTGTCGGGCAGCGTGTGGCGGGACGGGTAGCTGGACCAGGAGTCGTGATCAGAGCCCGAGGTGTTGGGGCGCGTGTTCAATGGGTCGGCGTCGTTGCGAGAAGTGGGTGACGTGCTGTCGCGATGGTCGCGGTGGCCGTTGGGAGGCGACGACCCAGACACGTCGTAGCCTGAGAAGGCTGTGCTCTTGGGTTGGCTGGAGTCCATTCTCAGAGATAATGGTCAAGACAGAAGCAGGAGAGAGACGAAGGAACGATTGAGGTTTTGGACACTGGAGATGCCACGATGGTTGCAGGTGACCTCAATTGCTCCAGTTAGGCAACACTTGGTGGTCAAAGCTTTGTTGGTCGAATGTTCAAGTGCGCATGAAAAACACGAATGGTGCCAATGGGTGCAAAGATGCAGATGTCTGGGAAAAGTGAAGCATCTAGGGCTGGAGAGCAGTGACCTGACTTGCGAACCATCTGCCAATTTTGGTGTCAAAACTTACACGCGATGCCTTTGGAGAGCTCATGGGCCTGTTTGGCCTTTTCGAGCCGGGAATGTTCCCTAGTAGTTGAAGCACCTGGGATTTTTGTGGTCAGGGGCAAACGACCATCATTCTAAGTTGATGCCACTGGCATCTGGTTCTGTCCTTTTTCGACTGCAGTTGCCCACTTGTTGTTGCCACTCATTTCCTCTGATGAAAACATCCGCAGCAGGATGTTGACTTGCGACATAAACTGCAATTCTGGACTGATTTTGCGTTTCCTCCTGCTTACATTCCACCTTGTTTCCCATTACAGCGGCCAACCGCGCACTGGGTGTCGCTTTACAGTTCAAATGTTACTTCTTCCTGACGACATACGCAACGTGTGTTCAAAACTCAATCATCTGAGGCTTACTCACATGATTCAATGTACACTCAAATATTTCGTACGCATGTGAACAATAGATGCCCCTTCACAGCGAATCTTGTGTAACAGCAACAGCATTGGCACTGAGCAACGACAAGGATATAACTACCGAGCAGCAAGTACTTCTTTCACCGCCATTATTAATGAGTCCTCAGCGACTGGTCAGCTATCTGGGTTGCTGAGTAGACTCAAGTGCTCTGTAGGGACATTCACGAAACAACCCCAGCCGAGATTGCTTACTGAGCCATGCCCAGGTATCGTGCAGAAATGACGGTGTCTCACATACTGACAGCCAATCCTTCCATGCCCAGGCTTGGAGACTCACTGGGCATCATCTTTGCTCCAAAGACCGTACTCAACCCCTGTTCACGTCTGCCGTCTCCGAGCGTAAGCTGATTAAAACGCCGCCCGGCTATGAGGTAATGGCAATGAGAATTATCGTATGCATGCATCTCAGTCAGGACGGCCTTCGCGTTGTGTTGAAAGTGCAGTTGCCCGTATTGATGATGATGAGCGTCGGTGGCAAATCAAGAACCCCAGCCTCGTCCAAACAGGACATATGTCTCGCTGAACAGCCATCCACGTGAGATTTTGGAATGGGTGATCCCTCACCCGGTATGCAAGATGGCTCATGCTGATGTCTTCCTGCGCGTGGCTTCCACCTGAATGCATGAAGTCGATGGTCCGTAGTTGACTGTAGCCCGTAGATTGTACCTAGGTAACAGCCCTGGAGGGAGGATTGTTCCGCCAATGCAGGCACGCGCCTGCATATCAGGGATGATGCCTAGAAACAGGCCGGACTTATGTTTGGGGGCGTAAAAATGGCAACAGACATCATCTGATCTTGGGGTGTAAGCGGCTAAGGAAGTAGAGGCCGTACGGATGCTGGGCAGACGCTGGGGCCCGCAAACTCTAAGCCCTTCTGCCTCAGCAACTGCCTACACACGTACCTGTGTAGCTGTGGCGTATATTCAAAACAGTGAAAACGTGTACTGAGCTACACCAGGCGGCTTCCTGCCGCTTAGGATGAACAGTAAATGTTTCATGGCCCGGGCGCTATAACTGTCGAGGCAACGGCATAGAGACGATCTGCTAACATGATCCAAACCAATAAAAGTAAAGTTTCCCCAAACCTACTAAGGTAAGTTACAGCCATAGCCTGATGGTAGAAAGCTCAAGCTCTAGGAGCGAAAACATCAATTAGGCACCGGTGCACCACTCCATACCTTGACGTGCAGTTGATCATGTGTCATAATTTCACATCCCGGAACGGAGGTAAGTCGGTGTAATCATGATAGCAAGGATATCATTTCATCACAAATTACTGGGAGAGCTGAGCCAGTCAACTCCCAATAGGGTGGCGTTCTCCCGGCTCTACCGTGGCTTGAATACGAGCGGCCCAGGCCGTAACTATGCGAAACCCTTGATCTCGTCTGCGTAACTATGAGTAGCCCTTCGCTGCTGCGGCCAGACGCCAATCATAGCTGAGCTGAGATTCGGTGTAAGCAAATCGTTTCAAGGGTGGCTTCATCGCAATCCCTAACCGAGGACGGCTGCTCGTTCCGTCCCAGGCTTAAAAGCAGTCAGCCGGAGTCAGCCCTAAACACCCATGCGATGAGCACAACGTAAGGCAGATCGACCCAAATATACTCGGTGTGTTGGTCAGCACGATGATGAGTTAACACGATTGGTGACCAATCGTGCTGGGATCTTGGGTGGCATAATGGGCCTCATTTTCCTTTAATAGGAGGCCGAAGGTCTACAGGTTGGCCACGTCTGAGCGTTGACGGTGTAATAAGTTGTCCGCCATTCGACCAAGCAATTTTTCGTTCAGTATTAGGACGCTTAAAAGATAAAAAACTCGGAGTTGTCCTTCTGTCCATCTGCTCGAGATCTGTCCTATTGTATCAACCACCCCCAAATCTCCCACCCAGAATCTACCAACATTGAATTGACAGTTCGTGGCAAATGTGTCCCAATCCCTTTTCCCATATCCCAAACTTCCCTAACCTGAAAATAAGATCAACCAAAATGTCTTCATCTACGGGTATCGATCTCAACAACATCCAAGGCGATATTCTGTGAGTATATGATTCTGAAGGCTTGGTCATATCGGCAGAAGGCTAATTTGAATTCTCAAAGGTCTGGACTCCCCAAGAAAGCTGAAGCATTCTTTTTCTTCGAGATAGACAAGAATGTTGCTGCATTCCGTGCCCGTCTCCACAAAGTCGTCCCCCTGATCGCATCAGACAAGTCCGTTGCCTCCGGGCGAGAGAAGATAGCAGCCCATAGAAAGAAGCAATCAGGCTTCCTGTCTCTTGCTTTCGCGAACATCTCCTTCTCCTCGAAGGGTCTCCAAAAGGTAATACTCCTAGCTTCCCTAGTCAGACTCTGTCCTTCACCTTTCACCTGTAATGCCGCAGCAGGCTGACAGATCGTATCGTGATTGTTAGCTCGGAATAAATGCAGCCGAGGCCAAGGATGACGGCTTCACAGCCGGTATGCTGCCTGATGCGAAGGAACTTGGCGATGCCGGCACGGGAGTCGACGGCAAGCCTTTCGATCCCAAGTGGATCCCCGAGTTCAAGAAGGGGACCATCGACGGTGTCATCGTGGTCGCTGGAGACTGCGAGCAAAGCATCAACAAGAAGCTGGATGAAATTCTTCACGTTTTCCAGAAGACTGTCCACAAGGTCATCAACATATCCGGACACAGCCGTCCTGGCAAGGAGAGTGGCCATGAACAGTAAGTACTACTTGTCAACGCCGTAAGGGGTGCCGAGACCCTGGCTGAGAAAACACGTACTAACTCCCCAAAAAGCTTCGGCTTCCTAGATGGTGTCTCTAACCCAGCCGTGGCTGGAATCAGCGAGGACCTCTCGACACAGGGGCCCGTCAAACCAGGAGTCATCCTCCTTGGCCGCGACGGCGACGCACAGGCAGCGGACCGCCCAGGCTGGGCCAAGGATGGCAGCTTTCTGGCCTTCCGCTTGCTGCAACAGCTCGTGCCCGAGTTCGATAGATTCCTGGAGCTGAACGCCCCCCAGGTCAACGACCCCGCCGTGGACACCGCCGAGCTCCTCGGTGCCCGCTTCACCGGCCGCTGGAAGTCCGGTGCTCCTATCCAGGTGACACCTGTCGAGGACGACCCAGAGCTGGCTGCAGACAAGACCAGGAACAACGTCTTCACGTTCGATCAGGGCAACCAGGATAAGTGCCCCTTCGCGGCCCAGTAAGCATTAATTTTCACCTGTCACGGACCCCCGTCTCTCATGGTTTGCAATCCATCTTCTATGATTCAACTTTTTAGGACCCGTAGCAGGACTAACGTCACCATCAAAGTGTTCGCAAAATGAATCCGCGGGGTGACATCCCCATCGATGCTATCAACCAGCATAAAGTTATGCGACGAGGGATCCAGTACGGGCCCGAGGTCGATGACCAGGAGAAGCAGCAGCACAAGACACAAAAGGACAGGGGCCTGCTGTTTGTCAGCTACCAGAGCAGCCTCGGCAATGGATTCCAGTTCCTCCAGAAGGGTGTGTGAAGAATTTTCCCTCATAATCTCAAAGTGGCAAAACGTTCGCTAATTCGGTGGTCGACGAACAGCCTGGGCCAACCGCCCCAACTTCCCGCCCAACGCCCCTACCGGACAAACACCCGGGCTTGACCCTCTGATCGGCCAGGTAGATACTTCTGTCCACAATGAGGGTCCCAGGAGCATGACTGGCGCAAACCCGACGAATGTTTCCGCTTCGATGGACCTGGGCTTCCAGGTGTGGGTCGTGCCGAAGGGTGGTGAGTACTTCTTCTCGCCTTCGATCTCTGTCCTCCGGGACACGTTTGCCAAGAAGGGCGAGGACCAGTTGTGAACAAGCGCCACGAACACGACGGAAGCTTTCATTGGAAGTTGCTTAAAGGGCTCGCAGAGATTGTTTAGACTTCTGATGTAGATCAAATGCCCCATACCAAATCTCACTGAATTTTGAAGTCCTGGAGCTCCCTTCCCAAGGCCAGAGCCTCTCCATCCATGAGTCCATCCATGTAACACTCTCCGACAAAACTGCAAAAGCTGTCAGACTCATCTTCAGCATCGCATTTCCGTAGAACCACGGGTACGCTGCAGCCGTAGAGCACGCAGACAATATCTCCCTTTTGTGCCCTTCTAGGTGCAACCCCGAGGAAGCCCTCTTCTGTGACCATGAGCCGACGGATCTTTCCTCCCATTATGCCTCTCATTCTCGAGAAGAAGCTCTTGGAGTGTTTTGAAATTGGCTCCTCAACACCAGACGCTTGGGGCCTTGGCGATATCGTTCGACAAATATCCTGGACGGAAGATCCCCTTACGCTCAGGTCCTTGTTCAATTCCCACCATGCAAGAAACCACGCTGGTCCTAGCTGCCCAGGCTCACCACCACTATCGGCAAGTTTGGCGAGCTGTCGCATCTCCCTGCCGTATTCTGCAACAGGTGCACGGGACTCGAGATATTTGTCCTGTCGGTTGAGTACTATGCAGCGGACGACCCCATCAAACAAATCCTCCTTGTGGTCTGAATTTTCAGTTGAGATATTGACTGGTGATGTAGATGGGGTGCATCTTGTTATCAGTCGATCATCCTGTGACAGGATACCCCCCATTCCATCGATTGAGTCAATCACGATTCCTCGGCAGCTCAGATGGTTGAACATGTCTCTCGAGTCAGCGGCGTATAGTTCAGCGCCGGAAGCCCTATAGGCAGTTATTCTTTTCAATTTCTTGGCTCCTCTCGCCGGGCCCGCGACAGGTCTAAAGTTCGCTAGAGCATCACTGGCGCTTTGACTGACCATAAGAGGTACCACATATGGCGGACACGAGACACGCCAGTCAGGGACCCAGCTCGGCCAGCCGTCCTCTTGGCTTTGAAATAACTGCGCGAAGCAGATGATATCTAGGCTCTTGTACCTTTCCAGGAAAGCCTGAACGAGACCGGTATAGAGGGTCCTTTCATCGTAGCAATATGTCGGACGGCCGGTCATGTGCCGGTCTTCTTCCCGAGCGAGGCCATGCACAGCCCAGATCCTGTCCCTCGGATCTGTTGTTTGGTAGTCTCCGCAGAAGGCCATCAAGGACACAAGGCTCATTTTGGGTCGGTTATGATCCTGTTCGTACCATTGAATAAGGCGTCGGCGATTCCATGCCGTTGTCCATGCCGCTTTCCTGATATAATCATCCAATGGACCGCACAGCTCAAGTGAGTGCAAAGCTTTGCGGAACAGGCGACGTGATATAGACTGAGCCCCACAATAGAAGGTCAATTCTTTTGCCAGCAGGAACTCCTGTAACGTCCAGACTCTCCGCCACCAAGGCAGCTCCAAAATCCTTTCCAGGGGTTTCCAGCCGGGATGGTCAGACAAGTCCGCAGGCATTCGCTTTCCTCGTTTCTTGTAGTCCTTTCGAAGGTCGTGTCTTCGGTCGGCGAGATGTGATAGTAGCTCAATGGCTGTGTTCGTTCCATCGGAGCCTTCGCATAGCCAAACGATAGTGGCTTTTGCCTGACGGTATATCTGACCCATGAGCTTAACTTGTGATGAGCGCTCGCCGAGGTTGTCCTGGTTGATGCAAATCGAGTCGATCCAGAACCAATCTTCGGCGAGATCAAAGTCCTCGGATGAGGTATTCCTGCAGAGCATGCGAAGAAGCGCCAACACATTTTTCAAAACTAACTTGTCCTGGCCGTTTAGCTGAATAGGCCTGTCGCCGTATTCCTTGCCGTTGCCCCAGGTGTATGAGACTGTCGTGAACGGCGGACATTGCGGGTCGCTGAGCGAGAATGTTGCCAGCTCCCCGCTCACCACTGGCAGTTCACTGCTGTTGGTGTCATCCCGTCTCAGCCTGATGAGGCGGATCTGTGCAGATGAGGATCTCAAGTCCTCGTATAAGACTGCACGGTCGACCATCTTGGCACATATTGAGATGCATATGCTGATAAAAGTGGAATGGCGGCGTAATGGCTGGTCGTGCAGCCACAGGGGGAATCAGTCATCAGTCGGACGTCGGCTCTGAGGGCGCTAACCTAATGAGGCAGTTAGCGGGGTACATATGTAAGAAAACCCTCCCTTCACTGCCTTATCTGGACCTTCACTGCGTGTTGGGTGCATTCGTGGGCGGTAATCCGGAACAGCTTCATCTAGATTGACGTTCAAACGGAACTACAAACAACCCTTCCCATTCAGGACCACCCTGGGCATGCACGTGGCCTCCACCCAGACTCTCGAACATGGTCTCATCTGCTGATCTGTGGAAATAGCCAGAGAAACAGCCGTCTATTCAGTCATCTTTGAATTACCAACCAAGTCCCCGAGGGTTCAATGTTGCTTACGCAGGGCCTTAACGTCCGACACTAACCCCCGGAGCCCTCCAAGGGCCCGGGCCGGTGCTGATCTGCATTGGTTTTGTCAGCTTTCAAGGCTGGTGTAAATGCCATTCACTGTCCATACAAACTTTCTTGGAACGCAGAATGCTGACAATTACGGTAGGAGAATCTTTGTGATGCTACCATGCAGACCGACCTGAGAACATATATATATATATATATATACCTAGGGAGGTATAGAGATAAATCACCGTGAGGAGTGGAGAAGACCGCATTCAACCTTTGGAATCAACAGTCCATCAGTCACAGCGCAACCAGTCAGTAGTCTATCGTCTTGTCAACATATTCATCTGGACATTCGCCTTTGTTGAACCCAGAGAGCCCTCAAAATGCCTTCAACATCACCTGTTGCTCTCATTCTTGGCGCCGGTTCCAATATTGGACAGAATGTTGGCCGGGCATTTGCGGCCAAAGGCTATAGGGTCGCTCTGGCATCCAGGACCCTGAAGGAAGAAGACAGCAGCCCGTCACAGGTGCACATTCGCGGCGACTTCACTGATCCCGCTTCCATACCTGAGATCTTCGCCAAGGCGAGAGCACAACTCGACCACCCATCGGTAGTGGTCTATAATGGTACGTTCCAGTGTTTTTCGGATCGGGTGTAGATCCTGAAGTCTCACTAACATGAATGACACGGAAGCCGCTTCAGCAACTCCTTACGATGCGAAGAATCCGCTGGGTTTGCCTTTGGAAGATTTTAATCGGGACCTCACCGTGAACACAACCAGCGCATTCGTAGCGGCTCAACAAGCTGTGCTTGCCTTCGAGAAGTTGCCCGAGTCTGCGTCACGCACCTTCATCTATACGGGGAACTGTACCAACGTCAAGCCGATCGTGGCTCTGATGGACCTTGGCGTTGGCAAGTCAGCTACGGCCCACATCATTGAATGTGCGGCAGAAGCATATAAACCTAAGGGTTACAAGTACGTCAGGTGCGGCCCCAGTATTTGTGCTCTCTCTCCTAACAGTTTTTCAGATTCTACTATGCCGATGAAAGAAATGGTGATGGTTCGCCCGCATACGGGGCCAGGGACGGACCAGCCCACGCAAAGCTTTACGTTGACCTTGCGGAGGGGGCCTTGCAGGGACCGTGGCAGCAGACATTTGTCAAGGGGTCCGGATACCAGAAGTTTTAGGCCCTCATAGCCCAGAACGAAGCTATAGAAAGCTTCGAACTACGCCTGAATACCACTGCAAAGTCTTTGAAGTTGAAGTCTAGCCACCACGCCTTTGTGAATCTTCGTTCAACACACGAACACATCATGGTCACTCTGCCACCGCCTCCCACGTGTCAGGTAGTTTCTTTCATAAAGGGACCGCGCAGCTCGGTGGTCACTGCCACGTCAGGGATTTGACGTAGCGCCGCGCCATCTCACGCCAGATCTGCACCAACAGACCCAACACTCTTGTGGTTCCGTTTCTAATCCGTATACATCTGAAGATATCAATACATGGCGCCTTCACACACAGGTAAACGCTCTGTCTTGAGCGTTTTAAAAAGTAACATTTGAAACTAGTAGACTTAAAGATTTCTTAATATAGTGTTGAATTCTAACATAATGTTGACCTTGATAAATTTTACCTATCATAGCGTTTTATTAGCCTTTCACTACTATTTAGATGTAGTTTTCTAATTTTGTTTAAATTTTAATTTTTAATATCATTCTGTTCCTATGTTAGGGTTAGAGACCCTCCTTCCCCCTAGTACGTGTAGTACGCAGGGTCTGCCTTGATTTGTAATACGACTGTCCCGCGTTCCACAGCCAATGATCCCATACGCCCTTGTGGCTGACTACTGTTCAGGACTACTCAAGTTTTGCAATTCGCATGCCTAGGTAGACGATCTCTCTTTATCAAAGGCTTTTCAACGGAGTAGGCGACGTCCTTTTAGCTCAAAATTCCTAGTGAAGATGGAAGACGAGACGACCCGAGCAGCAGCAGTGCCAACCAAGGAACAGGCTTTGGTCAAGGTCAGTCACGCTGAGATGGTACATGTAACTTCAATGTTCCTTGCCTAACTTATCTAGGCCTGCGACCTGTGCCGGAAAAAGAAGGTGAGATGTGAGCCAACAGAGAATGGATGCAGTCAATGTATCAAGTTGAAAATGGAGTGCCGGTTTACTCCTATCTCAACGAGGAGAAAGAGTCGAAGACCAGCTGGGTCCGCCCCCGTAAATGCTATCTCCGGCAATTCGTGTTCTGACAAATGCGTAGGTATAAATATATAAACCAGCTTGAAGATAGGCTCAAGAAGTTGGAAAGCCGCCTGCCGCATCCTGGCGAGAGGAATCCTCTTTTGGAAGCCGCTCAGTCGCAGCAGATGTATCCATCACTTGGTGTTTTCGACTTCAGGCCCAACGAGAAGCAACGAGATCATATCACCAACTTGACGACAACAATGGAGAGCCAAAATTGGCAGCAACGCCCAACCTTGGCCATTACTAATGTTGATAATGGCTTGGTTCTGCCTGGACCGACAAACGATGGAATGCTGGTATCAGGTAGGAACTCGGAGGCTACTGAATCTTTGGGCTGCCCTCGACAGCCTCCGGCCTCTTGGAGCGGGAGACTAGCCCTCGGTCCATTCTCACTGCCTTCTTTTCACGAGCTTCCAATCAAGTCAGTTGCACTCGAATTGGTTGAGGATACCTTCAACAGTTTCAACCACTTCTTCCCTTTGTTTGACGAGCAGGATTTCTTTTACCAATTTCATCAACATTATACAGAATCCAGCCCGAGACAGCCGGCATGGTGGGCATGTATCAACGTCGTCCTTTCACTGGCCCATCGATTCCGCGCGATGCGCACTCTCCAGACAGCTTATGAGAACACCCAATCATGCGGCTATATTCACAACGCCCTCGCAGTTGTCTCGGAGCTAAGCGTCCTACCCCAGAGCCTACCAGCCATCCAAGCCCTGCTAGGCATGGCCATCATCCTCCAGGGCTCGCCCAACCCACAGGCGTCCTCGGTGCTCACAGCCGCTGCAGTGAGGTTGGCACAAGCTATGGGACTACACAGGAGGGCTCAAGGCAAGGATCTCTCCGTAAGACAAGTAGAGCAGCGGAAACGCGTCTTTTGGGCTGCCTACCTTCTGGACAAGGACATTAGCCTTCGCATGGGTCAGCCTTTTGCACAAGACGACGACGACATGGACGCAGAGCTACCCTCGGAGGATCCTACTGAGTTACCGTTCATCAACCTTGGAAATAATCTTAGAAGAATCAGTTTTTTTAACTCTCGAATCGGACTTGCGGTGATCCAGGGGCAGGTGTACAAGAGGCTCTACTCCGTCCAAGCTACCAGACAATCTGAGGCGCAGAAGAATATTGTGGCAAATGAGCTGAGCTCTGTACTATCCTTTTGGAGGAGCAGTGTACCGATAGATTTCGAAGATGGCTTCGCGACGGCATTTCAGGCTCCTCTTCCGGTCATATTCGTCCATATGCTTATTTTGCGCTTCACATACGTCAACTGCCTTGTCATGATCGATCAACATCGACCGCCACAGGCTCCCGGTCCGGATCTCGCTTTATATGGAACTTTCATGCCTGCAGAAAGTCCATGTGTCCTCGAATCGCGAAAGGCGATTCGGCTCATCAAGCTTACACCGCCAGGGGACTACGCTTGTGTATGGTAAGCTGTTACAACGCCTTGGTGTGTAATAGAAAATTGATTTCCCTGACACATTAAGGATACTACTTCATTCTGCCTTCGCAGCCGTTGAAGTCCTCCTACGCAACGTAATTCGGCATCCTGAATCTTTGCAGGTGACCTCCGACCTCCACATCGTGCAACCATTCCTTCAACTGCTCGAGATTCTAGCTGGGGATAAGAGGCAATGCTCGCGTTCTGAGGAGGCAGACAGGATGTATATAGTGTGCAAAGAACTCAATGTCCTGGCGCATGATACTGTCAAGCAGTCGAATATGAGCCTCGATTTGGAGCTACTGTTGGACATGGAGCCATGAACGGCATACTTGCTGCCACAGATCCAGAGGCTTGAGCTGTGTAGGGATGAGGTTTTGGGGAGCGAATGCTAGAAAAGTGTCAAGACACACAAGCACACATTAATTGATTGTCCTCAGCAGAGTACCTTCTCAATCTATCAGGTGATTCCAGACTATGGTAGAGTATATCCACCATCAATGACTATGTCACTGCCTGTTACATAGGTCGATGCATCACTCGCGAGATACAAATACAAAGCCTTGATCTCCTTCACATCGCCCTGGCGGCCCAGCGGCGTCATTCGAATACCCTCGTTGAAAACCTGGGGCGAAGCGCCCATTTTTGTATCGAAAAAGCCCGGCGAAACAATGTTGACCCTCGCAAATTCGCGCCACTCCCGGGCCAGGCTCTTCCCCAGCTGTGTCACGGCCGCCTTGGTTGAGTTATACACGGGCTGGTCGACCGGGACATTGACTATGCGGGCCGAAATGCTGGATGTGATGATGAGGTTTCCGAAGCCTTGTCTCTTGAACACCTCGCCGGCATATTTAGAGCAGTAGAAGACACCATCTACATTGACCGAGTACTGCTTCTTGTACTCGTCAATGGTCTGCTCAGTGATGGGCTTAGAGATGGCCATCCCTGCGTTCGCCACAAACACGTCCAGCTTTCCGAAGTCCTCCACCACGGCACCTATGGTCTTCCGCACTGCTTCTGGGTCTGACACGTCCACCTTGTAGGCCTTGGCTGTGATTCCCATGGTCTTGGCCAGGGTCTCCCCTTTGGCTATTGCAGCATCGTTGCTGTTGTACCACAAGGCAACGTCGGCGCCGGCCTCTGCCATGGCCTCTGCTGCAGCAAACCCGATTCCGTCGGAGGCGCCATTGATAGCCACCACTCGGCCTTTCATGCTGAATTGTTCGAAGACATTGGATGGGATATTGGGGACAGGCTTGGGGTCGCGGGGCGCGGCCGCCACTTCGTCGACTGTCATAGACATGTCGGACTTTCGACACAATTTGACTAAGCCTGGTAATATGGGTGTCGGGGGTCAAGGGGCACAAGTGTGAAAGACCAGCCTCAGGAAGGAGATAGATAATAAGAGAATGCCTGTTGAGAAGGAGAGTCTTCAGCCACCATGACGCTTGTGACGCCCTGGCGTTATACTACTCCAGCTACTACGTGGGGGAAGTGGGACTGGCCGTCGGGTCTCGGGTCTCATTGGGCCGATGACCAACCGAGGCCGTTCTTTCCAAGGTTGTACGCGGTCGAAGTGCTTTTCCCATCGCGGTCCATGATCACCTCCCCTCTCAGCCACCAGCAGGATGGAGTTCCCAGCCAATGCGACCGAGGTCCTTGGCCCCTACGTCAACCAAAATGGCAAGCCCTCAACATGATCATCGACACACGTAGACGAGACACACTTGAGCTGTTGAATATTCTAGGAACCTTGGAACGCATGACTCTGCAACCTCGAATCAAGCCTACCCAAGCTTGTTGTTCATCACGTTCTTGTGGGTAGAACATGTTATGGCTCTAGGTGCTGGCAGCTCATCAAGCCCATGTGCCGAGTAAACCAACGGGTCACCCCAGTTATCAAGGAGCTGGAGGGCGGGAGAACGGGTCCCGTGGTTGTGATTTCTGTGATGAGCGGAGCGATATGATCGAGAGTATCATATCATAAGAGACCTATAAGCTTCGCTGAGCTTCAAGAATGTTAGTCCGCTGTTTCGGTCATGCAATGAAATTGCATACCAAGCGTAGGTATTTATTACCCCATTGTGGTTGCCTCCGGTCTGCCATTGCTCGCATGCATAATACATACTTGCGCACCTAGGTATGTACTTAGGTAGAATCCCGCCCTGGCGTCTCAGCCATTTGAGGGAAAAGCGCATTTAGAAGTGGGACATGGAAATTTGAAATTGTACGTACATGTGCACGTGGGTTACATTTTGATGGAGTGGCACAATGCAATCGATCTGCCAGTGTTGCGCATGCCAAGACTCCGGACCCGTCAACTCCTCGGCGTGGCTTGCTCCCATATGAACTTGAAGCTGCTTGCGGTCCGGGACGGCCTCAACGCTTACCCGACATCCATCGGCACGGAACCTTGAAGCCTTTCCACCACAAGCGTTATGAAGACTGACACAAGTTTCCCAACTTGCCCCCAAGCAGTCTCGAGGACCCTTGGACTCAAATATCAGATTACTCAAGACCATGGTACCATCGATGATCGTCATTGGCCTGCAGGGGTCTCAGACCCCCAGGCACGAGCCCACTCCGGAAAGCTTCTTGTATGGCCCGAGACGCTCATTGCGTCTCCACTTCCCTCACCGACTTCAGCGGCCCCCATGGGCCCAAAACGTCCCTCTCACTTTCACTCACTGCCGCCCGCCCGCTCACTCACCAGTCGGTCGGTCTATTGGCACCCGTTTTTGACGAAGGTTAGATGTCCACCATCCAACACGCACACGGGCCGCCACCACACCAAGGAGAATGGGTGACTTGATCGACTCGCTGTTCCAACGACAATGCTCTGTGAATCAAGACCCTGAAGACCACGGCTGGCCCGGACAAGACCCCGAGGTGACCATCCTCGAAGTTGGGGGTCGGAGACCCGTTGGTGAATACTCCCGGCACCCCTGTGCACGTGCTCTGCGCGATGGGCTGACTGGGGACGACTAGACTCATATCAATGCCGGAGCCCACAGGAGCTGAGACGCTATCTAGACCGGCGTAACGAGGATGAGGATGACCCGTTCTGGGATGAGCCTGTGAAGAGAAGGCCTACTTCACTCAGGCTATTGTGAGCCAGCACTGCTTTCATATTACTACTGTCACGTTATTGAAATAATACTCCATACTGACCTGATCCTAGCTTCCTCCCATATCCCGACAATGGTGCCAACAAAGCCTCGCCCTTCTCTCCGAGGCCATCTGCAATTGGATTCGCAGAACTGTTATGCGAGAAGGCAGGGTTTGCGTTAGAGTCTGGAGAGGCTCGTGATGGTAGCGACGATGAAGAATGGGTCTCGCCGTCGAGTTCACCACGCCAATCAGTCATGGCGGCCTACCCAAGAAAGACAGATACCTCACTTGACAGGATAGACGAAGATGACGAGGCGACGGGCGTGGACTACGGAGGTTGGTCATATCTTCATGGCAGTAGCTTCGGCCAGCTGACTTCTCGTAGCCGACTTCAGACACAGCTGGGTATGGGAGGCACGATACATACGGTCTACCACACAAGCCCTAGCCGACCAGGACGCCACGACATACTTCTGTATAAACCTCCCGAAAGTATTGCAGAAGCGTATATCAGACGCTATCCATAGTATGACGGCTTTGGCCAAGAACCCGCTATTTCTGGATACACTTATAATCGACGAAGTCATAGCGTTCTACCGCGACGCGATTAAAAGACACCGGGCTCAGCTCCTGGCTCTTGTGAGTCCCATGTCCCACATGTACATCTGCGGCGTTGGCCTCCTTCCGGTCCACACACTACCTCTTGTCTAAAAAGCACAATGCGTGATCATTCAAGAGTGGCTAACACCCAGACCCAGAATGATGATGAATCCAACAGCACCGACCTGTCCATAAAGCTGGAGGAACTATCGACGCAGTGGCGCACGATACTAAGGGACATACAGGACATGCAGGCACACATCCACCACCTGCGCTCCGTGGCCGATTCGAGGTCATCCCGGCAGCAGGACTCGGAGAGGACGTCGGGGCTGCACCCACACGGCAACTATCACAGGCACACGCGCCAGAAGTCGAGCGACGTGTTCGGCCCGCCCGCGACCGAGATCCTGCAGCTGCAGCTCTCGACCTGCGACTTCTGGGCCCGCTGTGTGAACATGTACCTCGACCGGACGACGAACCGCATCAAGAACTCGGTGAGATAGCATGCTGTATCCCTTGCCTCACTGCCTGCTAATAACTAACAATGAATATACACAAACCAGACCTACCGCATGACCAAGACCATCCCCCTCCGCCGCCGCGGCTCCCTCCCGCAGCTCAACCGCCGCCTGAGCAACTTCACCATCGAGGTGGCGGTGCACATCCAGCGCAACAGCGCCTCGGTCTCGACGCTCGCCATGTCCTTCCTCAGCACCGTCTTCTTCAGCCCGGACGGCCTGCTCTTCGCCCTCACCTACTGGTGGTGGATCGCCGTCACCCTCATCCTGCCTCTGACCTTTGTCATCATGCACCTCTGGTTCGAGACGCTCGCGACCAACGTCGGCCTGCTGCGCCGCAAGACCGGGGCCGCCCGGGGCGTCACGCGGCTGGGCGGCGTCGCGGAGGACAGGGAGGCGGATGAGGAGGATGGCGAGGTCGTGGACTGAGCTAGGTACGGGTCTTGATCTGGTTCTTGTTCTCGTTTTCCAGGCCGGACTGACTGGTCGTTCTGCGACCGGCCCAGTGTTACTGCTACTCGGCATTACCAAAAAGTGGCTTCGGCCCTTGCATGCATGTTGCGAGCATTTTTTTTCTTTTTCTTGGCTGTTTACCTAGGTATCAAGACAGTGTCATTCTTCATCCTCATAGCATTTTCGGACGCAGGCGGGAGACATCTGATTTGCACAGCATAAAGAGACGGCTCAGTTGGATCGCCTGCTGGTTTCACATCGGGACTCAGATGCTGCGGAGAGAAGCATCTGTCACCCTTCCTTCCATAGGCGTTGAGGTGCATCAATAAGCTTGCTTTAGCATAGTTCATTAAACATTCTTTGTGTCATGAAAAATCTCCTGATCTTGTGTCTCGGGGTTGATCCCTCAGCCAAATGTGTCTCGGCTTGCAATTTCCACCTGCCAAAACTTTAGAACCACCTAGGTTTGGCTGCCACTACAGTGTTATGCATGTCATATTCTTGGTTGAGTATTTACTCTCATCAATTGTCACTCGAGGAATTCATCATGCGTGGATTATTGAATTGCAACAAGCTATAAACCCGAGCAAGCCGTCCCCAGGCTTTCCCAACCCCTCATGATCCAACCCGAGAGTGCTCAAACGCCTATCAGAATGCTTGGTCCCGAGAATGTTTTTGTTTTTTTTTGCGTGCCGGCCTGTTCTCCGTAACACCAATTTTTGACCGCCGAGTGGTCGGATGTTATTATAATTGCAAACCCCTTTACGCCTTTGTCCTATGCCACCCGTGCCTGTGCCTGGCCCTGATAGCTCCCAATCGAAACATAGTGGTATAAGCGCGCCCCAAAACACAGAAAGAAACAAAAAAAGAACAAGAAAAGCTAGGCTCCGATCGCAATGCTCCCCCATGTCCCTACGTCCAACATCATTATGATGTCTCCCCAGGGCTTGTGGATCGTCTGCACCCATCACTCAGCTTGAAATTATACAACTTGACTTCTCCATCCTCGCTCCCCGACGCCATAAGAGCGTCTGAAACTGCGACAGATGTAACAGGGCCCGTGTGCCCGGCAAAGGTGCCTGTGCACCGGCCAGACCGCGGATCCCAGGTCTTGACCAGGCTGTCGTTCGCGCCGGTCACCATGCGGAGACTGTCGCACTCCACAGACCAGATGCCCTCGAGGTGACCCCACTGGTTTCGAATCACGCGGCCAGTCGAAGTGTCCCACAGCTTTAGTGAGGCGTCGAGTCCACCCGACAGTATGTACCGAGCAGGCAGAGGACGATCGGGTTGGTTGATGAACCCCGGCCCGTAGGAGGCGCGGAGTTCAAGCTCGGGGTTGCTGGAGCCAGAGTCAGGATGGGCTGGTGCCGAAGACGAGCTGTGTCCGCTAGAAATAGACATCGTCTCGGCGGGGTCTTGGCCAGCGGTGGCCGGATCCTCGTCTGGCTCGAAGTCGGCCGGCAGTCCCAGAACTTGCTGCACATGGCCGACATGGCCAATAAACTCGCGAATGATTTTGCGTGTATCGAGATCCCAGAGCACGACAGTACAGTCGTCTGATCCGGACAGCAAGGTGCGGCTGTTGGTGTCCACTTTGACGTTGTTGACCCAGTCGTCATGATGCTTCAGGCAAAAGGCTTCTTTGTTGGAGAAGTTGTAGACCCGGATCGTGTGGTCAATGCTGCCAGTGGCGACCAACTCATCCTGAAAATGCACAGAGATGACGCCGTCCGAGTTGGAGAGGGTCCGCATACACTGGCCCGTGCGCCAATTCCAGACCTTGACAGTCCCGTCCAGACTAGCACTCAACAACTTGGTGTCGTCCATCTGGAGAGAGCGGATCCCCCGCGTATGTCCTTTCAATGTTCGGACTTCCTCGCCGGTTTCCAAGTTCCAGATCTTGATGGTGTTGTCGTAAGAACCAGTAGCGAGGGTGGTGTCGTCCCAGATTTGCAAGCATGTGACTCCGTTGGTGTGCCCCTTGAACGTCTTTTGGGTATACCGCATCAGCTTCCAGTTGACACCAATCTGCCAACGATCACGGTAGACGTCCTTCCAGGGGCGTCTGTGCTCGACGGCGTTCTCGCCGGAGCCAACCCGAGACACACACTGACGTTTCGAGGGCGCATCCTCTGCCGAAGGACTGGCGTTTCTCTTTGGAGATGCCGGCGTTTTGGGTGTATTGGGAAGAGGTAGTGTTGGTGGCGAGAGAGGCATGACATGCTCTGATGGTTCTTTCTGGCTTGCTGCGAGACGCCGTTGTCGAGTCCAGTTGCGCAGCCTGTTCCGCTCGAGTAGAGGCAAGCCCCACCCGCACTTTGTGCATTTCCTGTCAATGTGTTGCTCGCACATCCGGTGCCAGACCGCATCGTCATCTGCCAGAACTCGCCAGTGGCGAGATACTTGGGCCGCCTTGCAGAGTGACACGGTATCCAGGGAAGACAGGATCTTGATGGAGATCTCGTTGGGCAGCGCGGAGATGAAGTCGATCTTTAGCTGGGACTGGACCTCTCGGGAGACTAGGCTCAGCTGCGGGAAGCAGGACGAGGACAGAATACCCTGGATCATGAGCTCTCTGTGTTTTGATGGTGCAGCGGAGAAGAGGCTCCAGACGTGGGTAATAGCCTGTTGGTCGGCCTGTGGGAGTTTCTCGAGTTCCTGTAGTAGAGTAGTGTCAGAAAGGCTTGTGCTTCACGGCCCATGCGTGTGCATCAGTGTCAGTGTACGAGCGGCGCGACCTACACTCTGGATCATGGCCATCTTGTTCTCATCGGCAGCCTTCCGGCATTTCGAGTCTGGTCGATGTCGGTAGCAGAACTTGCTGTTGTACTCCTTTTGCCTCGATGGCTCGTTCGGGTGGGCGGACTCGATCTTGGACACGGGGGCGTACAAGCTCGGGACATGTTCCCTGAGGAAGGGGGTGACTGTTTTGCCGACCAGGGTGGACGACATGTTGACGAGGCGGGACTTGTCCTCCTGCTCCTCCTCTGGCCGTCTCCTGTCGCAGTTGAGTAGCTTGTTGAATTTTGTATCGTTGGCCCCGGAGGCAGGCTCTACCTCACCGTCCTCGGTGTGTGGTGGACTGGTTGGGAAACGTGGGCGAGTACCGGGTCTGTACTGGGTTGTGGGGGTAGCGCCATCGGGGCGCAGGGAGGCGTCATTTTCCTGCGAGGCACGACGAGGAGTGTCGGTCGGAGAAGTGGATGGAGGCTCCATGGTATCTGTGCGAGAAGGCCAGGATGGGGGAGGCGCTGGTGCAGGACAGGGGCCGCGGGGACGTTCCTGTCCAATGCTTTTGGGAGAATATTGCGCCAGTTATCAAATTATGCTTCCATTGGAGAGACGTGTAGCAGAGCTTCGGCAGCAGGTACGTGATGGCGTGCTGTCGGGGAATGTTGACAGGCTTGTCGGTTTCGAGCCTCACTGGCAGACTGGATGTACTTCGCTGTGACGAAGCGCCTTGGCCGTGTCTCGGCCCCGTGCTTGTCCCTGTCCTCGTGTCGTCGTCGGTGGTCCTGCGTCTGTCTGAGTTGCGTCTTGCTAACAAGGCCGATACAGGGGGACTGTGGTGGAGACCTGGCGGATGGAGACTATGCGTGTTCGCGAACTGCGGTGGGAGAGGGAGAGGGCGAGGTGAGCCCTAGGCCGTCGGGTCGGTACTGAGATAGATATCTGTCTGTCGCCAAGGGGGGTGGAGGGGGGTCAAAGAGGGGGTTGCTGTGGGCAGGCGGTTTGGGACCCAGGTGACAAAGGAGGAGGAGAATTGGATATCTGTTGGCCGTCTCTGTGCTGGTGTGCTGGTGTGCTGGTGTGCAGGTTGGTTGTGGTGGAATTCTGGGGAAGGACAGGAGAGAGAGGCTTAGGAGGTGCGCAGTGCGCAGTGTGCGATGGAGCGGCAAAATGGCGAATCGGCCAGGGTGTGAGTGCAGTAGCCCATGCCCCTCGCAGCGGCGGTCGTACAGGTTGGGTAAGTAGATTAGATCCAAGCATGTACTAGGTACAAACGGGCAGGAGGCCAAGACAGCAACAGGCTATGGGGGCGGCCAGGCGGCCTGGTACCGTCTACCCCCCGCGATGTACCATGCCCCACCCAACCCTGCCACCCTGGCCATCCTCCTGCGTAGTGTGTCCAAGTACGGTAGAGTATCTTGAGTATCTATACACGCTATCGCAACTATTGGTCTTGTTGACTCTTGCTGTGTCAGTCGAAAGACCCGGCGATGACTTGTTCTGCTTGTTGTCCCAACATGGACTGACACTGAACTGCCACAACGAGCCGAGCCAGGGCGTGCCACGCCATGCCATTGCCATTGCCATGCCATGGATGGGGGCTTGGGCATTTGCTGCTCGACCACCCCGATTGCACCATCAGGAGGCCACACAGGCAGACAGGCCAGACAGGTCCTCGCCCGTAGTACACACTGTCGGACACTACGGAGTACCTAGTTGCCTGGGATCGACCGTCAAGCCCGCAAGCCCACCGGGAAAGGCCTGGCGCAGAGCACATCATCGAGCCCCCTGTTTACCTTATTTGCCCTCCCCACAAGTCGCTTGTACTCCGTACTTATTACAGAAGTGCTCCTCACAGCTGCATCCAGCCCTATCTGGGCAGGCAGGTACCTACCTAGGTAGCCACTACATACCTCCGTACGGAGTAGTACAGCAGAACCCGTTCCCCAGAAAAAGCACTGGTCCACACCCACATCGCCTTTTGCACGTTCTGACATTTCAGTCTTGCTAGGCTTTGCCCCCGCCCCGACTCGTCGACTCGAGCACGTCCGCTGCCCAGCAATTCGACTTGTCTCGGGCCGCAGTCAAACTCTGCTACCAATGAGTCAAAGTGTCTACGGGACTTGCTGGCTGCTGGAGGGCTGACGTGACCGCTCCACTTGCAAATTCTCCTCCAAAATCACGCCTTGCCTTAGCCGTTGAGCCGCCCGAGATGCCGCCCCGATACCCGCCAACTGACAGCTCCACCCCCAGGGCTTCCATACCAGACTGCCGCGAGCCGCCCCTCCGGTTCCGCCTGCATACCCGCCCCTGAAAGGATCCCTGAGAGGGTGGTCACTGGTCACAGGTCACTGGTCACTCTTGGACGATCTTGTGTCCAGAGATATCAGTAAACATGCGGCCTGGCGGGCAAGAAACAACTGTCCACTGCCTTCAATGTCTGAACGTGTGGCACAGTCAACGAACACTGATCTGCAGCTCCACCCTCCCGCCCTTCAGCTGTCTTGGGTGTCCCCTGATTCTTGGCGGCGGCAGGGTCTTTGCTCGGGGTACCATATTACTGTCATCTGTGGCTACATATTGCAGCCAAAAGTCCCGAGTGAGGCAGATCAGTGCTCTGGTATGCACATCAATGTTGGAAAGCTCTGTCCCGGCGGGGGTTGCTGCTATGTACAAAACCCAGATCATACACTCATGCACAGTACCGAGTATCTCGCATGCATCTCGCCCCAGCCTTAGGGCCCATACTTGGATACAGCTCCCGGAACTGCACCTCAGACCTCCCGATCTTCGACAGGTCAGCCGAGGCACGTGGGAGGAGGACATATGGAGTACGGAGTAAGTTTGACGAGATAACAAGCCTGGCATGCCAGTGTCTGTACTGTGTATCGCATCAAGGGGGCGTGGGGGTCCGCCCATTTCTTGATCCAGATTCCAGACAGATGGGCCTCAAGGCCCCAAGCTGCTGACATGCATACAGTCCTCCTGGCAGCCTGGCAGTGATATCCGCCGGCGACAAGACCGATGGCGTGATAGCTTCACTTGCGCGTCACGAGTATTGCGGGCTCCACGATCCTGAAAATTGCAATCCGATGACTGTCGACTTCTCATGCGGTGGGACGAACTCCAGGGCACGCAAGCACGCAATTCCGGTCCTGCTGCCCCCAGCTTGGCATCCAGTCCGATCCCGAGCTGGGTAATCCGACCGACAGCCGCCCGAGCCGTCGAGCCGTCGCCTCTATCACCTTCGCGTTCTTGGTATCATTATTAGCGACGGCACCGTCTTGATCACAGGATGGTGGACGCCACTCTGCCTGGCAGTTGTGGCCACTGGTCCCGATTGCACCATCTAACACCAGGACAAGGCTTCTGCTGACGACTTCGCAGCCAAATCGCATATCGTTCCAGGCGTGCGGCTGACCTGAGGCGGGTTCAAGTCCAGCCCCGGGATAAGACCTCGCTACCATGGCTGTCCGGCAGCCTAGCAGGCCATATCGGACACGAGAACGCCTCCGCCGGCCTGCCATCATTGTTTCCAGGCTTGTTGCATGCTGACATGCCATCAGGCCGTATACATGGCCCGCTCGGCGAGCCCTTCGCGAAGCACAAGGGGTGACGAGCTTGCGAGCCTACAGTGTCGAAAAGGGTATCATTGACCGCCGAAAGGATCCAATATCTGATCCAATGTGCTTGGCGACATCCTTGCGCTTACGACCGGTCAAGGGCGATCGACCTTCCTTTACAGCGCCCGGCTTGCTTGACGCCGCCCGCACAGCCAGCTGCATCATTGCCCAAGGGCCTCCTCCCAACAGTTACGGTCAGGGCAATCAATGCCCGGGGCTGTGGTTTATGAGGGGTAAACCCTAGGTTCTTGCCTGCTCGCCAAGCAAGAGTCCTCTCGCTCAGCTGCCGGCCTTCCTGTCTAGCTAGCCAGAGCTGTTTTGGGGCAGTCTATCAGCCTCTTGCGGCGCCTGCAGTCTCTCTTCGAACAGAAGAGGTTGGGTTCAAAAAGCATCTCCATGCTATTTTCCCGCTTCTTTGTCGATATATTCATATTTTTTTTATTTTCCCCTCTGGACACTGTTGTCTTCTCTGCTCTGCCCACCAAGTGGTGGCAAGGGGTTGCGAACAGGTGCTATGTTGGCTCCAGATGTCCCCTTGCTGGAGCAATCTCAGTGATTTTGTCAAGAAAATTCATATGGCCGAAATCAGCCCCAGGGCACAGCATGGTCTGTTTATAGGCAAGCTTGCTGGGTCGAGGAGCATTTACTGTCGAAGGTACCAACAAATCATAATTCTACTCGTTTGTTCTTGTCATCTGGAGCAAGCAGCAACAAACAGATCCTAGGAGCATTTACACATCGCCAAAAAGACTATCGACCGGCCCTTACGGGCAGTGGGTGGGTCTTTAGATACTCTACCGACTGTCTCCAGAAGTGTGGTGCAAGTCACATTGCATGCGGCGGAGTCCACGCCACACCCATTAGTGGCTAGCATCTAGACGGAGGCGGTCAGGCGAACCAGTTCACCGCAGAGCTAAACTCAGTGGTCTTCACAACGAACCTTCGCCTGGCGGTGATGTTGTCAGCTTGGTGTTTCTCGACGCCGAGCCTTGCATTTTAAAATTCGAGTTTCATCGGGCTGAAACCCGCTATTGGCGAGCATGGTATTTTCATACCACGTACGTCAGCCTTGCCGCTGCTAACTGTTCTTGTGGGACTACCAACTGTGTTGGTGCAACAGCAATGAGATGTCATCAACGATTGTGAGGTCCAAGAGCGAACGCCGACAGAGGACCAGAACTTTAGAACCACGATATGGTATAGCGTAACCCAATCCAAGCTGCTGCATGGCACTCACGCCCTCCTATTACCCAGGCCTACTGCATGCCTACTGAAACCCCAACATTGAAGTAGTCGAAACCCTAAGACTCGCGGAGAGTAAAGAGCACAAACGTCCCAATCGCACGCGCGGAGCTTTAGTTGGTCTGCACAAATCTCCCACGCCGGCCGGAAGCGAGAGCCAGGCGCTGGCTCCTACGGACATCTCTAGTCGTCCTAATGCGCAAGATCACAAGTGGATGTGGTGTTGTGAGAAGATTATATCGCTCTACTGGAAGCAGAATCTTCCGCTCAAGCAAGTAGAGGACATCGTAAGGCGCGAGGATGGCCTCAAAGCAACGTGAGTTCCAGAGCTAATGCCGCTCAATTTGTTGAAACGCTGTGGCAGGAGCTAAAAAGGCAAAAGCAATGCCAGGGCCGCTTCCGAAAATGGGGCATCCGGAAGAATATCAACATCCGTCAAGCCTGAGAGATAATATCTGCCCAAGGGACTGCCTGCGACTTCTGGCCGGGGAAGATGCAAGACAACTACGAGCGACGTATTGCTCGCCGCCTGAAGAATAAATCCCGCAACGAGGCAAGCAGCCCACAAAGCTGCTCCCCTTCCAAGTGAAGGCAAGCCCATTCTGAGTCAAGAACAGGTGTCTCCTCGTCCAACTCGGCTTAGAGCCCCTGTTAACCTCGAGAAGCTCGAGAGGACACTCTTTGATACTGAGGCGTGAGTCCTCTTCACGGTAGGCCCAAGCAAGGCCGGGCTTGCTAGCCGAAAAGAGCTGGGGAAGGGGACGACAAATTCTTTCCATTGTTCCTTGGGGGCCTAGAAAGTCTCTCCTGCGACCACGATCCACACAAGGCATTCTTAGATATCCGTGACGCGTCGAGGCGCCTGAAAGCACTTGTCAGCTTGGACGACTCGGGCCGTCTCTTGGAGGCTCGTGGCCCGTTTGTCCTCATTCGAGAGGTATCCCCAGTCCGACACCTGTTTCGAAGTCTGGCGCCTCCTGATGCGGTGCATGGGTGCCTGCCATTAACCTGGAGATCCAAGGGCCTTCTCATCCTCCGAATTCCGTGTGGTCATCACACATTGAAATGCTGGAATCCCGACCCAATCGAGGTTTCTTCCAACACTACCTCGAGTTGGTCACAACCATAGGGGCCAAGCTCTACGACAACGGCAACAGCCTTAATGTTGGCACGACAGTCCTATCCAAATGTATTACCAGCAGCCACAGAGAATGGGACGAGGAGACCTTGCGCCAAAGTCTTGCAGAGTTTGAATCTGATGCCACGCCGGATGCAGCCGTGTAGATCAGATTAGCCCTGACAGAACTTCTCCTGGGTCAGGGCAAGACGGAGGAGGCCGCAAAGCTCCTGGAGGAAGTAACAGCCCTCAAGCAACCAAACGCGGCAGGCGATGCTGGCCAGCTCTTCTGGATGGCGGAGCTGCAGTGGAGGGCCGGCATTCCCACCGCCAGCTTCGCTCTATTGAGGGAGGCGCTCGACCTGGCCGACTCCGATCGAAGCACACCAGGTCTAGTCGACGACATTCTGGATCAAGAGTGTGGCGTCTGCAAGTTCCTCAGGCTGAACACGATGGGGCGCACGCAAGAGACAACCGAAGTCATGGAGAGGACGGCGCGTCTGTTGGTTGCGCGTGGGGACAAGAAACCCTTCGTTCTCCATCTCACCAGCTCCAATTTTGATTTCGATCTTGACACCAGGTTTGGTGCGTTGGCAATGACGGACTCATCAGCTCGCGCAACATTCAAATGCTGCAACGCTATGATTCTGAACTGTCCATAAGTTGTCGTCCAAGCCGCCGCAGTTGCCTAGTGCCCAATCCAGGATGATAATCACTTGAAGAAGCCACGGGACGGCGGCCTCGGTTATACACACGTCCTATTATGTTCCGACACTGACGCACCGTCTGAGAGGTCCCCTCACCCCCTCACAAGACTTGTGCTGGTGTCTATCTCAAAGGAGTGTCAAGATGCCCACACAGTGAGCACACCGTCACATTTATTGGTCGTGTTCAAGCCGGCCCTCGGGCCGACATGACCACGTCCTCATGGCGGCTGCAACGAGGCTATATAGGCAACTGTTCATCCAGACAGATGGTCTACTGGACTCTGCAAAGTGGTGGTGTAATACCTGTGTGGGCCACTGGGCCACCCTGTCACAGAGGCGTTAAAACAAAACGCTGTGAACAGCGCGGGAACAGTGTCTGTTGTCTTCGGGTTAGTCACTGAGCATCACGCAACTTGTTTCTTGTGCCCAGGTAGTCCAATAGTAGGTTCGACGATCATAGAGGTCACCCACGTTTACCTCCATGCACTCTACGACAACGACCTGCTAATGCAACTGCCACGCCGAATTTGACGGGGACGCTGCGTGACGTTGCGCTCCCAGCGGCCTGGGCGTGCATATGGGCTTCCGTTGCATTTACTCATCAATCTTGGTTTATCGCATCAACAGCCACACCAACGTTCGAGTGGCTGGCCAAGCTAGGCGTCCTAACAAGTCTGATGTCGGACGGCCACTCGGAACAATCGCAGGCTCGGAGGTGTGGCGCTACTATCGACCTTTCTCCAATCGCGCCTCGAATCCCACTGCCCGAGTGCCTGCTTGCCATGCATCAGCCCCAACCTGCACCGCCATGACATCACTTGGTACGCATGGGTGTGTTGACCCAAGGAACATGCTATAACACGTCGATGCTGGCCCCGTATGAAGCAGCTTGGATGGGTCTGGATCCCATCGCTTTCACGAGATTTAAACGAACGTGCCATCTTCTAGTCACTGATCCTCATAATCTTTTAATCCCCATATCCGACAGAGTATCGCGGCATGTCCGAATCCAAAGATGGGCATTCCTTACTCGAGAGAAATCAACAAGGCGTTCGAACAGGTCACACCCCTGGTGGCTGCCGGCTTCCAAGTCCTGCAAACAACCAAGGACATTTCCATCCTACTAGCCTGCATTGAGGTCCTGACCTGCGTCTTTTTAGGTCTGGTGCTCCTCGCCCTGGTCGGCATCATATGCACGATAAATCCGGAGCTTGAAAGGGAGAAGGATGAGCTGGTGACGCCCGTCGTGAAGTGGCTGGCGAGCTGGATATTCTCGTATGGGAGGATAGTAGGCTGGCTACTGAGGTTCACGATCGTTGTGACGACCGCTGGGCTGGGTATATTCTTTTGGCAAGGGTCGCTTGTAGGCGTGAGTGTGCCTGGGACGCCGTTGGAACGCGATGGTGATGGCAAGGAGGAGGCGTCAAAGTAGCAAGCAAGTTTGGAGGTCTCGTGCATGCTCTGCGTAGTACGGGGCCAGTTTCCAGTTGAACTATCCCCTTTCACACTCCAAGCTGCCTTTGTTCAGAACATCCTGAAGTCGACAGGGTACTACTAATTCTACTTGTTACAATATCCGAGTCCTCCAAACTATACCGATGATAGCAAAGGCTGTGCTGTGCGTATTGGTTGCCAGATGTCTACGGTGATTATTATAATAATTAGGTCTCAGCACTAATCTCCCGGCTTTCCCGCTCATGTTCCAAGGTGGCGTGCCTGGAAGGAGCCTAAAGGCGTGCAATTGGTAGAATTCGAGCAGAGACACATGTGAGAAAGAGCAACACTAGTACCCTAGGGTACCAGAGTGTCTCTCAGGTCACATCAAGATACCGCTTGAGCCAGTCAGCAAATTTTGGCGGCAGCTGCCTGCACGGGGAAACGAGACGGCTGGGCTTAGGTTACTTTTGGTTACACGGGACAGCTAGACTCAGATGAGCTTGGCCATATCTGCAGTAGCGATGGATGCCTAGCGGCCATTCCTACCCGTCCCCACTCCCCTTGTTGTTAATTAAAAAGCTCGACATCGCACTTCCATCTGTGTACGACAAGCATTGATACAGCTCACGAGTTCTGTCCTCCATGGCTTCACCAACCGAGAGTCAGGGCTCACCGCTGGGCTCCGCGATGATGGGTCGCGACGGGTGCTTCATTACAGACCTGTCAATCGATCTCATCTATCAAATCATCGACGTGATTCCCTACGAATCGCAACTCAACTTTGCCCTCACCTGCAAAAGACTTGCAGAATGCTCTAGCCGGGTTCTGAACTGTCACCAAGAAGCTTTCAGCAAGTACCGCGTGGCATCAGACATCTCCCCCACCACCATCCCGACATTGCTACGCAGCGTCTGTGGACGTGGTGACCCAATCCTCGCCTGGCATGTTCGATCAATCGAGATCTGGTATGATCGCAAAGGCTGGGTGGACTGGAAACCACTTCGTTTCGACCATTCTCTGCAACAAGAAGCCGAGCATGTTGACTGCGTCTCATGGAACTGGCAAGATGGTGAGCTGGATGAGTATCTCGTGGACGTCCAAGGTCAATTCCTTGCCATGGTTGGCGACGATGACGACAAAATATACACCGAGGCCCATGAGCATTTCAATACCGGCTACGACGGACTTCTAAAGGCGCTCCTCATTGCATATTGCCCAAGACTCAGGGACATCAAATTCATCACGCACGAGCACAGGGAAACGTCCACGCTTGGCTGGCTCAAAAGACTGATCCAGGGAAGCATCCTCCACGACAGCCACTGGCCTGCTGGTCTCTGCAACATCCAAAGTGTTGCCGTTGGCGTCGAGTCGGACACGTGGATGACGACACGACACACGGATCTAGCCGATCGGAATCCGTTGGATGGAACGAACAAGTCCATGGAAATGTTTTCTGCGCTGCTGCGCCTGCCTCATCTCGCCTCGATCTATTACAACGACCTGCGGCGCGCGTACACCTCGAGGGACGACGAAACAGATTTCGAGTCAGAAACCCTGATACCTATGCGGTCTTCTACGGTCAAGCATATCTTCCTTGACGACTGCGGCTACATGCCTTATTCCTTCCGCGACGCCCTTCCCCGCGCCCCGCAAGCCCTAGAGACGTTTACGCTTCGTGCAGGTCAATCTGGCGACTGTTTGGACAATGCTGACACGATCGTAAAATGTCTCTGCAAAGCACATAACAAGTCTTTACATACTCTCATGTTCTACGGCCCATACGACCATCGTGAGATCCATGGGTATCGATGTTCCGTCTACCGAAACGAAGAGCTCAACGGCTCCAGACACAATCTGAAGACAGTGGCTATGGATATCGAAGACATAGATTTGGACTGCTTCTACAGCGCATCAGACCAGGACCAAAATTGGACTGAAGAGGATTATCGCAAATACTTTGTCAAGTGGTTTCGCGAAACAGCATTTCCTGAAACGACTCAGAGGCTCGTGTTCTGGGGCTCAGGAGGTGGCTATATGCAAGGAGCCGGAACCAACTTCCTCGACTGGCTGGAAGACGCCTTGATCAATGTCATTGAGTCATGGCGCTGGAAGGAAGGGTGGAACTCAGCAGATGAAGACGAGTCTGACAAGCTTTCCACTGCTCATGAGTCCCGGGCCTTCCTGCCAGATTTAAAAGCAATCTACCTCGAAGAGATCGAGCGTGTTCGGCTGGCATATAACGAGCGCGTCAGGAGACCGGAACCAAAGGTGAATAAGGTTTACTTTAGCAGACTTGTCGAAGTGGCTAAAGCGGCGGGGTTGGATGTCTATACGCTGACCAATCGGGCGCCGGCGAAGCACTCGCACGACTTTCCTACTGCGCCAGACAAGTATGACCTGAGAACTGGACCCTGGTGGGAGCAGAGACACGAGACCGAGGATTGGGTTCTCGACGTTTACAAGGGTAGGAGGGTGCCTCCTGGGTGTGGCAAGTGCGGCAAATGCGAGCAGTGTTTAAGCCTATACACAGAAGAGCTGTGGGGTCCTCTCAAAGCTTGATAATGTAAGAAACTCCAAAGACATTTGGATTCACGACATCACAGGTATTAAATACCTAGGTACACACACAATTTACAACGGGCTGGCAGTCCGCCGTTTTCCTAAGGGTAGCTTGATCATATTTGAATGGCCCTTGTCAAATTGTAATGCGACGGCCGAATACTTTTTCGCTCAGTCCATTGACTAGACTAACCACCTGTTCCTTTTTTGAACTACCACACTCAGTGTGCCCGACTTCTGAAGGCTTCCGGTCGTTGCCCCATGTACCGGACAAGCCGCAGCCAATTTCTGTTGTTTTTATTGTCGGGCCGTGAGCAATGTAATGCTCTTCTTCAATCTCCAGGACCGCCCGCAGACGGCTTAGTACTACTAGATTGATCGGCTGAGGAGCATGGATGTGAATATGAGAAGGGCAGTCACCTACAGACTCACGCGGGGTCCGGGATTCTTCTTGAACCGGCATGCCAGTGGTCATTTTCGTAGTACCAGGTGCCGCTGATCTGACGTACTCTTGCTTATATGAGGTGTTTCGGTTGTGATTTTGAGTTAAGAGTACCTGCCTGTGTCCATTTACCAGGTTTCAATGTTATTGGTGGCCAAATGATGGAATAATCTGAAGTTGGCAGAATTAAATTTGTGCATTCTGTTACGATCGTGACGAGCGATACATATAATATATGAAAATTCATACCTACCTCCTGATCCCCTTTGAATCTTCCAGACCTAGACAGACAACGGACACAATAGCTTTGTGAGGTACCCTAGGGTAGCTACAGATCCTGTAACATGGAATCCACTGTCTAACTTTACTGACGAGTCTGGTGTACGTGACAAAGCGATATCTAAAAGAAATGACATATTCGAGACCATTCTTTTTATTTACTTTCATTCTGTGGTTTCATACCCGTGGACTGCAGGCACTACCATGGGGGGATGAGAATGTTTCTTTCCACAATCTCCAAGGTTTCATAATCCGATTCCAAGATGAGGCCATTTGATTTAGCTTAAAAATGAATGACACCCTCGAGGCTGCATTGTTAACTCCGAGATCGATGAAGTCCTGACGATCCACTGCATCATTTTGATAGAACGTATTAGGACGTGTATGACCTGTCTATAGCTGTTTGGCTGTTACCTATGGTATTACCATAACGCCGTCACATTTTCAAAAACTTGCATACCTAATAAAAGAGCCCCTGTGGCTCACCTTGTCATATGGGAAGTTCTTCTAGGGTCGAAGGTTATCTCATAGGGCAGTGGTCCTGTAGGAGGTCGAGAAGTCAAGTATCCTATAAGAAGCTATCGGGCGGTTGGCCTCTTGGAGGTTGCCCAGGTGCTCCATACAGGATGTTGAAGGGGCAGGCGAAGCTGAGGCCGCGTAGCCGACATCCGACCGCAGGAGAAACCAGTGCTAGCTAAGTGGGTGGTTTCCTGATGGTTCACCATCTTAAGCCATATATTGAATCGTGTGACACGCCGCGACGGTACCGTTCGGAGGAGATCTCTCCTACGACGCATCCGTGGCGTTCACACACGATCTGGTGGTCCAATCTGACATCGCATGCCAGTGCTGGTGATGGCCGGCCGGAAAAATACGTTGGCTGCTTTCCTACGTAGGGAACACGTCGACGTAAGAACAGTAACAGAGGCGCTCGCTCAATGATACTCCTTCTTCTTTTGGGGAGGGGTTTTCCCCTCTTCGTCTCTGGACAGGAAAAAAAGGAATCAGCCCTCAACAGACCGGTTCCACTTTCGGCTGCCAGCCTGCCAGCGTGAACCGCTGCGGATCTGGACCCTGCATATGCAGATGCACGCCACAAGCAAAGCGTGCCAATCTGGAATTTTGCGCCGTACCGGATCTCGCAGAAGAAATGCGTGGACCCTGCAACGCCTGTATTTGAGGTTAACATGCCCTCAAATGCAGCCAGACGTGGCCCTGGTCCAGAACGTTACGTCTGCGGGCAGTCGTCAGAGTGGTTCGTGCCTGCTTGAGCTGGTTGCATTTTTGCCCACAAACGCATGGCCCCGTGAACGTGGCAAATTTACTCGTGATCATTTCACTGATATGTGAAATTCTTTACCACTCAGCAAATCAAGAGCATATCACTAGTTGTGGAAAGCAAATTCCCTGCTCGAACCTTCCCGAGGTCCCTGGCTCAAGAGTTACTTCATCCGTTGTTGAATGGAAGTTTGGTAAACTCGACTTCAAGATTCGCTGTAATGTAGTTATACCCTGTATATGAGCACGTGTATCAGTCTCTTTGACTTTTCTAATCTCTACCAGCTCTTTGAATTTTGTAGAATGCAAAAGGGAATTGCTACCCTATGGTATTAGGCTTGTTTCGCAGGCATCTGCACAAGTGAGCTGTTCGGCTGGGGAAGCCGTTGCCACTGCTTTGGGAGCCACAGGTACATGGTCTTTGGTGCATAGATCATGCGATAGACGGGACGGGATCTTGGAACCATGCACAGCAGTTGCCGTTGGGGTCCCGAAAATGGCGACAAGGCGCCAGCCACCGTCAGCCCTGATTCCCACCAACCCGGTCAGCGTTTCCAGATCTTTACTTTTGCAAGCATATCATTACCTCATTATCTTACTGTATCACTAATAAAGCATTGTGTGATGGGGTACTTCCACGTATGTTGTCACACGGACGGGCCTGTTCCGCGAGTCACCGCTTATCTGCAAAACTTACTTTTTTTCTCTAGGCATTGTGCAAGTTACCTACCTTCCTTGCATGGCTACGAGACGATGAGGAAACCGGGGTGTGTAGGATGCCTCGGAATGGCGCTCACAGTGCTCCTTTGACAGATTTAAGGTAATGGTGAGCGCCTGAGTTCGAACAAGGCGTCGGGTTCTTGACGCAACAGGGCGAACTGGACGCTACTAGAGAGGTGAAGCCACTATATTTGGTGAGTCTTCGTGCGCCTCTTGCACACATAAATACAGGCATAAGCGCCTCTGACCACAGAAAATGGGAGGTAGGGTCGCGTTGGAATTCTGTTGGACGGCATGCGTCGCCTGTTGACATGCGGATGTGGTATCACAGGCGCAAAAAGTCCAGAACATGGTCATGCCGAGCTCCGGGGAACCGTCCTCCAAAGCCCACAAACCACCGTGGAGATACCAGGAACGGGTGGCAGCCCACTAGATAGAGGCTAGAGCAGATGATGTGACTATGATTGGTCTTTCCGCAACGAGTGGCCACGGTTCACGATGAGGGTGCGGCTCTGTCCAGGGGCGCGCGAGACTCGGGATGTATTCAGCCATGTATAGTGAGATCACCCGAGAGTTTTCGGAGCATGTTAATGGCTGCGGGTATTATGTCAAGTGGACACACCCACGGAATCATGTGTTCACCTTCAGAATATAACCCTCGATCTCCTTTTCAAATGTTGTTCCCATGCTCCACTTGTCTTGGTATTCCTGTTTGGAATACTGCAGTTGTTGAAATTCTGTCTTTGTTCACATCGAGCCGCGTACACAGGTGCCATTCGGTCAGTTGGCAGATGACTTGGTTCACAAAGGAACTCGGTACTCACAAGTAGGCCAGTTGGTGCATTGGTTGGCTGGCTGTCTGAAGATGGCATCAATCACATATGTGAGTGAATCACGGCGGAGGTGTTGGCCACCGTTCGAATCAGGTCTCTTTGTTCGCACATTTCATATATCCTACCTACTTATGTAGTTTCTTCTCACGAGTTCCTTTGGCAAGTCTCATCAGCGACTAGCTTGAGACTTCCGTATCCAGCATCGCACAACATCACTGGCACCAAACCATTCACACACCCTTTCCAGCGCTAGGACGAGCCTCTTCAATCTTCTCATTTTCAGGATACAGCTTGTGCACGCAAACCCTGCAATCTGATCTCAACATGTCGGATACAGCACCAGCTGACAACCCCGACTCCCCTTCGCAGGCTGAGAAATCTAGTTCTCGGGTCTGCATTGTGGTCCAGCCGCCGGAACGGGTCGGGGCTGGGACATGGCTCGTTCCACCCTTGGTGGCGCGTACCGACAGTCCGCGAATTCTTGAAATCTTTCGAGACAGGCCTGTGGATATCTTCGCAACATTGATGCTCACCGGCAGTAATGGGGTTGATGCGACCGGTTCCAATATAGATGGGAATCGCAGTGCAAGCGGCCAGCTTCTCGAATCCCAACCCCCGGGCAGCCAGAATAAGACGGGCGATGGGAGCAGCAGCAGCGGCAGCAGCAGTCAAGCCCCACGCCAATGGATCTACTTCATCTTTTCTGGCCTGTCGATTAAGAAAGCAGGGGTCTATACTTTTACCGTGGGTGTCAGTGACATGAATCGCCAAGCCGATGAGGTGGAAACCCTGTCCATCGAGAAGTCACGGGAGGTCAACGTTGTGGATGAGCAAGTACCACCAGGGAGACCCAGTACGTTTTTCCTAGTGTATCTGAGTTGGACAAATTTAGGAGAAATGCTGACTAGCAGTAGGCACTGGAGAGCAGGAAATCCTGGACGAACTGAAGAAAAAGGATCTCTACAGCCCTTAATTGAAGTTCACTTTACTTCTATGACTGTTGTTTGGCTTAGTGTGCGCTTCTTCCACGTTTGTTGAAGTTTCCTATGGGCCAGAAAATCGTGGCGGTGGAATTTTGGAACGCGGGTCTAAGAGGTTTTGGAGCATGAGTATAGTCCGTGGGACTATGTTCAGAGAATTGGAATAATGAAATTGTTTCTCCATGAGGAACACGAGTCCTCATCACACCAAGCAGCTGTATCACTTGTCCGGCCTCTGGAGGTGGAGAACTCTAGTAACCCAAAGTGAAATCCTTATCCGGTGTTCACGTATGCATGCCTTTATGTGCCATCTAGAGTTGAGTCTTTGAGCGTTTACCACTGTGTGAAAGGACCGCACAATACACCTTCGGATGTATACGGATTGAGAACGAAACCACCCAACAACCAGTGGTTGGTGGTTGGTCATTCCAGGCACACAAGACAGAAGTTAGACAGTCATCAGGTAGAAACTTCTTAACAACACAGTCATCTCACTTGTCAAACTCTCATGAATGTCAACAGTGTCATCTCATTGTACACAAAGTCCTCTGCTCTAAAACCCCTAGTAGGACACCCTCACTCTAAGTCAAGCATGCTGCTATCGTGCGAAAAAGAGGAACCATGAGCCTGGCCTTTATAGAAACGCCATGCGAGAAAATGACAAGTAGCCACCATCTTTTCATACAGGCCACCCAAGAAAACCCAAAACGGAATGATAACAGAAATTTGAACCCCACTGCTTACGACGAGAGTTGCTTAAGCAGAGCCTCCTTCTCAGCAATGGGCAGGTTGCTCAGCGCTGCCCGGACACCCTCAAACGCCGTCTTATCCACCAACAGCTCCGCGATGTGCGCCTGTGTGGCCTCCACCTTCAGGGCAGCGACCTTGTCATTAACCTGTTGGCGGTGCTCCTCATACCACACGGCCACCTCGCGGTCCTTGGTGTCAAACTCGGGCACCCCGCTCCAAGCCTGCAGCTTGGCGAGATGGTGGTTGCGGAGCGCAACAGGGTCCTTGGTAACAGCACCGGCGGAGCTTGTCGCGGCTGCCATGCGGCGCAGGATGTACTCCTCGTTGAGTCTCCTGCGCACACGCCAGTAGAAGAAGCGACGGCTGTTGACCCATTCAAGCTGCTCGCGGATCACACCCTTGGCCTTCATGCGTCCCGATCGGTCGTGCAGGTCGGCAAATTGCAGGCTGATCTGCGTGTAGACAGGCAGGATCAGCTCCTCGCGGGCAGTGATCTCCTTGTGAATGGACTCGATCTCGTCCTTGCCTGCGTTGTTCGCTTGCGCCTCGGCCAGCTTCTTCTTAAGCGAAGCGTAAACGGCGTCGTTGCGCGCCATGTTCTGGAGCTGCTTATCTTTGCGGAACTTGATACCGACAATACCCTCGGGCTCCAGGACACCACCACGGGCCTCGACATCGGCGTACATCTCCATGGCCACGGGGTTGATAGTAGGATCGACAACGACCCAAGATCCTCCACGCAGCTCACCGTGAGGGGGAATGTACACGAAGATGGGCTGCTCGTACTTGACGAGGGCGTCCACAATGAATGAACCGTACTTGAGAACCTCGTTGTACATGTCGCGCTGGCCGCCAGAGAAACCACGCCAGTTCGCGAGAATCATCAATGGCAGCTGCTCACCGTAGTTGAAATCGTTGATGGCCTGCGCAGTCTTGAAAGCCGAGTTGGGGTACCAGACACCACCAGCCTCCTGGCTGACCTGCTCGATCGAGTCAGGGTTGGCAGGGTCAGCTGGCGTGACATTCTCAATGGACCGGGTTTCGACAGCAATGACACCCATGGGAATACCGCTCAGGCGCGCACGACCGACAACAACTGTGCGGGCCCAGCCTCCGAGGGTCTCGACAAACGAGTCCTTGTCGAACAGACCAGGCTGGAAGTCGTCGCCCTCCTGCTTACCGGCGATCATCCAGCGGACGTCATACGGCTGTCGGGGGACAGGAGTGAAAACGACATCGCGATCCCATGGGTCGGCGCTGGGCGAGATCGGGACAGGGTTGTTACGCTTGTCGGGCACGTAGGACATCCACTGAACAATCTTGGAAATACCAGCCATGTCGTCCTCGGCGGTCATGTGCGACACACCGTTTCGGTACATGATCTGAGTGCCACCAAGTTGCAGGTTGGAGGTGTACACCTCGCGGCCGAGCAGGTTGTTGAGGGCAGGGGCACCGGTGAGGATGATCGGCTGACCCTCAACCTGGACAGCACGTTGACCGAGTCGGACAAGGTAGGCACCAATACCTATGGCGGGTTAGCAGGATTCCCAGGCTATACTTTGAACGAGTGAGCGACTTACCAACAGAGCGGCAGGTGACCAGTGTGCAAGTGAAGATGTCGTTGTAAGCGCGGCTGGTGGCACCGGCAATGAGACCAGAACCACGCAGACACTCAACACCAAGACCATCCTCCTTGCCGACAATGGTGGTGATCTTGTGGCGTTTTTCACCGTCCTCGACAATCTCTTCGGTTATGACGGAGCCTTCGAAGCGCTTCTTTGCTTCGTCATCCAGGTACAGGTACTTGAAGCCGGCCTCCTGCTTGTTGGGGTCATTGAAGGCAACCTTGAAGTGAGACATGAGCTCGTTCGCAACACCAAGACGAGCACCCGAGTTGGCAGACAGGTAGATGCGGGGAACGCCCAACTTGCGAGCAAGCTCAGTGCACTTGTTGAAGTAGTGGTCCTCCTTGGGACCAAAGGATCCGATCTGGTACGTGATGTCGTTTGAGATCAGGACGAACCTTCGGCCACGGGGGTACTCGGGCGTGCGGGCGTTAATCAACCAACCGACCATACCGTGTGTGTTGGTGCCCGGCTCGCGAGAGACCTCAGCAAGCTTGTCGGTGTCATCCAGAACAAGCTCTGAGTAGTCGATGCAGTCACCCACGGGTGGCTGCTTCTCGGCCAGCGAGGGGGTGACCTTGACAGCCTCGGCCCAGGAGTTCTGGATGGCCTGGCGGAAGAGCTCGGGGAAATCGTACACGTATTGTGTGCCCATGAGATGGGCCTTGTACCTCTTGGGCTGGAGCTGGTTCTTTGTTGGGTAGGGCGTAGACACGGGGAGCAAGTGCATCGCTCCTATCTTGGTAGTGCCACCAAGTGAGTTGAAGACCCATTCACCCTTCTCGGACTTGCGTTCCGCATACACCTCGACCTGGACAACGAAACCAGAGGTGTTGGTGATGACCACACGCAGCGGGTATGGGGTGCCTGTGGCGGGGTCCGTGCAGATGATGCGGATCTCAACTTGGGCGACACGAAGACGCCATCCTCGTGGTCCGAAGCGGTCAAGGAACCCTTGGAGCGAGTACTCGACCTCGCGAGGGTGCAGTTGGAAGACCGGTGTGAAGTTGATGAACAGGTGGTTCAGGTCAGAGTTGTTGTTGCCAATAATCTCCAGAGCGTCGAAGATGTCGTTGATGACGCGGTCAGCCTCAGAGATCAAGTACTCGGCTGTGGGGATCTCATCACGAAGACGACCAGGCCTGATCACCGCACGTGTGAAGTAACGCTTGTCTGCCTCATTCTCCTTGGCGACAGCCTCATATACGTGGATGTTCTTGTTTTCGGTGAAGACGGGCTTGATCCTGAACTTGGACAACCGGTTGAGCTCCAGCTGGAAGGCCAGTGCTGGTTCGTTGTGTCGAATGCTGTCGTCTTCCTCGTAAGTTGGCCCACGGAAGGTGTAGTAGGCGGGGTAAGAGCCGTCAGCTCGTCCGCAAATGAAGGTGACACGGCGAACACCGCGAGCGTTGAGCTCGCCCTTGAAGCCCTCGATGATATCTGTGATACGGGCCAGATTGTCAGCGTCGTTGCCGCTCTCGGAGTCGCGGACAGCAATGTTGACCACGTTTGAGAGCTCATCCTGAGAATCGCGGCGGACGGGAGCGGGCTTCCTCTTGCCGGCGAGGTCAGGAATCAGGCTGTTCTTCTTCGCCTGGCCCTTGTGTGAGAGAGGGAGAATCTCGAGAGCCTTGGCTAGCAGATCCTCGACATCGTCCATGTACTTGCAGGGAACGATGACACCGCGGCGCCCTGCGTCTTCTCCGACCTTGCGGGTCAGGTACGACATGTCGCTGATAGAGTTGATGCGTCCGAAACCATAATCAGCCCTGCCGGGTGTGGCGGGGGTGGCCGGGGACGAGGGCGCGGCAGACTCGATGGGCAGCCCAAGCTCTGACTGGCCCATCTTCCTGAGCACGAAGTCCCAGGAAACAAAGGATGGGTTTTCTGCCTCGTCCGAATGGTACTCGATTTGCTTGATCACATACGCACGATAAGCACGGCGCACGTAAACCTCAAGGGCGGCCAGCCCGACCCAGGGATCTTCATGAGCGAAGAACTGGGGCAGCACATCAAAGACAGTGTACTTCGAGTCGACGACTTCCTTGATCACATCCAGGGCAGGGTTCCGGTGGTCCAGCCCGGACTCGCCGTACTTGGACTCCACGACGGAAGACCGCAGGATATGCTCCATTTGTGCCTTCCGCTCCTCGAGCGACGGCAGAGCACACTGGATGAGAATTTCTCGCGCCTTGAGGGAAACCTTGGCGGTCTGGCGGGACTCCAAATCCGCCAGGATCCTCAGCACGGGGCGCAGGTACTTGGCAATGTTGCCAACATTGGGCTTGTTGGGGCGGTACACGTCGAGGATAGCAAGGATGAGGTTGTTCTTGGCGGTGACACGGCTGTGGGAGAGGACGGTCGTGACGACCTTGGAAACATCCTCCTTGTTCTCGTCTCGGAGTGCAAGAATGATCTCTTCATCTTGCTGCTTCTTGCCCGAGAACAGGCGCTCGACCTCGGCGTACCTCTCCAGGATATCGGCGATGACCTTGAGCTCACGGGCCTTCTGACCCTCGCTGTACAGCTCAAGAATGGTAGTAAGAGGCTCAAGCGTGGTGCGAAGCGTGTTGGCGTCATTTGGCGCCACGTTGTCATCCAAGAACTTCTGGAAGGCACGGGCGAGCGCCTTGGCAGGGAACTCTGCATTTCGCTGCTTGGCGCGCTCGACAAGCTGAGCGAATTGCGCGTCCAGTTTCTGTGGCATGCGGCTGTGCAAGGCTGAGAACTGAGCGTTCCACTCGCTGTAGGGAAGCTCGGGATTCCTCAGGACCTCGACAAGCTCCTTGAGAGTAGACTGCATGACGACGGTGTTGTCGAAGCCCTCGAGAATGTTGGTAAGGGTTTCATGGAGCTTGGAGAACCTCTGGGCAGGCTTGTCACCAGCAATCATCGGTGGGCCGAACTCAGGCAGGTGGCCAAGGAAAGGCTGGGCCTGCTTGACACGGCTGGGGTCATCCAGGACAAGTATGCCCAAGATGTCACCAGCCTCGAGTGTGGCACCGGGCTGCTTGATGAGCTGGACCACACCATCTTCCTGCGCAACGAGCGGCATGTACATCTTCATGACCTCAACTTCGGCAAAGATTTGACCGGCGGCAACGTGCTCGCCGTTCTCGACCGAGTAGGAGACCAGCTTTCCGGGACTGGGCGACCTGAGCTGAGTAGGGTCGTTCTCTTGCTCAAGCAAGCAGGTCTTGCTGTCTACGGAGACACGGGTAGCCCCGACCTCTTCCTTCCAGTAGATGCTGTGACTGCGCCCATCAAGCAGAATGAGCAGACCGCCGTCACTGAGAGCACGCACGCCGACGGAGCACTTGGAACCGTTGATAAAGAGGTGGTAGCTGTCCATGCTCGACCGCGTCACCGTGAACTTGTAACGGTAGCCTTCGTAGATGAAGTCGACGGGGAACACGGTCTTGAGAATGTCCTTGGAGGGCACTTGACCCTTGTTCAGGCCCGCCTTGTAGTCAGCAAAGCACTGCTCGCTAGCAATGTGTGCTTTTGTGACGGCACCGCAGACGACAGCCAGGGTGGAGTCGGGGCGCTCGGCCGTGAGCTTATTTGAGATGAGCTCATCAAGCCAGCCGGTGGTGATGGTGTTTTCCTCGAAAGCCTCGGTCTCCAGGAGCTTGATGAGGTACTCGACGGTGGTTCGGAAGTCACCACGAATGCTCAACTCCTTGAGAGCGACAACCATGTGCTTTCGCGAGGCTTGTCGGTTCTCTCCGTAGGCGAAGATGTGGCCGAACTGCGAGTCGGAGAAACTGTGAATACCCGAGCCAGTACTGACGGAGAAATAACCCCAAACGTTGGAGCTACTCCTAAAGTTCAGGTCGTGCATAACACCATTGGACGGCTTGAAGCCCTCGCCAGGGTCTTCGGAAGTGATACGGCAAGCCGTGGTGTGACCCTTGGGAGTCGGTCGTCGCTGTGTCTTGGCGCTGCCCTCGTTCTTAAACTCGAAGTCGATTTCTGTTGCAGCCTTGGGGTCCACCCCGTAGAGGAGCCGGATATCGCGAATGCGATGCAGGGGGAGACCCATGGCAATCTGCAGTTGAGCAGCAGGCAGGTTGACACCACTGACCATCTCGGTGGTGGGGTGCTCGACCTGGAGACGGGGGTTCAGCTCCAAGAAGTAGAACTTGTCGTCGTGGTGCGAGTACAGGTACTCAACGGTACCAGCGGAGACATAACCGACAAGCCTGCCAAGCCTGACGGCAGCATCCTCCATGGCCCTGAAGGTAGGGGCCTTGGCGATGGTGACAGGTGCCTCCTCGATGATCTTTTGGTGGCGCCTCTGGACCGAGCAATCTCTGCCGAACAGGGAAATGTTGTTGCCGTACTGGTCAGCGAGCAGCTGGACCTCCAGGTGGCGGGCACTGCTGGCAAGCTTCATGATGAAGATGGGAGAGCCGGGGATCTCGCTCGCCGCAGCCTTGTAAAGCTGCTCGAAACCATCCTCGCTCATGGCCTTCCGGATGCCCTTGCCACCACCACCCTCGGACGCCTTGATCATGACAGGGAAGCCAATCTGCCTGGCCTTCTCCAGGCCCTCCTGCCAGGATTGGACGCAGCCCTTCATGTAGACATCGTCGGCCACAGTGACGATTCCGTTGTCGTCAACGGTGACCTCGTCGACACCGGTGCCAGACCAAGGAATGCAGGGTACTGCGGCGTGCTGTGCGACAATTGTAGAGGAGATCTTGTCACCAAGAGAGCGCATGGCAGAGCCTGGAGGTCCAATGAAGACGATCTTCTTGGGCGAGGCGGCGAGCGATTCTGGCAATTTCGGGTTCTCTGAGGCGTGACCCCTGTGCGCAGGAGCGTGTCAGTTTCAAAGTTTGGATAATGGCTTGCTTGCACGAAACGATCCTGGGGAGAAGCCGAACGTACCAGCCAGCCCAGACGGCGTGGACGTTCATGCGCTCGGCAATGTCCACGATCAGCTCCACGTTGGCGTAGTTGTGGTTGTTTGTGCCGCCAGGGACCTCGACGTAGTGGTCTGCCATTCGAATGTAGTCTGCGTTGGCTTGCAGATCTTCAGGAGTGGCCATGACGGTGAACTGGATGGCGCGCTCGTCGCCAAAAGTCTCGTACGCCCATTTTCGGACTGAACGGATTTCCTTGACGGCAGCAATACCGTTGTTGGCAATCAAAACCTGTGCACGGCGTTATGGTCAGCTTTCCCCTTCCTCTTTCCCCCCGGGCGGCCCATGGTCTCTGCGGCCGGGTCCTCGACTAGAATTGGGCGGGCGGATACTGACATTCGTAATGACCGTGTGCCCGCTGTTCGCAATCACGAAATCTTTAACTTTCGAGTCTTTTGCATTCTCCACCCTGTTGCCTCCGATGAAGTGGTCTGCTATCTGGTGCAACTCGGCATATGTCTGCTTGTTCTGAGGCACAACGACGCCGTTCCGAGGCGCGCTGCTGGATGCGTCGGCCATTCTGAGGGTTTGAGGGGTCTGTCGATGGGAGAGGTGCAACGAGGGGTATCTAGGTCATTAATGATACAGAGAGGGTAGATGTGTCGAGAAAACCGCCGGAGCTAGTAAAAGCGCGGCGTTGGTCGAGGAGGGAGGGAGAGAGACTGTGGGTAAGAAAACCAGGGCGGTATTGCAGCTCGAAACGCCTGTGTCTCGCAGAAAGAAAGATCAGCGTCCAGATTCTAATAACGGGTCTTCCGAATGCTGGGTCAGCCGGCGGCCAGGATCCAAGTCAGCCACCACCGCGGGCCACCAACGGATTCCCGGGCTGAACCGGCCGGGTCGCACACGAGGAGGGTGCTGACGTCGGGCAAGCCATGTCCGGCGGAGCGTGCAAAATAGCGATCAGTGGCACTGGTGGTCTTGGTGAGGCACCAGCTTGGCGGCTTGGGACTTACACGCTCTATCTGTCACGATGGTCCTGCGAGCTCTTGACGGACTGTGGTGGTGTGGTCTCTAGGATCTTTGGGGGGGGGAGGGGAGGAGATGTGATGGGTTGCTGGGAGGCAGATGGATGGACCTCGTCGTGGTCGTCTAGGTGTTTGTTTTGTCCGCGTAGCTGGCAGCTCGAGCAGGAGGAGGGTGTGGCAGGAGAGCAAGGAGGAAAAGGTTCAACCAGGCAAGGTATGAGGACGAAGGCGGCCGAGTATGGGCAGCTCGGGATTGATATAGGCTGGGTCTGGTTCTTGTTCTTCTTTTCTTCGTCCTCGTCGGCCGTCTCGGGGCCCAGATACAGCACAATTCCTATCCAATTGCTGTCTGCTAGCCAGCAGTCTCGCTCCGCCAACCTTTCCCCGATTCACCGGACAAGGGTTCGTGCCCACCCCCTGGTCGGCCCTGCATCATCCATAATTCAACCAGAGCGGGAAGCTACGTGCGCCCAATCACCAGCCAGCGCCGGCTCGTTGGGGGACATCTGGATCTTTGGTGGGATGGTGGGGCCCCTGCGCTCATGCAGGTATGCATCTAACATGGACTATCAGACTATCCAGCAAACCGGCTGGTACGTACCTCACAGCTCAGAATGCCATGTGTCGACGATAACCTCTTCCTTTCCCCTTCTGCCCGACCTGCCGGCCTGCCTCGCATCCACATCGCTCTCTCATGCGACCGCGCAGGTTGAAGAAATTACATTCCCGTCTCGTTACAAAAGGGGGTGTTGACATCATGCTGGGCGTTCGCCGTGCAGCCTTAGCCTTGTACAGGTCGATATCAGTCAATCGGGGCGTGCACAGCTCGCCTGAGCCCTGGGCCCCCAGCACCACCCGGCCCAAACCTTCGGTGCCCGAAAGGCCCCCTCCCCCAATCAAGCCCTGCCTTCTTGGGGACGGCGATGGGCACACGCACGGCTGATTCCATGAATCCAACCCCGGGCCCGTGTGCTCGGCAATCCAACTGTCTGACCTGCATTTATCACCGTGCAACCAGGCAACCCACCGAACGGCCCAGCACCTGATTGTCCGGACTCCGGAGGCATTGTCTGTCTGTCTGCACAGTCCATAGGGTGGTGGTTCTCAGTCATCATCGATCATCGCCGATGTCTCTTTGGACCATCAGCAACCACTGTGGATATGCATGAGATCCCAGGACCTTACAAGTTTGAGACGAAAGATGGCTTATCGATATTGATCAATCGAGGCGTGTTCCCCACGTTTCTGGTGGTGGTACCGTGTATAGGGCAGAAGGAGGAGCAGTGAAAAAAAAAGGAACCTCAACCAAATCGAACATTCCCTCCCGTCTCGCTAAGATCCGCGGCCACCCCCCTGGTCTAGCGGATCTCCGGAGCTCTGTGACAGCCCAGCAGCCACAGCAGAGAACCACACTACGGCAAATGCACCCGCCTCGATGCAACAAAGAAAAGGAAGGACCAAGGGCTCAGAGCTCAGGGCTCGGGAGGCTCAGAGGCCCAGAGGGCTGCAGCAACGATCTCGGGCCTGGGCCGGGCGCCACCTCCAGAGCTCCGTTCATCCGGCCGCGGGCGTGGGCGTGGGCGGTTGTGTTGAGCATCTCGCCTCGAGGATTCCCTCGGCCTCGGCAGAACCCGCGCTGTTTTGTAGCGATGGTGTGCACTCGCATTGATGCTGCCAGGGAAGGGCGGGGGGGCAAAGAGATGAGCTGGGCTGGGCTGTCCATCCCCCCCCCCAATTGTTGAGGCTGCATGCTGCGAGCTGGCGGCCCTGCCTGCCCTACCTGCCCTACCTGCCTAACTGCCTAACTGCCTAGGTACCGTGCGTGCCTCGAGAAGGGCCTGCTGGCTGGCCTGCTCTGCCCCGCGGTGACCCCTGCCCCCTGGGCTGCCTGAGGGGCCTATCCAAGGTTTCCCAGCGGGGTGGGAATTCTCAGGTCGCTAGCGCCAGCGCCCAGGGTCCGCCCTTCCAACCCGCATATCCCCAACATCTTGTCCGCCGCCAGGGCAAGGCCGTACTCAAGCTTATTACCGTATGTGCGAGATGGTGGTGCACGAGGCTGTAATGCTCGGTCTCTCAGCCACAAGGGGCGTCTGGGGCCTGGCCGGCTGGCTGTTGGTGAAACCACCCATCGAGGAGTACCGGGCTGAATGAAGGCTTTGGAACGGTGCAAGTTTGCCAACATGGCGACAAGCCCAAGCTCGCCAAGCCACCGCAGACACCAAGCAATGCTGCTCAGGCACCATGATACATGTTTTACCGTGGGCCGTGTATGCACGTACTGAAATTCCTGTTTGGTCATGCTGGATCTTGTTGATTTTCTCCATGGTCCCGTTTTGGGAGGTTGTTTGGCTGTCAGGCTCCGAGTGGGTGGAACCAACCCGCCCACCTTGGACATGGAGATGCACAACATCACTTTCGACAGGATGAAGATCGAAGGCTGACACCCTCGCCCTGCCCGGCTCGCTTTGGGCAGTTGGCAGCCACTCGAGCTCAGTCAGTCCTATCCCCACAGCTCCCCGCCCAAGAGCATGTCGGGAGCCCCAGGCACTCATTTGCGCCCCGTCGCGGCATGCGTCATGTCACCACCACCACCTCCTCGTACTATGTAAAAGCAGTAGCCAGCGCGGAGCGGGAGCAGCAGCAGCCCGCTCGGCCGAACGTCACGCTCGGAAACAAGCCAGTCAACCCCAGCCGTGCTCTGTCTGGCTGTGGGTGACCTCCCAGGTGGCCGATGGGGCCGTCGCAGCGCAGGTGGGCTGGCTCCCGTAGACTCTGATAAGTAGAGCATCTACTCTATCGTCTCACATGCCGCGGCTGTGCGATAGAGGTCTGGCCGGCCTGGCAACTGTCCCACCATGGCTGGGGGGCACTGTGTCAACCGGCCGGCTATCTAAACGTCCCCATGAAATACGAGATCGATGCCACCGTGGGTGGTGGGCCTTGGGTGCTTGTTTGTCTATACCTCAAGGATATATTAGTCTCCTGGTGGTGATACTATCTCCGGACAACTTCATCCTTCAGCGCGTCTATTGTCCATCGTCAATTTGGTCTCGCGCTCTCCAGACAGCCCAAGCCGGGTTGACAACCAGTCTCACTCTAACGCTGAAAAAGGATGCTCTGTGACCCGACCAAAGCTCCTCAGCCACGCGGGAATGCGATAAACTCCGTACCAATCGTATGCCATGCCACGCCGAACCCGTTCGCCCGTGTAAATGACCCTGTCGCAATGACCGCAGCCCTCGTAGTCAACAAAAGAAATGGGTATGATGACAAATGAAAGAAGAAAAAAGGACAGTATTGGTGTCAATGTGAAGGTAATATATGATGCAGCCCGCCTGCTGGGCCCGCAATGCCGGTCCTCAGGGCCCGCCGCTTCGGTTCTCCTAGAAGGTTTCGCCCAGATCACCCAGAGGTTGTGTCGATAGAGGTTGTGTCGATGTCTTCTTGATCAGCGACGGGCCTATGCTCGGCCGCCTGACTGGCTCGGCCTGGACGCTTGCCAGGCTTTGTCGTCTCGACGTTGGCATCGGCAGGCCGCTTGGTGTTGGGATCCCACTGCCACCCTCTAATCGGCTATAGGTTCCGCGCCTGCTAGGCGTCCTGTACGTCCGCTCCTCGGGTTCTGGCTCTTCTGCCGTGCTGAGGCTGAGGCTGCTCACCGAGTGCCCGTGGAAACTGCTGCCGAAACTCGTCCTACTAATCGGCCGGCCCAGAGGTGTCCTTGCGCCACCTGCACGGCTCCCTGGCCGCGGTGGTGCAATCATGCTGTCGTTCCTGCCATCGGCCCGGCTGACTGGCCGCGCATAGCTCGAGGTGCTGGCCCGGCTGCTGGGGCGGCTGATCTCGGAGCCGGAATCGAGGGGCCCACGGTTCGGAAGCGGACCAAAGGACAGCCTGCTCACACCGGATATACTAAGTCGGGGCAGGTGTCTTCCGCCGTTGGTGCTCCTGCTGAAGGCGTTGCCGGTCGGCGTCGCGTCCTCTGGCGTTGTGCTGGTGGCAGTCGATGACACGGACGACACACCTCGCTTGCGGGTTCGTATGGTGACATTGCTGTTGCTAGCAACAGACCTGGGAGAAGCACGCGGCGGCGTGACCGTGGGCGCTGGCAGTTTGGATCGTGCGTTCTGAACCCGAGCCTCCAAGCGCTGCATCTGGGCTGTAAGGGTCCGTATGTGAGTGAGGGACGTTGACGGGGGTATCCTATTTTGACCAGGCGCCTTGGGCGGAAGAGGTTTCGTAGTCCTACGGAGAGCAGGCGTGGGGCGCTGCGAGGCACCCGCGGTAGAGTGTTGAGTGGTGGACGAGCGCGACGCTGTCGAGGACACCCGCGGTCGCGGGGTGTTGCTCGAGCCCATCGAAGGCAACCTCGATCTCTTTGGCTTCGCAGGAGCAGCCACGGGTTGTTTCGCGGACGGGGCTTTGGGCTTCGGGTTCGGGATCGGGGCTGCTGACGCATCCGACATCGGTGGAGAAGGAGGCTCATGCACTGGGGTCTTGGAGGACGTTACTGATCCAGGTGGTGTTGAGACGAGTGGGGAGCTGGCGCCGGACATGGTGCTGGTGTCGAACATGGGGCTCTCGGGGATGGAAAGATCGGTGGATATGGTGGACAGATGGCGCTGCTCCTCCTGCTTCTTCAGCTTGTCCTGGAGGATGTCGGCTTCGATCTTGAGGTCGGACAACTCTTCTCGTAGTCTCTGCGCTTCTATTCTGAGCTGTTCCCGTTCTTGTTCGCCTATCTTGATCTCCTCCTCCATCATGACCTGCCTCTCGATCGCCGCGTTGTATTTCGATTCCATGTCCTCGAGGGACGAGTCTGTGATCCGCGCCTGCCGCTCAAAGTCATCGTTTGCAACTTCGATGTCGCGAAGTTTGTGCTGCATCGTGCGATTTGTATCCCTCAGGGTCGTAATCTCCTTCTCCAGCGTGTTCTGTGCCGCGTTCGCCTCGGTCTTGGATTCCTTGTACTTCCTCTGCAGAGGCGGAGTCAGCGTCACTCGTGCCCTGGAGGCACAACTTTGGGAGGCGGTGAGCCTACCTTCCACTCGTCGACCTCAAAGACAAGGCCTTCTGCCTTGTTCTTGAGGGCATTCTCCCTCTTCTCGGCGGCTTCCAGCTCCTTTTCCAACTCCTTCTCGAGCTCCTCGCTGGAAATTCTGAAATCGGCGAGTTCGGTCTCTAGTTGCTCGTATTGCGACTTGTACCAGGCGAGTGACGCTTCCGGGGCTGCGTCCTCGCCAGGCGGCGACGATGGCGGCTCGGACGCCAACATTTTGATGGGGTTCTGGATGGACAAACAAGTGAAATCGTGAGGTGTGACGGGAGCGCGCCTCCCGTTACAGAAGTTGCATGTGATCGTTGGCCAAGGTCGGAAATGTCGATCTGGTGGTCGGTAAAAGAGGGGCGGTTGTTTGGGCTGGTTGATAAGGGAAAAGGGGCGAGTCGGTAGCAAAAGGATCGTCGGCGTGGGCTCGTTTGGAAGGACGGATGGGAGGAAACAGACAAAAAAAAAGAGCAGAAGCCGATGGCGATGACGAAGAAGCGATTGCCAGTTGATGCGATGCGGTGCAAAGCGATGCGACGAGGTGGTGGGCGGTGCCTTGCCTTGTTTCAGTCAGATCCAAGGATCATCTCTGGACTCGGCCTGCGTGTGGTTCATGCGCAAAATAGAGGGCCCCAAGGAGGTTGGCAGGTCGTCCGCCGACCGTCGCGCGCCAGCCGGAAGAAGGGAAATGGTTGGGTAGGAGAAGGCCCGCGTTGTCGCCGGGCGGTCAGGTGTACTGTCCGTCGGGGTTGTCGACTGCCGAATGACCTACCGTGTCGACACACTGCATCAGGCTGTCGTGAAGCCGTCGTCGCAGTGCGAGGGTGGTGGTTTGTGTCGCGGGTTGAAATGACGAGGAATGCACCTGTGCTCCAGCAGCTCTTGCAGCAGAGCGCAGAGCCCGTTTCCCTAGGCCTGGCCGTCGCTTACTGTACGGGAGCACGGAGCACGGGTACGCGGGTATGCACTGTGCCTGGGTGCCTGGGTAGGTACCCAACCTACGTGCGCGCTGCATTTGTTGGTTCCCCCCTGTTGACTCCTGCCTCTTTGGGGGTTTTCTAAATCCCAGATATACATTTTAGAGTATATATCTTCTTGGTGTCTGGATTACTAAGGCGCCACTACCCTATTTAGGGTAAACAGTCTTAGCCTAATAGATAAAGGTAGTTCCTTATTTTCTTTCTATTTAATAAGAGAATTTTACTTAATTAAAGGTTTTATATAAGTATAATTTATATTATAATAGAGTAATTATATAATAGTTTATATTTATATATTTATTTATCTATTAAGTATATTAAGTATTAAATTATATATAGTTTTAATAGTTTAAAGTATTATTTTAATTTAAGGATTAATTTTAATTTTTTTAACTTTCTTTTTTTATTAATTATATTTATTTATTTAATATTTTTTTATTAAAATATTATTTTTATTAAAAATATATATATTATATATATTATTATATTAAAATAAGCCTTTAAAGTTTTTAGTATCTTTATAATTTTAAATATTAGCTTCTTTTATATAAATTAGTATTTATAAAAGAGCTTATAGGAGGATTTATAGTTAGTTATATTATTACTTTAATTAATAAATAGTAAAAGTTTTTAAACTTTTATATTAAATATTTAAATATATAATTTAATATAAATATAATTAATAATTAAAAGTCTTTTATAATTAACTAATTTAAATATAAATACTCTTATTAGTAAATTCTTTTAAAAGGGTATAATAAGTATATTAAATTAGCCTATTTAATTAATAAATATTTAACTTAAAGGAAAGTTAAGAAAAGGTTTTAAATAATTAATAGTATTATTTTTAATAAATTAAATAAAATTAATTTTTATATTTATAAACTTTTAAATTAAATATTTATTATAATATTATAATAGGTTATACTTTTTTAAAGTAATAAATATATTTATATTATTTAATAGTATAATATTATTAAATATTCTTTTAATTTAAAGTTTATAATAAAGAAATATTTTAAAGGAAGATAGGATTTAAATAAAAGGGTTATTAGAAATATTAATAAGGTAATTATTAATTTATAAAGTTTATAATTACCTATAAAATATATAAAGATAAAAGATTAATATATAGATATAAATAAATTAAATAAAAGATTTTTAAATTTTATATTAATATAGCTATTATAAAGTAGTAAATAACTAAAAGGATTATTATATAAAGCATTAAGTAGAAAGATTAAATTATTAATATAAAAGTATTTTTAAAGAGTAAAGGGATTAACTTATATATTATATACTTATAAAAGAGAGAGATACCTTTTATATATTAATTTTCCTTTTAAAAAGATAAAGGGTTATAAATAGAGCTATATATTAATAAATTATAAAATAATATTTTTTTAATATTATATATTATATTAATTAAAAGGATAGTTTTTTATATTATTTTATTATAATAGCTATAAATAATAATATTTTAATATATACTTTTATTAAATAATTAAAAATATATATTATTATAATTTATTTAAAGTAGTTAATTAAATATATATTGTTATAAATATTAAAGTATATTATTATAAATAATTTAATAACTAAATAAAAAAGCTTTTAAATTTTAAATAAAGATTTTAATATAAAAGTAAAATTATAGTTTTATTAAAATATTAAAAGTTATTAATTTATTATATTTTTAAAAGGAAGAAATATAAAAAGTATAAAGCTTAATTAATTTTATTTTATTTTTATAAAGTTATAAAATAAAGCTATTAAGTTATATTATAAAACTATAATAGTAGTTTTTAAGAACTTTAATTTTATTATATTTAAGAGTAGATTAAAAGAAGCTACTTAATAGTAATAATATTTATTAAATTAAATAAATATAACTAAATATTTTTATATTTATTTAAATAATAATAACCTTTTTTAAAAGCTTTTATAATAACTTTAAGATTAATAAAGCTAAAAATAATATATAATTATATTTTTTATAAAACCTATAAGTATATATTAATTATAAATTTTAATAATAAAAAATTAATAAATTTATAATAAAGTTAAGTATTTTATTTTATTTATAATAATAAAATTTTAACTTTTAACTACTTTTAAAGTTTTATAGTTATTAACTATAAAGTAATTATATTAAATATATAAAAATAAAAATTCTATTATAAAGTAAAGTTTTTTATATTTAAAGTTACTAAAAGATTATATATTTATTTATTTTTTATAAATATTAATTTTTATATATATTTATAAAAGTATATTTTTAATAATAAAAGCTTTTTTAAAGATAATTAAATAACTAATTAAAAAGTTATTAATTATAAAAATAACTTAAATATATTAATAAATAATTAGATTTATTAAAAGGTATATTATAAAAGAAGATAATATATAAGATTTATATTAATAAGTTTATTTTACTACTTATTATTTTATAAAATAACTTATTAATTACTTATTTTATTAAAATATATAATATTAATTTATATATTTTATAAAGTTTATTATAGTATAAAAACTTTTTTAAGTTTATTAAATAGTTATAAAAGTATTTTTATTATACTATTAATTACCTTAATTAACTTTTAATAAATATAAATAAATCCTTATATTAATAAATATATTAAATAATATAATAGTTTATAAAATAAGTATATTTAACTTAATATAATTATTACTTAAAAACTATATATATAATTTTTAAAAATAAAAATACTAAATATAGTATTAATAATTTTATTTAATAAATTAAAAGACTGCTTAATATATTAATCTTTTATTATTAATAGAATTTATAAATTAATTAATTTTTTATAAAAATAACTATTTAATAAATTATTTATAATTAATAAAGTTAATAATAAAGCTAATAATAAATACTCTTTTATATATCTATTTTATTTAATATTTAAAAGCTTAATAGAACTTTATAACTTATCTTTTTATTAAATTATAATAATTTTATAAAAGGCTTTTAATAATATTTATAAAGACTTTTATTAGAATGATTAATTAGCTATATTAAAGGATTACTTATATTTAGTAAGATTTTATTAAAGATAAGGAATTTAAGTTTAATAAAGCTATTTTAAAAGTATTAATTAATTTAATATAAATTATTATACTTTAAGTGGTAAAAGTTCTTATAAAAAGTAATAAATAAGTATATTAAAGACCTTTAGTTTAAATATATTATTTATAAATTCCTTTTATAGATAGTTTATAGGGGTTGCCTTATATTTAGATATAATTAACCTATTTAAGGAATAGGTTAATGGGAAGGGATAGAAGGGGGGATCTATTGGGGATATAGAGAAGACCGCCTCTTTGGCCGCCTCCCGCGTGTCCCTCCTGACGCGGGCATGGCGCTAGGCCATGCAAGGGTAAGCCTGCTGTCACGGCAACGGTGCACGGTCCAGGTCCCCGACGTGCAGCCAATCAAGCGGCGGCCGTCCTCAGATCTGCCGGAAGCTTCATCGCGGGCGTACAGGCGTACAGGAGCAGCAATTCACCCATGATGTAAGATTGAAGTACCTCAGCAAACCACACGATATGCACGTCACCACATCTAATAAGCGCGATGCAACACATTTCCCACTGCCCAGGTGGTTGGCTACCGTGGATGGCTACCCTATTTATTATGCTCGCAGTCTGGTCGCAGTGGCCGGTCTCCCCGGTTCACAGCCAAGCAAACATTTGAACAAGGGCCTAGGAAGGGCCAGCCAAAGAAATGCAGGCTCATCATACGTCAGGCGGCTGTGTCGTGGTTCGGATGAACTGCAGTGCAGCCCTTGGGGCGAACTCAAATACGGAGTAGATACTGTGTACTTACATTGTTCAGCACTACACAGTCAAGCCAGGTACCACCCTGCCCCCAAGCTTCCAACGCTCCCGTCACAATATGTCGTAACTTTAAACACCATGTCTCTGCCGAGACAAGCGACGCGACATCTTTGTTATAGTCTACACGTGTAGTCTTCTGTGTTCAGAGGTCGGTGCGCGCATCTTGCCTCTCTCTTGTCAGTCCTGCCAGTCTCGTATTCTTGTTGTCTCCGCCCTCTCCGCCCCCTCCTCCCGGCCCCAGGGGCTCATCTTCTAAAGTCTCCACCAGATGTTCCTTCTCCAGCTGTGAGAAAACTTGTGCGTCAGATGGTGCTCACCAAGCCCTCGAGCTACGGCAATCTTTCCATTTGGATGTTTCACGGCCATCTTGGAGTCAACATCGTGAACTGTCACAGGGCCAATGGTCTCTCCGTCCTTCCACTGAAGGGGGGGGAGGGATCCAGCCATCACGCGCATGGAGTCCTGTGAGCTCGCCGTGTTCCCACTCCTCGGCGCAAGCTGGCAGCACCATCGCCAGCCCCGTAAGTGTGGGTTCCAACCGTCTCGCAAGACATTCCAGGATGCCCGTGCACCCTCCAAAGTTACCGACAGTACCGTCGATTTGAACTGGTGCATGGTTTCCACCATTTTGTCGACGGTTGGGTCCCTGAGAAGAAGTTCCATGTGCTGCTTGCCGGCCCCATCCGAATCCCTCGGGCGAGCATCCAGATTCAGCAGCGATGCCCACCTCCCGCCAGTGTGCCCTCCTCGCTGCCGTCGTCTCCCTGTTGGTGTGCAGTGTGTCCCCTGTCTGCAGACCGAACAGATGGGAGACGTGCCTGTGGCCTGGCTCGAGTTCGTTGTAGTCTTTCAGCCCCCACTTTTGCAAAGGCTTTTCCCGTTGGTTTGCACCCGTGGCAGTGTCACCGAGGTCTCCCACTTTATCAGCCAACGGGTGCTTCCCTCCGTACAGCTTCTCAACTGTCCACTAGAAATACTCAAAAGCCGTCTCCATGATGGCCATATCCATCGTTGAACCTTCACAGAGAATGCTGGGCCGGCCATCTGACACCAACGTGTTTCCGGAGAGACTGAGGGGTCCGATGGGGTGAGAAAGTCGAGCAGGAACTCAATGCAGCCCTCGAGAATCGCCGCAAGGCGTTCCAGGTACATGCTCCTGTCATATTATTCTCTGACCGCTTTCATCCTGTCAACACAGACCCACACACCTCTAGAGCTGCCAGAGGCCATAACGTTGCCGGCATTCACCTATCCTGCAAGTCCGTGTCTGCCCAGTCGTCCGTATTGTGGTGGGCACACCACCCCTTGCATCCATACATGGCGAGTGCCGTCTTGCGGCCCCTCTCTTCCATCCTTTCCAGCAAGTTGACAAACGGCAGAGTGCACTCGAATAGGTGACATGGAACCGTGGGCCAGTAGTTCATCTGTATGTTGATGTTGGTGGTAAACTTGGAGCCCCAGGGCGGTGCAAAAGAGGAATTCCGGATGCCCTGTGGGTTAGCTGGCAGCGGCTTGTGCAAGTTACGGCTGGATAGACCTCGGGATCAGCAAGTGACGCCCAAAGACGTGGTATAGCCACAAGCCCTGGATCACGGTGGTCTTTGATGCGCTGGTGATTTGAGGGATTTGAGGCCTCTCGCCACATTCCGAGTGAACAAAGACTGGCTGACGTCGTTCATGGCGGCCTGCCCTAGATTCCATGCTCGGAATGTTGTCTTGGCACCAATACCTAGGTAGCCATGGTGCAATCAGAAGAGCTACGACAAGGCAGCCACCAATTGCTTCGACAAAGCTCCTGGCAGAGTCATCACAACTCACATCCAGCACCATACCTAGGTAGCGAGCTGATTGCTGTGCCGACCGCCGGGAGCTGCTAGCAGCACGATGTGGTTCTCAACCACACGGATACTGCCAAAAAAAACTCATTCGTCTCGTACTCCATCTCGCTGACACGCTTGAGCCTGACTATGAAGCGGATGGTGAGAGTTGCTGTCACTCCCACAAGCAACACCTGTCCTGGAAAGCTCACCAAGATTTGTCGTTTGACAGTTGTTTGCTCGCCAGTACATGTACTCCCGCTACATTCACAATCCGTCTCGTAGATTGCTTGCGACAGATTCAGCCTCCTTGATTAGCATCTCGTCAGGAGAGCTGTTAAGCGACATGTCTCTAGAACACCCCGAAGCCGGCATCCGAAATGTGCACTCGGGCCTGATGCGTATAGGGACCAACTTAGAGGCACACACTCTCAAGCTGGTATTCAGAAATATTCTCGTGTCCGAACTCGATATAGCAAGTCCCCAGGGGCTCACAGTGCCACATATTCATCGGGGATGCGAAGAAAGCGGTCCGAACCAGCTCCTCGGCCTCGACATGCTGATTTTCACGATTGAGCTGCCGAAGAGCTGGAAGATTCCGGTATGCATCACGGGGCGTGCGGTCTTGTGGTCCGCCATACCAAGCCAAATCCTCATTCAGGTGAAGGAGTTCGATCTTTGTGCGGCCATTGCCAACCGGCAAGGCCTCGGACCATTGCAGCTGGTTGCGGACTATTTCGTCTTTCCCGAGACGAGCCCGCTTAATATGGAGGAGATTGGCACTGCATTCGAGATGCCAGGGTCAAGTAATTCTGCCAAATTGATTCTCAAGATCGGGAAGGCGAGGAACGAAAAGGAGAGACTAGAAAGGAGGAGGGTACTTTCAGAAAAGTCAATCATGAATGTTGACATGTTTGCATGCCCAGGTGCGCATGCGGCAGGTGAGAAATATACTTCTTTGGAGAATGCGCATTCAGATTACGACCGATCTTCTGTCTTGAGTCACCACCAAATGTATGTTGAAGCATCTTTCATCCACCAGCACTACTTAGGTACACAATTCGAGCGATAGAAACGCTTGATCGGCATTGTTTGGGATCGTGTAATTCCTGTGACGCCACGCGCGGCTCTGTCAGCCTTTTACAAAAAGTCTGTTTACGGCGCCTTGATGATTATGTCCCAGATGTATGTGGAATTTAAGAAAACGATACCGGAAGGAAGGCTGCATCCGGTGAGCTACGGCACTAGGTGCTTCACAAAGACAGAGCTCCGCACTGATGACATTCTTTCACCTTTTCGCGACCAACGAGATTCCCTGTAGAGAATTCGTGATGATTAGTAAGGTCCATGGACAATGGAAATATCCCCCCCCCCGGTCTTTGATTCGGAATTCTTGTTATAGAGGAACTTGAAAAGAAGACAGCCTCCCAAACTTTATGAGGTGCGAGAATTGTTGAAGGGCACCAAGACAGACAATACTTGCCTCAGGCTCTGCCTTGAGAATAAAAGGCACAACATGGCCCCGTCCAGGCGTTCGCAGGCTCAGAAGGACTGGATGCTGAGATCTCCACAGCACGTTGGGTTCGGGTCAAAGGGATTTACCAGATTGAAGCGCTTGCGGTTCGGTATTGAAGTGGTCCAGTGCGTTAGCAATCGAAAATTGTATGTTCGCAAGCTGCTCAATAGGACAGTGGATGCAGGCGGCGAAGGTGGCTATGGCGAAGAAGACGAAGACGAGTATTGCTTCAAGTACGATCTTCCACCGGAATTTAGGGTGTCCACGTGCCCAGAAGCGACTGTGCAACTACCCAACGAGACTTACTTTCCCAAACTCATTGGGTGCCAACAGCGGGGCGAAAAGAACTGGGCATTATTCACGGAGTAAGTACCCTAGAGTAGAATTTCCATTCTTCCTGTCTCAACTCCGACGAAACGACAGCCGATTTCTGCCACGCGTTCATGCTTGAATGAATTATCATGGCTTATATTACGGGCAGATACTATAACGGCGGGAATCTAAAATCATTCATCCAAAAGCACTTCGACTATTTTGACGACGCATCTGATCAGGCCACTAGAAGGAATGTGCCCGGCCATTTCATCTGGCACGTAGCAGAGCAGATTGGCGAAGCGCTTGTCTACATGCACCTTGGCCTACCACGCGGGGTTTCGGGTCCTAATACTTGTACACCGGCGGAGGGCCGGTTGCGTATATACCATCGGAACATTTGTGATTCCAACATTTTCCTCCACTACCCTAGGACCTCGGGCTCCGAGCTGGATACACTCAGGACCCAGGCGTTTCCACAGATTGTTCTTGGTGGCTGGGGAGAATCGGCAATCGAAGGAGATGACCCGGAATTGATACAGCGCGGTACGCCCCCAGCTTCAACGATCAGTCCGGAACTGGCAGAGTGGACCGATGTGCACCAGTTTGGCTGTGTGCTCCGGCTCTTATGCATGGCGCATGTCGATCTGGACGTTCATTCGCCGGACGAGGGTTTTAAGGATGATGAAGCGTTTGACCGCAACCTACGAGTAGATATGGACGGGGACGAAGAGATCTGGGAGCGAGATAGACCGGACAGCCAGACACTAGAGAATTGTAACGGATATGGGGAGGAGAGAGTCTACTCCAGTGAGCTAATGCGGCTGCTTAAGAATTTCGAGAGGCCGGGTATGGACACCAACCCAGTCATAGGGCAGACCCAGTATGTGCCGACCGTGACCTGGATCGCCAGCACCTTGTTACCTCTGGCGAGAAGACGTCTACAGCAGCTCAAGAACCCTGCAAGGCCAACGGTAGATTATTTCAGAAGCCTGGACGTTTCGTGGACGAAGCCTTCAGACCAATTCCCGCAATAGTAGGAGCGGGTGACTTTGGAGAACGCGACGGTCAGGCAACCCTTTCAGGTGCTTCGTCCTCGAATGGCAATTTTGGCTGCCAGCCGCCACAAGAGCTCGAGGCGCTATGCGCCTGTGGGCTTGTCTGTCCTACTCGGCCGCACCTTATGAACATGCGAGCAGGTTTCAAAAGTCAGATGATATTACATGTGCGTCAACACTCGATACTTCAAGTTTCTTCTGCAGATTGATGGGAAGGGACAGATATGTTGTACGGCGATATCCGTGGTTTCGTAAAATTTGAATATTATGACCGATTCTCATGATCGATTTTCCTGGTAACTATCTGTCATACCTTGCTTCGTGGGAACTATGTCTCAATTAGGGCTGCAGCAGCTTTTCCGAACCTTGACTTGTAGTAATGTCCTGCCTCAATGGGCGTACACCCTCCTCATAGAGGCGTTCCGATGCTTGCCTTATTCTTTCCCTTTGCGTGACTGTCGACCATCCCAAGCCGAAAACTAATAATGAAGTTAGCCACGGACCCTCAAGTCTTGCATTCGAGGACATTCCAAATCAAGAATAACAGGAGGGGGGCGGGGATCAGTACCTAGGTAATAGAAGAAGAGCGTTGCTTACAGATCATACACGGTACAACCACAGTCCATCTGATCAAAGCAATAGCAACAACAGCAGCAAAGATCGTGATCGGCATCAAAGTCGTACTCAATATAGCCGCCCTATCCTCACTCGACTCCTCCAGACCCACACCAGGCAACGCCAAATCCACGGAGGACGCCATTGGGTGACCCTCAGAAACGGCCTGCTCGTGCGAAAACAACGCAGATATCTAGTACGCACTCGCGGTGAGCTTCAACCCCCCTTGAAGGGGATGATGGGCCGAAAGGCAATGAAGAGCACATACCAGCCCGTTCAGCCTCTCCGTGCGCGCCTTGAGATCCACCAGCGTCTCCTCCAGCGACGCCATGTGCCTCTCGACCGCGGGTATGGCCTCGATCATGCCCTGCATGGCCCTATGGTACCTGTCCAGGAACGACGGCGCGACGACGTCCGCCACCACCGTCTCATGCTCGCGTGAAAGCATCTCCAGGATCTCCCTGCCCATCTTGATCTGCCGCAGCCTGCGGGCCGCGCTGTCGGCGATTTCGCCGGACGCTTGGGACCAGGATATCAATTTGTCGATGCTGAAGGGCTTCTGCTGGGTCGGTGTGCCTGGCGAGAGGTCGATGAAGCTCGGTTCTGTTGAAAGTCGTCTCGCATAGGAGGATGACTGTCGTGATAGAGATTGGCTTTTGGACTGACTCCGCGTCAAGTCTCCGGTCCTCGCCGCCTCACTAGTTCCGCTGCCGACCTTCCTCTCGATGTCTTTGACGTGCGGCAGATCGCTTGTGCTGAGCTGGTCATCGAAAGAATGCAGCATGTGCAGACAGGAGACAAAGCTCAGCAGAGGCGGCGCAAATATGTAGCCGCGATACATCTTCAGCATGGTCCTGAAGCCCACCCAGGCCTCGCTCGGGATAACCGCGCCGCCATTGGCTTTGCTGGACTTTTTCTTGGCAGAGCCTGAATCTGTTGGCAGAACCGGATCCTTCGGCAGCTCTGGAGGTTTGCGGTTGATGAGCAGACCTTTTGTCTCCAGAGTTCGGCGATTGAATGTCCACACCAGTGCATAATCAGCTGTGCCGATGAATGTCGTCAAAATTCCCTTGGTCGTGTCGTTGTACTCATGGAAACCATCATAGTCGCGAACAATAAAGTACAGTGCGCCATGGTCTGCATCCATGGTATCCACATAAAGATGAAGGAAGGCTTCCCGGGAAATGGCTAGAGTGTTTGTGTCCTCTTCCGAGCCCTCCTCAGGCGGCGCACGCTGGATACACACCATCTTCAGTGACGCGGCAGCCTCCACCTCCTGCTTCGCCCTCTTGGGAATCTCATCGCTGCCTTTGACAGGATATGTGGCTGCCGTCGCTGTCGTGGCAGCTGTGCTTGCGGTTTTGTTGCTCTGCAGACTCACACTCCGCAAATGGCCGGTCGTGCTGGCCGTTCCGCTGTCTGTTGCCTGGCCCAGCGCCTTTGGTATCTTTGCATCTGTTTGCTGTAGCTGTGACGCAGGGCGTTTCGGGCTTGGTGCCATCGATTCAACGGGTCTCATCTTCATGAACGCAACAAGGTCCTCCTCGTACACCGACCATTCGTTGAAAGTGGTGCGATTGCCACCGCGGTCGCCGGCAGCTGCACCTGGTACCTTGGACGCGTCATCCGTGGATTTGCCAGCGCCTGCAGCGCCGTCAGAAATAGAAGAGGCATTTGGTATGCTCTCATGTATGGACTGTCGATTATTCGATGCTGCGCCTGAGGTGGGGCCTTGTGCATTTGGCGATTCAAATGCGCCGATCTCGATGACGTTGTACCGCTGGGAATCGTCACTCCCGCCCCGGAACTTCTGATGCCTGTCGAATGTCGACTGGGCGATCAGCCTTAGGCCTTCCATGGCTGAACTTGAAGAATGGCACTGGGGAAGGCGGTCTGGCACTGCAGCCTGTGTCGCTTCAGTAACTTTTTCACGGTTGTGGATCCTGCAGGACGGAAACGAGCCCGGCCAGGGGTGTTTCTGTGGATGGGTGAGATGCCGTCAAAGGGATGCCAGCACTGAGGCAACGCGGCCGAGATGGAATGAGGTGGGAAGTGTGGCTTGAGGGGTAAGATAGGCCGGCAGTGTGGCGAAACCTATTGCCTTATTACCGGCCAAGGGCATCGGCGGGGCATCACCTGTCAGACTGGCAGACGTCTCAGCTTTCCTTCGTCATCATGCGCTAGCCGTAAGATTGGTTGAAGCTCAATCATCAGGTCTTTGCTATGACTTTTGTATGGTGACACTGGTGGGCAGGGGGTGAATCCTACGGTGGATGGAGGGTGACCCCCGTGCATGATTTGCCCATGGCGACCTGGAACCAACTACTAGTAGGCCATCCGAGTCCCGAGGTCGTCGCCAAGCGCGCCGCAGTGCTACTGGTCGCCGCCCGCAGTAGCAACAGCCCTACCTACCTGTCGTTCCATTGTGACGGGAAGGTTTATGTTGCTCTCCAGCAGGGGTCATGGAAGGGCGAACAGGTGGACAGGTGGCTGAGACTCGCATCATAAAATTACATACATCAGCCTTCCAGAACTCCATAGAATGAGACCCCGGAACCTGGCTTGCCTGGTTGGGGGAGAGTGCTTGCAGGGCGCATGAACTTGGTACGCAGGCCATTGCTCCTGGACCCTTGATGTCATCCAATTGGCGTCCATACCTGGGTACTATCTACCCACATATGTACCTATACTGCACGAATTAATGTTACCAACACGCAACGCCAATAGATTCCACGCTCGACTGAACAGTAAGTTCCTAGGTAGCATGTCCCCATCACGATCAATCATTTGCCCAGGTGGTTGCTGCCATTCGTGAAAAGGCACACCAGCACACTATATGCTCCAATGGCTGTGAGACTGATACCGGTGAAGCCCATCTCGATATGTGTCTGCTTCAGCTTTTTCAGACGCCATGAAGTATGCTAGCTGTCGAGTCGACCTGGAGTGTGGCCAATATTCTACCAGCGTGATCTACCCAGGTAACCCGAATCGCTGCACATGGGGGGAGATGCAAATGGTGAATACGAGGCTTTGCGTGGTACAACCGAGAGAATCATTATCTAATCCATGATGGCAGATATACAAAGTAGCCAGGCCTTCAGACCATCGCCCTAGGTCCGTGAACCACGTACCCTGGGTATTACCAATGACTTGAGTGGCTTGACAACGTCTGACGTTGCGTACCCACCTACTAGGTACCTACTTAGGGAGGTAACACTTGGAAAGTCAAAGCACCGTCTCGAAAGGCCTCTGCAATGCTTCGAAATGCTACAACCATCGTGTTATGAGCAGCCATTTTCACTTCAAACGGCTGGAGGACCATTCTTATGAATTGCTGAAGTGGAATCTCAATTCAGGAAACAGCACTGAGAGACGCATTCCGACGACCAGCAAGGTGCTTAAGATGACCATGCAAATTCAAGTGCAAGCTTCGAACATTCAAAGCTATGAAACGAGTCGAAGTGAGCCGGATTGTTTTGACAAAGGGAATCTCGTTGAGAAGATCGTGTTCAGCTAGGGCGAAATTAATTAGGGATCAGTTGACGTTTGGTTCAATCACGGTTTGGAGGCCATGGCGAGCCAAGGGAGGCAAGATCTTAGATATCAATATCCCACACAACTACTATTTCCATAGCAGCACCACACTTCACGAAGTATTTGATGGCACACCAATCTCCTAGGAGCCTTGGAACGCTGCCGAGGTCCGTCTTTGCACGTTTACCACTCTACAAGTAGACCGTACGCCTTCAGGATGTATACGGATTAAGAACGAAACCACTTGATTTATAGGGCGTTAGCCCCTAGGTTCCTGCAGTACATCCATAATTTAAGTGGGATGTTTTCTATTGGGGGTTAAAGAGGAGTGAGGGAACATTGAAGGATTTGGCACTATGGCAGCTAAGCAGACACCTGAGCAGAATGCATTAAAGACATAGGTCTTACAATCGAGACACGAGATTGAAATTGTTTTCAAACAGTTGGATTTACCAGAATCCGAATGCAGTTGACCCCCGAAATTTAAACGACACTCGTGATTCTTTTTTTCAGAACGTGCACCCAGCCCACCCCCAAAGACGCTATACCCTTGTGACTGTGATCTCAGTTTTAGCCATGATCTTGGTCGGCTCCAATATATATTCCGTGCTGTCCGTATTGCAATTTGTGATGTTTGCTTCGGCCTCGACCCGATGGCCGGAGAGTGAGCCCCCGAGATGGGTATCACGCGGATGATTTGTCGATTTCCATGTACGCAGTGCGTACTGGGACCCAATCTGGTAGCCTGCTCCCCCAGACTTGCCCTTGGAGCCGACCGTGCTCCGTTCCCTAAAGTATTTGATAAGGGGAGATAGGCACGGGATACTAGCTACTATGACTCCCAGATTGGCCTCGACTGCAGACCACATTATCAATGGTGCAGAGTCGGTGTAGACAGCTAGCCGCTTGACTGTCTGTATCCGTATAATCTGGATGATTGTGATGAAGATGCCCAGCCCAAACAGTCCTAGCAGCACAAGCTTTTTGCGGTTTTGCATCTTCAGGCCCATCAGGACAGGGAATGGAAGCACCATGCTGAAGTTAATCCAATCTCACGTGTTAGTACCCTTTTCGTGGTAAAAGGCCACAAGCCTATCGACAGAAAGTAAAACAATTTAAGGGCGCATTTTCAATGTATCGAATCAGAAGAGACTCACGCAGTAACATCGAACACAATGGTCAGTGAAGCCATGGTGGTGTATACGGGAACACCGGCAAGGCACGTCTTATCCACGATGCTCGGGTCCCACTGGGCAGCAATCTGCGGTGTCTGTCAGCAATTTGAACAGTAGCTTTGACAGCGAATGTAGCGCTCACGGGTTGGCAAAGATTAATTTGCACCAGCAGGAACGACAAGTGAAAAAGAATGGTCAAGACGATAACGACAAATGTAGCGTATCTGTAAGCGCCTTTTGGCATGAAGCGCAGGTATGCTAGTGGTGAAGTTAGTCCTGCTACCTAGGTACGGGTCCCAAAGTGTTCAAATGTTGTATTCCAAAACATGAAAGACGGGGATCCGTAAAAGGTGGAAAGTGATACTGACACAACAGTAGGCTCAGCTTGAATGCTAGAATGCTTGTAATATAACTGATGATTCCTCGTCAGCATCAGATAGGCCGTACAAATGTTTAGTCGCGACAGTGGGAAAGTTTCTGAAAACTCACAATGGAGCGCCCATGTATTGTATCTATACATCCCTTTCCATCAGCCTGATGCCGCGAGTCAAGGAGCCTACACCATGACTTACCAGGCCAAAGTTATAAATGTCTTCGGTGGGCAGATCTTCGATGTTCTGTAGCCCAAGGCCCCACCGTGTCTCTTCAAGTTTGGGTTGGCATCGTCAGTCACTTGCCCTTGTTGTATTAAAGCTCGGTCAAGGCCGATGGTGATGAGAACTCACGGATGCAGGACAGGATAGCGAAGCCCGCGGAGGAAATCTGAGGCATGTGAGAACTCCATCATAGCTGCAATGGAAACACAAGCAGAACTCACCCAAGCATAGACAATTACCCAGTCATCTATGAGTTTGGTCATTAGCCTATGTAATCAAGAACATCTTCTTGCAATATCGAATGTACCTACCAGCGCCGAAGGCCTTGACCATGAATTGTCGGACATAAACGCGAAGAATAACTGTTACCATGGCCAGAGTCGTCATGATTATCGCAACAGCTTTCACACGATTAGCTCTGGAACCTCCCACACCAATACAGTACTAATTCAATCATCGGCATACCTGAGATCTTGGGCCCATCTGTCGGCGCATTCGGGTCCGCGGTGTTGAAGGTCCACCCCATTCTGCTTAGCTCGGTCAAGGTCAGCTATGGCTGCTGGGTGGGTTCTGTCTGAGATCAGGAATTTGCAGATCCGGAACGTAGCGGTCAACCGAACGACTTTTGTACTGTGTAGATCAGGAGACCACATGTGCAGTTTGATGCAAACAGCCCAGGTGCCCACATCAACTTCAATCTGCCATTTTGAAAAGCGGGTGGACGTCAAATATGAGTGACTGGCGGAGAAGACGCCAAACCAATCTAGACTCGGATCGGCCTGAACTGCATCTTGAATCACCGCTGGAACAGTCTGTACCTCAAGATGGCCAGCTTGCTGAGGCCCTTGCTCACCTCACACATACCTGCATGAACCTGGGCCAAACATAAGGGCCCGGTGATTGTCCAGGTCGAGGTACCCACTTCAGGCCAGCTACTATCCGAGATACTTTGTGCTAACGGAGTGTCCACACCTGATGGTGGGAATGTGGGCAAACTCTTGCAGCCAGGCGCTCCGAGGGTATTTTTGATGGCTCTATCTCCTAGGACTACTGCCTGTCCCCCTTTGAGCCGCGTGAATCTGGAAAGCGGGAGCACGCATTGCGTGGCTTATCAATACGCACTCCCGGGGGATCGGTCCCTGCCTCACTGCACATGTGTGACCGGACATCGAGCACCATCGACCGCGATTGTCACCGTTGGTTTTCGAGTGGGGGTTTGACGCATATCAGCCGAGGCTTCCGCTGCTCAGGAGTGTCATTTGCGAAATTTGCCGCAAACAGGAGGGGCTGGTCTAATTCCTGTGCTATTGGTGGAGGTCTCATGAACGGTGACCGTCCTTGGATGAACCATCCCACCCATCCTCACTCTCGGGCGCTAGATCCAGGGCCAGGTTTTCTAGAACAAAGCTTGTCTCAAGGAGGGAGCTTAATCTGCTTGATGCCGCTGGCCCGACGGACGTCGTCGGGGTTGTAGTGATTACTTGAGGTATGTCAGGGATTAGGCTGGGCAACATGCCTAGACACTTGCAAGATAATTTCTTTACGGTGCAAGGTCGGGAGTAGACCCACACCGTCGATTATTAAGTACGCAGGGCGAATGAGAGTTCTGTGTACAATGGCCAGCTCCCTGTACAGTCGGGGCAGATGACCCCTTCGGCAGTCCTCATCCGATGCAACAAGCATGCTCCGCTGGACTTTTGTCGGAAGTGGACTCAGCAGCTGGGCCACGCGAACAAAATGGAACGATATATCAAACGCAGGTTGGCCGGCGCTACTCGGCAGGGGTCGATGGTCTAGACCGGTTGGGGAAGGTGTATTCTGACTGTTCGCAAATATTTGATGGCTTGGAAAACTAAAAGAACGCCCACGTGGCATTTGGAACTCTTTTTCCTGCTCCGCACGAAGGTTCCTTCGGGCATCAAACTGTCAAGGTTGGATCAGGAAATGCTTACCACGTGTCTGGAAAAGTGAAGAATAGCCCGGGTCGCAACAGAACGACATGGTTTTCCGTCTGGGCAACCAGGGTGCTGGGCGCCGCACACTCCAGCCAGTGCTTGATAGTGATAGATCACCCCGGGGATATGCCGAGCTCCCAGGCTCCCCACAGCGAGGGTGGACGACTGGCAGGGTCCCTAAACCTTGTTCTCCCCCCCATGCAGCGATTGGCTGCGGACTTGGGAAATGCTGGCCTGGTCACCAGTCGGCCGGAGGAGCTGAAGAGGGCGATATCAAGCATGTTGTGGCGAAACGATGCCGTCTTCGGCCTGCAGATTTATATGCACACTTCGAGATGCAATCCTGTCTGCCGGAACGGCAGGATCAGCAGATCTAATCCCTGCACCCGTGCCGCTTAGAAGTCCCGACGTCCTGTGTTATGCCTCAAGGTCAAGGATTTCCAGGTGGGCCCCCTTCCCTCCGACTCCACCTTTTGCGCGTTACTCTTTCCAACGACCAAATCTAGGGGGCCCCATATCACGATCCTTGTGGTGTGGCTTTGATCTATTCTAGACGGCCACCAAGTAAGTAGCAAAGGGGTCTGACAGCATTATATGAACAAGTGGGATACGATTGAATCAAGAGTGGTTACGCCGTTGGTTCTTGCCTCCTTCTTCAGCACCGCAGTCACCCGTCAGTCTTCAATACAACATGAGGACTTCCACATTGTATCTCGGCGTTTGCGCCACGCCTGCGCTTTCCCTGGCCTTCTCGAGCGGCTCTTGCAAGTGCTTCCCAGGGGAGAGTTGCTGGCCGTCCACCGAGAGCTGGGAATCCTTGAACGCGACGGTTGGTGGCAGGCTGATCGAGACTGTTCCCTTGGCTCAGAAATGCCACGACCCTCAGTTCGACAATGCCACCTGCTCAACGCTTCAGAGCGAATGGAAGTCACCAGAGGTGCAGTGAGTTGGAGCTACCTGTGGCTTGCATCCCGTGAAACGAAGCTAACAAGTTCACAGCATGTCGGACCCGTCCTCCGTAATGGCCCCTTTCTTTGCCAATCAGAGGTAAGCAGAAGTCAAGTGCCGGGTTGACATACCGGTTCCTGTGAGGACTACATGAGCGACTAACTTATTGCCCCCTCGACGTCTAGCTGTGACCCCTTCACTGCCGAGGACAAGCCCTGTGACTTCGGCAACTATGTCCGTTACGCCGTCAATGTCTCAAACGCAGATGATGTGGTTGCTACCATCACATTTGCCAAGGAGAATAACATCCGGTTCGTTATCCGAAACACCGGACACGATTATCTCGGTCGTTCAACTGGGGCCGGATCTCTCTCGGTGTGGACTCACTACCTGAAGGACATCGAATTCCTCCATTGGAAGGATGCCACCTACACCGGGCAGGCCGTCAAGGTCGGTGCGGGAGTTCAGGGCTACGAGATCATGGATGCCACCAGGGCCCGTGGGCTGGTTGTGGTTGGTGGTGAGTGCCCGACTGTCGGTATTGCTGGAGGTTATACACAAGGCGGTGGGCACTCTGCCCTGAGCACAAACTTCGGTCTCTCTGCGGACAATGTTTTGGAGTGGGAGGCAGTCACTGCAGATGGCCAGATTGTCAAAGCTTCCCCTACAGAGAACCCAGACCTCTACTGGGCTCTTAGCGGCGGTGGCGCGGGCAACTATGCTGTCGTGACCTCGATGACCGTCAAGGTCTTCCCCGACACTCATGTTGGAGGCGGTACCCTTGCCTTCTACGCGGCTGATACAACCGCCGACCAGTTCTATGAGGGTATCAACGCATTCCACGCGGCCCTGCCAGCCATGGTGGACGCGGGATCCATGGTTGTTTACTACTTCACCTCCACTGTAAGTTCCTCTTGGTGAATTGTGCGGCTCGATTTCGATTCAAGTCTAATGCAACTCTAGTTTTTCCAAATTGCGCCACTCACGGCCTACAACAAGACAGCAGAAGAAGTCGAGACTATCCTGGCTCCTTTTGTTCAAAAACTTAACGAGCTGAACATCAAGTACACAGCTGCCTACAACGAATCTTGCTCGTACTACAAACACTACGATACCTACTTTGGACCACTCCCCGTCGGTGCTATCCAGGTCGGAATAGCCCAGTACGGTGCGAGACTCATCCCTCGCGCAGTGGTAGAGGGCAACGCAACAGAACTCAACCAAGCAGCCCGCTTCATCGCCGAGCAGGGCGTCACCTGGATCGGTGTCGGAACGGACGTCAGCAAGTTCGCGACCGACGAGAAGAACGCCGTGCTGCCCGCCTGGCGAAGCGCCCTCGTCCACGCCACATTGACGACTGTCTGGTCCTTCGACCCGGCAGACTGGGATCAGATGCTGGCAAACCAGCAGCTCATGACCAACACTATCATCCCTAAGATCGAAGCCGCCACGCCTGAGTCAGGCGCCTATCTTAACGAGGGTGACTTTCAGCAGCCCAACTTCCAGCAAACGTTCTTCGGGTCAAAGTACGAGACCCTTCTTGGCATCAAGTCGAAGTACGACCCGACTGGACTCTTTTACTCGACCAGGGCAGTCGGTTCAGAGCCATGGACGGTTGCCGAAAACGGACAACTGTGTCGGTCTTGATGCCGCCTATAGAGAGAGAATCACTACTACATACATTAAATAGTACTTAATCAAGTTCAATGACCACGGATCGTGTGTATGGAGATCTTCATCGTGCACGAAACTGACCACAAGCATTACTCGGGTGTCCGCTACGCGGCCACGGTCTGTATCCCCCACCTCAGCCAACCTCTCCTGGGACAATCCCCTCACTTATAGCAGAGCCTCCTAATGTCCTGTAGAATATCCCTGCTAGAAGATATAACGTCTATCGAACAACTTCTTATGGGACGAGGGGTGGTCAACTCAAAGGGACCTCTAAACAGACAGTCTCCGGAATGGCCTCCACCAGAAGGCTGAGAAGGGAGTCAAGGTACAGAGGCTCTGGTATGACACCAAAAAAGCCTTATGGGGGCATGACGATATTTTGGCAACAGTGTATGTGATCCATATACCCTTCACCTTTGTAGTCTGATTCGGGAGGGGCGTTTTTCTAAACCGTGACTCCTTGGATATGCTATTGGCTGACTTCTGCGGTGGTGACATGACAAGAGGGCATGCAAGTTACTACGAGGAAGAATCGGAGGGTTGAGGGTTGTTTGACATCTTAGAGCTACTATGATATAGTCATCTGCTTTTTGAAGATGGTCCAGAGAACTGCCAGTGCTCAAGTGAATGTTCTTCCTCCAGATGTTTGGCCTCGACCAGTTGACGTGAGAGAGACACAGGAGATCAGTCATACCAGACGGGCATAAATATGGGGTAGACCTGAGTTGTATGCAATGGGATATCATGACATATATATTCAGGTACATTTCTTGAGATCATTCAGGAAAGATAACGGTTTTCAATTACGTGCTTGAGATCTCTACCCTTACTGGCCATTACTCGCTGCCCTCTTGGCCAATCCCTCACGGACCCGGGGCAGGATGTACCGTCCATAGTCGATGCTGTCGTTGAGGTTGTCATAGCCACGGATAGAGATCAGATCGGCGCCAAGATCGACGTAATCCAGGATAGACTCGGCAACGGTGTCGTATGACCCTACAAGAGCCGTAGACGCACCCCGCGCATTCGTCGCGGTGACGGTAGGATACCACAGGCACCTGTCCTGCACCTCGCCACGCTTTGCAATTTCCAGAAGGCGCTGAGAGCCCACGTTCTGTGGCTCGCCTGTAGCGGGTGGCGCCTTACCCTGCCCCGCCCAAGCGGCGCCGCCGTTGCCCTTGAGCGCGTCGAGCGTCCTGTAGGCCTTTGCCCAGGCGAGGTCCTCCGACTCGGCAATGATGGGCCGGAAGGTGACCCAGATGCGCGGCCGGTCATCCTTGGCACGGCCGGCCTTGTCAGCCTCGGCGTAGATCTTGTCGATCTGCTCCTTGGTCTCCTTCAGGGGCTCACCCCACAGGCCGAAGATGTCGGCGAGGGAGCCGCCGACCTGGTAAGCCTGGGGCGACGAGCCGCCGACCGAGACCTTGATGGCGCGTGGTCCGCCCACGGGCTGCACCGCGTTTGAGAAATCCTTGAACTTGTAAAACTGGCCGTCCCAGTCGAAGGGCTCGGACGACTCCCATGCGCGGCGGAGGATCTTGATGTACTCCTCGAGCCTGGCATATCTTGAGTCTTTGTCCAGGAAATCACCTTCCCTCGCCTGCTCGGCATCACTGCCTCCAGCGATAAAGTGCACAACTACCCGACCCCTGCCGAGATGGTTGAGTGTGGCAAGCATCTTGGCGGCAACAGTGGGGAACATGGTGTTTGGCCTCAGGGCAATAATGATGTTGAGCTTCTTAGTCTTAGCCAAGATGGTGGCCCCTATTGTGAAGGGGTCGTATCCACCGGACCCATCTGTGCAACGATTTCCAGTTAGACAAATCTGTATTCACAATATCAAATACCCATGAGAGACATCTACAGAGGGCAAGCTCCAGAGGACATCAATGATCTCAAGTGCTCACGGGATGCCGAAGACACGTATAATTTTGCCGTACAAAGGAAGACTACCTACAAGGGATGAGGGTGTAGTTGAAATCATAGTCGTCGAGCCCACGCGAATAACGCTCAATGAAGTCTGGGTCGGCCTTGGCCCCTGGGATCGGCTGGATTTCCGTCGAGGCGTTGGGGAAGGTTACTGAGATGAATTCGGCGAAAGACATTTTTGATAGTTTCCGGCAGAGGACCCTGTTCAATCAAACTCGCGCTAACATGGGTGTTTTGTATGATGCGGACTGGCATTGCCAAGTTCAATTTGGTAGTTGGGTTATATAGTAGGCGCGGTGTTGGCGATGGTGGGGAAGCAGATGGCGACAGCTGCTTGAGGATCACGTCTTACACCAAAATCCGATGATCGGCCGGATATCGTCCCACGCAAGGAGTCACATCATTTGAACTCTAGCTCGCGCCAGCGAATAAAGGCTCGGGAGTCGGCCAAGCAAAGCATCAAGCCGCATCCTCCAGATCAGATCAAGCTGCCGGCCCATGCCCATCTACACACCCTGCGTCCACTCCAAGCCCCGAGATACGCGCGCGGATTAGCAGCAGCCGACTTGATTAATCAGACAACATCCGATCCTCCGGCCTATTCGAAAGATACAACCCCGATATCTCGGTCGGATCCTGCTTTGTAATAGGCATTGGGTACATCTGCAGCCTCCGTTTCCAGATGTGGGTGACATGGAATACGCCCAAGTGTGCCGATGGGGCTGTGGCGGCTTGCTGGCAAGTTGCTGCACACGTCCTCGACGATGATGTCGCTTCAGCAAGCTACCTGGGTGACACTTATACTTTGCCAGCAGATGACTAGTGGTACAAAAAGAAGATAAAAGAAACATTGAATGCTCCAAAGCCAGTGCCAACCAGCCATGTACGTTTATGTCTTTATTGGTCATGCCCGCCTAGGAGGTACCTAGGTACCTAGGTACCTCATAATGGCTGAATGGCTGGAGGGTTGGGGTACTGGTGTACGCTGATTCGGGCTACTCTGTTGTACTACGTAGTACACTTATAGAAACATGTTGCCCTCGCAGGCTCGGGCCCCTCTGTTCTACGGTTATTACTACGAATGATGCCTGCAATTTACGGTAGATGAGCAGAAATGGCAGCCTGCCGACGAGCCAGATCGTTGATCCCATCATTGGTCGAATCGTGATCCTTCGGAGCGTTGGTGCACGGTCCGTCAATGATCCGCTGGTCCCGGTACTTTTGGCCAACGCCAGCTCACTCAATCGTAAGCTCTCAGGGGGAGGCTCCCTCAGCTGCGCGAGGCGCGTTGGCCAAAGTTTATCAATTGATAGTTAAGCCCAACGGCACCAACTCTTCCTCAACAGACGATGCAGTGAGGTGACACGACATCAACAGGTACTCGAGTCATTGCTGATACTAGTAGCCGCCCAAGATGGCTGGCGTCTCGGCCCTCGTCCAGGGCTTGTTGTCGCGCATCAAGCAGGAGCACTTGCTTGTCCTCGCCGTCACTTTTGCTGTTGTCTGCGTCTCCACCCGGATCATCAGTGGCAACAATGCCCGCCCCGGCGTCGACCCTCGGGGGCCTCACAAAGGGGGCGCCAAGATAGCACCCGCAGTCCCCTACTGGGTCCCGTATCTGGGGCACATACCTCAGATGGTCTTTGGCGCCGAGAGCTTCCTCGCCGGCCTCCGTAGCCTCCACCCTGGCGGCGCCTTCTCGCTCAACTTTCTCGGCGGCGTGCACACCGTCGTGTTCAAGCCCGGCCTGACGGCGTCCCTGATCAACCAGCCGGTGCATATTGCCGACGGCCATGCATCGTCAAAACACCTCATGAAGAGCAACTTCGGCTGGCCGAGAAGCAAGGCTAGTCTTGAGACATACGACAAGGTCATCGATGAACTACTCGCCCTCTACAGGTTCCTGAGCTCCGACAAGGCGCTCAATCAGATGGTGGACAGGACTGTGCAGCGCCTACGACACAACATTGCCGACCTGGTCACATTCAACGAGAGCGAGGTCGACCAGGTCGAGTGGGAGAAGTACGCGGGCGCCGAGACGGTCCGGGACAACAAGGGCGAGCAGGTCGTCGAAGCCGACCTGTACGATCTCGTGCGCAACTTCATCGCCATGACTGCCAACGTCTCGCTGTTCGGCACCGACTTTGTCGAGAACTACCCCCGCTTCTGGCAGCACCTCTGGAGATTCGACGATGGGTTCATGGCCCTCGCCGCCGACCTCCCTGCCTGGCTGCCCATCCAAAAAGCTATCGCTGCCCGCCGCGCGCGGTCCGAAGCCATGGCGTGCCTCCGGGAGTTCCACGCCGCGCTCGAGGCGGATCGCGAGGGACAGAAGCCCAAGCCCGAGTGGGCCGACATCGACAACGTCAGCCCGCTGATCCAGGGCCGTGTGGACCAAGTCTACCGCAAGTACAGCCTGACACTCGAGCAGCGAGCTTCAAGCGACTTCGGTTTGGCTTGGGCCATGAACGCGAACGCCAACCCGCTCGTGTTCTGGATGCTTTGGCGCATCAACTCCGACGCGGTCCTACTTGCCCGTATCAGGGATGAGGTCGCCCCTTACATCGTCATTGAGAAGCCAGCGCATGGGTTCGGCTCTGCCTTCAAACAGGCCATGAGGATCGAGAGTATTGATGTAGATGGGTTGGTCAACAAGTGCCCTCTTCTCAAGGCAGCATACATCGAAACCCTCAGGGTCGACGTCAGCGCATGGAGCTTCAAGGTGATCCGGGAGGATGTCATAGTTAGCGACAAGGACGCGTCTTCGGACAAGTTCTTGCTACCAAAGGGGACTTATGCGCACGGAGCCCACGAGCTGAACCACATGAACCCCGATGTCTTTGAAGACCCCAAGGAGTGGTCTATTGACAGACATATCAAGTGGGATACACCGAACGAGAAGGGGGAGAAGCAGCCAGTGGGCGCGGATATGGGGGTTGTGAGGCCATATGGTAAGTTGCTGGAGTGGAACTCTGGCCCCGAGGTTGACTTTACTGACACCCTTCACAGGCGGGGGAGTAAGCATGTGCAAAGGTCGTCAGTTCGCCTTCAAGGAGATTCTGATTTTCACTGCCGCTATCCTCACGACATACGACATAGAACCGGTTGGTGGCGGGCCTTGGAAGCTGCCCAAGCAAAGCAATGGTGCCGGTACAAAGCATCCGGCGTCATCGACTCGGGTCTGGATCAAGGCCCGAGCGACGTAACAGCACTTTGGTGCCTAGGCATCCACTCAGCTTGGGATAGACGCATCAAATAAATATCAATGGCTCGACTTCTTGGAGATCGCCAATCTCCCAGTCCGGGCAAAATTGACCAAATGTGAGTGGGGCGGTGGTGGTGATGCATGTCCATTGGCATCCGGTCCAATCGCATCGCCAGAGGCAAACTGCTCTCGTTGCTACTATCTCTGAGGATATCCTCCTGTCGTATTCTTTACTGGATTGAGATCATACAGCGACCATCTTGAGAGACTTACTCTCGCCGTATAACTCCATCGCGGCGTTCTAGTCAACGCCGTCGTCAAGACGGTGCCCCTTAGCCTTGTCTGTAAGGCTGAGGCCACAAGCACCTATCGTATTATAACTATTGTTATCGACATCGTATTCTTTCCAAGCGCTGGGTCTTGAGTGCTTACCACCGTATGAAGGCGCCATGTATGTCCTCGGACGTATACGGAATAGAAGCGAAACCACACACAAGCTCATGTGCCCACCGTTTGCGTATCCAAGGAAGGCTCGTTACCTAGGTAGGCAGGCACATGGGTGCTGTCATGTTCTAGTAAAATACTCCACAGAATTGCGGAGCTGATACGCCACGGTCAAAAGTCGTCACGCACCCCCATACCAGAAAATGTACTCCATGGTCCATATGTCGTGTATAGAAGAAGAAGAAGAAAAACAAGAACCCCCCCCCCGGCATGGCTCTCAGGCTACAGAGAATACATGTGCACCTTGTCAGACTTGGGGCGGACGGGTAGATGCTGCCTCAAACTTGGTTCCATGCGGGAGGATTCCTCATCATCACGACGTTAAGGTGTACGGAGGACAGTGTATCAGGCGACCGGTAATAGATGCTCATGGAACATTGACGAAGTACTTGCACATGTGACGACGGCATGCCCTACCACATATGCTCGCGGCCAGCCCCCCGGACTGATGAGTGAGGCAGATGCGTTGATGAGAATTCTCCATTTGTTGATAGCAAGCACTGCACAAAAGCTGCATGCTTCATGAAGATCAAAAGATCTGTTCTTCCCCACTCTCGAGGCTCAGGGATGAGGATCGTGCCTAGGTAGACCAAGGTTTGCCCTCAAGCTATTTTCGCACACTAGAGAAAACGCCTTGCCCGATTGACGCGCCGAGCCCCAACGAATCGTCGAGTCTATCCGGAAGACGAGAAACATATCTCACTTTCAAGGTTGTTGGGGGCTGACTCGCCTCAGTCTTGGTGGCTGTATCCGCGAGTCGTCTTAAATTGCCCCGGCACAAGCGCTTGGCCCAGGGCCCGCCCGGGCCTTGTGCCTTGCATGGTCCAAGACTTTGGGCGGGAGCTGTTCAGCTGCGGTTCTGGCCCGATATGACCGTCACGGCGTCAACTGGCGGTGCAGATGTCTCAGCCGTGGACTCTCAGCCCAGGCGGCCGATTCGGGGATGCGATCCAAGCAGCTGGGAATCTTGGAATATTCGCAGGGACTGTCAACAGGGCTGTGTCTGTCGATGGAGGCAAAATGCGACGCTGAACTCAGCCTGGTTGCAGTGCATGTGACGCGACATAACATGGTCGGCAAGGGCTCCGATAAGTACAGTACACCACTGGCGAGAGGCGTGTCGGCCTGGACCCGCCGGCAGCTGGGAGCCCTGGAGTGCCAAGCAGCGCCAAGCGATAGCGGGATTCTGGAACCCTTCTGATGGGATGCCATAAGGTAAGGACTAAGTAATCAGCCTGGATGTGACCCAAGATGGATAGCATCGGGCTCTTGGCAGAAACTTTGAAGCGGAGGTGGGCTTTCTAAAGCTCTTCCTTTCTGCACGTCTGCACCACGTGCAAGCTGAAGGAAGGGCTAAGAAAACACCAAGACACAGGCCCGATAGGCCCCTGGGCATGGCAACTTGGAACCTTGGACGAGATGCTTGCGTCCTCGGGTGGCTGCGCCAACTTTCAGGAACGAGGCTTGAACTGCTGGGCTCCCGCCTCAAGCTTCTCTTGTCCGATGTGCTTGTCTGTGTGTCTACCGATCTTGATTCTGGCTCCAGGGCTGTCCTGTCCACATGTATATACATCATTGATATGTGCCATCTGGGCTGGCAATACTTGCTGTGCATGCAGTCACAGGCCCTTCAAATGTTATTAGCATAATACCTAGTAGTACATACTTGAGCATGTACGTACGGTTGATGTCGGTGCCCCACCCGAGTGCTTCCAGAACAGCGGACCGTATCAGCAAATCCAATCTACAAAGACTTTACTTCCCCGGATTTGGACCCCATATCGCCAGCTACAGCCTACCACGCAACTCGTCTGCTCGTCCCCGCCCCTGCTGGTGGTGGGCTCGCAGGTGGAGCCGGCCACGATAAGCTGACCTCGGGCGAACACACCTGCACGCTTTGGGGCAAGGGGGGCGGTGCTGGGCGTGACGAACTGGGGCACAGCGCCGCTTTATCTCTTGGCGGTGCAACGCTCCCCAGCTCCTCACTGGCAGGACTTGCCTTTGCAGGAAAGCCCTTTTGAGACAGGCATGACAGGGCCGCGGTCTGGCGGTGCAGCCCCGTTGGCTGACGATGAATTTGCAACTATTATATGTACACTATCCGTATTGCCCTGTCGAGGTTGCCACAGCTCCCAGACCATCCCTGTGTGCCAAGCTGAAGGAAGCAGCCAGTCCCTTGGTCATTCGCTGAGGAATGTGCCTAGCACGCCATTTCTGGCCCGCCTACCAGGCATGTCACTGTACCGAGTATGTAGCTTTCTCGGCGCGAAAATGGGGTTTTTTCTTGCCAGGTGAGATGAGGTGGGGGGAGGGGGTGAATGCGGCTTGCTGCTGTCTGTTATAAGCCGCGTCAAGCCCCAACGTCGCTCTTTGCGGGCGAGTTTGTCGTCTCTGGCCTGATCCTGATCCTGATCCCTCCTCTGAAGTCCCGTCTTGCGCCCTGCCCCCTTCGCTGCTGCCCGGCACTTACCAGACAGCGTCGATCTTGAGTGGCACAGCCAGGACTCGACCAAGTTCGTAGCAAGGGTCTCAACGATCCCAAGCCCAAGACAGACTGCTGGGACCGACTCCCAACGTTGAAGGTTGTCTGCCAGGATGGGGTTCCTCGACTTCGTCAAGAGCGACGAGAAGCGCGCCTCCTCGGTTGAGGATGAGCGCGTTGTCCCCCATGGTGATGGTGAGGTCGGTGAGGTGCACGAGGCTGGCGACGACCTGCATCGTGGCATGAAACCAAGACAGCTGAGTATGTGGCCGACTAATAATCAGAAAAAAATGAGATGGAAAGAGTCGCGCTAACCTGGGCCCGCAGATATGGCAAGTTGAGCCCATCCCGTAGCAACAACACCAGCCCGCTGTCCTCTGTCCGGTGTCCATAGCATCGTATTCGAAGTGCATTCTAACAGAACTCGCTCACTAGATGGCCATTGCCGGTGCTATCGGTACAGGTCTGATCATTGGATCCGGCAATGCGCTCAAGAACGGAGGCCCCGGCTCCATGTTGATTGGATACATCATCATGGGCTTCATCGTCTACATCGTCATGGTGGCACTCGGCGAGATGGGTGCCTGGCTGCCACACAAGAAGAGCTTCTCGGGTTACGCCTCTCGGTTTGTTGATCCGGCACTGGGGTATGTCTATTCCCGTCTTACCTTCCTGATCTCTAGAGCTCCATGCTGACGGTGAACCCGTAGTTTCGCAACGGGGTGGAATTATTTCTTCAAATACGTCATCGTCTTGCCGAACAACCTGACAGTGACCGGTATTCTCATCGCCTATTGGCGGCCCGACCTGAACGTGTCGATTTGGATCGTCGTCTTTGGCGTCGCCATCATCGCACTCAATGTATGAACCTCATGAAGTCGTCCCTGACACCCCGGGACAGCCCCCTACCCTGCTCAAGTGCCGACCCCCGAGCTGACCACACCCGCAGCTCCTCCATGTTAGCTTCTTCGGCGAGGCAGAGTTCTGGATGTCGCTCCTCAAAGCCATCGTCATCTGCGCGCTGATCTTGATCTGCTTCGTCATCGCTCTGGGAGGCGGCCCCGACCACGACCGCAGAGGCTTCCGGTACTGGAAAGACCCAGGTGCATTCAAGCAGTACAACAACATTGAAGGAGACCTGGGCCGCTTCCTCGGTGTCTGGGCATCCATCGTCCAGGCGACCTTCGCCTACCTCGGTACCGAGCTGGTCGGTGTTGCGTTCGGCGAGACGCCCAATCCCCGCAAGAACGTCCCCCGCGCCGTGAGGCAGACACTGCTGCGTATCGTCTTCTTCTATGTCGCCGGTGTCATCAGCCTGGGAATGGCCGTCCCTTACAACAACGCGAGGCTCATTAGCGACACGTCCAAGGGCACCAGCGGCGCGGCCTCCCCCTTCGTTATCGCGGCCAAGATCGCCGGTATTCAGAAGCTCGACAGTGTCATCAACGGCTTCCTACTCGTCTTCACCGTTTCCGCCGCCAACTCGGACATCTACCTCGCCGCCAGGACGATCTGGGCTCTGGCTAAGGACGGCCAGGCCCCCGCCATCTTCCACAAGACCAACAAGAACGGTGTCCCCATCGCCGCCGTCGCCGTCTCGTCGCTGTTCATTTTGCTGGGCTTCATGAACGTCACCAAGGATGCCGCAACGGTCTTCGGGTACTTTGTATCCCTGGTCACCGTGTTTGGCGCGCTCAACTGGATCTCGATTCTGGTCAGCTACCATTTCATGCTGAAGGGCATGAAGGCTCAGGGGATTCCCAGGAGTGTCATGCCGTACCGCAACCCGCTGCTGCCTTGGGGAGCCTACATCGCGTTTGTGGTCACCGTGCTGGTCATTGTTTTCAACGGCTTCTCTGCGTTCATGCCATTCAAGGTTGACAAATTCATAACCAGCTACAGTAAGTACCGACCTCACCTCCCAGACATTCCCTTATCAGTCGTGTTTTGCGTGCTCTGCAGAATGCGCACTGCTTCACGTCCTGGGCCCATTGCTAACAATGCACAGTCGGAATCCCCATATATGTGATCAACGTTTTCTGGTGGAAGATCTTCAAGAAGACCAAGAAGGTCCGCTACGAGGAGATGGACCTGCAGACCGGACGACGAGATGCTTAGGGGCAATCAATGTTTATGAGCAAACAAGCGGTAGAATTAGACTTACTCTTGTATTTAGGTACTGAGTGAAACCCCATAGCTACGAGGCCGTGCCACAGTGCAATTTATCGGCCTGCCGCAGAGTCAATTTTCTCATTTTGGTGCCCAGTGATAGACCTGGAGGGAGAATTTCCATGACTGTCTACAGTCCTCGAGGCCGATCTTGAACACGCAATGATTCAATTTTGTTCGTAAATGCGAGTTCCGCTTCGCTTTCTATTGCTACAAATCATTTTGTTCCTGCACATCTGCTGCAGGCGGCGCCCAAGTGCCGAGGAGTGTCAGCGGCCGGGGAAACAGCGTCCGCGGGTGTCGACCGGGGAGGTCAACTGGTCGGACCCGGAGCGGCCACGCGCGGCCGAGACGGGTCTCGGGGCTATCAGTGACCAACATTCAAGGCCCAGACAGGACAGACCAGTCACAGCGTAACTAGTCCCAGCCGCTTCTTGCTTGCACCGAAACACTTGCTCGCAGCCATGACATACTGCGGTCTCTCAGACAGGCTGGTCGCTCACCACTCGCAGGTGCAAATCAGACGCACGTGTTGGTGTTTAGAATTGACAATGTGTGTCAGATGCTAGATGCATCTTTGAAACGACGACAAGCTTGATTCGACATGGTCGCGGCCTGCACTAGGACATCTGGACCACAGCCCTATCCAGACGTCCACCTATATCTAGGTTGCCCTCACGGCCGTGGCAGTTAATACAGGAGCTACCTACATACCTACCTGGTCGGCAAGTACCTACACTTCGAGTCAAAACTCATTTCATTCATCTCAACACACTCGCTCACATTACCCACATTCATTGACAACCCATACAACAATGGCACGGAAAAGTCAGTCTAGTTTTCATGCCTGGTTCAGTCAGAAGTCTAAGCAGGATGACAGACCACATGCATGTAAGGATTCTACAACTTCCAGTTGCTGCCTTCTTCCCCACATCAGTGTCCCCAGGAAGTACCCCAGGCCTTTGGCCAGCCGACTATTTGTTGCAGCCTCTGGCTGTGCGTCCAAAAAGTCAGCATGATCTTGGGCATCAGTCTCTACTTTTAAATCTTCTGATCAATTGCAAGGCAACATGCTGACTGTGTTTCCACCAAAATTTAGTGAGCAACGGAGGACCACGAGCCCAAAACCTGCAAGTGCCACTCACCCCAGCAAGGAAACCCACCCAGGGCAGTTCCAACAACATCGGACGCGAGCTTCGTCAGGGCGCCCAAAACACCAGAACGCAGGAGACAATTGTCAACAGACCCCCGGCACAGCAATCCCGGCACCCCGGGGCTATGACAGCGGAGGGCGTTGCCAAGCGCGAAGCTGATGGTCGGACTGATGTTCAAGTTGGGACTACTAACTCCTCCACGATTATTGCATTGTTGACGGCAAGAAATGAAACTCACCAGGCGAAGCAACAGTTTGCCCAATTCGTCAGTGAAGACTGTGAATAATTACTAGTCAATACGACTGGAAACTCAGACGGAACAAATCATAATTGTGCATCTGGATCTATCCTCCAGACCTCGGAGCGATGCAAAAGCCATAGCCTACCTGGGCCAGATCGATGCTTTACGGTGACTTGGTAGCGCATGAATATGAGAATTAATACCGGCAAGAGTCTACTTCTACAAGATGTCAATGGAAGACCTGCTCATATCGATAATGCCCAGGGTGATTCCCGGTGACTATAGGATACATGTAACCTTAGACGGCACAACTTAGAACCTGTAAAATAATCAATTGAGTATCAAACCAAGCAGTTTAAGTTCTGAGTTTTCCTAGGTTTTCTCAGCATGAGTCTCTGATCTTCTAAATCTTGTTCCACCGGTTCCTCAGAGTACCAGGCGACCGGACTCTAGTATATATGCTTGACAATTAAGTTCGGCTTACGAAACTGCAATCATGGAATACAACCCTTCAAGACCATACTGCGTACCCTTCATTCTTCTTGCGAACTACTACTTCTTAAGTGACACCAGGCGCTCCTCACAGACCTCTCTAAAACTCTTGGGATTTCTCAATGTGAGTTCCTGTACATCATCCGATATGATCTCAAACTCCCCTAAAGCTGTTGCTTTTGTGAAAGATACCATGTCAGAGCTGTTCCAGGGGTTTCCACTTCGAGGAGAGGGGTTAGCTAAACTTTGACATCTATGTATGAATTTCGCGATCATTTTGGCAAGCAATAAGCGCCCCCCGCTTTGACTTGATGGCCAGAATTTGAGGTAGCGGCTAGAATCCACTTACTTGACAACAAGCCCATCTATTGGTTCCCTCGGAATTCCCATCTCGTCGAATATGGCGAGCTGCTCGTCGTCGGTTAGAGGCTCATAACATAAAGTCTTGCCAACAACTTCTCCCATGATTCTTGCGGCATCCGCCCAGGATAAGAGCTCGGGGCCTGTTATGTGATACGCCTTGTTGCGATGGGAGGAAGGATCGGCCAGGATATTAACGGCGGGCCCGACGCAATCGTCCCGGCTAATAAAAGCCATCTTGCCCTGCCCGGCATTCACACGAAGGACGCCTGCCTTCAAAGCTGGAGGGCCAGCTACATCAGTGAGGGCCTCGGAATACTGCGCATCGCGCAGCGCGGTCCAGTAGAGGCCGCTAACGCGTAGCATTTTCTCTGTGAACTCAAGTCAGATTCCCTGTGGCAAAGATGGAAATTGCTGAGGCGGCTATTACCGGTGGCATGATGCTCTCTTGCAACAAGAGCCGTAGGCTTTTCCAAGTGCGCAGACAGAATCGACGTGTACACAATGTGCTTGATACCTGCCTTGGAAGCGGCGTCTACGGCTGCCTGGTGCTGCGGTAGCCTCTTTCCGGCCCTGCTGGTACTGATGAAGAGCATGGTCTCAGCCCCTGCGAAGGCCTCTGCAAGCTTGTCTACAGGATCATCGAAAGAGCCCTGCCGAATGGTGGAGCCTTGTGAGGCATAGTCTGCAAGCTTTGCTGGATCGCGGGTCAGAAGAAGTAGTGAGGAAGCTGGGACACCTTTGGCGAGGAGCCCGGCCACCGCAAGGCGTCCATACTGCCCTGAAGCTCCGGTGATGAGGATCTTATTCTTGACGCTGTCCATGATGACTGCTGCCAGTTAACACAGCTATACGAGTCTGTCTGGTTGTTGATTGATTCAATGTTGTTGCAGTGCGCGACGCGTACTGAAATATCACCCAGGGGCAGTCTTATGGGAAAGGGGGTTTGAGATGTTTCCAGTTCAAAGTGTCATTTTAATAATTCCCCCTCAACTGCTTCGTTCTGGGTATCAGTGTGACGCGTTGTGGAGCCGACCCACATCATGGAATCGTGGTGCAGTATTCTCGGGCTTTGTGCTTGCCGAGCTGCCTTCCGAATGGAAGTTTGAGAGAAAGAGCTTATCAGCCAATGCAATCACTCTTATCTTACCTTGGAGGCTGGCACGTATCCTGTTTCGTGTGGGAGGTGGCAGAAAGCCACGAAAAAAATTCCCGGCATGTGTTTATAGATTACTAATTTTCAGGCGGCACTAGCAAATCTGACGCTACTCCATGGTGGTTTCGTTTTTAATCCCTATATATATAAGATATATATAGTGCCTTTATATAGTAATAAATACTTAAAACTTAGTATTTAAAAAAATATAATATTAATAATAGTAGAAAGAGAATATAATATATAGGTATATAATTAAGTTTTATATTATATAAATAAAGTTAGAAGGTATTATTTTTAATAATACTATATTAGAATTATTAATATAAGTAGCTTAAAGGCTAATAGTTAATAAAATAGTTATATAGTAAAATTAAAATAATCTTTTAAAATAACCCTTATAAGAAGAAGAATCTTATAATATAAAACTTAATAAACTAACTCTTTCTTATTAATATACTTAATAGTTATTTAAATCTATTTTTATTAAGTAAGTTAAATATATTATAACTCTTATTTTAAATATATAGTTAATAAAATAATAATATTATAATAATAAACTTATTTAAAAAACTTTTTTATATAAATTTTATAAAAGATTAAAACTTTTTAAAAATTAAATAAAGTTTATTTATTATATATTAAATAAATATTATATAAGGAAAGTAGAAGTTTAAATATTTAAAAATTAAATTTTCCTCCTTTAAATATACTACTTTATTATTAAGGATTTATTTACTTTTATATAATATATAAGGAATATAATAGAAGAAAAAGCTTTATAAAAGAAGTTAGTAACTTTATATATAAATAAGTTTAAGGGTATATATTAAGTAATTATTAACTTTATACTTAAGGTATAAACTAATAGTTAGTTTAAAAGTTAAAAAGATAATAAATAGATAAATAGTTAAATAAAAAATACAATGTAGCCGAAGCCACACTGCTCTATCTACCTAGGTAGATAAGCCTTGCTGAGATGGCACCCGGAATTGACAACAACGCCTACCGATATAAGTATTTGACGGTCAGAAAATTGAACATTCCAATCCACACATGTGCAGTTGTAGGCCATCTCGAAAGGACAGACAATTGAGTTCAATGATATTGTGCACTGGACTTGTTAATTATAATTTGCATGCAGCATCTTAAGCAAAACACGCTTACAAAACCACAGTATTCTTTGAGTCGCATGATAAATTCCAAGGGGTTAGGACATATGTGTAGACTTTTCATTCCCGAATTGATGCGAGAAGAACAGCCAAATATTCGGAGAACCTCATGGTATCCATACTTCAGGTAGCCTTAATTAGAGTGGAATCTCTGCAACCACACTACTACTTGGACAAGTGCATGAGGCCCGCATCTGAGGACGCTCGTGGTATCCCCATCCAAACTATGAAGCTGATGAAGTCCGTGTGGGGACTGTTTAATGTAGTATGTCATCACTCCGACTTATCACAGCATATTGACGTGCGGACGGGCTCAGCGGTGAACTGAGGAGAATGTTTGAGGGCAATCACGATGGTTCGCTTATATACCTAGGTTGTTTGAATTATATTGTCTCGATCTGTTGTGCCCTTGTCTCAAGTGGTCGCCCAAGGACCAGAGTCTGTTTTTGTAGCCACTTTCTCAAGATCAAACTGAATCTTGCATTTCTCATCACCCAAATTGCCACCAATCGAATCGCTGCCTGTGTTGGATTTGAGTGAGATGTTGACGGAAGCGTCACTCCCATCATCCGCAGCGGTGCCGGGTGCAATTTGAACCAGGAGCAGAGTAGCCTGCGGAGCTCCCCCGTCTACAGACTCTAGTACTCCGATTGGCCATCTGAATGCTCGGCTTCCTTTAGGTTCTTCGATCTCTGTTCCCTCAATGCCATTGAGTGCATCGTATGTCGCCTTGAGTACGTCAAACAGAGCTTGCCCTCGAACGGAGATGGATATCTGGTGGACTCCCAGCGCGCCTGAGGAATGCTCAACGTTGTGTTTGGAGTGGAAAGGTACCCGATTCTCCCGAGGTGTGCGATCCAGACACCAGAAAGGAGCTTCGCCGCCGACAAACTCATCGACGCCGGCTGCCTTGTCCAGTTCGAAGAAGGGTGATGAGATGATCCATTTCAGCTCGGTGCCGTCAGGCTTGATCCTGCCTCCTGGTGTAGGGCTGGTATACTGTATGCCTGTACGTGCGATCTTGACCCTCTCTCGAATAGTGTCTAGGTCATCCTCTTCGTGCAGCGTGGTCGCCCAGTCAATGATATGGCCGGAACGTCTCGCGCCCCACCTGTGAGACTTCCTCTCCTCTTCTTTGCCAGGGACAAACGCGATGAGCTCAAAGTAGACGCCATCCTGAAGTAGGATCAGTTTATTTTCTGTGACACCGTCGGCGTGGCGTCCTCCTTCCAGGACGGTAAAAGCATTGGTGAGCCAATGTGGGACATTTGTGAGCGTCTCGTATGGCACGAGGATGACGATGTGGTCGAGGATCGGAGTCGTTGCCATTATAGTGATACGTGGAAAGTATATGAACTCAGTATTGCTTCTGGGATGTTCTGCAATGCAGGCGACTGAGCCGATAGACACCAAGAACAGGCGGGGCCATTTGCTGAAGTACACGAAGTTCAAGTTGAGCCAAAGCCCGACATCGGGGACATGTGCGTGCTTAGTAAGCAAAACGGAGAACTTCACGACAGACAATGCGCGCTCCCTAAAGAGACCTTGTCTTGTGTGACTGTCACTTACTTCTCATTCTCAATACCGTTGCATATTACGGGCTGTCACCACCCAGGTACCCAGATATTCATTGCCCGGCAGCTCGATGGAATCCAAGCTACCTACCTAGGTACTTAGGTACCTAGGTTATCTTGTGTAAGATTGTCCTTGAACATTTGCACTTATGTGTTACATCCAGTCATGAGGATAGCGCTTCCCGAAGAGGACCGGGGGGTTAGTCCTATTTTACATCCTATTCTTAAGTTAAGATCATCCTTATAATAGGAGGAATATATAAATAGTAAAGTTCTTAAGTCTTATTTAAGATTATAAGATTTAAAATAATATTAAGTTAGTTTAATAAAAAAGGGAAGAAATAAAGTAAGAAAGGTTTTAATAATAATTCTTAGTTTAAAATATATAAAACTAAGGGTCTTTTAAGCTATAATTAAGTTTTAAACTTAGTAACCTATTTTAATCTTTAATTTCTAGCTTAATATAATTAATATATAATTAATTATATAAGAGATTATCTTATAAAATATTATTTTCTAAAAGTTTAACTATTTTAATACTTTTAAAACTTTTATTTTTATAAATTTTAATCTTTAATCTTTTTATTAAAAGTAATTAATTATTTTTAAAACTTATATAGTTTTATTATAAATATTAAGAAATTCTTTTATATTATAAAAGAATAAAATAATTTAAATATTAAATATTTATATATATTTAAAAGTATACCTAAGTATTAAAAACTTTAATATATAATAAAAATTTTAATTTAAAGTTAAATATTAACTATTATATTAATAAAGAAAAAGACTTATATATATTATACTTACTATTAAACTTATATTTATTATAAAAGTTACTTTTATAAAAGTTAAAAAATTAAAGTATAAAGGTTATATAAGAAAATTTTAATAATTTAAAAGTTATTTTATTTATTTAACTAAAAAGAATCATTGAAAAGGATTTCTTTATAGTGATTTTAAGGTTTATTTTCTATTTATAAGTTCTCTTTCTCTTTCTCTTTCTCTTCCTATTTAATTTAATCTTTATAACTACCTCTTCTTCCTTTAAGTACATACCTCTCTCCTTATTAAAAAGTCCTTATATAACTTTTATACCTTAATCCTCTAACTCTTATAGAAGGGTAAGTAACTATTATAGTAGGTGTAAGTCTTGTGGTGGGTGTAAGTTTTAAAAATGAGGTAAGCCCTATAGGCCTCTATAACTCTTGTGGGCTGGCTATAGGCCCTAGTATGGTATTTTGAATCATTGAGACTTTTAGTCTATTCAGTACCTTCAATTCGCGAGTAAAAAACAACATTGATTACATAGGCAATCTTGAAATACTGAATTGCATGCTGCCAGGATCGGCCAACGTCATGCTGACATGGACCCAAGTCAATTTAAGAGAAAATGCAAACGAGCTCCCTTCGATTCCACACTGGCCTGCCAGTCTGCAAGATACTAATCCGTGATGTATCTGATGGCTCATGGACCCTCGCCCTGCGACTTCTCCGATATTATAGCTGGACCGACAGATGGCCCTGGGTCAGTATGTATACGGATAAGCTCCGAAGGGAGGCTCAAGTGCTTCGGGGGTCCATTTCCCGAGCTTCGGAACATGGGGTGCGAAAACAGTGGCGGCGTTTTTAATCGTATGGTCGGTGGCCTTCGAGGTACGTTCCCATCATCTTCACTCCTGCGCGGGCTCTGAGACGGATGCTTCTTTCCATTCAATACTTGGAAGGTCCTCAAGACGTGTGCCTCTGCGGATCCCCAATCTAGGCACCGCTCCTCAATCCGTGGGCCAGTTTCGACATCTGTGTTAATGCTTTTCGCTCGTCCATGCCATGTCTTCGAGCGGGATCGGGTCGGTCTTGTCCACTTGCTGCTGCCTGCTTGGTCAGGGTCCATCCGATTCGATGCCCGACTCTGCTGCGTCTTCCGAATGATCTTATGCCGTTGCATCTCCTCCTCTACCAAAAGTCGTGAGCGCGTGAGTTTGCATCTGCGGTCGTGTTCATCCCAGGTCAGGGTGGGGTCGCGTGACTGGGCTTCCTTGAACCGTTGCCTTGATTTGCGTCGGCGCTCGACGAGTTTCAGCCCGACGATTATTGCAGAGATGGCAATTACGACTCCAGCTCCGATGGATATGGCTATTATTAAAGTGTTTCTGCCACTTTGGCCAGACTCGTTGCTCCTGGCGAGGGTTCTAAGGTACATGTCGAGGAATAAAGCGAGTGAAATTCGACAGTGAAATAAGGAATAAGATGACCTCAACAACCCTTGGGTCGAAGCTTGTTTTTTAATTCCCGCCCAGAAGGCGCATGCAACACTGTCATTGCCCCCGGGGCACAGGATTTATGAATCATGGACGTTGAGCAGACAGATGACACACGCGCACTCGTATTTCTTGTGCGACACAACCTCGTTGCTATCTGCCGTTCCTATTTAGCACCTTGTAAAAAAGAAGCAGCAACACCTTCACCTGACCTCATCGCGCAGTCCAGCATGCATTGTCCCGTACTTGACAGTGCTGCAGTTGGTGATAGTGGCTGAACGCATGCGGTATCACGCTGCCTCAGATAGATTCATCAGTGGGGCCAGAAAAGATGGGTGGTACGGCCTTGCGTCGATCCTTCGCGGATGACCTCGAGCGCAAAAAGGAAAAGTCGCTCCACGACACAAATGAGCCGGCCAGCTGCTTCCCGCTCGGGTCCCCACACGGCTCTGAGGGCTGGAAACAAGAAAGCCTCCCGAAGTCTGCCGGCGACAGCCGTTATTGGCTGGGCCAGGTTGCTTTTGGTCTACGACACGAGGGAGCTTGCTATGCAGGTGAACAGCATGGTGGAAGCGTGCAAGGGCAGAATCCCGGGTACATGGGGCATTCCAAAGTTCCCCAGCCGTGCCCAGGTGGCGGAGCAAGCCACAATGCAGGCGATGGAAGGTTTGCTGCAGCTCGTATGTTTCCTCCAGCAGAGCAGAGCTGAGATCGCGACGGGGCTGGACCTATTTCTTCCAGAATTTTCTCCCGTGATTCCGATACCACAAGATGCCTCGGACCTTGCACGCTCTCCTCCAATGTGGAGCCTCAATTACAATGCGTTTTCGTCGATTTGCGATGGACGACGCAAAACTATATTTAGCTACACAAAAAAGTATGCCAATGCACATCGATCACGCAGAGGGGCTTTGCACCCGATTGGGCTGCATGCTCAGGTGCTACAACCCACGTCTTGGCCTCGGCGCGTTCCGACGTTTTGTGGGTTCAATGTTTGCTGAGACCCGAGCTCCAGCCTCCGCAGTGCCCATGTGGGGTTGAAGGAAGAGGGATACAACACTTTTGGACATGGTCAGGAAAGCACAAGCGTGCTGAGGCGTAGAGCCACTTATTTCACATCATTTAATCTGCGCTGGTCTTGCGCGCTTACCACTGTATGCCACTGAAGGCGCCATGTGTGTCTTCGGACGTATGCAGAATAGAAGCGAAACCAATTTAATGTGTGCAGCCACAAGATGGGGCTGAAGGAACAAGACAGCCCCACTTCTTAATAATACCTTCCAATCTGCGGGCACAAGATATATGACGCGAATCCACGGTCTACCTACTCATTAAGTACCTAGTAACCTTACTTAGGCAGGTGTAAACCTTGGAAGTCATGGATTCGAGACGCTGGGCACTACCAGTAGACATGTCAACAAGCACCTAACTAAACTAATAGCTCTGCAATGTTTCACCCCCTCTGCTTGTCAAAGTTGTCATCATGAAAAAGCAGTTTTGAACAAGCTTCACATCAAACTGCTGGCCACATGACGGGCCCGACCCTGGTTTTGGAGCTAAATACTTGATAATGCTGCGAACTGCTGGGTCCAACAATGATGTTGCGGTTCATTGAAGCCGTCAGTCAACCTTGGAAGGTGGCGTACTGGTGCTGAACCCCCAATGTCTTGGGTACATGCGATACTTTTTGTCCGTCACCAAAGGTGACGCACACCATGCCATGATTGTATGATTGGCCTCGAGAACCAATAAGTGGATACTCATACAGTACAATCCAGTCTGGGGAATTATACCCGGAATAATAATGGACATCCTTGAGTTTTGATAAGCCCCTGTTCAAGAAATTGGCGTGCCTGCCAAGGCCATCCCGAGCACAGCGATGTAACCGAGCCGGCGGGAGCCAATGGAACGCGTCAATCGAGGCACGCTGTTCGGGCGTTGGAAAGCTTCGATGCCTCGGGTGAGCCGGCGAGGCGGTCTAGCACAAAAATCATGACGACGACCAGTTGCCATCCTGGTCTATTCCCCCTCTCTGGTCCACTGCCGACTCTTGCCAAATCAGACAAATCCTCACCGAACTGCGGTTACATAGCAAGCCTCCTCGTGTCCACGCCCCTCGCCTGCTCCCAGAAGTTGCAAGCATGCATAATCGAGTCTGCCTGATTGGCCAAGCAGTATTAAGCCGCGGGCTAGCGATGCAGTGGGAGGGCATCGTCTTCAGAAAAGGCAAGGATGAAGCTTGACCAGCAGATAGTTCAAGTCCACTTTGGCAGACGCAATGCTACTCGATGATGTACCTAGGCACATCAACCGGACGACGGCAAGTGCGGATATAAGACGACAGACATCGCCATATCTCGTGGCTTTCGAGGCCAATGGGCGATCGTGCGGTCCCCATCACTCGCTCTCTCTGCGATCGTCGACAAGATGATATTTCAAATCACTGGCCTGCTCGCGCTCGCCGGGGCTGTACGAGCATCTTGGACATCGAATATCAACTACCGCAGTCCCTCTGAGCACCACCCGTCTCTCGGTGTCTCGATCAGCAAGGTCGTGAAGAGAAATGATCCTCAGAGTCAGTGGGACCCAACGACGCTGCACTTCACCCACGGCGTTGCTTCAGGAGACCCTTACCCAGACAGTGTCATCCTTTGGACGCGCATCGGCCCTGTACTCGATAATGACAAATCAAACGTTACTGTCTCCGGCTACGTGCCGCTGTACAACCACGACACCCAGGAGTACGTTTCCTTATCCAAGGCACCGATCTGCGTTGAGTACCAGGTTGCCTCGGATCAAGAGCTTGGAGACGTGGTAGACTCCGGCACGGTTTATACTAGCTCGGACATTGATTACACTGTCAAGGTTAGATAGATCAGAACTGCTTAATGGAATGATGAGCGCTAACAAAAGTCGAATTTAAACCAGATCGAGGCTAAAAACCTGGAGCCATTTACCACGTACTGGTACCAGTTCAATGTCTGTGGGTCTGACACCAAGAGTCCCCTGGGGAGGACAAAGACCACTCCAGCAGAGGACGACGACGTGACTGAGATCGGAGTCGCCGTCTACTCGTGCTCGAACTTTCCGTTTGGGTTGTAAGCATCACTTTTCACGATCCCCGTCTTTCATGTTTTGAATTCTTTTAGAATACAACGCTTTGGGACCTGTAGCAGGACTAACTTCACCACCAGTTTTAACGCATACGGCAACCCAGTCCGAAAGGACTCGGTCGACTATGTTGTCCACCTGGGAGACTATATCTACGAATACAAGAACGGTGACTACGGCTATGGCCAGAGCTTAGGCAGAGTGCCCCTCCCGGACAAAGAGATCTTTAGTCTCTATGACTACAGGAAGCGTCTTGCCACCTATCGCACTGATCTTGATCTTCTCGCCAGCCACCAGGCCTTCCCATGGATCCCAGTCTGGGATGACCATGAGGTTGCCGATAACACCTACCGAGACGGATCCTCCGAGCTGAACAATACCGAAGACTCGTTCATAAGAGACGGTGGGGTATCAACCGATCAGCGGAAGATGAATGCCGTCCGCGCTTATTGTAAGCCCGTCCTTCCATATTTTGGAATTCTAGAACAGAAAAATGTAGCAGGGCTAACATCACCCTTAGTCGAGTGGATGCCAATACGACAAGTTGAGATGGACGACAATTTGCGCATCTGGCGCTCATTCAAGCTCGGGAACTTGGCGGACCTCATCATGCTTGACACTAGGCAATATGATCGGTCTATCACGGACCTATACTGGAACACAGACTATGTCCACGCAATTTCCCAGGATGCCGGCCGGTCGCTTATGGGATCGAGGCAAGAAAACTGGTTTTACAACCAACTGTCTTCCTCCTCCAAGCGAGGTGCCACATGGCGCGTTATTGGCTCGCAAATTGTGTTCAGCCATCTTAACCAGTCCATAGCATTTGGCGATGAGAGTCCACTCAACAATGACGCTTGGGATGGGGTGAGTGACTTCCAGGATTTGGTTTACGCTCGGCTTGACGATATCCGAACATACAGCATCTCTTAATGCTTTTCCGTGTACGACGGCTGACACCGGCCAATACAGTACCAATCAAATCGAAATAGGACATTTAGCCACCTGTACAACAACGGAATCGGGAACAACATTTTCTTGGCAGGCGACTCTCACGCGTCCTGGGTCTCGGATCTCGTGTGGCTGGGAGAAAAGAACTACGACTCTGCCAGTGGTGAGGGCTCAATCGGTGTTGAGTTCGCCGGATCAGCGGTGACATCCCCCTGCCCTTACGGCGCGAACATCACACTTGATCGGGCAAACCAGGCCTCCACGTGGTTGCAGACCGCCAACGAGGAGCTGCAATGGCAGGACCTATACTATCGAGGCTACTACGAGCTGCACATCTCGCCCGAGAAATTAACGGCTAATTATTTCGGCTTGCCCACGGTTGTTAGCAGGAATGGGTGGGAGATCCCGATCGCTAATTTCACGGTTGAGGCGGGCGCGAACAAGCTGCAGAGGCCAGTGGCTGGAGGCCTTGTGGAGAGCGGGAGCTTGAAGGGCGGGGAGACGAAACAAACCAACGTCACGGTGGACACAAATAACGGAACATGGTTCGTGAGCCAGGCACCATTGGAGGTGTTGTAAGCGCATTTAAGCATTGTGTCATGTAAGACTTGATCACAATATACCAAGAAATGAATATTACGGGTTGGAGTCCTATGCCAGTGTTTATGACAACCTGTCACAATTTGAGGACTAGGTGCCTGCGGCGAGGAGCGGCGTCACTTTTTGTCGAACAGCACAGTGGCTTTATTCGTGACAGAAGCTACCCTAGAGTACTTTTGGCTCGGTATAGGTCGACCCATTTGTTTTATATCACACTGGAGAAATGCTCCACTCACTAGCTATTTCACTTTAAGCCGAGAGCCAGTCCAACAATACTTTTGTTGCGATGAGACAAAGTTGGTACCCTAGGATGCTCGCACAAAACACACGACGACGCTGTTTTACAAGTGGTGGTTTCACTCCATACTACCTAGACAGGTACTTAAGTACTTAGCGGTCACCATTCAACTGCTGGGGCCAATTCGCAGGGCAGCTCTCAGTACATGGAATCCCACTTGACTGCTGGTTCTGAATATTGGAGCACAGCCACTTTGCTTTGCCACCTTTCATCGGTGTTATGTTCACATTTTCCATCCTAAGATTCTTGCACGGCGCCGCGGCACTGCAATGTATCCCTGCTGCTACATTATACCTACTAGTACCTGTAATATTCACCCAGCGGATGTCTTCGATACTCAGACGCGAGCTATCGCACCCGGAACCGCTGTAGATGCAGGGTGTAATGTATATCGGCTGGTTGACGTTTTCGAACTGCATGTTAGCAAAGGTCACATTGCGGACCCTGCCCTGTCCCGAATATGTTTTGATCCACGCAGCGTTGCTGCTGTGAAACGCGGTGACATTGTCGTAGTAGACGTTCTCGACATAGTCGGGTTGAGAGGGGTTCGAGCCTATGGAGCCTTGTACAATATCAGAACCTAGGTGCAGTTCTCAGGTGGAGCTCGGATCAAACACATGTCAGTACCTATACACATAGCACCGCTCTCGTGGCAGACCACATTGCTGACGTGTACATTACTGGAATTCCCTTTCATACTGATACAGTCCTCTAGTGGTCAAATTAGTCCTGCTACGGATCCTAAAGTGTTGTATTCTATAACATTCTCAAAACATGAAAGACGGGGACCCGTAAAAGGTGAAAAGTGATGCTTACAAAGGATATAGCGGTGATTAATATGACAGTAGACATTGTATAGTTGAGCAAGCGTTTACCATGGGGGGAATACGGGTAGATATGACTTGAAACTCACATCGCCGCAGGTCACGGTCCAATTTGAAATGACAATGTCTCTAGAGTTCCAAGTATCGACGCCATCTGTGTTGACTGTTGACCACTGACTGTTTGAAGTTGAGTTCATATCCAAATTACTCATGGTGACATTTTCCGAGTACGCGATGAAAGTATGCCTGTTATTGAATCAGTCATTCGAAACGTGCACAGCGTCAACGGATGAGACTGACCAGAACTGGCTTTGCCTCCATGTAATTCCATCCACCAGGACGTTCTTGGCGTGCCGAAGGGTTAAGCTGATGGGCCGGCCGTTCTGGTTGCCTTGATTCCTATTCTGGTCATACCATAGCTGTCCATTACCATCGAATAATGCCTTTCCGAAACCCCTCAAGCTTATGTTGACACCGCCCAGCTGCCATGCTGTCGATCTACCGGCGTATGTGACGCTAATGCTGTTACGCAACCAATATTGGATATCAGAGCTCCATTTGAGAGTTCCGTAGATCTCGATGTTGCAGTTGTTCAAGTCTGTTGTTCGCATCACCTGACCAATGTTGAATAGGCCCTCTGTCAGCACCACCTTGCCGTTTTGTCCGCATTGCTTGAAGGCGTCGAGGATCTGGGGCGTGTCATCCTTTCCCGTTTCCAATGGAGTCACAGTACAGGTTGAACCGGTTTTGTTCAAGGCTGCGAGCGCCGATGCGGTAAACATCGCGAGAACACTAAAGATTGGGAGACGCATCTTAGGTCCCCTGGTAGGCAATTGTGCTGAACGCTACTTAAGAAGGTGGTGGTTAGGACCTCACGATAGGGACAGGCAGCACAAGTCCAACAATTTTGGATTTTTCTCTTTAGTCCATATTGTCTCTTAAATACAAGTCAACGTTTGAAATCAAAGTCTACAGCTCATTTCTGCCGTTTTGTGGTCTCGCAAACAGGCAGTGGCAAGGATCGGCCGGCCGTCTTAGCCGGAATAAGTCTTCAATTTCCAGGAATTACCAGGTGTGCTCTATCGTGGCTGATCGGCGCTTACATTCAAGTTTGAGAGGTATCTTCAACAGCTACAGGCATGAATAATCTAAGTCTAAATGGCATTTACCCGGGTCAAATTACATATGCGGACTCAGATGGCCGCCCATTCCAAGGTGATTGGCTGAGCAAGCTCTCAACCAGCAAGGTGGGGTTACATGCTGTGCAGGCAGGAAGAACAATTGTATAGCCTTTCATCTACAGACTGTCAAATTGCTATTTTCCGAAAGGCTACCCTAGGGTATCTGGGACTCCTGCCTGGTATCATCGAGAGTCACGTCCGAATGAAGAATTGACAACATCCAAGGAATACGGCAGCGAGATTGCTGTTGTGCTAGGAGCTAGAACTTCGGTTCAAATGTATTCAAAGGCCAGCGGATTCCAGCCACCTTTTCTAGACGAAACCCCGCTTTTCCACCTCCTTTATTACAAGACAAGATTAAGATTTAGTTTCTACTTCTTTTCTATATAGTTTTACTTCTATTCTATATATATTTAAGAATATATATAATACCTTTATATAATAATAAATATTTAAAGTTTAATATTTAAGGCTTTAGCTACACTATATTTTTCCTTTATACTATATAACTACTTATTTCTTCCCTAATAGTTTAGAGCTTATATATAAAGTCTTTAATAGCTTTATATATATTCTTATAGTCCTTTTGAAGAGGAATTTTAAATTTATTTTTTTCTTTATTTCTATTATATTTTTTTATATTATTAAGGAGTTAGTGGTTATTAATAATAAGAGTATAGATTTAAAGGAGGATAAATTTATTATACTCTCTTTATCTTTTATAAATTACTTTTAAGACTTTTTAAGAGTTTTAATATTTTATTATAAAAGTCTTAAAGGTAATATATTATAAATTATTTTTATTTTAAATTCTTTTAAAGTTAATAGCTATATATTTAAATAGAGGCTGTAGTATTAGTTTACTTAGTAAGGGTTTTATTAATATATATATATATATATATATATATTTAGAGGATAATTTTAGTTAAGCTTTTAATATAATTTATTTATATAGTAATTATTTTTAAATTTAATTTTACTATAACTTCTTTATAATATTTTAGTTAATACTATTATTAAGATAATACCCTTTAGCTTTATTTATATATTATAAAGTTAAGGTTATAAATATTTATTATATTATAACTATTATTATTAATATTATATTCTTTTAAATACTAAGTTTTAAGTATTTATTACTATATAAAGGTACTATATATATCCTTAAATATATATAGAATAGAAGTAAAACTATAAAGTTTAATATTTAAAATATATAATATTAATAATTATAGTTATAATATAATAAATATTTATAATTTTAATTTTATAATATATAAATAAAGTTAAAAGTATTATTTTAATAATAATATTAATTAAAATATTATAAAAGTTATATAAAAATTAAATATTTAAAATAATTATTATATAAATAAATTATCTCTCTTAAATATAAAGTTAAAAGATTTATAATTATAATTTTATAATTAATTTTTATTTAACTATATTATATTACTATAATTTTATCTAACTTTATTTAAACTTCTTTTAAACCTTTTAATATTTTTCTCTTTAAGGAGTTAAATTTAAAGGGAGCCTTTAAGTTTAAGTTTAAGATTCTTATAGATTTTAATTTCCTTTAAATTAAACTTATAATCTCTTAACTTTTTAAAAATATATTAACTATTTTAAATATTAATAACTTTTTTAAAGTAAAAGTCTACCTTTATATAATTATAAATTTAATTATTAATAACTATTTTTTTATTTATAAATTATTAAAACTATAAACTTAAATATTATATATAATAATAGAGTATAGTTACCTTACTTAAAGGTTGTTTTTTAGTTTAATAGGTTATATAATAGGCTAAGTAATTACTTTTAAATAGTTTTACTTAATAAATATTTACTTAAATAGAGTTAGAACCTTAATTAAAGGAATAATAGCTTTATCTTTACCTATTTTAACTAACTTATAAAAGGTTTAAGTTATATAATAACCTTATATATAGTACTTAATAGTGTTAAGATTAGGTAGCCTATAATCTATAATAGCTTTAACTTTTAATAAATTAATTTATATTAAAACTAATAGTATTAACTTAAACTAATTAGGTATAGCCTAGTATATTAATATAGGAAGGTATCTTTTAATAATAGATAGTATTATAAATAATTATAAAGTTATTATAAAAAGTTCTATATAATAAACTTAACTAAGTTAATCTTTAAAAGATATATTATATTTTATTTCTTTAAAACTTTAACTATTTATTTCTAGCTTAATAGTAGAATTAAAAATATAAATAATCTATATAAATAAATTATATTAAAGAAAGTTTAATAAAAAATTATTTTTTTAAATATAAATATATTAATAAAACTTTTATTAAATAAATATTATAATAATATAAACTTATAAACTATTAAGTAATTAATTTATAAAATTAATTATTTTAATCTTTAAAATAAAATATCTTTTATATAATAATAAATTAAGTTATCCTCCTGAATTTAGTATTATTTATTGTTTAAGAAATATTAATGAACATTAATAGGTCTAGAGTTAGTTATCTAACCTTAATTAGGGAGGTAAGGGACTGCGAGTAACTTAATCCTTTACCCCGAAAGCCTCACGTGCTGTTCTACTGCTGCTTGCTAAACGGTCTCCATATCGAATGAAAACAAATGGAATCACTCCCATCACCAACGCAATGAAGCCTAATACCGACGGTGCCCAATGAGTCCCGAGGTCCGAGTACATCCTGTTGGCGGCGAGGGGCAGTGTAATCGCCCCTATGGATCGTGTCATGCTGGCAGCGGCGTGTGCCGATGCAGAATACTGACGGAAGACGTCTGTCAAATAATTGATCATGCCCATAAAAAGCATCTGAAAGCCGCAGCCGAAGAAGATGCCGCTCAGCATAGGCACGATGGGAGACACAGAGGGCCAGACAGTCCAACCGAGCCAGAACATGGAGATTACCATACTGAGAAATCAAGTCAGCCCACGATATGGGCAGATATGAACGCGGCAGGGATGCTCACCAAGGAGACGCGATACATGCAAGAGGTAGTCTGCGGTAGATCTGGTTGTTGGTCCAATTGGCACCCGCCTTGCTTTGGTGATCGTGATACCACGTAAAGGCAGCAAACATCAACAAGGCAAGGATTACACCAATAGCCTCTGTGATAGAACGGTTAGAAAGATTGTGGCTTTCAGTCGTAGAGGTAGCGCAACTTACGCGGTATGAACGCCAGGCCGGCAATGGCTGGTGAAAGCCCGTAGAAGTCTTGGAAAATGACGGGATATGCTTGGAATAGAAGATAGAAAACAGCATAAGCCAGGGCTAAGTACGCAGAGGTACAAAAGAGTATTGGCTCGGTGACAAGGAGGGTAACAGGACGAAGAAATATCTTCTGGGCGTCGAACGGCTTGAGTTCAAGCTGCTGTCCGCTCGCGATCTCTGCGCCGTACTTATTGAATCTCTTTATAGCGGCTTTGTTGTGGAGGACCGGCGCGTAAGTCTCGGGAAGCGTCAAAACCAGAGGAAGACCCAAGGCTGCAATCATCCCAGCAATCCAGAATGGCCAGCGCCACGACATCTGGGAGGAGAATCCGGAGATGATAGGACCGATCAAGGGCCCAATCGTCGTGACAGTCATATAAAGGGCCATTGCATTGCCCCGGATCGAAGGGTCGTCAAAAATGTCCGCGTACAGCCCGCCGAGGACACTCGTCGGAGCGGCGGCGTTGATCCCGCACAGGAGACGAAATGTGAGCAAGGCAGGGTAGTTTGGAGCCCCGCTGCACGCGAGCATGAAAACAAGGTATCCCAGAAAAGTGCCAACAAGGACTGGCCGGCGGCCGATGTACTCGCTGAGTGGAGCAAAGACGAGAGGGCCAATAACATAGCCAACCATGAAGAGCGAGTTGAGAAGAATAAGATGGATGTGTTCGGTAACTTCGAATTGGGCGCTGATGGCGTCAAGAGCGCCCGAGGGCATCGATGACCCCAGGTTACCATTGAAAGTGCATGTGAACCCGGCGCATACAATATGGGCTTTTCGCCACTTTGCATGTTTTAGTCGCGGCAACTAGAATTGGATAAATACAAGAGTATTGGGATTACTCACAGAAGAGAACTTGGTGGCATCAATGACTTCACGTTTCTCGTTTTCCCATGAAACCAAGCCGTCGTCTGGGCGCTCAGTTTCAAACTCCATGTCGTTTTGGTGGGTTGTCTTTCACTTAGTCGTTCAAAATCCGTCCAGATAAATGCTGTCGTAAAGTTGACCTGCCCGAAAAGCACCATCAGAAGGAACTTAAAAAGACAAGACGAGCCATTATTTATGCCCATCGTCGCGTATTACGTGCCTCGTTGACTGCTTGAATTTCTCACCGACTGATTACCATCCTGTCGAATCCTCTCGTGTGACCCACCCGTGAACCCTGCAAGTCGATTGGCTACATTTGCCGAGCCTCGAAGCATGCCAGAACCGAGTCGCTGACAAAGCGGCAGGCTCACCGTCTTCCATTGAATTAATTGGTTCACTTGGCCGAGCAGCTCGAAAGCCCGTTTGAACTAAACTTCCGAGCGCGACACGACTTTTCCTTCATCATCCACAACTTAGTCAAGGCAGCATAACTTCCGCTTAGCATCGAAAAACTCCGGTTCTTCGTTGATGTGTTTTCAAATTGGTATCCATATCGGCAATTGGGCCCTCATCTCGCCAAGTCATCGGAAATGGTGACGGAAGGACTTAAGAGATCAAGAACCAGTATGCGTCGCACCGATCTCGGCTTTCTGCCGTGATTCTACTTTGTCTTGTCTGAAAGCTCCATATTAACCTCGCCGCAGATGGACGAGCCTGCCTGACCTGTCATCGGAGGAAGGTCAAATGTGATATCCTTTCGAAGGGTGCGCCATGCTCAAGATGTCAGGCGAAGAGCGCGTCCGACTGCCAGATTTACGTGAAGAAGACACGATCCTCGGCGCGCAATATTCTTGGCGCCAATGTTCCAATTCAACCTCGTTCGATTGGGGTTCAGTCGGCAACGGCACCTACAACGCCGGCTCCGACTCCATCGAGTCCGCCGGCCGATGTTGCCGTGAGGGCTCGTCATCGGCCCAGCTCAGCCGGGGATGATACCGATCAGACTGATCGAGACAGTGAAGATGCAACACACAACATGGCAGATTTCCTACACCAGCAGGTTGTCGAGCATCCAGAAATAAGCCGTTGCGGCCGCCTCTTTTTTATTGGCACAGAATTTTCTAATCTTCACTACTTAGTGCGGCAGCGCTCGAGGCGCCCAGATGAAAGGGTTGTTCATTTCGGAGGCCACCCACTGCGTCCCAAGGTGCCTTCGGTGCCAGCCGAGATCCTCGAGTTGCCGCCGAAGGCTTTGTCCGACGAGCTTGTCCGGGCATACTTTGTTCATATAAATCCAGGCTTGCCCATCATCGACGAGGACGACTTTATGAAGGTCTATAATGGCCACGTGGGCACTGGTCATTTCCCAAGATGTAGGCCGCAATGTAAGCCAGTGTCGTTGATGTTGCTGAATGCCGTCTTTCTCGTCGGAGCACGCGTTCTGAGCCCGGCGCGAGCGGAGGTAAAGGCGCTCACGCCCGTCTTCTTCCGGAGAACGAAAGCTCTTTTCGACAGTCGCTTCGAGCAGCATCGTGAGACATATCTACAAGCTTCGCTTCTTCTGACTTGGCATTGCCATGATCTCGAAGACATCGTTTCAAACACTTGGCACTGGGTGGGAGTCGCTACTAGAACCGCATTTGGCATGGGCATTCATCGAGATGCAAGACCATCTAGCCTCAACCCCGTGGACAAACGACTGTGGGTTCGGCTGTGGTGGATTCTATTCCAATTCGATGTTCTGGTGTCTTCTTCCTATGGCCGACCTCAGGCGATGTGAGTCTCGCCGTGCACTGCGACACCCCGTTCCTTTGCTGACGATCGGTAATCTTAGCAACCTCGATGAATCTGACGTGTCACCACTGTGAGCAGCTTCTCGATACAATCTTTATCCCTTCAAGAACAGATATGCCCCTACTTCAGGCCTATATAATGTAACAAAGACTCCAGGGGCAACAGGTTTTTACGAGAGGCTATGACCACCTTGTGGCCTGCCCCTGCCCTATTCGTATTAAGCTTCTTCTTTGGTTGTTTGATGGCTGACTCCTAACGCTGGAAAAAGTGAAAAGCATCACTTCCTGGGAATCAATAGTCCAGAAATTGACTTCACTATAAGTCACACCCGCCTGTGCCTCATTTTCTCCAAGGCAATGAGGAAGAGAGTGTCCTTGCGATCTACTCCCGCAGACCGAGCCGCGGCAACTGCAGAGTGCGACGCAGCTCTTGCAAACCTGATCACACAACTCCCCGAGAAGTTTCAGAATCCCAAAGGTGACCCAGACCAATGGCAGGCTATCTTTCACCTAACTTACAATAACTTTCTAATCCTGCTTCATCGGCCATCACCTAGGAGAGACCCCGAAGGTCCCTCGGCCGCAGCAGACACTGACTTGAGTATTTGTTGCGACGCCGCGATTACGATATGCTCCATTTTCGAGTCTCTAAGAGAAAGGAATCTGTTGGACAGGCTTTGGATACCCAGTATTCATGTACTCTTCACAGCTCTGGTGCATGTGTCAGACCAGATGCAATCTGTGAATCCACTCATCGTTGCCAAGTCAAAACGCCTATTTGACTCGCTGATGCTCACTTTACACGCTCTCAAAGGGCAGTGGTTATATGCACAGAGTTTGTTGGCACTATTCGATGGACGGAAAGCGGCAGGCTCTAGGCACACTCGGTCCCAGGCGACAGACTCGGAAAATGGAAATGGAGAAGGTGACGTCCCTCGTTTCTGCGGTGATCCCGGAAACCCTCCAGAGCATCTTCGTATCGGCGAAAGTGTCCTGAACGGCTCAGCCATGCACCTGCCAGCTGTTGGCCACCCTGAACAACATGCACATAATGGACAATCCTCGCCGGCCTACTTAGGGCCTTCCAATCTTTATCAGTCTGATCCTAGACCCGGTGGGATGATTGGGGACGTCTCGCAAGCCAACTACATCTATGGCACCAACTTCATTGGGGATGACGTGGACCTGCCTGAAGATGGAGCAGATCACATGGATATGTTGGAAGTGCCGTCGGCGTTGGAGCTACTTCTTGCAGGCGTCGGTAATGATTTCGGGTTGCACTATTGAGTGTCAGGGCTCAGATTACTCACTGTGATTTCGGAGGCCACCAAGTCTATGTCACAAGTATGCAGATTTTCGAACTTCCTCGGTCATTGTCAACATACTAGACTGCCCAAGTGCTGCCTCAGCTCGCCCCTCTTCACCGGAAACACCGAGTTCTGCCAACTCAACAAGTGGTGATCTCGTTTCTAATCCCAATACATATAGAATGTGTGGATCGCCTTCGGGTGGTTTCGTTTTTGATGCCCATACATATAAAATGTATGCGACGCCTTCATACAGTGGTAAACGCTCAGGACCAGAAGGGAGGGAAAGGACGATGTCCGCACGTGCGATAGATTGAGCCGCAGCTTCAGCAACCCGATCGACAACAGCAACTTCCCACATCAATAGTTCGCCACTTGTTCGTTTTTGGTTCTGTGTACATCTTCTGGACTTTCGCGGAACATCAGGTAGCGCGATTGATAGCCCAATGGCCCACGAGGGAAGTTTCCTAATAGACAGGTCAAATGACCAGAAAGGTGTGACGCTGGAGGGCCGAGACAAAATGGGAACACAACGGGTGGCGTGATGCCTTGCACGTGTCGAACCGCGAGACATGATGTCTTAGAAAACATCCAACCTCCACTTTAGCACTGGTGAAATTGGGAGACACCGTTTGACCGTGTACCCAGACTTTTGAAGATTGGTGTGGGTTCGGCTTGAATGAAACCCAACGCGGAATATGGCAACGCCACGGTCCTGGATGCCGAGCAACGGAAAGCATGTGTGGGGGCCTATACCAAAATTCGGTGACAGCCTCCACACATGCATATCGTACGCTCGGAGGCTGGGACTCTGCAAGCTCCCGTCTCCAAGCCTCCGAATAATCCGATGCGGCTGTTGCAGCTTTCAGCTACGGGACCCAGCTGCTCGACTACAGTGCAAAGGGTCCCAATGTGGCGGGCCGGTGAGTGCATTCGAAAGCTTCTGGAAGCCCTGCCGTGGCGACAACGCCACTGGCTCGGCGTGACATGGGCCCCCCAGTACAGGGTAGGAGCCCGCGGGTCAGGATCATCAGACATTATCAGCCGGCCGCCCGGGCGGTGCCAGTGATGCATGCCCATGAGGTGCTGGGTCTTAGCCATGCGCGCGGAACGCGAACTGTGCTGAGCAGTGAGACATTTAATATACTGGCTGCGGTCTCATTCCGTACTATTACACGTCGAAGCTATACTATGTACACAGCGCCTTTGTACGGTGGTAAACGCCCAAAGACCCAGCGTTTCATTCAATATGGTACATGGCATACTCCGTATTGTAGTATGGGTGTCCGGGAAGGTGGCGCGTGCGCACGCACAGATACATGAAGACTACAAAAGAACACAAAAGTGGCAGTGGCTCCATGCTGCATGCGGGAGAGGTACGAAAGTACTGCAGACCGGGCCACGTGTGCCCCCTCGAGGTAGGACGGTGAAGCGAAAGGGTTGGTGGATGCAGCTATGATGCATGAGTGAGGGCCAGCCGCTCCGTGTGTGGGGCGGGCTGGACGTGGCCAGCTGTGAAAAATCCCATTTGATCGACTTGTATGATAGTCAGGTACAGCACTTGAACAGCCTAGAGATACCACAGTATGCTGTGATCCTCGATGTGCAGTGCGGGTTGGCGTTGCGAGTCCGAATAACCTTGGAAGCTTAGCCGACTTGTCAGACTGGTGGGTCGGATCCGTCGGCATGCATATTATGTGTGGGCTATGGATGATATCCTAGCACCAAATTAGTTTTGTAGGTGGGCAGGGAAGATCAGAGTGAGAAGTACCGATACATCCTCTTCGTATTTTCGGCGTCTAGCTTCTAACCCAAGGTTTCCAAAGTCCCTCGCCCAGCGCTTGCAGGCCCCTTTCCTCTTTGGGAAGGAGGCTCGCGCGTGAGATACAGACATCCTGGGTCTCACTGCATTCTCCCTTATCTCTCGAAGCCGTTACACATGTATGTCAGCTCGACGATGCGACACATCGCGATTCTGCTCCTTGAAATCAACAGGACACTACTGCCGTTAGGGTCTTGGCGGCCTGACCCCCTTGGCGACCATGCAATCGAATACGATACCACCTGTTCAAGCCACCCTGGAGCCCTCCACCCCACGTGTGGCGCAGTCTACGGATACACTCTGCGAGAGCTGACAGTGTCACAAAACCGCAAAGCACTACGGAGAATAATTACCGTTCGGGCAGCTGACTCGCTGTGGTGATGTGGTGGACGAGGCTTGACAGATGTCACCATAGAACCCGGATTCTTGGCCAAGCCGTAAGCTTACGGTACTCAGTCACTGCTAGGGGAGTGCTCAGGAACGGGCACCGTTGGAGGACCGAGATAACATAGGATCGCGCTTGTAAACTTTAATTAACTAAGGTTGCTTGATACTTGATCAATTGGACTCAGTTTCTGCCCGGGTACGTATTGTATGGGATGAGGTAAGCTCGCTGTTGAGACGGGGAGACACGACTGAAGACAAAGTCATTGGTAATTCTGGAGAAGATAAAATGGACATTGAATTTGTCCTGGATCCTGGCACCGTCAGCGGAACTTGAAAGTACGTTCTCACGCATTCACCTCCTCCCTAGGTACTTCGTGTCTTTGTGAGATGCTCTCAAGGGCCCAGATTTGCCTCAATGATGCCAGCTTGTCATGTCAGGAGAATAAGACCCGATACTTGAGGCGAGGGAAAAGAAAGTGGCTGGCTAGAGACCCATTATCGATTGGGCGGCGAAGAAAATCGGTGAAATTACTAGGTAGGATTGCAGCACACAAGCAACTTTGTACCCACCACAAGCAAGTCATGCAGCTGAAGCAAGCTTCGAGTTGACAAATTCTCCGCTCCTAGAAAGCATCCAAGCGAACTACTGCAGCAATATTCCCTTCCATCCCATACCCTAAGGGGAACGATTTCAGCTCAAGCAGCGAAATTCACCCCACCCTATTCCAGGGGTGTAGAAGAGCCCACAACATAGTACCTCGGTATGAGTAGCTCTTCCGATTGTGTAATGGTAGCCAGCATCGTCGAATTGTCCGTTGTTCTACTGCATGGTTAGCTTCTGTATTCGTGTCACACAAGCACGTGGATCATACAGTAGCGTACGAAGCACCGAGTTGGTGCTGAGGTATGCACAGGTGAAGACACTAGGACATACATGCATATCAGCTATCGGACTGTTTGCTATTTTTAAAAGGTTGGGGATGTTCTCACCCGTCCCCTTCGTTGGCGAACATGATGTACGAGTTGAAAGAGGGGCACCGTCTGGAGTTCCTACGTTCTGAATTGTAGGAATTAGAAACGAGACTACTTAGTGTGGCCGAAGCCATAAGGTCCGTATATCCGCCTAGAGCTGGAGCTTCTAGTTTGAAGCACCAGTGGAACCGGCGACTACCACGTAGAATTCATCCTGAGACTGGCCTTCGCTGGTGGCATTGACCGAGTACAAGAACACAGAGTAGAAGACACACTTAATTAGCGTCACTGTGGGTGAATCAGCGGGCAAGCAAGAGGTTTTGGGAGGACTCCGGTGGTTAGCCACACCAGCCCCGCGGCGCGCTCATAGTAGATTACAAACGAGGCGCACGAGGCCGACCGGACCAAGTGCTGCACAGATTGGAGCATTCATCGGGGTTGTAACCTGAGTGTTCCGACAAGCTATATCCAAGATAGCCTGTGCCGTCGCCATTGGAGGCCTTCAGATCCACCCACCCAGGGACAACTGAATACCTAGGTACCGATGAGGTGGGTTGCTACCGGCGGCTGTTGCACCCTGCGAAAATGCTGCAAGTGCAAGGAAGCCTGCATCTGTGCCAGGCTCTACATGAACGCCATTGCCGGCCTGCCAGTCTGCTCAACGCAGCCTAAGAGTTCGCCACGTCTGCTCGCGGCACCGGTGGAGCTCAGCCGCAGATCCTCCCCTCGTTGGTCAAAACGATCCGATGTATTCAGCGCAGCGATAACGCTAAGGAGAGCAATAATAATGTTGTATCACATCTTCAACATGCCAGTGATAGTCACAGCACTCGTTGGTTGTATGCAAATAATGGGGTATTTCAAAGACACAAGAAAAGTGAGAATGAGGTGGCCGACGTTTTGAGAAAGGAAACGACAAGAGGATTAGAAGGGAAAGCAGATTGTGGAGTGACTCGTACTCATACTATGGATCCTTTCAGTCCCGAGAAAGGGCAATTGTTGGGACCGGCAATAGTACCAGTGCTACAGTGAGCACTTAAGCTTACATAGAGACTGGGTATGGTAGCCGCCAAAGCCATAAGAAGGTAGCATGTTGAGCTCCAGGATTCGTGCTCTCGGGCTGCCCTCCAAAATGCATGATTTCGGGCCGGGCAAGCAATGTGATAGAAAGTAAGCCCGAAGGCGATGACTGCATGAGATAACCAAGTTGCCAACTATCTAGGTATGGGTCTTTAGATCGACATCGTGAAATCTGGCCAGCGATTGCTCGGCGGCGCGAGGCAGACCCTGGTTCTCTCCAGACTTGCACGTGGTTGTACATTGCCTCAGGATGGGATTCGTCGTCGTCGGTGGGCCCTGTTGCAAATTCCTGGTAAGTTTCCCAGGGTTCCAATAGAAGTGATGCACAAGGGCGATGCTGATATGGTTTTGGCCTGTGGGACCCGAATGTACGGGCCTGGTCATGCATGTGTTACTGCGTTAACCCCTGTTATATTTGACCTCGCTAGAACCCCCACTCCATTGATACCGTGCGCCCTGGTCTTGAGATAATGCTTATCCGTTTTTTAGTGAATACCCACTCCCTCCAGGGCTCTTTTATCTCTTGGGAAGATTTCGCCGGACCTCAAAGCCGTCCCGCCCTCTTAGCCGAGAGTTCCATTTTAAGTTCCAGCCACTAGAGCGCCATCGACCAGAGAAACGAACTTGCGCTTGGAGGAATATGGAGGGTTGCATCTGCCGCCACACACGATGCGCAACTCTCGGCTCGACCCGGCGAGGCAGGAACAATCTGGCCTGGAAGGGAAATAATTGAAGCTCCATGGGCCCATTTTGAGGAAATAAGATGGAATTGCCCCAAGCTGAAATCCCAATATCAGTTGGGGCTGTTCAGGATGTGAGGTCAAGCATCCGCAGAGGGCATGGGTGCTTCCCCGATGATGCATGCACACAGCCAATGTATCCGTATCTGCAGCCTGGACAGGGATATGTGGGTGTGGACAAGGGTGTAATCTATCGAGTCTAGACCAAAATTCGACAAGAACATCAGCGGGAACGATTCGCCAGACAGGGCCAGGCAGATATTCCCTTCCCGCCTGGACGGATCGGTGAGAGCGAATCCAGGTGTTTTTTTTTTGGGAGGGGTGGGCAACTTCTTGCACATATCGAGAAAATAGTCTTGTTCGTCCAACATCTCGCCAGAAAAAAACAAAACTCAACCGACTCCGGCCACTTCTGCCAGACCGAAGCCCTGGCAGTCATCCCAAGGACCCCCAACCCCTACCGACCAGAATTAGTCCCCTTTCAGCCGAACACTGGACTTGGGCCGTCAGAGCCCCTCGTCCTCTCTTGTCACCATGAGCCCCACTGGCACATCAACTCCAACACATCACTCCGGTGTCTTCACCGGCAGGACAAGAAAACGGTTTGTTTCATACAGGCTTCGAGGAGAGTATGAGAAGCCATGGCTGGAGGATCCCAAGTTCAAACGCACAAAGTACAACAACTATGTGATCTATGTCTTTGTGTTCTTGGGTGTGTGTGCAGCAGGCGTGGTCGCCTACTTCCAGATCCAGCCTGCAATATCAGGCCCAGTACGTGCAACTCGTTCCCTGGCCAGGTCTCTCATTCTGACGATAACTACAGATATGTCTTGTGTATGAAGACGCATTTGACCAAGGGAAGCTGGATGACAAATTTTGGAATTATGAGGTCACTCTTGATGGCTTTGGAAACAGGGCATTCGACTGGACAACGTCTGACCCGTCCAATGTGTACACGGACGAGAAGGGTCTGCACATCGTGCCAACGCTCACAAATGAGACCACATCCATCACCACAGACCAGATGTGGAACAATTTCACCCTCAATCTCACTGCTGATGGCACTTGCACGGAGAGCAGAGCTGCCGCATGCGTCGCTCGCTCAAACTCAACCAAGGGCGACATGATCCCGCCAGTCAGGTCAGCCAGGATCAACACGAAGGGCAAGATGGGCATCAAGTACGGGAGGGTTGAGGTCGTCGCCAAACTTCCCAAAGGCGACTGGCTGTGGCCTGCCATCTGGATGATGCCCACAGACTCTGCATACGGCGAGTGGCCCAGGAGCGGAGAGATGGACATCATGGAGTCCCGGGGCAATGGGGTGTCATATCCTGGCGGCCGAAACGTCTACTACACAACATTGCACTGGGGCCCCAGCTCTGTTCTAGATAGCTACTGGAAAACCATGGCTGTGAGGACCCAGCGCCGAGGAGACTTTGCTGATTCCTTCCACACATACGGCCTCGAGTGGTGAGTCTTGCCTCTCTGTTCCTTCTTTCATGTCTGAAGCTTCATGTAGCTGACACCACTATTCACAGGACGGACAAGTATATCTACATGTATTTCGACGACAGGCTCACCCAGGTCCTCTACACCAAGTTCCACTCGGACAGGACGCTTTGGCAAAAGGGGGGGTTCTCTGAGAAGTCTGAGAATGACACGCTTCTTGACAACCCCTGGTCGAACACCACAAGCACCACAGGGAATGCCCCATTTGACCAAGAATTCTACCTTGTCCTCAATGTTGCCGTTGGGGCCAGGAATGGATGGTTTGAGTAAGTCTCCTCCGAAGTTTCGTTATTCCCTGGAGCAGAAAGAACACCCCGAAGCTAATGTGTGTGGCATGTAGGGACGGGAAGGGAGGCAAGCCATGGGTTGATGCAGGCACCAATGCCCAGTGGACCTTCTGGGACGATGCTGACAGTTGGCTTCCAACATGGGGCGAAGGAGACTCGAGAGGAATGACTGTCAAATCTGTCAAGATGTGGCGATCAGGCTCATGCGGGTCCGCTGAGCTGTAATCATGATTACAGCAAGTATGCAATTCATATCTCGTATTAATGATAGAGTTGGGCGTTTTGACGTGTTCTGGGTACGGTCACATGGCGCTTGTGGAAATGGGAGGAGAGGAGAGCAGGGCTGAGTAAGAAATGTGCCCCTGGGAATTTATGACCCCCCTTTTCTTGTTAAGTCTAGGATCTTCAAGATCTTCAGATTGCATACCATCTTAGACCAAAGGCTTACACCTACCCACCTGTACCAAGTTTTCAAAACAAGAACCTGCGGGGTACCTGTGTGCTGGGAAAGATCATCACGGCGGGTGTGATTAGCGATCGTCGATCTGGCCTGTCATGTTCCTGAATGCGGCGCCAGTCACTCATCAAAACAGTCAACTATCAGCTTGTCCACAAAGCAGTGCTCGAGTCTTTGGGCTCTCGGGCATGATGTAACCTCGTGCGTTCCCCTGATCTTGTCCGGCCTCCCATGGCTTATTTAAACTTCTCGGATGTGCCCGCGGACGGCGCTATCGGGGCAAACTCTGGTGTGGGTGGCAGCGAGCATTTGACGAGACTGGCCACGTTTCTTTTCAAATGGCCATGAGAAGGGGAGATTACATAGTACTTGTCCATGGTCCCAACAACCAAAGCTGCAGGTGTGAGGTGGCTGGGTGGCTGGTCGCTGTTGGGCAGCCGGCAGCTGCACGGCTCATCGGGGATATTTTGCCGGTATACTTACTTATTCGGGCTGGTAGCAATGACCAGGAAAGCATGGGCGCCTGTCCTGGTGTCAAAGGGGCCGGAGAGCTTTGATTGACAGCCTGACAGCTCAAACCCAGTCGCTAGTGGCGCTGGGTTGGGCATGTCCGCGGCCTGGAAGTTGGAAGTGAGTGCCAATGTGGTCGAGGAAGCGCGGGAGGATTTGGCCGAGCGTTCCTTCGTCAAACCCAAATACACACAGTACTTAATTAAGTACCTAGGTAGTAAGTAGCGCAGTCGCCTCCAAGAATCTGCATGTTGCTGCATGCTGCTGCATCACTAGCTCGAGCAAAGCCTGCTGGTGTACCGCCCTCCGTCTCTCACTCTGTGACTCTATCTGCCATGTACGGAGTACATGGATACAGAAAGATACGGTCAAGGTACACCGGCCTGCAGAGTTGTCGACTACCAACGCCGGGGGCGGTCCTCATTACGACGCTGCGTCTGGCCAAGATAATGTCTTTGATTACATTATTTTTAGCCGCCTGGCCCCCCTTCGGGTTCTCTAAATCCTCTGTTACCCTGGCTGCAGCAGGCCCATGCATCCCAATGTTGAGCTACTGTGCGCTTTGCGTACTCGAATGCTGGGAAGTGATCCCGAATGCCCGGTTCCCAAGCACACACAAGCCTCGTCTTATGAATTTCGACATGCCACCACTACTACACCTTTGGATACTCTTGTTGCCTTCGATCTGTGGGATCCTGGGTTGTTGATCGACGTTGACTTTGAGGTAAGCCACTCCACGCGTTCCTGGCTGTGGCGTTGGACCTTATCCTCTTAGCGACAAGCAGCCGTTTCGGTGAGATTCCGGGCGGGAAACGGCCGGGGACAACGGGCTCAAGGTTCCTCTACATGACAGGGGTGATGATCCCTCATGATCTAGCCCACATGGGGCAAAGCGGAATTGGCCAATTACTTTTGGTCGCTCTGTGAACCCAGACGGCGACACAAGGTGGTTTATTCCGCCCGTGGCTTATCGGCAACAACTCGACTACTGTGAGAACATGCATGGCGCCTCGGAACACCGTGACCATTGTGCGCGAGTGCTTCGTCGAGCCTGAACACCACCATCACCGCTTCTAGACCCGCCCATCCTCTCAACTACTGCGTGGGATGGACCGAGGCGCCGGAGAGCCTCTAGAGCTCCACATGCAGCAACCCGTCTCAAGCCTCCCATATCCGGGCTGGTCCCTCTGGTCTTGGTGACTCGAAGCAGTCGCTCAGCTGATGGAGAGCGAGCGTGCCTATCCAGATTCGATGCTGGTGCCTAATTGGGTCAGCCAATTCCTGCACGGGCTGCAGGAAGAATGATCGCTGCTTTGTTCCCCCTCGCACTCGCAGACGATGGCTGATAAAGCGTGGCTCACACCGGGCATGTACCTCGTATCCAGATATCGGTAGATCAAGTCCTCAACCTCACACATGCCGGGCCCATGAACAGCACTGCGAGAGGCTAAGCTTACCACGCTCACTTGCGTCCGCCCCAAAGCACTCCCACGCCTCGCTCTGACACTATGCAGGCATCAGGCCCTTGTGTGTTTACAGGGTTTCAAAGCTGCTGCCAATGATAGTGTTGGTGATACCCAACTCCTCTCTTATCGTCCTTCTCCAGCCCAGATGTTCTGGGTCCTGCTGCAGTATTCAATATTTGTCGGCTTCTCGGTGCCACCGACGCCTCTGCAGCCCCGGAGGTCTCGCCTCCTTGAGCCATACTTCTCTGCCTGGGAAGCTCAGCTTCATCAATAGTTCATCTCAGCTTTCTCTCGCTCAACTGTTTGCTTGGAGCGGCTTGGGTAATAGCACGCCAGCGGCAGCGTCTACTCCCAAACTCAGCTATTGCGAGCTCTCCTGCAAGGTGTGACCGGTCTCATATCCCACCCGTTATCACACCATCGCAGCTGAGGCTGTCCCGTCGTTTACGCCCAATTTGATTTGCCTATAACAAGACAAAATCTCGACGATCACTTTGAATCCAAACAGCTCCCAACGCCCTGCTGCACGCCGCTCAGCCTAGCATCTCTCGGCACCACTCTTCCTCGTTGCTATAGCTGCTTGGGAGTTAGGATGTCTCCTACTCACTCTATTGACAGCTCCATTGTCGGGGCAGTTGGCCCAAGTACTCTTCCTCAGACCCCCGGTGCCTCTTCTCAAGACCAAGACCATACTGTCTTCCACCCCATCTATCCTCCTCGCGCCCACTTTCAACGCGAGAGCCTGTCATCGAGAACGCCTCCTCGCTCAAGACCAGCTTCACTCCACACAACCGGCTCATCGTCAGGTAACGGCTACGATGACGAGTTCCGCTTCCGCACAGTTGGTGGAGTCCCGTCCCTTCCGATGTTTCGTTACTAACTGCCCCTCTAGATGGTCAACTACCTGGCCAATCGAGTATCTGCCAATGGATGGATGCCGCAACCAGCTATCAAGGACCCATCACACGGCCTAGGTGTGCTGCTACGACAGTCTCGCGGCAACTACATCTGCTGCCCAGAAAATGTCTACGATGAGCTTCTCTTCGCCGTACAGCGCCTCAATGTCGGCGTTGCCGTTACCATGAAGCCGGAGATGCTAGCAGGCATCATTGCCAGCCTGCAGCCCGACCAGCAGGAACTCCGTTTGAAAGGAGGGTCTCAACTCCAAATCCTCGACTCCTTTGCTGCAGTCACTTCCTCTGGTGTCAAGAAGTTCCAGTATGGTGCCATTCTCCGACATGAAGGGGTCCTCCTCGTCTGGCAGGACGAGATCCAGCACATCCTGGCCCACGCTCAGCGGATGGAAGACAAGCTTCTGACCTACGTCTGGGGCCGCAACTCAGGGATGCACACTCCGATATCATCGCCTTTCCCCGCCGGCGCAAGCCCCTTCCAGTCACCCTCGGATTCCGTGTCTAACTTCTCGATGTTCCCTGAAAAGGGGGTTGCCGGCGTACAGGTCCAAGAGCAAGGCGAAGAAGAAGAAGAAGAAGAAAAGGAGTCGCAGGAGAGACCAGAGTCGGTCAATCGGCCTTTCATGTTACACAGTGCCTTCTTCGTAGGCATGGGAGTGTGTCTCGCCATAGTCCTCGTCTACGGCTTCTCTATTGGCGAGCTGGTCTCCGAGAGCATGATGGACGGTCAGTACATCAGACTGGCGTTGATCGCCGCGTGCCCCTTCCTCATGTTTGCTGGTTTGTTCTTCTTCCAGGTGATCTTTGGAGATATCTGGCAAATGATCGGTCCTCTCAACGGCTTGAAGACCAACTCCCGGCACTATTCCTGTATCAAGCCGTCCTTGAAACAGGCGTACTCGCTCGGATTCAACCCACCCCACATCACGATCCAGATGCCAGTCTACAAAGAAGGCATGGAGAGCGTCATCATACCCACGGTAAAGTCCCTGCAGGCAGCTATTTCGTTCTACGAATCCCGCGGAGGCACAGCCTCAATCTTCATCAACGATGACGGCATGCGCGCTGGCATGTCGGACGAGGAGGCCCAGGCCCGCCGGGACTTCTACCACGACAACAATATCGGCTGGGTTGCGCGGCCCAAGCACGGTGAGGATGGATTCGAGCGGAGGGGAAAGTTTAAGAAGGCCTCAAACATGAATTTTGCCCTGAATCTATCACAGAAGGTCGAGAGCCATCTCCTGGACGAAGTCACCGCGAGGTGTGCGCAACAGCCAGGCCATCGTGACTCAGACCCCGCGATGCTCGAGGAGCAGGAGTTGGATAATCTCTACCACGAGTGCCTTGGCCGTGCTCTTCGGGAGAATCCCAAGGCCATGGCGGAGGGAGATATCCGTATTGGCGAGTTCATCTTGATCGTCGACTCCGATACCCGTGTGGTAAGTGGCAGATGAATTTGAGACCGCGGATCACTGCTGACCTTTCCATAGCCCGTGGACTGCCTACTGTACGGCGCGGCCGAGATGTTCCTGTCACCCGAGGTTGCCATCGTGCAGCACTCTACCGGTGTGATGCAGGTCGCCTGGGATTATTTTGAGAACGGAATCACCTTCTTCACCAACATGGTCTACACTGCTATCCGTTTCTCCATCGGGTCTGGGGAGGTTGCCCCTTTTGTTGGCCACAATGCCTTCCTGCGCTGGGCAGCGGTGCAGGACGTTGGCGTCGTCGAGGAGAACGGTGATCTCAACTACTGGTCCGAGAGTCACGTTTCTGAGGATTTCGATATCGCCCTCCGTATGCAGATCAAGGGAAGTACTGTCCGCATTGCTAGCTACCATGGCGATGGGTTTAAGGAAGGCGTGTCTCTGACAATCTACGACGAGATTGCTCGTTGGCAAAAGTAAGCCGGTCTCAACAACACACAGGTTACCCACTGTCTCACACAAAAGCTGACACTCTGCTCAGATACGCTTATGGTTGTAGCGAAATGGTCTTCAACCCGCTGCACAAATGGCCGACCAAGGGTCCCTTCACCAAGCTGATTCGGACGTTCCTCGGCTCTCGGATGATGCTGTCTTCCAAGATCAGCGTTTTTGCCTACATCTGCTCTTACTTTGCCATCGGCGTCGGTCTTCCAATGACAGTTCTCAATTACTTCCTTGTTGGCTGGTTCGATGACAGCTTGGATCACTTCTACCTGCCCTCGTGGAAAGTTTTCGTCTCGCTTCTGGTTGTCTTCAACCTTGCTGGAGGCCTCTCGCTCGCCGTGATCCGGTACCGAACGGGCGAGCGATCACTCCTTGGTTCTATCGTTGAGAACTTCAAGTGGACTCCGATGATGGCCATCTTCTTTGGCGGCCTATCCTTCCACGTTAGCTGCGCCCTGCTTGCCCATCTGCTGCATATCAACATGCAATGGGGCGCGACGTCCAAGGAGAAGGAGAATTCAAACTTCTTCCAAGAGGTGCCAAAGATCTTGAAGTCATTCAAGTACTTGTAAGTTCAACGCCCCCATCCCGGCCCTCAGGGCATCAGGTTGAGGCTAAAGAATTCGAAAGGTACGTCTTCGTGATATTATTCACTGGCGCTATGATCTATTTAGCTCTTTTTGCTCCTCGGGGCTGGGAGATCGTCGACTTCACAGCAATCGTCCCTATGGCCGTTGTACTCGGAAGCCATGCGCTTACTCCTATAGTCTTGAACCCATCTCTCATGATTTTCAACTACTAAGGGATTTTATGCCGAGGCTGACACCAGTTGGACCGTTCACACAATTTGGCGCCCCGAATTCAAATATGCTTGCCTCAATGTATGTTTGGTTCAACTGGCTCTGCACATTCGTGGACTCTGCTTAGTGAAGCGTGTGTCTGGGCGTGGGTTAAGCAGGGCTTGCCCAGTCAATAATTAAATGGAACGGGATGGTATATACATAGATCTAGCCAGCGGGATAAGTTAACTTTACGAACTCAATGTTTCAACGTCAATTCACAGGCTTAGAATGGGTATAGACGGTTTTAGGTGAACGTTTGAGTATTTTATAGGCTGGGAATAATAGAATTATCAAGTTATACATGCAAAAAGGTCTTTATCTCCACTTTGTCTTGCTATAATACGTAGTATAGACCCTGGTCTAGGGCATGCAAAAAGCTTGGAGCGGTTGTTCCAAATGGTCACCTCCCCAGGTACTTAAGTACATCTGTAGTGTTAATGTCCAGTATACATAGGTAATTATACTGATATTCTTTGATAAGATCATCGCCCATAGTATTAAACCCTCTTTTGGGAAAGTCTCCTGTGGTATAATCTCTGATGGGACAACCTAGTAGGTTTTGATGGGGCAGCTAGCTCTCGAGCTTCAAGTTCGTTTCTTCAAATGTTACCAGATCGTCGCTTTTTATTTGTATGAACATATTTTAATAACCTACGGACGGGCGTTTCAGTTCGTGGTTGAGTTGGAGGTAGTTATCGCCCGTGGGGATACCCAGTTGCCATTTTCACGCCTGTGCTAATCATGTCCACCAGTGCCGTCATTCATAGATCAACGATTACGCATGCCAAATACGCACTCTCAATCCTTCTTTCATCATGCTGCTCGCGAAGCGTATTACTATGACGCATGCTGATGAATCAGACAGTTGAGTATGCCAATGCCGTGCAGGTAGTTACTATCTAAATTGGCTCACATATTGCTCACTTCCGCTTGACTGGTTAATCGGCACTGATGTCAGCCGTCGCAGTCAAACGGTTAGATCTTAATGTAATATCATACTGGTCGATGACTCTCACTGGCATTGACCTTGATTTGGTGCATGATAAAGGACCCCAGTTGAAGACATTTTGGGAGCATGTGGTTGGCTTCTGTTCCTCAATCAGAACTCCTAGCCCAGGACTGGGCACTGTTCCGTGTAGGATGTATTGATAGCGACTCAGACCCCTCTTCAAACCTGCGTTCTCTTGGAAAAGGGACGATTCTCGCAAGTAGCTTGCTGGGTGGGGGTTGACTATAAAATTTGCTAGAGAGTTCAAACGGACCCGGGGAGTACTTCGAGGATGAAAAGAACATTTTACCCTAATTAGGTAGACAGCTTTGTCATCATACAACCGATCGGCCCTTTCGCATTCAGATGAGTTCGATCTACCTTCTGACCTAGGCGTAGAACATCCCGATGGTACGAAACCTTGGTTGGGAGAGAAGCGGCACTGCAGGCATCCGCCAGCAAAGACCCTTGCCTCCTCGAACTGCTCAACTGCCGTCCCTAATACGATAATCACGTCTTCTGGACCACTCTCATAAATGCTTTAAATGTGGGACTTGGTGCAATTTGAGGTTGTTGAGTGGTGATAGAACGCTTATGGCCATTCATTCTCCCAGGCGCTAGCACTTGGTAGGTAGCATGCAGGGACTCGCTCCATTAATACTGGTGTTAACCCTTTATTCAGAGTAGCCCGTATATTAATAATAGTTGTATACCAGAAGCTGCATCCCAAGATGTCATCTTGTGCCCCCAGTGCACCCCAAGTCAGCTTTAGTCAGTCGTTCCAATTGAACTTTTATAATGTGCCGAGCTTTGTAATGGGTCAGTTCTCGAGTGCTTGAATAGTGCTTCGCATGAGCATTGACACTGATCGCCCCGTGCTTGTCTGGCTCCATCAATATCTCTGACTGCTTATTAGTTGGATGTGCCAGACGCAGATCACATGAAAAGCGCGCGCTCTTGATAAAGTAGTGGTCACAGCTTCGTCAACTTCCCTCTTGGACACCGGTGCCTCCATCCACCGGTGCTGTTGATCAGCAGCCAGGCTAAGTCCACTCTGGATCGTCCACCCTGGATCGTCCACCCCTTGAGCTGTGGAGAGCAGCATCGTCTTGGTAGCATTGATTTTCAAATGATCGAAGGCCCTACGTATTCGTCTGATTGGCTAAGGCCGACGATCATTAAACTTAGGAGCAGCAATTGTAAGTTTCTCGAGGTCGGTCTTTGCAGGACGTTGAACGGCCTCCCGAGCGTAGGTTACGATTTGATGAGCCGAATTATCGTTAATGGCGATATATGAGTTCGGGGCAACTTCCAAGGCTGACTAGCAACCGGCTGCCTGATGCCATATTTGCCTGCGACTCCGGAGCAATCCTGACTGTGATACTCTTCAAGACAGCCTGTGAGGGCGGACTCAGAAGTCCGGAATCCGTTTAGGTCCTTGAGTATGCCATTTGTAGGTATGCAATGCACATGTGTGTGGCATGTAACATCGGTTCTATAAGGTGAGGTATTTTCAGCTAAGTGCGGCAGTTGTGAAGGTGGTTTGCACGGCTCGCCGAACCGACGATCTCTGGGGGCTCCGAGTCTTTTGGGGTTGAGCACCGCCGATCTTGTGCTGCTCGGCAAACGCCAATGTGACGACGATACGATGCCACTCACCGTCCGGGTTGCAGCCGACTGCTGACACAGTGTTGGTGGAATGCAGTCTTCTTCTTTTGTTCAGCCCCCATAAAAGGGATTGACAAACTGAAGCCGCCCGGCTGTTCGTTACAGTTACAATTGTTGACTGGTCTCGAAGCCTGGTAACCCTTGTGCATGCAATCCTTTTCTGACCACCACCCCTCCAAATCCGCTTAGTTCATCACTGCATTGCGTATGCCGGTAGGTAGATTATGCTGACAGTGGAGCAATCACCACTTCGTCTTTCCAGAGAGGAAGAACCAGACCGATAACTACTACTACACAGTAGTAATAAGCGTGCATGCCAAGGCCGTGACTGTTCCGGCCGAAGAGGATTCAAGCCGCTTGCGGCTGCAGACCACGCACTTGACCGTTGTGTGAACAGTAAGCAAGCGCCTGCAGCGTGATTGAGCTTGTGGGCAGCACTTGCGTAGAACCTGCCAAAACTGGGCTAGTTCGTCTGAAATTTCTACGAGCCTAGCCGACAAGAAGAAGATACCAGTGTGAAGGCGGCAATAAGCCCAACTGTGTGCATTGCACCACTCTGTATCCACCAGGACGGGTCCACTCACCATCGGACGGGAATCACAGAACACGTATATTTAGGCAGGTCCTACTGGTGGTGGAGCACTCCACTGCTTATTGCTCTGCCTCCGATATTTTCTGAGGGGCGCATGTGCCGGGCATGCTTAGGATTATTTGCATTCTTTATTCCACTCCTGCAGCTCTGTGCTCATCATTTCCGACCAGCTCAGCATAGGCATCCTGACGTTGTTGTCGGCGCTGCAGTCTTGACAAAGCCACACACAATACATCCCAGCATGTTGCCCTCGCGTGACGAGTGCCACCTCGCGGCATTTCCCATTTGTCCAAATGCTACCCATTGCCCGAAAGGCCATCATTGGTCATGTCTGCTGTTCTGGCATCCACCATTTGTTCGCTCGGTGATCGACAGTCCTTTCTTTAGACCTGCATTGCGCCCGGGCGCTTTTCTCGTTGACACCACTTGCCGTGTTCTTGCGATGTCACACATGCGGTGGTTCAAGTTTGCGGTATCGCTTTTCCTCACTCATCTCAAACATAATTTGGCGGCTTCTCCAGAGCCAAGAAGCCAGCCCGCGACGGCCTGGTAGTCTGGGAGCCCAGTGGGACCGGTTCTGGGCTAGTGACAGAAGCAGAAGAAACCCCGTCACGTCCTGCAAACTCTTGGTCTAGGCTCCCTAGGTGGGCTGGTAGAGGAGCCCGAGGGGCCTGAGGGGTTGTGTTTGATTTATTATTCCCGTCGCGCGATCCAGTCTGGCAAAGACCACGTTGCGTTAGAATTTCATCTCATCTGTAGAGGACGCATCCGCTCCCGCGACCCGCATCCTTGTGATTCTTACTCCCTGCCTGCCTGCCAGTGTTGTCTATGCATATCGGGGTCGCTGCCCGAGGCTAGTGAATAGCTCATAACGGCCGGCCCTGTTGCCAACTTCGCTAAGTGAAGCCTAACCACGAGTTGCCTTCTCAACGAGAAAGAGCACACCGTATGGAAATGACCACATCATCGTCCACATGGCACCTGTGCGAAGCCCATTCCCACCCGCAAGGTTTGAAGAATCGAACTAGTGGAAGGGCTAGAATCGTAATAAGGTTCCGACAACCGGTCTGCTGCCCAGGTGGGCACGGGCATCGCCTGCCCGTGAAGACATGGTAGGGTAGTAACCACCGTTACTGTGCCAGTGTGTTGAAGTTGGCACGTGGGGGCTGTGGGTGCTGTTGTTCAGGGTGTTGACGAGGTCCCGGCATATTTTGGGCCTCTTCTGGACCCTTCACAATCCGCAGCCCACAGTGGGGACAGACTGACCTACAGGTATGAGCCTGGGTTCTAGACCTCGGATACCTCATCAGCCCGTTCTGTTCGTTCCATGAAGCTGGTGGGATTGAGGGCCATATTGCTCTGTGACCGAAATAGCGGAAACGCACCAGGGAACGTGGCAGGGTTCATCATGTTTATTAAACCCAGCATGCCAAAACCTGTTTCATAATGCAGGAGGCGTCTGTAGCAAATGCGGCGCCATGCCCGGAAGCGAGCCACACAACGCAGCAAGCTCAGGCTCTCCCGGCGTGCAGATGAGCTGACCTAAACAACGCCCCTGCATGTCGGCAACGGACAGTTGTATTCAAATGTTAGTAAGAACGGCGCCGAAGGAATGCCGACGGCCACCATCATTGGAAAAGTCTGGTGCACGGGCGCAGGGCGTCTTGAACCGTTCTATGACAGTGCCAACAATAGTGTGTATAATAGCCATAATATGACTTATACCTGGCACACCATCTGTCAATGGTTGGGTGCAACGGTCACCCTTATATATGATCGCCATCGACGTTGAACGTCATGTCGATCTTTGAAGCCCGAGCCCCTTCCAACGGCAAGAAATGCGAGTCATTCACGAGATCTTCAGCCGGGACTTTAAGGACCATCGGCACAAAAAAAAATGATCGATTGAGGACCACTTTATGTATGATGCTTGCTTCAAGGGTTTGGATCGCTGTTTGGTCGGTGTCGCGAGGCTTGACCCAGCCTCACAGTGGGCGCGACTGCTCATCAGCAAACCCGCAGTAGTCGGCAGGCTCCGTGAAGGCTAACGAGCAGTGGATGAGGCTCCACCGGCAGCCCTCACCGGGCCCATATCGCGTCGATCCGGGACGTACGGAGTAAAAGGGGTTCACTCCAGCTGGGACTGCAATTTCTCCAGAGGGAACAGGGTCTACGGGTAGCGCAATTATGACAGATGACAGCTCAGATATAGCAGCGGGAAAGCACTACCGTGTCACACTGGCAGCTGACTGCCAGTGGAGGTCTGTGGCGACAAGCCAACAAGCGTCCCTCGAACCTCGAATGGGCAATCGTCTCGCCGTTATTCTCCGCATGTGGCGCCCGTGGGGCTGACCACGCAAGCCCTGACGGACAGCGGACCATATGTTGACGGTTATAGAATGTTCGTGGAATTACCAAGGAGATTTCATTATGCCCGGAGTTGTGCAAGACACACAAGGTGGATTGAAACCAGCGAAGGAATTGGCCACGCCGGTAAAGTTCGCCCCTGTTTCGCACCGATGTTGGGCTTGAGGCCCACATAAGGCCCACAGTTTCTGCGACAGCTTCCCAGGCTTGCATATATCGTTAACGCGTTTCTCTTGCTCTAGTACGCTGCAAGCTTCCCAGGTTGCCCTGCCATTCGTCAGTGGCTAAAGTGACCTGTACCAGTGTGTCCCAAAGGGCCGAACCTCTTGGCATGTCAATTACGACGTTGCACACAATAGGACATTTGGTCCGTGTTCCCCTGTGCCTTGCATTCCAGCGCGTCGGGAGACCCCAGGTCCAGTAGGTTGCACTCGGCCGACATGAAGCCGTCCCTGTTCAAACCTTCGCCCACGAGGGAAGCCTGTACGAACAATACCGACGTACCCGCATACGAACACAGGGGACAGGCTTGTTCAACTGGACGGGCCGCCGAGATCACCTATCCAGTCTGGAAGATCCCGCGGGAAGAGCCAATCCCTACAAGAAGACCACATGGTCACTGACTGGATGAGTGCCCACTTGGCGAAAGATTATCACCCGGCCCTCGGGTTTGTCTAGCCATGCTAAGATGCGCCACCAGCACCTGGGCACCTCACACAGTGACATTGCGGGATACACTCCACAACTGGAAGTTTTGCCTCCTGAAGTCCTTTCCCGCTCTCGTGCTCATCTTGCGCTAGTACACAGAAGATATCAAATCGCCCATATCCCCATGTAAATTCTCCGAGCTTCCTGCACGCTGGGCCGATCTCCTCGTCCTTTTTCTCTCCAGTCCCGTCGACCATCGACCTGCGTCCCCAGTGCCTGATGCTTTTCCTCGCGTGGCCTCAACCGCAGGCAACATCGTGATGATGCTTCTCCTTCCGGTCTTCTCCTTGCTGGTCTTTGCCCTTTCGTCTGTCTATGCACAGGCCAGCAGTGATGCGGCTTCGGAACTCGCTGCGCTGTCGGCAGCGCTGCCCCCTTGCGGTGTAAGACTGCGCAAATTCATCCACGCTCAAGCTAATCGGACCCTCACTGACCCTCTCCTCGTCGTAGCTGAAATGTTTCATCACCGAGTTGTCGAGTTCGACCTGTACCGATGCGGCATGTGTGTGTAGCAACGAACCCCTCATGGCTGGCGTTACGACGTGTGTAATGCAGAATTGCACGATCCCGGATGCATTGATTGTCAAGAACGTCTCCAGCACTGCCTGCGGCCTGCCTGTGAGGGATGGGGGAACACACTACAACATCGTGTCTGTTACACTGGGTGTGATTTCGGGAGCTGTCATTCTCATGCGGCTCGGATTCAAGATATTCATTGCCAAGACTGGTTTGGGCCTCGATGACTGGTTTATTCTCGCAACAATCTTGGTCGGCGTTCCCAGCAGCGTTATTACCTCGGAGGGACTGGTTCCCAACGGTCTTGGCAGGGATATCTGGACATTGAAGCCTCAGCAAATCACTAATGTAAGCGGGGTTCTTGCCAGCTCTGTGCCTCGGGTTGCATCTTCTCAACGCTGCTATCCCTCGCTGTTTATAACTAGCTTGATGTTCTGGAACTGCATGACTGACTCCACCGTCTACAGGTACTCCATTTGTTTTATTTCATGGCGTGGCTGTATTTTCTTCAGCTAGCCCTGCTGAAAACCTCACTACTCTTCTTCTATCTGAAGATCTTTCCCAACAAAATTGTGAGATGGTTGCTTTGGGGTACACTCGTCTTCAACGGAATCTGTGAGTAAATGAAGCGGGGTTACTCCTGCAAAAGCTGTCTACGATAATGGTCTGCCCGAACTGTTGCTGATATCTGCTCGTCCTAGGGGGCATCTCTTTTGCCCTGCTCGCGGTATTTCAATGCCGTCCTATCAGCTACTTTTGGGACCAATGGGATGGACTCCACAGCGGTAGCTGTCCCATCAACACCAATTCTCTTGGGTGGGCGAATGGTGAGCATGCTCTGCTGGCACTGAAATCGACATAGCTCTAACATGTTTTCAGCTGCAATCTCTATCGTTGAAGATGTGTGGATGTTGGGAATCCCACTTTCTCAGCTTCGTTCGCTTCAGCTCCACTGGAAAAAGAAGATTGGTGGTACGCATGGAATCCTTCATTCGTCTCGGTCCTTTCTGTCATGGTTCACTTGAAACACTGGCTTCTGGTTTACAGACTTGCTCTCAAATTAAGATTCCGAGGTTGCTAACTTAAGATGTTTTCAGTGGCCATCATGTTTTGCACAGGCACATTCGTAACGGTAATATCTATTGTCAGACTGCAAAGTCTAATCGAGTTCGGAGACACGGACAACCCCACGTGGAATAACCTCAAGGTCAGCTTGTGGTCAACAATCGAGATAAATGTCGGCATAATAACTTGCTGCATGCCCACAATACGGCTGATTATACTCCGAGCCTTCCCGCGCCTGTCGTCGACCTACCGAAGCACGCAGGCCTACTATGCGAAGAACGGCTTGAGCCAGCAGTCGAAGAGCAAGCGTAGTCGGAACCGAACGAACGATTTCAGCAGCCAAGAACAAGCTTCGAACAGCGCACAGCGACCGGGCGGTGGTGGCATCGAATACTCTCGGGGTTTCACCGTGCAGTTCCACGATGCTGAGGCGTCAAGTCAAGTCCAGCTAAGAGACTTGGACTCCAAAGGGTTTGCGGCCAAAACCAGCATCAGCGAATGTTCGGCTTGATATCTGATGAGTCGCCATAGGAACCGCCTGTCTGAGGCTTTCACAGTGGATGATGGGGAAGCAAAGCAACGACCGAGATCCTTTGTTCGGCGCGAGAACCATTGATTGCGGAGCGATTCGGCCGCTTGGAGATGCTCTCAATACGCTTAGTTCTGGTTTCGATTTCGAAGCGGAAGATGATCCCGGAGGTGGCCGACATACTGTTCATACGAAAATTGACGCACATAGTTCTGAAGATACCCTGGAAATTGGCAACGGATTGTACTGTACTTTCTCCACATACTCATTGAATGCAAATGACACAGCTTGCTTGGGCTCATATGTATCAGCCACAACATGTCATATGCGTTACTAACACGCCAAAGACTCCTACTTAATGCTCAAGGTCGACGTGATACCGTGGACTATGTTCGCCCCGGCTGCTGCATGAAGTTGGTAATCAAGAGTCTTGATTATGGCTGCGACTCATACCTGAGAAGTAAGTATAGCTGATTTTACCGCCTCACTTGAAGGTGTCATCGCGGTGGCCCGGTTGGGTCATCCACAAACTCGTGACGCTACACCTCAGTCCCCGTGTTTGAACGCTCCAGCCATTGTCGAAGGAGCGAATTGCCTTGACAATTTCCAAGAAATCAGGTTAAATGACCTGGTGATTATCCACTTTTGTCCCGACCCAATTGTGTGTCGTAGGGACAGTTGTTGTACTGGAATCTCAAGCTGCTGCATGATACATGCCTGCAGAAGGGTTGTAGCACTGCCAGTGTGTGCAATTGATAAGGGGAAGTGTCCAGGTGATAGGACTGACCGTTATTGAAATCGCATGACAGATATACCTACACCGGTCGCATTGGTTGGCGACGACAGATCCACGGCTGTTGAAAATACAGTTGATGCAGGAGTGACCCGCAAGCAGCCGGCGCGACCGTCACCCCGTCGCGGTCAATGGATGAGAACTTGTTAGAGAAGAACCATTAGCCGCCCTATCAGCACCACCATCGCCACCGGGGCTAGGAATGATAATCTCCTCACACTGATACCCACACTGTCAGCATGATGTTTCGAGGCAGGCCGAGCCAAAACGATGCCCTCTGGAAACAAGCCTGCATACCTGATAAATGAAGCGCGAGTTGCCAAATTGGTTGCTTGGGTCACGACGGTACAGCTATTTGGTATTATCGCTTTCAGTGGGGAGGGCGCTGGATACAGGAGATGTCTATGTGGTAAACATGCCGGCATACGATGTTGGTCTTAGGTACGTGGGTACGCGGAGCTTCAAGCAAGGGGAAGCTTCTACCGTGATATGACGATGTGACATGAAGCATTGAAAATATGATGATATCCCTCAACTTGTGCATTCCAGGGCCGACCATAATCGCGTCGATAGAATTCATAGACTCCCATATCTTGAAAGCTTTCTGGGCTTCTGCCTAGATCAAGAGTCCTAATATTCCGAGAACAGAGTACCTAGGTACCGACTGAATCATGGGAAACCCTGCCATCAAATCGGACGCAGAACACGATCCCATCGCCAGCAGGGCTGCCGCTCACTACACTCAGTGTAATCAGTGTAGTGTAGTGTGTGTAAATACGCCCACTACACCCTATTACACTAAGGGTATTTTGAAGTCCACTACATTACACTGAAGCATCCAGTGTGTGTAATGTAGTGGGTTTAGAATTTGAGTGTAAATAGGGGGGGAAGGGGGGGGTTAGGAGGAGGGAGAGAGAGGGAGAGGAAAGCTAACTAAGTAGATAGATAAGATAAGATAAGATAAGATAAGATAACTTTTACCTACCTATCTATCTACCTATTTACCTACCTATCTACCTACCTATTTACCTATTTATTTACTTACCTATTTACCTATTTATTTACTTACTTATTTACTTATTTATTTATTAACTTATTTATTATACCTATTTATTTATTTTAATTTATTTATTTACTTACTTATTTACTTATTTATTTATTAACTTATTTATTAACTTATTTATTATACTATTTATTAATTTTAATTTATTAATTTTAATTTATTTATTTTATTTATTTATTTTAATTTATTTATTTTAATTTATTTATTTTAATTTATTTATTTTAATTTATTTATTTTAATTTATTTATTTTAATTTATTTATTTTAATTTATTTATTTTAATTTATTTATTTTAATTTATTTATTTTAATTTATTTATTTTAATTTATTTATTTTAATTTATTTATTTTAATTTATTTATTTTAATTTATTTATTTTATTTATTTATTTTATTTATTTATTTTATTTATTTTATTTATTCTATTTATTCTATTTATTCTATTTATTCTATTTATTCTATTTATTCTATTTATTCTATTTATTCTATTTATTCTATTTATTCTATTTATTCTATTTATTCTATTTATTCTATTTATTCTATTTATTCTATTTATTCTATTTATTCTATTTATTTTATTTATTCTATTTATTCTATTTATTCTATTTATTCTATTTATTCTATTTATTCTATTTATTCTATTTATTCTATTTATTCTATTTATTCTATTTATTCTATTTATTCTATTTATTCTATTTAATTTTATTTATTCGAATTTTACTATTTATTTTAATTTTATTAGTTAAATAGGTAGGTAAATAGGTAGTTAAATAGTCCCCCCTACCCCCCCCTATTTACACTCAAATTTTAAACACACTACACTACACACACTTATACTAAAGGTCTTTACATTATATTATATTTACACTAAAGGTCGAAGTATTTATATTTACACTCTACTGGTGAGCCCAGTGCGTGTAGTGTAGTGTACGGCAGCCCTGATCGCCAGTGTTCGTCTACCGCGATTGATGGATATATTCCTTCAAGGCCCATCGAAGAATGATCTCAGTAATTAGTCCCAGTCACTGAAACATTTTTCACCACAGTGCTTCTCAGCCACACTTAGCCCTAATTACCAAGGTTACGTGACGATCGGGGATCCCTGGCTGCCTGGGACCCGGCGGAGGCTGAAAGCACATATCCACAATCCTGCAGATCTTTATTGTTGAATCGCGCGCCACCCGGCAGTTGGGACAATTTAGATGCCTAGAGCCCCATTTTCTATGCAACCGAGACCAGGCCCACTTTGGACGGCATCTAAATGGACCGACTTCACGTCGTCTGTCAGGAATAGGACATTTCAATGTTCTCTCCCAAAGCCAGCAACCCCTAGGTAGTTATCTGAGCTTGACCCCAATCTTGTGAATTATCCGATTTCTCGTTGGTCGCTCAATAACTTCCACAAACTGCATTTGTTAAAAGTTTATGGTTGTAGAGTTCCAAGGTTCGCAGAAGAGAATTTCCACTACATTCGGCCGGTATTCAGAAGCACGGGGTGGGGGTGGGGCTTCTGCGGACTTAGGAATACGCAAAATGAGATATGCTTCAATCCTGCAAGCCCATGAAGGCGCCGTAAGATCCGCGATGAAACAGGAAAATTACAAGGTCTTGAGCGTTTACCACTGTATGAAAGCGCCACATACATTTTATATCATTTACCAGCGTGTGAAGGCGCCATGTATTTCCTCGGGTGTATGTGGAATAGAAGCGAAACCAGAGATACATTTTATATGTATGGGGATTAGAAACGAAACCACCAGGAAAATTACAACTGAGAATTAATTAACGCCGAGGAGTCTTATGCTACCAGTTTTACTCTCGTCAAACTGCGGTAGAAATGAGATTGCTTTGTGCTCAAGTCTGCAAGGGCTTATTTGCAAGCCCGACTCTCATGTTGCCCAGATCAAAGACCGCGTACTGGGCCTTCAGAGCAGTGGCCCCAATAATGGCGAAGTCGATGCCTCCTTGTGACTGCAGTCCTCCATAGCACAGAGTGCCAGTGTTGTCGGCGATCCCATAATTCATATATCGCCCAGGCACGATGCCTTTGTACAGACCAATCCCGAGAATGAAATCCGGCAAGGTGGCAGAGCATGGGAACAGTATCGCAGCCCACTCATCATCATAGTACGAGCCAGGAATTTGATCCCAGTAGGAATCGACGATGTCGTCTGAAAGCAACAGCATCGACGTGGCCGTGTCTGCGATGGCTCTGAAAGGCTTCGTAACGTATCCTGAGTTGGGGTTGCCTGGTATCGTCTCGGGGCCTATCCGATATCCTGTGATTGCGAATAGCCACCATATTGCTGTTCGGTCGATAGGGGCGTATTGAATGCGACCCGTGTACGAGTTCCCGATAAAGCCGAACCCGTAAGTGCCCGGGATAGTACTCTTCAAGTCGGCAGTGAAGACTGGGCTAGCCAAGGATGATTTTATGTTGTCTAGGAAGGTGAGCTGCCTTACGGGCTCCACGGTATTCCCGCTGCTCATCCCAAGGCCTAGCAAGCCCTACATAATTCGTAATTAGCTAACAAAGAACCAAAGAAAAGATACTTCGTGCCAGTATAAAGAAGAGTTGGCCACAAGATGGCTATTTTCTGTCCCAAAATCTGTAACCAGTACACCTTTGTTGTACAGGTTCATGTTAGGGTAGTATATTTGATCTCGAAGAGGAAAAACGTCTGCTTACCCAACAATAGGGATCCCCCGTGAACTTGGTTGACACCGTCTCGGCTGATTGGACAGCCTGGTTCTCTACGACGAAGCCAGCCACTTCGACACGGTCACGATACACAAGGCCTTCTGCTGAAGATCCATCTCCATAACCAATGGAAAATGTAAAACCTGGTTGTATTTGGGCTGTTGTCGATAGTGCCGGTTTATAAAGACCCTGACCAGCCACTACGCTCTCGTTTGTGTCTGTGGAGTAGACCCATCTGGTGCACTCAATTAGGTTACTAAATTTGAGGCTAATATCTCAATGCAAGGTAGGCTTACAGATCAGCAGATCCAGTGTCAAAGTTCAGATACATTGTCTGAGGAGGCGTGCCGATCTTGACTGGACTAATGTATTCATAGTCCAAGCCCCTTGGAGGAACTGCCTCAACCGTTTGCCCTGTTCACCAAATTAGGAAAAATGGCTTTTCAACAAAGGAAGAAAATAACGAACTCTTTCGAGATGTCGAGAGGTGCTTATTGATCTCAACGGCCTTTCTCAACTGCGGTGTCAATTCGACTCCGTACTTCTTGTATACTTCAACCATTGCCTCCAGCCCCGACTTCGGCCTATAGCCAGGGTTTCTCGTTTGATGTACCGAGAAGGTCCCATCAGATTCCGTCCTGGGCTCTTTGGCGATGACGGGCCTCACTGGATGCGGATGGCTCGCCCGGACAGCATGAGCACCAAGGAGCGCCGCGAGGGACACCGTGAGGAGTGTCGACGTCGCCATCGTCCCAAGGCCGTCTATCTGTTGGAACTCAGCGTGCGAGGAGTCGTAAGTTGAGAAGAAATAATAGTTGGATCTGTCTTCAGGGGGCTGACCACCCGTGACTTTGCTGGAAATAACAGAAGAAAAGGCGGCGCACTGGCATTTCAACGGTCAAGTGTATGAGTTTTGTTTGATGGTGCAGCGGGCCGTATTAAAAGCTTTCCCTCCCTTGTAGTGTTTATGAGGGCCAAGGCCGTGTGGAATGAGCTCCACTGACAACGTGAATTCCAGTAAACAAAACACACGTCCGCCACCACTATGAGACAGTCTATTGGTCGCCTTGGAAGACATGTCTTACATCCTCTCGTTCGCAGGAATCTAAACTTATCTGTGAATTCGGACGGAAAAAAACCTTAAAGCCGTCCAGGAGAGGACGAGGACATTGGATCTCAAGACCATTGAGAATGCGTTGCCGCCACACACTTCCGCTCTAATTTCGAAATAATCCATTCTCACCGCGGCTGGCCCACGCGCTTGTCGGGCCGCGCCGGCCGACTGAGGGATCGTCTGATTCAAATCCCTCCGGGAAAATGAAAAATGGCCAGAAGGATGAATACTTAAGTACGTAAAACCAGCCTCTGGTCCACGCAAAATTCGGCTGCACGTCGCCCTATGTAAATCTGATTGTTGTGTTCAAATGTTATCAAGATGAAGCCGCTCAAGCATCGGGTTTACACGCATCCCGCCTGATACGTGCCTGCTCCTTACCGTGACCTACCTGGCTTGGCGCATACCTAGGTAGCCATCACTGCCGCCAGAGGGTTCGTCCCGACTCCATATAGGAAGGTTTCCCTGGCCTTGTGGTGGGCTCAAGTCGTCTCTGCTCACTGCGATACATATGTACTATCAGCGCATGCCCACCGCCCACGGTCGGCCAGACCAGGGTGATGGCGAAGTAGAAGTCAATCTCGGCAATAGAGACTTGTGAGTCACTAATTACAAATCACGAATACATGGGCTCCAACCATGTGTTCGGCCGCCCAATCTTGCTAGCCTATCGTCCGCTCATGCTATGATGCCATGATATTGAATAGGCGATTTCCAACAATCAGCTGCGCGTTTCTAAATAGTGCGGTCTCATAAATAGCTGTAATTCGTGGGTTGCTTCAATGAGGCGTCGATGTGGCATGGGGTGTTTTATGAATCTGATGCATCTCTTAATTCCTAACTAGAAGTCGCACACCTGGTGAAACATCCCGGGCTTTCCACATCCCATCGTCTCAAATGTCTCTGACAAGCTTCCCGCCCTGTATATGTGATTTGAATAGAGAGTGCTTGGTCTGAATATATCGGCCAATCTTCTACAGTGCTATACTAGTATGGACTTGTAGAAGCAAGAGCAACCAGCACAGGCTTTGGTGTCCCCGTGAGATGACTTACTGTACACGGACAGTGTATAGCACCGCTACAGTTGAACAGAGAAGCACCGCCGCTACCATGAATGGCATACCTATCCACACTGGGTTTCCATCTCCATTCTCACTCCCAGACAAAGCTAGTCCCGCGCGAAAGCTCAAGGAAAACAGTGGACCAGCTACCACGGAACTGGCGTTTTCAAGCATTACTACTGTGGTCAGCAAGGTCCCACGGTACGCAGGCTCCACAAGCTGGACCAGGATACTGCGCAAAATCAAGTTGTAGCCTGAGCCCATACACCAAATGGCGACACCTGTGTGCAGATGCAAATTAGCCTCAGACACCAATCAATTATATAAAAAGGACAACAAAGCAGTTTCGTAATGATTCTGGGGGTCAGAACTGTACCTAGAAGCATGGTGAGGTCCTTTGCAGCGAGCCCGATCAGGATATTGCCCAAGAGCAACAATAGGCAACTGGCCCGCGCAAGGTGCATATCTTTCGTAAGTGGACGAAGCAACAGCACTTTCAAGAGAACGTAATCTGTGGCCGGGAGTATCGCTGATAGGAGTGACAGGACAAGGGCGGCCTTCAAGGATATCAGGTAACCTGTCTGTGAGAGGAAGGGAATGCTTAGTCTCACTACACAAAAGAATTTCAAATTTTGGCATAGTGAGCAAGACCATGCTCGACTCAAGGTTGATTCACTTACTTGGGACCATGACCATCCGAAACGCCGCCTTGCGAATTGTAGCAGAATTTCTTGTGCAGACTTTCCCAGGGTAGTAGTTAGGCGAGTGAAGAGGAGAGGAGCAATGGGCGTTTTCCGAAAGAACAGGGTAAAGTTCATCCATGCTTTGGACAGACGCTTCGTCAAGTGCGTCAATGAAACACTCAATGGCTTGTTGCCGACTCCTGATTCGAGACTTGCGGAACTAGTATTGGTCTCTGATCCTGGGGGTGATTCCATCTGTGCTGTTCCGTCGGCGTGCTGGGCGTCCCGTGATTCTAAGTTTCCAGAAGATTCGACAGCAAGGTCCCTTGGTAAAAGCAAAATAACTAGGAATAAAGGCCAATATAGAGCGAATCCAAGATAGATAGGGTACCATGCGTCCAGGCGCATCAAAGCGGATGCCAAGGGAGCCCCGATCAACTCAAAGACGAATACAGTAGCGCCAAAACTGAAGAAGGCGGTCGATCTCGAACAAGTCTTAGTACGACATCGTGAAACTCAAAATTTCGCCATGGAAAGATATGTTGGTTTGAGGAAGGAGGGGGAACAAAGCTAATTCTTACCGATATTCTTCGGGTACCAAGTCCGCGAGTATTGAGAATACAATCGAGCTCAGCACGGCACTTCCCCCTCCTATCAATTGAAAGCAAGATGAGAGCCATGTTAGACGAACTGGAAAGACATCTGGCCACCAACCTAATGAGTTATCAACGTTTGAACGGACATTCCCTGCGGGCGATTTTGCTGGAGTGGGGAGCACAACGGAGCGCATTAGTACTACAGTACATGCGTCCAGAGTATCGGTCTGAGACCTCAGGTTTGTACTGTGCAGACTTGGGTAATAAACTTACACACAACTGCATAAAATGTGTAACTCAAGCTGATTCCAGAAAGGCATAGTAAAAGTACTATCTTATGTCCGTACTCGTCAGCCATTAAACCATAGGGGACTGCCGTGAGAACTCCTGTCGCCATCCAGGTACGCCGTTAGCTTCTAGGGTTGATCTGCAATGAAACTGCAACTTCACGAAGAATTGGCCAATTTTTCAGAAAGTTTAGCAATGTCAAGAAAAACTGGTTATCCGAGTCTCACCGGGAATGAAATCGAAGGTCACCTGCCAGCCCCGTAACTGAGCGATCTCAGCTTGGACGGCTGCACTTTTGCCGCAGTCCATCCTGACATCAGAGTCGGTGGGTTCTATGTTGCTGCAAATAATGTCCTCTAGAATTTGGTTTGTGGCGAGCATCTGGAACAGGAATATCATTTCGACTAAAGACGCTGTGATGATCAGGGTTGCACAGAAGAGAATGCTGCATCGTGTAAAGCTTGGACCGCGAGACGAGATCTCATCACTCTGTTGTACCACCCGTTCATGGTCCAATAAAGGTGATTGCTCATTCCTGGACTCGGCAATCTCCTCACGAGTGGGACCCATCACGAAAATGCTCATTCGAAATTCTGGCGTGACCTGCACCGCATTGCACTGAAGGATGCTGGACGGGGGATCTCCAGGATTTATGTACCGACTTTGCTGTAAGATTCAGTACCTGCTTAATGAGGTTAGAGTGTTTCCTTTTGCATGTAGATCGCGTGGGTGGATATCTCTTGTGGCTGAGGGACACATGCGCGTGGTCCTGGGCGATGAGCAGTTGGTCCGTCCATGGATGTTATAACTGGAAAGACCGGGAGATAGGCAGGGGGTTTGGAACGCCCAACAAACCGGCTGATTGGAACCAAGTGATAGCCAGCCGTCTTGGATACCTACCTAGGTAGGTACCTAGGTACTCGAGAATTGACAGAAATATATCCACGTCCCAAAGCCGCTTGATCCGACGTTGACATCGGTCCGTTTCTCTTGCAAAGAAGACCGCCCAGTTGCTCCGCCGACGAGTTGCAGCATCTCCATCGACAACTACCATCATCAACAACCTAGAACACTATCATGGCTGACGACTCTGCTTTTGGCCCGCGTCTGGCTAATTCTTTTGATTTCACAATTGTCTTCGAACATGCTATTCTATCTATACTCCCGTCAGCGCTGTTTCTTTCAGCATCCGTCATCCGGCTGTGTGCTCTTGCGAGTCAACCTGTTCGAGTAAAGGCTGGGACTCTGTTATTCGCAAAACTAGTATGATTCACGTTTCATCCCTTGTTCAGGCGAAGGTCCCTTACATTTCGTTGTGGCCTGGTGTCTAGTGCATGTCCTGAAGTTCGAAACACTAAAAGTGGCAAATATTAGGTAGTCGTCTTCGCCTTTTCGTGTCTACAAATCGTAGGCCTAGGCCTATGGATCACAGAACCAGTCCCTTACCGCCACTTCGCTATTGCTTCCAGTGCTCTGGGGGTATCGGTCGCCATGGCATCTGCTTGCTTAGTTTGGAATGAACACAAACGCTGTCGGCGGCCGTCGTGGCTGCTTTCCACCTACCTGTTCATCAGTGTGCTGCTAGACCTGGCCCAGGCCCGGAGTCTGTGGTTAAGATCCGAGCTAGATGGAAATGCTGCAGTATTTTCCGGAACTGTCGCCACTAAATCGGTCTTGCTTGTCTTAGAGGAAATTCCCAAGATCAACCTCTTGGCCGAAGAGCCAAGGTTCAAAAACGCGCCAATAGCCCCGGAGGCCGTCGGTGGTCTTTTCGACCGTGCCATGTTTTGGTGGCTGAATTCGCTGTTTAAAAAGGGTTACGAAGCATTTTTCGGCATTATGGATCTCCCTTCACTACAGGATGACCACTGTTCGAAGCGGCTGAGCGAACAATTCGCAATTGAATGGGAAAAAGGTCAGCTCACTTTCTAATGGTCGTGGTCTGTTACTGGTACCCAAGAAGCGAACTTCAACTGACTTCAAGCCTCTATTTACTGTTTAGACCCAAAGACTAGTCCACACTGCCTACTATGGACAACTGCCAGGACTTTCCGGCTTCAGTTGGCCTCGGCAGTCGTGCCCCGGATAGCCTTCGGCGCATTCAATCTTTCTCAGCCTTTTTTGGTGAATCGAGCTGTAGATCTCATTGACGAAGCGAACGTCGAATTTCATCAAAACATTGTCGGGGGTATAATTGGAGCGACAGCACTGGTGTATGCAGGTATCGCGGTATGTTCGGGTCATTCAGTATACCGGCTCATATCACCTGTCTTGAGTTTTAAGATCAGATCTAATGTTATCCAGTTCACACGCGCAATTTACCGCCATCTTACGTTTCAGCTCATTACCATGATCCGTGGAGCAATCGTTTCCATGATTTTCCAGAAGACACTGAAACTAGAACTGGAAGCTATTGCGGATTCGGCTCCCGTTACCCTCATGAGCACCGACATCGATGGCATTCATCGGGGCCTGCAATTTTTGCATGACATTTGGGCAAGTCTACTGGCCATTGCTGTAGGCTTGTACATCCTTCAACAGCTTTTGGGCTACTCTGCATTCCTTGTCGTCGTACCGAGCTTCATCTGCACAACCGGAGCCCACTTTCTCAGCAGGTCAATGGCACCGGCGATGGCGAATTGGAACCTCGCCGTGCAGGAACGTGTTGGCGCCAGCTCTTTGATGCTTTCTCAGATGAAAGGGATCAAGATGATGGGCTTAACGGATTTCATGATTGACTCAATTCAAGCACTGCGTGTCTACGAGCTGGATTTATCTAAGCGCTTTAGATGGATTCAGTCTTCAGTAGCCACTGTCGGTAAGGTTCTACACTCAGCTTATAGTTCACTCTAGCAAACACTCTGCATCCAGTTAATCAAAGTGTCAGCTTCATCTATATCACTTGTTTCTCCAATAGCGGTGATCATCTCTACCGTCTATTTATCAGGTGGGCTTGGGGTAGCCAGGGCTTTCACGGCCCTCAGTATTATGGCACTGATAACTGAGCCCCTGGCATTACTCCTCGCTTCATGGCCGATATTGAGGGCTAGCGTGGCATGCTTTGACCGCATACAAGCATTTCTTCTTTTGGAAGACCACCGGGCCTTTGGAGAATACATGGAAGGCTCCGTGCCGAGGACATCAAATAATGGAATCGGCGGTACGCCATCATCGCCGCGTCGTACGGTTTCCGCTTTTCGAGATGTTGATCTCTTACCGTTGCCTGCGGGACGAATCCAAAGAAATTCTGGGCCACCCAACCTTGTTGTTGTCGAAATGCAGAACGCATGCTTCAAACTTAAGAACGGGAACAGAGTCCTTCATAATATTGACATCAGGGTGCCGCGCAATCAGCTCACAACAATTGTTGGTGATGTAGGATCCGGCAAATCATCTCTGCTGAAAGCCATTCTAGGTGAAATTCCCCAGGTCTCTGGGACTCTTCATGTCGGTATGGAGTCAGCGGCGTACTGCGATCAAACCACTTGGCTTCGAAACACTTCAATCAGGGAGAACATCATCGGAGAGTCGTCTGTGGATGATGCATGGTACGATCGGGTGACCCAAGCCTGCGAGCTGCATAAAGATTTCATGAGTCTTCCGAGTGGTGACATGACGCGGGTAGGAAGCGGGGGCGTATCACTCAGTGGTGGTCAGAGGCAGAGGGTGGTAAGTATCATCACTCCATTAGGGCTGAGGGCATTGTTAACACTTAGGTATTTCTGCTAATTCTTAACACAATTCAGGCTTTGGCCAGAGCGATATTTTCCAGAAAAGCACTTCTCGTCGCGGATGACTGTTTCAGTGGTTTGGACAATTCCACTACCAACCTCATATTGGAGAATCTTTGGGGGGGAACTGGCCTTCTTCGCGAAACTCAGGTCACATCCATCGTTGCTACACATACAAGTATGACTTTGAGTGCTCTATTTACCACTTATCTAGGTATATGGCAAGGACTGACACTGATATGGACGCAGTAAAACTTGCTCAAATGTCTGACTATGTCACTATTCTGCGTGGTGGCAGAGTCCAAGAAAATCAAGTCAGGCCCGAGTCGATTGGCGCTTTGATGTGGAGGACCGCTGAAGACGAAGGCACTGCAACCAACGATCGCCAGGGTGTCAGCAACGCTCCGACCATCAGTTCAGACAATCAAGCCCAAACAAATAATGTATCAAGGACCGCCGATATTAATACGGACGAAGATGTGAACGTCAAGCGTACAGGCGATAAGACTCTTTATTTCTTCTACGCCAAATCTATCGGAGCGTCATTTTGCGTCACTTGGCTTTTGCTGTCCCTCTTCTACGTTGCGGGATCCGTAGCACCCCAGGTCTGGCTACGCTTCTGGACCCAACATGACACAAACTCACACAAGAGCCTTTACGCTGGGGTTTACGCCGCTTTCTCCCTTTTTGGAGTCTTAGGCGCCGGTACGGCTGTCGGCTTCTTCCTGGTCCTCATCATTCCCAAGTCAGCACAGAACTTACACATGCTTTTGCTAAAACATGTGCTGGCAGCCCCCCTGTACTTTTTTGCCGAGACAGACAGCGGTACCATACTGAACAGGTTCAGTCAGGACATGACACAAATCGATCAAGTCCTCCCTTTGGCTGCCGTCCAGACGGGCTTCGGAGCTCTGGGGGTCCTGGCCAAGCTAGGGCTCGTCGCGTCGGGTGCCTCATACGTGGCAGCTGCTTTCCCGTTTGTTTTCGTTGCACTTTGGGTCTTGCAGAAATGCTATCTTCGAACTTCGCGACAAATCCGTCACCTTGATCTCGAGTGCAAGGCGCCCCTTTATACTGTCTTCACCGAAACGTTGTCGGGCCTTGCGACACTGCGTGCTTTTGCATGGCAGGATCTCCTGACTTCGAAGTATTTCCAGTTGCTTGACACGAGCCAAAAGGCTTACTACCTCATGTTTTGCCTTCAGCGTTGGCTAAATGTAGTGCTGGACATGTTCACGGCTGGTTTGGCAGTGCTCCTGGTCGCCATTGCGCTGAACCTGCCCGGAAGCACGAGTCAAGGCGCTCTTGGATTGGCCATGGTAAACCTCATTGACCTCAACACAAGTCTCAACAGCCTGATAATGTCCTGGACGAACCTGGAGATTAGCCTTGGGGCACTTGCGAGGCTCAAATCATTCATAGAACGAACGCCCAGTGAGATACACAACGAAGGTGACTGTCAGGGGAAGCCACCGAGCTGGCCTACTGCCGGGGAGGTGGTCATTAACTCTGTGACTGCAAGCTACAGGTTAGTGTTTCACTGATGGGTGGGACCCTCAACATTTGAACTCACAGTCATTGAACGGCTTTTGACAATCTCCCGAACAGCCCTAGTTCCGAACCAGCCCTGCGGAATGTATCATTGAGAATCAAGCCCGGACAGAAGGTCGCTATATGCGGTCGCACTGGAAGGTGGGACTCCCTCGAAATCGAGAATTGACAGAGTCTTTCTCCACTAACAAACTCAACAGCGGAAAGTCGTCTCTGATTCTGGCCCTACTTCGTTTGCTCGAACTCCGGCAAGGCACCATCCAGATTGATGGTATTGATATTTCCTGCTTATCCAGGCAGAGCATACGCCCCAGTCTAACAACACTACCTCAAGATCCTGTGACAATCGTCGGCACTGTGAGGAAGAACCTCGATCCAGAGGGTCACCTCGCCGCTAACAGTCCTGACCTCGAGGCCGTGCTGGCCAAGGTGGGGATATGGAGCATAGTTTCCATGCGTGGTGGGCTTGACACAGACTATCGCTCTATGGGCTTCTCGACTGGACAAAAGCAGCTATTTTGCTTAGCCAGAGCTTTGCTTCACAAATCCAAGCTGATTCTTTTAGATGAGGCAACCAGCAGCATCGACAGCGATACGGATTCAAGAGTTCGAAGTCTCATGAGAAATGAATTTCTGGATTCAACCGTCATCGAAGTTGTCCACAAATTAGACACGGTTGTGGATTACGACGTTCTTGTGTTAATGAAGGATGGGGAAATGACTCAAGTAGGAACGCCCAGCGAATTGTTAGTGAAGGACAGCAGCTCCACGTGGATGTTGCGTGAGAGCTATGGTCATTGACGAATGATACTCTTGGGTACCTACGTAGGTAGGTGGCGGCCATCTCTTTCAGATGCTGCTGCGCTCGCGGCTGTAGTATAAGCTTCAAAGCTGCTGGGATTTATTCACGAATGTTCTGTACTGTTTTCAAATGTGATTTCGCTTCTATTCCGCATACGTCCGAGGACATACATGGCGCCTTCATACGGTGGTAAGCACTCGAGACCCAGTGCTTGGAAAGAATATGATGTCGATAATGATAGTTATAATACGATAGTAACTCACAATTAACCCTAACCATTGGCTTGCACACAATCACTCCATGCCCCAACAGCATGGAGAGGGACCCTGAAACCGGACTCGTCAATCCTCCTTTGAAATAGACAATGTAGCCCACAACCATAAGTTCACCCAAGACAGTTGGCAACGACCACCCAGGTCCGGGAACCGGCTGGTGGTGAGTTCGGGCTACTCATATTGGACCGAAGTGGAGTATTTTATAGCACATCTTCGTCATCCTCGCCCTCATCCCCCCCTTCTGTCCTATTGACTGTCTGGAGCTCCTCGAGATGATTCACAGCGCGAGTGTCGACCTTGGTGATCGCATGCATTTGCCACGTCAACATGGCGGGCATCTTACCCACCGATTCCTGTGATGAAACGGTCTGCCACTTGATGAAGCAAAGATGCCAGCCAGCCAGTTGCCAGGCGAAGCGAGGTTTCCTCTGAAAGTAAACCTTAAATGTGGTGCTTGCCTTGAGCAGAGCCCATTCTGAAGGATAGCCACGATGGAGGCGCTGCAGAGTCGCCTCTGGAATGCATGACTTCGCACGTGGCTTGATGTCCTGCCATGCACTGTATGTTTGCTGTGCCAATCCAGTAAAGCTGATTGTAGTCTTCCTGAGGGTGTTCCACTCTTCGCAGACCTGCTCAAGATCTTCTTTCAAACAGTTGAGAATCGACTGTGCTGTAGCGTCTTTCCCGGCATCACGTTCCCATTGGTCATAATAATTCAAGGTAAGGTCCTTGTCCCAGTAGACAGGTTTGACATCGTGCTTCGTGTTGTGGAAATTGGCCAGTTCTTCCTCTATGGCTGGCTTTGCAACCCGAAACTTGAGGTAGTCGAGTATATGCCTGTACTGCTGGTTTGGAGGCTGATTCAGTACCGATTTATACAGCGGTTCTTCAAGTTGGTGCGGGTCTGGTATGCTGAGAGCCCTTCTGAAATGCTTGAAGTCCTCGGAACCAAATTCAATCCCTTGCTTCGGGGCATCAACCAAAAGGCTCAGAAGCGTGCTGAGTTTCCTTGCCACCTCGTCATGAATATTGCCTCGAAAGTAGCATAGGCGCTCCTTGTAATTGGTTACTTGTCCCAGCATGTCTTTGGATAAATTGAAAGGGAAGCATTTCTCTAGTATCATCTCTCCAATAGCGGCTTCGTAGTCTTGCCCGTGGCTTGAAAGTAGCTGACGGAACTCTATCTTGTCTTGTCGGTAAAACTGGCGAAGGTCAGGTTGTGCCTCATTATGAGCGTTGGCGAAATTCTCAACTACACGATCGTCCCAGACACAAAAGCATTGGTCTCCGTCGTAGTCTCCGCCACTGAGCATGTCGGCAAGAGGCGTTTCGCCTTTGGCCGAGAACACGATAACGTTTTGAAGATGTGCCAGCTCGGGTTTGAAGACGGCCTTGACACGTTGTATGTCAGATGGGAAATGCGCTGGGGAACGAGCAACAAGCACATCCCGTCCATGAACCATTGTTCCCTCCCAATCGTCTGTATCTGACCTGAAGCGGTCTGAAAATGCAATCTGAACTTGACCTTCCTCGAGTACATTCTGAAAGTCTACCACCATGAAAAGATACGCCGAGCAGCCGATCTTGATATTGAGCTTCTTGCTGAGTTTCTCGCACATCTGGAATTGTATGTCGTAAGCCTTGTCATTGAGAAACTTGTTCTGCCAGGGGTTGAATCCTGCATTGAGCATGAAAGCCATAATCTCTTCATCCTCCTTCGGCAAGCCGCCCTGGAATGCTACGTGGCCGTGGGCGAGGCGGTCAGACCTGTGAGCCGCGTTTGAAGATATCCACTTTTGAAATTGAATCGGGCTTTCCAGAGACTGTCTTTGGTCGCTGAGCTGCTGTCTAAGGTTATCTTCTAACAGCTTGCCAATGGTTTGACGCATCCGTGTCGTTTCGAGGGCCCTATCTTCCAAGACTGGTAGGAACTGGAGGTTGAGACTGGCGGACCGTAGCTTCTCTGGCGTACAACTACGGACTTCCAAGGTCCGATGTTCTGGGTCTATAGCTTCGAGTTCCCATTTGCGCTGAGAAGGATAAGTCTCAATCCAGATGTCGTCTGCCAGTGTCGTATCTGAGTCAACGACCCACATCCCCTTTGCAGATCCCAGTCGGCCTTGGACAGCACAAGGAGGTGAAGAGAGACCAAGTTCAGCTTGGATCACTTTTGCGACACCTCTGCTCATCCTACCCACTCCGTCGTTCATAACTTTCTCTCTGGACATCAGGTCTTGAGTCCGGTGCCTAATCTGTCCCGGCTCGAAAATAATGGTCGGGATTGTCCTGCTAAGGACGAGCGCCAATCGTTGGAAGAGCTTTAATACAGGCTGAGAGCTATTGTTGCCCCTTCTCAAGTCTAAAGCCCAGGAGATCATTGATCCGAGGGACGTGGACGGTCGCTTATCTCTCGATATATCGGCCCCGTTGGAGGCGAACAAAAATATCCGGTCCATGTAGGTAGGCCTTGGCTCTGGTCCGAAAAGAAGGTGCTTAGGTGGCGTGCGATGACCACCGGGTTTCAAAAAGAACGGCGAGTAGAGGCGCCCACCGAGTGAGTGTGGCCTTCCTGTCAGCCAATCGAGGAGGTGATCGTAGAAGGGCTTGTCTTTCAGAGATGGTGGTAGGTTGGAAGGATCTGGACAGGGCACCAGCAGCTCTAGGAAGCGATCAGGGCCATACTTTCGGCCAAGGCGGTGAGGCTTGTCGAGCTTGGGAGGTTGCAATCTCAGACGCATGGGACTGGCAGATTGCACGGACGCAAATTCCAGTGACGCTGCAAACACGACATGCTGGTTCTTGCCTGGAGTGTCATTCGTTGCCGCGGCCCATGCATCGGGGTCCGGAGCTGGAGGCATGGGCTTGTCCGGGAAAGCCTTGCTTAGAGCACTGCGGAGGGCCTGCTGATCTTTCCATTGCGCGTCATACTTGATTGTCACGGAATCCAGCTCGACACCCATGTGAAGCCCCAGCCGGAGCACTTCCCAGGTTATGTGAAATGGCGCGGTCTCGAGCCAACCCGGTAATATTGCTGGGATAGCTTATTAGCGAACCGAGAATGGAGGAGTTGTCTGAAGACAAAACAACTTACGCCATTGGACCTGGGCTAAACATGAACCGGATTTTTGAGTGAGAGGAGTCTCGGTACCAACAGGCTCGCCCCCGGCCTGCGGCTGGTGGTCTGGGGATGAGCGAACAGCATCTACCAGTGCTGATGAAGGGGGACACGAGTAGTTGGTGGTCTGAGTTGGTGGGTAGGCTTCGTCCTTGGGCCTTGTAGCTTTGACGTGGGAATTGTCAGCGGCAGCATGATCCTGGAAGGACTCATTCAAGGCATCTTCCATAGTCGAGGTGGGCTGAAACTGGTCTTGGGATGACCCAAGAAACCTTGTTTGTTCCTGGGAGCTTACTTCGACTGTCCCCTGTGTACTTGGCTCATTTTCGACCTTTGAAAAAACGGACTGGAAAGAATCCTTGCTGGTAGAACCAGTTGAGTAGGTGGTTGACCTCTTTAATGTATCGTATGACTCTGGCAGAGAGCCCCGCCGATGTTGCCCGGTCAATTCTGACGTAGTGGAGACATATCCAGGCTTCGGTATGGCTGCTGGATTGCGGTCCTGAACAGGCTGAACTGCAGGCGCATTTTGCGGTGACAGCCTCGACCGCTTGGTCGGCGACTCGGATATGTTCTCGGCAGCCCTCTTAGGCTGAATGGGAGACGACTTGTCCGTTGAGAAAGCGGCTGGCCCGCTTCGAGTGCGCCCAAAAGGTCTCTTGGGCTGTGAGCGATCCAGAATTCCATGAAAAATTGACTGTAAGCATTCTCGCTCAGCCGGGTCTGTTGCTGGGGGACTACTGACGGACAAAATTGGTCCGGGATCGCCTTTCGGTTTGTTGGCCCGGCGAGAACAGGACTGTCTGACCTCCAAGTCGAATTTCCGCTTCAGCTGTCTAAGAGTGTCGAGTCCGCCCTGGTAGAAGTGGACCTCAAGACGGGTGTACAGCTTTGTGGCTGCGGTCTCTTGCACCCGCCTCTCAGAAGGCGTCAGGCCCGGGTCCGGGATTGGTATACCCAGGTTATAATCCACATTAAGGCCGTTGATGAACCGGTGTAGGTCCCCTCGCGGGTGGGGTGGGTGAAGGTCCGGGATGCGAGGCGGTTTCATGGTAGGCATGGCCCTGCAGCCTCACGCGCACCGGATCAGTCATTTGGGCTCAGGCGTCATCGGGACGAGACTGTTGGAAGAGGGTGTGGATAAATGTGATGAGATATGGAATGGAAGCCTTGAGGTGTGTGACATTTCGCTGGAAGTCAACTGATTATCTACCTAGGGGCCTGTGTAGATGGATACATACAATATCTCCTTCCCAAAAGCATTGGATAGACACGGCCGCGTTTGCGAGACCGAACCTGGTGAAGTCGGTTCGCAGACCGGTGATGCTGGCTGGCTGGCTGGCTGGCTGGCTGGCCGGCTGGCCGGCTGGTAGTCTGGAATGACGTTGGAAGGCAATGGCTGAGACAGCGACAGAGGCGACTACTCCGTACTCCGTAGTGGACCGAGACACAGCAGGCGAGTCTCACTCCAGCAGTGTTGATATCGAGCACAAGTCGAACAGGTAGAAGCCGTTGGCCGTTGGCGGGGAGACGAGTCAAGAGGGCGTTTGGCCGTCAGCTGGTGCAATGGAGGGGCGGGGCGGGAACACAGTAACCGAAAAAGGCTAAGAGCGGGGTAGACGGGACCATTTCGAGAATCGAGATCAGCTTCTAGTCTGGTTGTCTGGCAAGAGCATCCTTACCTCCCTGCTCCCATGTGGTGCCGCAAGTGCCGAGATGGGCGCTCTGGACTACTGTGGTAGCTCCTGGTAGCTCCTCTTGCGAGGTGGCAGTTGGTAGTCTCAACCCCCGCTGCCCAGCTGCCCCGGGACCAAACACCAAGCTGACACAGCCTATCACCCTCGGTCAGCCCAGCCTGGCGGCCTGGACGGCCTCAGGGCTGGCACCCGCCAGTGAGCTGACAGAGGGCCAGGTCGAGCTGGCTGGTCTCCTGCAGTAGCGCAGACGACTTCAGGGTTCAGTCTTGGAGAGATCGATCTGGCTGTCAGGGCTGTCAGGCTGTCTGCGACGACAGGGTACCTGGGTACCGGGGTACCTTGGTACCTGCCCTGCCCTGCCTGCCTGCCCGCCTCCCGGCTGCCCGACTGCGAACCCCACCTCTGCGACATCAGCCCGATCCAATGGGACCCGACCAGCGAACGTTGGAACCATCTCAGGAAGCAAACCTTAATCAGCCAGCCATGCGTGCCGTGACAACGGGCCGTCAGTTTTCACTCCGGGACCAATTCAATTCAATTCGATGAGCCATCTCGACTGTCTTCGCCATCTTCACAACTCCTTGCCACCACACCACACCACACCACACCATACCAATATCGCACGCCTCACTCGCACATCTCGCATCTCGCATTTCCCACCCCCACGTCTTCCCGGCCCTCGACCAGCAAGTATCATCGGCGGCCGGCATCCGCCGGATAGACTTGCGGGTGGAGTAAGGCTTTGCCGGGCTCAGTCACGTCTATGCTCACTCACTCGCTCATCACTCGCTCATCACTCACTCGCTCTACCACACTCTATCACCCGTTGACTGCACTGCACTGCACTGCACTGCCCCTCCACCGGCCTCGAGTCTTGTTGCTTGGCCTGTGACGACGTGCCGCCCTGCATTCTGCCAGCCCTTACCCATCCCGATCCAGACCGGCGCGACTCGGCCGGGCTGGACTCGACTCGACTCGATCGACTGTGGCTTTGGACTCGATTGAGCCAGTAGTTCCTGGCTATCATTGCCTTCGCCGGCCCCGCGGTTCGCCGCCATGGCGGAGCAGCAGGAGAGCCCCAGCATCGACGACCTGACCCCGGAGGAGGCCAGCCGCATCATCCACTCGCACCGTAAAGTGCGATATGGTACGCCTTCTTCGTTCATCTTGTCCTACGAGCCCCTTCAACCAGCGATGCGGCAACAATGTAAACCTCCTTGCACTACATCTCAGGCCTCACTAAACATTTGAACCCAACTACCACCCTTCACATCCCCCCTCCCTTTGTCTGTGACTCGGCAGCAACATGTTCCATGCACCTCTCTCATAACTCAGGCTTGCACCACGAAAACCTCGCTCACAACCCTTCTCCCTGCAGGAACGGCGTGCTGGCCTTGCCGTCAGCGCAAGGTGAAGTGTGACAACAAGCAGCCATGCGAGAACTGCGTGAAACGAGAGCACCCCCAGCTATGTTCCTACAAGCCAAACCGGTCGTCCAAGTCTACCGCAGGGTCGGACGTCGCCTCACACATCAGCAAGAAGAGGGCCCACTCTCCTGATGACCAGGACTCCCGCGAACTGAGCAGCGAGGCCAAATCTGATCCTGCCATGCGCGCTTTCGGTATTCCATTCCGCTCAAAACGCAAGGATTCTCAATCTCTGACACCAATCTCAGTTGACCCCGAATCAGCTGAGGTGACAAGGTATCTCGGACAAAACAGCATACCAGCCCTGCTGAGGGAACAGACCTCTCCCAACGACCGCCAAGCGGGTGTCGACAACATCCGACAAGACATGCGCTCCATCTTTGGCCTGGACAACTCGGCCCCCTTCCCGCTTATGTCCTCGCGCCACCTGGAGAAACTGACCGCGGACATCTCTGCTGAGCTGCCGTCTGACCGCGAGGTTATGAAGTAGGTCTGGCCTGTGTGTGCCGCGTTGGTCCCGCCGTCGGCGTGCGGGGGACGAGCTCTCTGGCGTATGCATCTGACATTTTTAGGTTGTTCCGAACGTACAAGGAGATCCCCCAGGTCTTCTGGGGGTTTGTGATAGACATTGACGACCTGGAGTCAAGATTAATGGTTTACCTGGAAGAGCGGGCAAAGAACGCCCGCAGCACCGTCAAGATCGCCAGGAGGCCCGTCTCGGCTTCTTGGCTCGCTATTCTGTTCGCAGTCCTCGCCGTGGGTTCACAGTACCACGACTCCCCATACCATATACGGACCAGTAGTTCCCAGAAGTACTTGCAAATTTCCTTCCATTTTCTACGCATGGGCAATTTCCTCTTGCGGCCCAACTTCGACTCAATACAGGCATTGTTACTCGTTTCCTTTAGTCTTCTCAACGACATGAAGGCAGAAGGATCTTGGGCTTTGCTCGGGCTTACCTGCCGCCTGGCGCTCTCACTCGGACTCCACAGGCTCAACAATAACGAACTAACGGACCCCGAGGCAAAGAGGAAGGAAACTATCCGACGCAAGCTATGGTAAGACTTAGCATGAGGCGACTTGGAAATTAGGAGACTTGATGCTGACCTGACAGGTGGTGCTGTGTCTGGCATGATACTCTCACATCGCTTTCGTTCGATCGGTATGTACTGGCCTTTTCTCCCCCCCCCCCTGTCCACGGTAAAATTGCGACCACTGAAAGTCTGCCAGCTCGCCCATGACGAACATCCCCTGCTGTCCGATCCCAGTCTCACCAAGTGTTGAAAGCAATGGCTTGACCTACCTGGAAGCCATGTATCATCTCTGCCAAATCATCAATCGACGCCTCAACCCCGACGCTACCGCCGAGGCGACCTTTGTACAGATTCTAGACAACTGCCAGGCCACCGAGAGATTGCGTGAGAAAGTTGTTCCTCAGATCCGCAGCAAAGAAGCCTGCAAGACCGCAGTCGACCGACTTCAACATTTTGCCATCAGGCTACACACATGTTTCGTTGTCTCCGTCTGCTGTCGCCCTGCCCTGAAACGAGGCGGCGAGTCGGATGCACTCGAGCCGTCTGAACGAAAGGTCTTATCCGCCAAGTTCAGGGACAACCTGACCGAGACGGTCAGGATGTTCCTCGCCATGCACCAACTCTCGGTGATCCCGACCCGGTCCTGGGCGTTTACGTACCACGGCCTGTCTTCAGCCGTGCTCCTGGGTCTCCTGCCCGAGACCAAATCAGACCCCGAGATCCGTCAGCTGCAAGGCGACCTTATTTCCGCACTGTCCGCTACTGCGGCGAAGGAGCAGTCCTCCCCGATACCACACATTCAAAAGAGTGACAAGGATATTGAACTTTCAGGGCCACTATCACGTGCCCTCGCCGCCCTGAAGAATATCTATGATCACGGTAGTGTCATGGGTTCTTCAGTTTTCAAGCGCGATGGCGGAACACGATCTGGGACACGTACGCCTCTGGGTATAGGTCAGCTCACGAACCCTTCCGTGGGCGACAATCACAACCTTCTCCCGGGGCCACCCTATGCCAACTCTGGCCTCCAGAGCCTCGATCCCCACCAAGATGCGGCTATGGCGATGGCCGAAATGCAGAATGGGAGTGGCATGCAGGACTTTTCAGGGTGAGTTTGGCCTCCCCTCTCGCTCACCTCTCGCCACAGAGAGAGATTGGCTGCCATGTGACGCCGCTGACTTGTCATCAGATTGCCATATGTCACTGGGGCACCGCTCGAAGGCACCGATCTAGCGCCGATTGACCCGAGCACCTACATCGAGCCGATGGAACTTTACGACTCCATCTTCTGGGGTAGGTCATTGTTCTTGAAAAGTTTTCCCTCCCTCCCTCCCAATTCTCAGGCCAGCAACGCATCGGAGCTAGGCTGACCACCACTAACACCCCGGCAGAGTCACCCGACCCTTGGAACTCGGGCCTTGATACCATGAACTTTGACTTCCTGGCCCAACCACCTCCGGGCCAGCCACCACAGCAACAGTTTTATTTCTAGGAGAAGAAACGACGGTTGCCAATGTTCCACCCATGTAAAACCGAACCAGCTTTTAATTCCTGTCGTGAAACGTGTCTTGTCCGTCCTAGCGTCGGAGTGTTTGGGTGGGTGGTGTTCTTGGACGTGGGGCATTTAGAGCGGCTCCTGTCTCAATGTTTCGGTGTTGTTGGCAGCCATTTCCGGGGACTCATACTGTGTTCAAATGTTTTTGTTGCTTCGCATGGGCTTGATCTATCACGTCGGCTCTAGGATGAGAAAAGTGATTTCCCCCGGATTTCAATACGGGCTCGTGAGTTAACTAGCATGTATTCCAACACGGGCTTTTGGTTGTCTTGATATTGAGCAAAAAGGGTATGTTACCTGGGGCAAGTCTGTAGAATGCCGGTGGAAGCCGATATAGTTTGAGGCGGATGTTTGACCTCATATCAACGTTTGACTACAGCAGGAGTATCCGGCAGAATGCTAGCTGGAGTGGATATTTGACGATGAACATCAAATTGACTGCATTATGCAATATGGGCACACAAGGTCTGGTAAGTTTTGTAGAAGCTTTGCCAACAGAGCTTGGGCTGCAAACGACTCGTACACAAACACATGGGTCTCTGTGAACAAACCGTTGACGAGGTTTGATATATGCAGGAGACTGTCATGGCGGATTATATTACAAGAACACACCTATCATACATACTAGTACAGTCGACATAGTTACATAGGGTCGGGGCTTAGTATAGTACTAGGAATGAATAACCTCCTAGACTACTAGGAATAGTATAGGAATTCTAGATGCTCTAGAGACTATTTTCTTTTTGAAAGAAAAAAAGAGAAAGAGGGAAAAGGAAAGAAATAAAAAAGGGAAGAAATAAAAAGGAAGGAAGGGAAAAAAAGGTAAGAAATTAAAAAAGAAAAAGAGGAAAAAAACTTAGATTCCATGTGACCCAGGCAGATGAACAGAAAGTAAATGTGAAGGTAGATGAGGCTCATCGGATCCATGGACTCGGAACCTCGCCAGATCCATGGACTCGGGACCTCGCCGGATCACTGCTACGGTGATGTGACACTGAGCCGAGACAGCCCAGCAGAGGACAAGTGAGGGCTGAGCAGGTGGATATTACTGAGATGCAAGGTGATGTAGGTAAACTCAATTCGACAGCATGCCACGGTAGCATGGCAGCAACGGCATTGCTGTACGAGGATGTGTGAGTGAGAGAGTGAGTGTTGCAGGAGCGGGGTACGCATGGTAGTCTACAGTGTACTCTGTTCCGAGTGGGAGACTTGCATGTCGTGCAGATGTGTGCATATATGTACGTTGGGTCACCTGTGCAGGACATGTAGCTAAGAGGGTGATTGTGGCTTATAGAATGCCGGGCCCTCTCCTCTCGATGTCGCACTCACCTATAGGTATGTATGCAGGACGTTGCAGGCAACCATCAGCAGGAAGACTGCGTCTGATGATGGACGTGGCGCTGCGGGAGTGGAGCGCCGGTGTGCAGCAAGCAGAGCCTTGGACTCGGGACGAACAATGCAGGACGAGGAGCTAAAAGCTGAGGCTTCAAGACGAGGTTGACCCGGGGATAAGCGTACTACGTGTTCTGAGTATGCTGATAAGAAGCAGCAGATACAGGGAACTGCTAGTACTGAAGTATGCTCATTAGGTAGCTGTAGCTGATGATGTGGGCAATAATAATAAATGTGAAGCCGCCGTGGAGGCATGCAACATGATTGAATCAGCCGTTTCCCCAGAAAACCGTTTATCAGGCAGAGGCACACACACAGAACACACCGCCACACTGTACACCCACAAGGGCGGGCCAGATCTGGGGTTGGGTGGGCAGGTGGGGAGGGGAGTTGGAGAGGAACGGAGAGGGGAAAAGGATGGGGGCATGGGGAGACTGCGGGGTGCAGCTGGGCATCTGGGCAGTGGGTACAGACAATGCCTGCCCATCCCCGCAAAAACTTCTCCAAGACACGACACGGTCAGACGGTCAAGACGGTCAATACGAACCTCGACCCTCATTTCCCCGTCCCGTCCCTGCCAGCCTGCTCTTGTTAGCCCATACTAGTAGCTCTACACTTGTGTCTGCTTCCGGCCACTTCGACAAGCTTCTCATCGGCCCTTTTCCCGAACCCATGGGGCCTGTTAGGCCACCATGACGCCCTCGTGGCCGTCCTTGCGTCCCAAGAAGACACATGCTGCCATGTAAACCGTTTTGTGGCACCGCCCTGTCCTGCCCTCCGAGAAGCAAATCACCGAGACATCCGACGCTGTGGGTACCGCGGCGAGGACCGAGTAGGCACGCCTGGCTCTCTGGCTCTCTGGCTCTCTGGCTCTCTGGCTCTCTGGCTCTGCCTTCTGGCCGACTCCGTCAGGCTGTGGAAACAGTGACTTGCGCACACCTTGGAGCGTACTGTACAACCTCATGCTGCTGCCAGCCGCAATTGGCAAAGCGACAGGAACGCCCGGGGGGGATCGGCTCGCCTCGACGGGGGCCTAATGCTACAGTGCACACGCCCACTGCGACCTCAGCCTGCTGAGATGCATGACGGCACGGATGACGATACCTTGCCAGGGATCTAGCCTGCCATGCGGAGAAGCCCCGGCCCAACTCTGATGGCCTCTTCCCCAGGCCCTCTGGCTTGGGCGCAGAGCATGGGTGCCCTGCCGTCCGTTCGGTAATTGGATGTCGCCCACCACCCCGTACGTCGCTTGTTTTTTTTTCTTGGGATGAACTACTCGCGTCTCCACATCAATATCCCACGCGGCCAGGCCTAAGACATACTTTCCCACAACTTTTGTTGGCTTCATGCGGTATGCCGAGAGTTCACATGGTCTCGGTCGGGTCACTTGCTCACCCTCCCCACTGAGAAGAAGCTCGATTCACTCCTGGGCGCCCACCCCAGCCGCCTATAAATAATACTTAATCGCCATCCCCTCCCCCGTCCGTGGCCTTGCTTGCTTGGATGTAGAAGCTGCAGTCCGGCTCCTCGGTAGCACTACGTCGTTCCGTTAGGCTACTTCGTCCACTCCCGCAACCCGGTAGCACCGCCGATCTACGCCATGAAGTCCTCGCCTGCTGCCGCCCTCTGGCTGGCGGCGAGCTGCGGCTCTGTCTCCGCAGCAACTGTCCGTGGGCCTGCAAAGGTAAGATTCTCTCTGCTGCCGAATCCCCGGGGCATTGGGTGCAGCTGCTGCCAAACATTGGATCCGAACGCCGGGGGGCCAGCCTCTAGCCTCCCGGTATCAAGGTTTCTGGCAGCATGAGCCACCTCAAGCCCCTGGCAATAGCCATTGTTGCCAGTCTTCTTCAGTCTGCTGACACCACGCCTCTAAAGGTCCAAACACGGCAGTCAGAGCTGGCTTTCTCTCCTCCATTCTATCCCTCGCCATGGATGGACCCAGAGGCAGACGGCTGGGCAGACGCCTACGCTCAGGCCAGGGACTTTGTCTCTCAGATGACCCTCCTCGAGAAGGTCAACATCACCACCGGAACTGGGTGAGTATCACAACGAATCAGAGGCCCGCACCGGACTAACAGTAGAGCAGTTGGGAGAGCGAGGTGTGCGTTGGTAACGTTGGCTCGGTCCCTCGTCTTGGCCTCCACAAGAACCTGTGTCTGCAGGACTCTCCTCTCGGCGTCCGTTTCGCGGATTGGGCTTCTGCGTTCCCGGCTGGCCTCACGGTAGCAGCCACTTTCGACCGTGGTCTCATGTACGAGAGGGGTCTGGCCATGGGCCAAGAGCACAGGGGCAAGGGAATTGACATCCAGCTGGGCCCCGTTGCCGGTCCTATCGGTCGTGCCCCTGCCGGAGGCCGGAACTGGGAGGGCTTCTCGCCTGACCCTGTTCTGACTGGCATTGGTATGGCTGAGACGATCAAGGGCATCCAGGACGCCGGCGTGATTGCTACTGCAAAGCACTACATTGCCAATGAACAAGGTAAGAGCTGCTCCTGACTCCCGTGTCGTGCTGGAGGCGCAGCGTCTGACGCACAGAACAGAGCACTTCCGTCAGGCCGGCGAAGCGCAGGGCTATGGCTTCAACATCAGCGAGTCCATGTCCTCCAACATTGACGACAAGACCCTGCACGAACTCTACCTGTGGCCTTTTGCCGACGCGGTTCGCGCCGGTGTCGGATCGTTCATGTGTTCGTACCAGCAGATCAACAACTCCTATGGTTGCCAGAACTCAAAGGTCTTGAACGACATCCTCAAGAATGAGCTCGGCTTCCAGGGATTTGTCATGAGCGACTGGGGTGCACACCACACCGGAGTTGGCGCTGCTGTCGCTGGCCTGGACATGTCCATGCCCGGTGACACGGCCTTCAGCTCCGGCCTGTCCTTCTGGGGTACCAACTTGACTCTGGCCGTTTTGAACGGCACAATGCCCCTATAGTAAGAACTTTCCGCACCTGGTCTTTACTGTGTGATCACACGCCACCTACCGGGGACTCCTGACCTATGGCTGCAGCATGCTGACAAGGACATAGCCGCCTCGATGACATGGCAATGAGGATCATGGCCGCTTACTTCAAGGTCGGCCGAACTATTGACGAGCCGTACCCCAACTTCTCCTCGTGGACCAGGGACACCTTTGGATACGTGCACGCTGGTGCCGAGCAAGGGTACCAACAGGTCAACTTCCACGTCGATGTGAGAGACGACCATGCCGCCCTGATCCGAGAGGTCGCCGCCAAGGGAACTGTGCTGTTGAAGAACACCGGCGCCCTGCCTCTGGACAAACCCCGATTCCTCGCCGTCATCGGAGAAGACGCTGGACCCAACCTGAACGGTCCCAACGGATGCGCCGACAGAGGCTGCGACAACGGAACTCTGGCGATGGGCTGGGGATCTGGAACGGCAGACTTCCCCTATCTGGTGACACCAGACACGGCTCTCCAGAACAAGGCTCTTGAGGACGGAAGCCGATACGAGAGCATTCTTGACAACTATGCGACTAGCCAGATCAGCGCTCTGGTTGCGCAGGCCTACGCTACTCCCATCGTCTTCGTCAACGCTGACAGCGGAGAGGGTTACATCAGCGTCGACGGCAACGAGGGCGACCGGAACAACCTCACTCTGTGGCACAATGGTGACGACCTTATCAAGAGCGTCGCTGCTCTGAACAACAACACCATCGTGGTCATCCACAGCGTCGGCCCAACGCTGCTCACTGATTGGTACGAGAACCCTAACATCACAGCCATTGTCTGGGCCGGTCTTCCCGGCCAGGAGTCTGGTAACTCGATTGTCGACGTTCTCTACGGCAAGGTAAACCCAGCTGGACGCACACCATTTACCTGGGGTGCCACACGCGAGAGCTATGGCACAGATGTCTTGTACGAGGCAAACAACGGCGGGGATGCCCCTCAGGACGACTTCATCGAGGGCTCGTTCATCGACTATCGTCACTTCGACAGGACGAACCAGACTCCAATCTACGAGTTTGGCTTCGGTCTGAGCTACACGACCTTCGAGTATGCGAACTTGAAGATTGTTGCCGGCGACGCTGCTCCATACGAGCCGACCACGGGTTCCTCTGCCGCAGCCCCCATCATTGGAAGCTCGAACTACTCGACCAACCTGGAAGACTACGCCTTCCCCTCCGACCAGCTGAACTATGTCACCCGCTACATCTACCCCTACCTGAACACGACCACCTCGGCCGAGGAGGCCAGCCAGGACCCCTTCTACGGCCAGACAGCCGAGGAATTCCTGCCCCCCAATGCCATCTCCTCCGACCCCATCACCCTCTCCCCAGCCGGCGGCGGGCCGGGCGGAAACCCAGGCCTCTACGAGGTGTTGTACACCGTCACCGCAGACATCACCAACACCGGCTCCCTGGCGGGTGACGAGGTGCCCCAGCTGTACGTCTCCCTCGGCGGGCCGGACGACCCGCCCGTCGTGCTGCGCGGCTTCGACAGGCTCACCCTCGAGCCCGGCGAGACGGCCACCTTCAGCGCCGACCTTCAGCGCCGCGACCTCAGCAACTGGGACGTCGTCTCCCAGAACTGGGTCATCTCCGAGTTCCCCAAGACGGTGTACGTCGGCCGCAGCAGCAGGAAGCTGGACCTGCAGGCACCGCTGCCTTAGGTAGGCGGGTTCGCGTGTCCGGCAAGTAGCTTTCAGGCATGAAGAAAAGCGGCAGACCACGCAGTGACTGCGTCATCAATCCCGTATGCCGTACGTAGCCTTTAATAAATAATGATTTTATGAAAAGTCGCTCTGAACGTCTCATTCTAGAGCTTAAATTCGCGCTTGTGCCTTGGTGACCTGTGGTATTTACTTACTGGCATACTCCCAGACAAACCACACGCCGTGCAATGCATTAATTGATGACTTCACAAGACCATCTAATGTTATATATATACCAAGTAGCCTTAGAACCCAGTCCTAGAGTGGCCACTTTAAGTTACTCATCTAGGCTTTACACCTTTCATAACAAACTATACCATTATTTCTAACTCATATAGTATAGTTAAAGATAGTTATAACTTTAATATTCTTAATATTCTTAATATTCTTAATATTCTTAATATTCTTAATATTCTTAATATTCTTAATATTCTTAATATTCTTAATATTCTTAATATTCTTAATATTCTTAATATTCTTAATATTCTTAATATTCTTAATATTCTTAATATTCTTAATATTCTTAATATTCTTAATATTTTTAATATTTATATATTAATTTAATTTATTATAATTTAATTTAATTACTTACTAATTTATTATAATTTAATAATTAATTTATTATAATTTAATAATTAATTTAAATATATTTTTATTTATATATCTCTTTAAATTATTTATTATTACTAATAAATATAATTATATTAATCTCTCTCTCTTATTTACTTTAATAAATATAATAATTAACCTACTACTAGTAGTAAGTTAGGTATTATTTAATATAATGTTAATGTTGTGGATTCCTTCATGTTGTAAAGCGAGAGACCTCGCTTATCGGCAATGCTTGTGTGGTTATATGTAGATTAGAGTGATTCTTGTAGAGGTGGTCGAGTCCACGGGTATCGACAGATGAGTATGAGTAAGAGAGGTATTGGTATTGTTGTAGTAGTAGTAGTAGTAGTAGTAGTAGATTTCTGCAACAAGCAGGCGGGCCACACCTCCGGAACAGGCAAGACTGTAGCTATGTACAAGTACGATATGGCGCGCACGCGGGAATGAATATCACAGTACCTCTCTCTCTACCTTCAGACCTGGCCGGACAAAGAAAAAGCCTCGCAATATGCGACAGTGTAATTAGCACCAATAGCCCACCCACCAAACTGCGTTACAGCAGCAAAATAACGCCGCGCCGACCAAAGCTGGACCTGCTCTCAGTGAGGGAGCGAAAGTCACTATGCACAGATGATACCTCGGCGGGGGACGCCTGATCATTGGGCTGTAGATGGGGTTGTATCCAAAACGCCATGCGTATCTCGTGCGTTCCTGGAGGCGATTACCCTCAAAACCACCAGCAGGAACAGTGGCAGGTATACAGCGACCCAAACCCCGTGACTAGTAAATGTAAGGGATGATCCTCCAGCGGACAGTCCTCTTGTACTTCTCCCAGTCCTCACCATACTTGCGGTGGCACTTCTCGTCGTCGCGCAGATCACGGTGGACGAGCAGGACGGCAAAGTAGATGACGTAGAAGTAGGTGAAGATGGTGCCCCAGCCCCTGGCGGCGCCCTGGATGACCTCCCTGCCGTCGATCATCTTGAAGGAGCCCTCGGCATTGGTGCCAGCCGACAGGATCAGGTAGCCGGCCATACCCGTGGGCAGGCAGTAAGGCCAGGCCTGCAGCCAGTCGCCAAAGTAGTTGATGTGACGGGCAACGCCCCACCAGCCGGACGTGATGAGCCGGGATCCGGTCTTGGTCTCGATATAGCTGAGGTGGGCGACGCTGGGGTCGTTGGGGTTCGTGCGGAAGGTGTTCTTCTGGGAGTTTGCGAGGCGGAAAATGGAGAAGCCTGCGATCAGCATGGCGAAGACGGCAGAGAGCCACACGGGCCCCAGGGTCACGGGGTAGACTGAGAGGTACTTGGTCTGCAGGCTGTAGAAGAAGGGCACCCAGACGAGATCGCCAAAGGCAAGCATGCAGCCGAAGCCGTCGGTGGTGATATCCATGGTGGTGAGGATGGCAGGCTCCATGAAGACGCCATCAAGAACGTACAGCGCCTGCACGACAGTGATGAAGACAATGCTATCAGTGACGAAGCCATAGGTACGGTATTGCTTGGCGACGAAGGCGCAGTTGAAGAGGATATAACCGAGCATGCCGGGGCGCAGCTCCATGAACTCCTTGATGTCGATCTCGCCGATCAAGGGCAGAGTGACGCGGGGGTTCAGCTCGCGGCCAATGAACCAGTCGTACATGATGTTCCCGGAGTGACCACCGGCAGCAAGCTCACGGAGGTCCTTGTTGCCGGCCTTGACGGAGAAGGAGCGGACGTAGACGAAAGTGGCGAGGGCGTAGGAGATGAGGATGTTGGCGGTGAGGAGCTGGACGTAGTTGTCGGTCATGAAAGTCCAGACTGGGAAGTAGGCGCCCTGCTTGAGGGTGCCGGCGAGGCAGGCGACGAGGGTGAAGATGATGGAGCTGAAGCTGTTCATGCGGTACTTGAGCTTCCCGCCGCTGCTCAGCTCGACGCCCTCGGCCTCGGCGGCTGGCAAGACACGGTACAGCACGGCGTTGAAGAGGTAGTATGCCAGTGTCCAGCCGGTAACCTCCCAGCTGGCCAGGCCCCAGACGCCATTGGCGGGCCAGCCGACATCGCGTTTCAGCTCTTGGAGGTCGATCTTCTTCCAGTTGGTCAACAGAGGGGGCGCAGGGCAGCCGGACACGTCGTTGCAGGCGAAGGTGAAGAGGTAGAGCAGGATGGGGAGACCGAAGGAGACAACGGCGGCTCCGGGACTGTGGCACAGAACAATGTCAGTCGAGTCGGGGCTTGGGTGGATCTGGGACTTGTCCACAGGCAGGCAGGCACATACGGTCCAAAGAACTCATAGCCATGTTCCTGGCTCGAGGCCTTGGATTTCGGGGGCATTGCGACAGCGACTCGATTGACCACGCAGGTTGTTGTGTTTTTGCAGTACAACGACGCGACGCGGCAGCCAGCAGCAGCGGGGCACAAGCAGCCGAGGAATTGGTTGAGGGTCAAGGACGAGGAGTTGGTGGTGAGGGCAGCCGGATGCAACAGCTGCCGTTTGGTCCGATGTTGAGAGGGTACTGGTCTGGGGGCGGGAGGAGCCTGAAGCTCTTTGTAGTCGAGGTCAAATCAGAGCCAGCAACAATGTCAATGATGCAAACGAGACTTTTCACCAAGCTCCCTGCCAGATCAGGTTAGCGACGGACGGCCGTGGGTGGGGCCGCCCGGGCGTTAGATCACCCCTGCCTTTCGCAGGTCGGTATTCGGTACAGAGTCAAGGCCGTGGGAAACGATAATTAGGATCCAGATGAGATGTGTGTTGATGTCTGGCATCAAGGTTCGATATTTGAAAGCCAGAAATTTCCCTTATTTTCAGAACTTGGTTTAGAAGCAAGGGAAAGGAAGGCCTGATGATGCACAGAGCAGGCTCGAAGGCAGCCAACACTACCAACATGTACACAGTACCGATGCAGCAAGACATGTGCGAGGCTGTCCTACGTTACGGATGCTGGCTGCAACGACGGCATCGAATCTCCGTTACGAGGCCGTTTTGCCCACCGCCCAGCAACAACAAACGCTTGCTGTGTTGAGATAGAGGGGAAAAGCATAGTAGAGTACAGTACAGTAGAGAAGCCACCTCTCTCGTGCATCCCAGGGAAATGAATATGCCTGCCTAGGTAGGTACTTAAGTAAGAACACCGGACCGAGGGGGCAAATCCAAATATAAGCGCCATAGTACCTGCATTATCTCAGGCAGGGCAGGGTGTGCCTGCCTAGGTGGTTTGGCGGGTGGGCTGGCCTACCGTGCGATGGAGGATCAGCCGTTGCTAATTCGGGCTACCGTCCTCCGTCCCGTACTGTGACTGACTGGCGACGGATTGGCAGACTGGCAGGCTGGCAGGCAGACTGCCCTGTCATCCCTCGGCCCCCTCGTCAGTCAAAATGCGACAGCTGTCCCCTGTCCCCTGCTCATCCCAATCCAACATATTCAATGTTTCGGCTGACGACCTGGCTCCACGCATCGATGCAAGCATTCCTTTGACCAAACCTTCGACGACCAGCCCGAGCACCCTCGACTGGGCCGACCCATCACTCGCCACCTCTCGTTCTTTCAGCCTCCTCCTGCCAGCGCCCACACGAATCGCCTCCTCCCGCGTTGCGTTGTGTCCACTCTTTTCCAACCCCGTCTACTCCGTAATAGCGGCCAGCCACCAGCACGGGGCCGTTCGACGATCCCCTACTCCGTGCTCCACACTCGGCCGGACATCGAAGCGCAGATCCAGATTCGAGCCAGAGCCCTGCACGTCTCCTCTCCAACACATCGCTCAATAATGCTCCCCCGATCACGCCTGCTGCTCCTCGGAGCGGCTCTCTTCGGAGCCTCCTTCGCCGCCGACGAAAAGACCACGACCACAACAGCCTGCACGGCGACGGCAACCGGCGGCAAGGCTTACTTCGACCTGCGCCCGGATATCGCAGTCGCTCCAAAGGACGGCAAGCACAAGCGCTCCAAGTCAGAGGACTACACAGCCAGGGGCTACGACTATGGCTACAACTTCACACTGAACATATGCGAGGCTGTCATAGACAAGCCAGAAAAGGTCGTGGGCATCGAAGAGGCCCTCTGGAAGAACGTCAGCGCATACTATGAGGGCAAGGATGGGAAGACATACTCCCTAGGGTAAGCCTGGCCTCGTCGGACGGAAGCAAGCGGTTTGCCCGTGGTTGCTAACCCATACGATACAGACAGCAGTCATCCGTCCTGACCCCGAGAGGAAGCCAGCTGGTCCTGCAGTACTCTGGTGGCTCACCGTGCGGCTCATCATCAAAGAAAAGAGGTGTCCAACCGAGCGAAGCATCAGACGTTCTGCCATCGCCCGACAGGCCCGACAGGGGTTCAAGCAACAGCGCCTACTCCAGCTCCTTGGACACCGTGACAATCGGGGACGACAACACCGTGTTGATCGAGAAGGCCGAGGAGGTCAGGCGGAAATCCGCAACCATCTCGTTCCGCTGCGACCGCGAGAGCGTCAGCCCCACCGCCACCGTCTCCTTCGTCGGCGCGGACCCAGACGAATGCAACTACATGTTCGTGGTGCGCAGCCAACACGCATGCGCCGGCGTCCAGCCCTCCAAGCCCGGGAGCGTCGGGCCCGGCGGGGTCTTTGCCCTCATCTTCCTGATTGCTATCGCCGTGTACTTTGCCGGCGGTGTCTTCTACCAGAGGACGGTGGCCAACGCCCGGGGCTGGAAGCAGCTGCCCAACTACAGCCTCTGGGCGGGCATCTGGAGCTTCATCTCGGTGAGCAATCATCCGACCAGTCTTGTACGGAAGCGGAGAAGCTCAAGCAGCTAATCAATGTTGCGCGCGTAGGATACCTTTATCATTCTAACCTCGTCGTGTGCCCGTTTCATGCCGAGCCGGAGGGGCTACTCTTCTCTTTCAATATCACCAAATGGGCGCGGGATGGGCCGGAGCAGAGAAGACGAGGACCGGCTGATCGGCCAGTTGGATGAGGAGTGGGATGACTGAAGGAGCAGACCCACGGCAAGAAGTCGACTTGGGCGGCCGTTGGATTTCGATAGACAAAATGCACGACATTGTTGTTCGGCCTAGGCATTATTACTACGGACCGTGGGAATCTGGCGTTCACAGGGTAGACGGCGCAGGGCTATTGGTATTTACATGCCCAGGCTGAATTCAAAATATAGGTACGGAATTCCTCGCATCTGGGCCTCACGATATTTAGAAGACCTTGAACTCCACCAGGCGGACCTGCTTGCCATCTTGCGGCACAAACACCAGCCGTACATTATTAGTCGTGGCAGCATCCCACTCGACGTTTGTGATGCCATTGGCCAGGGGCTCGTCGGCCTTGGTGGTCGTCACATCCGACCAACTGCCGCTGCCGTCCTCCACCTGAACGACGTAGCTCGCCGGGACAGCGTACGAGCCCGTGACGCTCGCAAAGGTCCCGTCCACATAGGTGTACGTCCCGGGCTCGTCGCCCTCATAGAAGGCGATCTCGGCGCGGCTGATCTCAGTGCTGGCACCAAAGTCGACCGCGAACCACTGTGAGCTCTCGCCGTCGCCGACGGCAGAGTTATACCCGTTGACAATCTCGGTCCAGAACCAGACCCGCCCGTCGATGGCATCATGGATCTGCTGCGCGTCGGCGCCCTCGACCGAGCTGCTGCCCCTGGGGTATTCGCTGTCGCTCTGCAGCTGGATGGACTTTGCTAGCGGCCTGTCGATGGCCGGCGCCGCGACGGCGGCGACGGGTGTGACGAGGCGGGCCAGTGTCGGCGAGGATGCCACCTCGGCGCCGTCGACCTCGATTACCAGCCCCGCGCGGCCGAAGTGCGACCCGTCCGCGTCCCACTGCACGCTGACCTGGTGCCCGTGGTACGGCACGTTGTCGACCCGGAACCACGAGATGCTGCCGTCGACCAGCGGGTTCACCTCGAGCGAGGCGTCCGCACGGGGCCGGATGCCCACCAGCCCGGAGAGGATCAGGTCCACGTACCCGGAGTGGAAGTAGTGCGGGCTGCGGGCGAGGCCGACGAGCGCGGACCCGTTGTTGGGGTAGTAGTCCTCCTCGAGGTTCAGCACGCCGGCGCTGTCGAAATGCAGCTGCGTGTACTGCCTGAGGAGGCCGACGTAGTCGCCGTTGGTGATGACGGACTGGCTGTAGTGGTCCAGCAGGTTGGACATGGCGCTCAGGGCCTGGGTGGTCTGGAAGGGCCAGACGGGGCCGTTCCACTGGCACTCCCTGAGCCCCGAGACGCCGTCATAGCGGTACTGCCGCATGTAGTACTCATAGCTGGGCTCGGCCGTACGGAGTCCCGCCTCGCCGCGCAGCTCGTCCGTGTCGAGCGCGTGCTTCCAGGCCGCGCTGTACTCCACCCCGGCACTGGACGCCGGCACAAAGTCGAAGGCCCATGGGACCAGTCCCACGAGCTCCCGGCCGCGGATGAAGTCCCAGTACTTGACGTATTGGTTGCCAACCTTGAACCGGTCGATGAAGTGCTCAAAGGTGCTGTTCCACATCGAACTCGTGAAGTTGCCCTGCAGCCAGTCCGCCCGGGTCGAGTACAGCTGCTCCGTGGCCGAGTCGCCTGTCAGGGCCGCGATGCCCGCGATCGCCTTGGCATTGGCATACATGTAGCTGTTTATGCTGGGGCGGAAGCTCTCCCCGCCGGTGAACCCGTCCCGGCCGCCGGTGGCGTCGATGCTGGACATCGTGTACTCGGTCGCGTCGGCCAGGGGCTCGATCCAGTACAGCCCCTTGCTGGCGTCGAAATGGTCGTACCACTGCTCGTAGATGGTCTTCATGGCGTCCAGGTGCTGCGAGATGGCGCCCAGGTCGCCGTCAACGAGGAACACGCGCCACGAGGAATCGGCAATGGCCTCGCTGAAGTGCCTGTCGTTGCCATATGTCGAGGTCTCCGGGTGGAGCTTGTACATAAAGTCGACATAGTCGTGGGCAAAGCGCCTGTCGCGCAGCCACCGGCCCTCGCCCATATGGAAGCCCGTCGCATCGTTGAGTGAGGCGAATGGGAAGAGCTCCCACGACACGTCGTCCATGAACTCGGTTGAGATGTAGCCATTTGCGCCCAGGTCCCGCTGGTGGGCCCGGAAAATGTTCCAGCGGTAGTAGTACACATTATTAAGCTGGGTGTCGCTGGATTGGAAGAGGGGAATCCTTGGGATGTACCATGCTGCGTCGTTCCCAAAGTAGCTTGTGCATATCTCGGTGGCGTTCAGTGGGGCTGACTGGGCGAGGACATGAGCATGGAGCAAGGCAAGCCAAGAAAGGACGCGACGACTGGATAACGGAGCCATGATGGCTATTGACGAGGTTGAACTCACGTTGCTGAGTGAGTTGCGAGGATCCTACCTAGATATCCTGAGATCGGGACCGTGGGCAGAACATCGTCTCTCCCTTTATACATAAATGCTTGTCCCGTCGCGTGCGGGACTGCGGCAAACACGAACGCATAAATTAACATCCTTCCCCATCCTGACTTGCCTGATCACCAGGCCCGAAGAGAATCATTGACACCGGCGTGGTCGTGAACATGGGAGCCCACTAGAGTCGCATGCGGCTATGGGCAGATCATCGATTCATAGCAAATGATGGTTTCACCGTTCCAAGGTTGCAGCCCTGAAGGGCTTAGGCGGCTTAGTGCCGGGAGACACACCCCATGGGGAGAAGCAAGATCTGGGGAATTCAGCCTTATTGGTGCGCATCCCGGGGTAGAATACGACGTCCAAGGAACACTCGCGTCATGGGAAAAAGTTGCCCGGACTGAGCTTTCACGAACGATTTGTGGCTGCAGATTCCCTAGACAACTTGAATAACCTTCACGACACATGCTATGCCTCCGAGTCCCGCTACGTGAAGCACTATATTTTGTTCAAACCGCCCCAATAGTATTCTGTCCTGGACCCGAGGTGCAAGCATGAGCCTGGCCATCTTGTTAAGGAGAATCGATTTGGTGGCTTCCCTCCCCTCAGGGATTCTTCTAGGTCTTAATAATTATAAGAACGGATATTCACAGGGTAAAAAACGGATAGTATAGGGTAATATATATCCCTAATATACTAACGTTAATTTATACCACCAATCCACTATAGTTAATATAAATACACAATCATTCTTTATATATTTATCACTCTAAACTTATAATTCTCTTTATTTTTTATTTCCCTTATTATTACTTTAACCTTATAATTAACTACTTTCCTTATTATTACTCTAACCTTATAATTAACTATTACTTTTTTTATTATTTAAAATACTTAGATACTAACTTAAAGACTTTAATCTTCTTTTAAATCTTTTTTTTATTACTAATAAAGTTCTTAATATTTAAATTAATCTTTAAAAACTAGTTAATAATTCTTTAAGTTTTTATATAAAGCTTCTTAGTTATTAATTTAATAATAAAAGGTATTGTTATTAATAAGGCTATTTCTATAAACTATTATTTTTATAACTAATAATTTATTTATTTTATAAGCTTTATAATTAACTATTAATTCTATTAAATAATTTTTATTAGTTCTTTTATTATAAATATTCTTTTAATTTAAAAATTAAAAAGTCTTATTATTTTATTTAAATATTAAATTAATTTATTATATAAAACTATTATAACCTTTATTTTATTATTTATTTTATTATTTAAATTATTTATTATTAAAACTATTTTTTATTTATTATAACTCTATTATAAATTATAAGGATTTTATTTTTATTTATATTAAATATAGTTTTATTATAATAATCTTTTAAAGTAAAAACTTTTAAAAGAGAGTTTCTAATTAAGAAATTATAGTTTAATTAATAAAACTTATAAATATTCTTTTAATAAAAAATTTTAACTTCTTTATAATTAATAATTTAATTTATATAAAGTAAGTTATATTAAATATAAATAAAATAAATATAATTTATAGGTAAGTAATTATTTTATAAGATTTACTTTTAAATATTTATATTATAAAAGTTCTTATTATTAAAAAAGTTTAAGGGTTACTTATAAAACTTAAAATAAAAGTTTATTAAGCTACTTTTATTTATTAAATTTTTTAATAATAATATCTTTTAATAGGTTTTTAAATATAAAATATAAGAATAATTTTTAATTATTTTATTAATAATTTTAATTAAATAAAATATATTTTTATTTTATAATTAAAATAAACGTTAAATCTATAATATATAACTTTTATTAATAAAATTATATATAAATTAAAATTAAAATTTTATAAATTTTATATATAGTTTATTTAATAATAATCTTCTTTTTTATTAATATATTAAATTTAAAAATAATTAATAATTATTATTTAATTTAAAAACTTTTTTAAAAATATTATTAAGTTATATTATAAATCTTATAATTAATTAAATATTTTATAAACTTAAAAAGTTAAATAAAGTTTAATAAATATAGAAATATTCTTTAAATTAAGGACTTTTATAGATATTATAGCTTTATTTTTTTAATATATTAAATAAAATTAAAGTTAAATCCTCTTCTTTATTAACCTTTTATCTTCTTTCTCCTTATCTTCTTTCTTTTATTAGTTTTTACTATTACCTATAATTTCTTTTACTTCTTCTTAATATTTAAAGTAATATTTATATTAATATAAAAATATATAGTTAATAATATATTTAAGGAATTTATATTTAAAAGTATTAATAAAATAGTATTATAATTAGTTATATAGATTATTAGATTATTAATTTAATAATAATAAAAGGTTATAAACTTATTTAAAATTATTAAAAGTTAAGTTTTTTACTATTAATAATATTTTAAAATAAAGGTAAGTTTTTCTTAATATAAGTTATATAAGTATTTTAAAAGTATAATATTTTTATTATTAGTTATATATATATAATTTATTAATAAATATTATATAAAGTAATTTTTAAATTTATATTAATTAATTTTTATATATTAGAAAATATTTATAATATTATTATTATTATTAGTTATTTAATAATATTAATATCCCTTTTTTAAATAAATTTAGTATAACTTAAATTAAAGTATAAATATTTACTTTTCTTTCCTTTAATCTATTAACTAATTTTTATTATATTAAACCTTAATTATATATTTAAATATTAGTATTAAAATATTTATTTAAACTTTTTTAATTTTATTATTAAAAAATCTCTAATAATATAACTAAGAAAATCCTACTAAACTTCCATTAGCTTTACCTAACTATACTAAGCACCACTAACTTTTTAAAAACTATAAAACTAATAATCTATATAATTAACCTAAAAAACCTATTTATTAACAGTCCTTTTTATATAATAAATAAATATTAATTAATTATAACCTACTTTAATTATAAAAAAAAATTACTTATTATAATATTAAAATATTAATTATTATAATAATATTATAAATATATATAACTAAAGTTAAAGTTTTTTTTATTATTATATAACTAATTTACTTTATAACTTTATTTAAATTAATTTTAAAATCTTTATAAATATTATATTTATTATAAAAAAGTTTTAAATAATTAAAAGGTGATATATACTAGAATTAAATTAGGCTAACTTTAGGTTAATTTAGGGCCTAATTTTAGTGTATAGGGCTCCACTATACTTAAAAGGAGTACTTCCCTACTTATTTAACTAATATTTAATCTCTTAGAATTCATTCTTTTTCTATATATTATAAGTACCTATTAAATAATAGTTATAATATAGTAATAATAATTACTTTTTAATAATAGTTTTTATATTAATTATTTATAGTATGTATACCTTATTTTAAAGTTAGTACCCTCCTTTACTAAAGGCCTTACTACCCCACTAGCTGGCGCTACCTACTAACCAACCCCCTTCTCACTAACTAACCCCTTTAAATTAAGTCACTATAGTTATTATAATTAATAAGAATAATTCTAACCTATCCTTATCAACTAATTAGATTAATATATTTTATAGGGCTATCTATAACTTCCTTTATAAAGCTACTTATAGTTAAAATTAGGGATAAGAAAATAGTTAAAAAAAAAAAGAAATATAGTAATACTTAGAATTAAATTAAAAGCTTTTAAATTAAATAGAAAGAATCTAACTATTATACTACTATAGATAGTAGGCTTTATATATTAATAGATATTTAATATATATTAGAATTAAATTAGGCTAACTTTAAGTTAATTTAAAGCCTAGTTTTAGCGTATAAGGCTCTACTATATTTAAAAAGAGTATTTCCCTATCTATTTAACTAATATTTAGTCTTTAAAAATTTATTCCTTTTTTTATATATTATAAATATCTATTAAATAATAGTTATAATATAATAATAATAATTACTTTTTAGTAATAGTCTTTATATTAATTATCTATAATATATATATCTTATTTTAAAGTTAGTACCTTTTTTTATTAAAGGCCTTGCCTCCCTATTAGTTGGTGCCGTCTGCCAACCCCCTTTTCGCTAACTGGCCCCTTTGGATTGGGTTATTACGATTACTATAATTAATAAGAGTGATTCTAACCTATTCTTATTAATTAATTAGAATGATATATTTTATAGGGTTACCTATAGCTCCCTTTATAGGGTTATTTGCGGCTAAAATTAGGGATAAGAAAATAGTTGAATAAAAAAAAAGAAATTTAGTAATATCTAGGATTAAACTAGAAACTTTTAAATTAAATAGGAAGAATCTAACTGCTATATTGTTATAGATAGTAGGCTTTATTTATTAGTGGGTATTTAATGTATATTAGAATTGAATTGGGTTAACTTTAGGTTGATTTAGGGCCTAGTTTTAGTATATAGGGCTCTGCTATATTTAAAAGGAGTACTTCCCTATCTATTTAGCTAGTATTTAGTCTCCTAGAATTCATTCTTTTTCTATATACTGTAAGTGCTTATTAAAAGGTTAGAAAAATATTAAAAGTTAATTATTTATAATAGTAATATTAGTATTTTAATTATAATAGTCTACTTACTATTATATTATAAAATAAGTATAATTAAAGATTAATATTATTACTATAATATTAAAAAATTTAATTATAATTACTAATTATATATTTTTAATAATAAATTAATTAATTAAAATAAGTTATTAATTAATATTATTAATTATAAGTAGTTAATAAGGGGGTGTTATTAAGTAGGTAAAGGAGTGTTGGTAAGGTCTATAGGTGATAGTAATAAAAATATTGATAGGGTAGTGTAGGTGGTCGGGTAAGGTTAAATAGAGCGCTCTAATTAGCTGGCGGTACTTGCCCTGTACTATCCGTTTTTTGCCCTGTGAATATCCGTTCTCATAATTATTCTCACGGTTATTAATGCGCGTCTCTCAAAGAAGCCGCGAACGGCCAAGCCAGTCTTTAGTTTCCTCATCTGCTTGCATAGCCCGACTAGGCCTCTTTCGATTTCTAGCATGCAGCGTGATATGAAAGCGATTATGCTCAAGCTCGCTGCAATAATTCTTAATTGGAGAGAGCCCCGAGGATCGTCAGGCCTTACACAGCACATGAGCACCACAGCTTCTCTCAACGTGGAATGAGGATTGACACCGGCTTGAGAATGGGAATCCGCCAGTCCAAAGAAGACTCACATGATCGCAGAAATTCAAATCGCGACCTTCCTGTTACTTCAGCCTAGGTATCTGGAAGAGTGGCCTTCCTGTTACTTCAGCCTAGGTATCTGGAAGAGTGGTTTATCAGGTATCTGACATCTGGAGTACCTAGGTAGCAGCAAATTTTCGCATCTTCACCTAACGCAAACGCTCTGCTTTTCGAAATTTATCACGGGATATTCGAGAGAATGATGTTGCCACTCAAAATTCATTGAGCTCAGCCACACCAAGACAAGTCCCAAACAGGCCTTCTCATTATGATGGACTCGGAGACCGCATATGCATGAATCATTAGCCCCACATGATATTGAACTATTAATAGTGGTGTTGACAATACAATCGCTGAAAAAAGTCAACTACTTGTAAGAGAATGCCCAGCATGCCGCCCTGTCAAACTGCGGCGTGTACTCCTCAGCAACAGCGCCTTTCTCAGCGGCCGCAAGTGCCGCACGATCCGCTGCCCAGTTCATATCGCGCGAAACCAAGAAGAAAGATATCTCGCAGGCTTTGTCCGCATACGACCCCATTACCGCGGACAATTTCTCCCACAAATCCCGGTCCGGCCTCGGTCTCCCGTCGGCCGTCTTCCACTTCTCTTTGCCAGCCCAATTGCGCAGCCATCCTGTTGCGCCGTAAGAGAGCATCTCGTTGTCGACGATAAGCACAACACGCTCCCAGCCCTCCGCCCACCATGGCCGGAATTCCAGAGCCCCGATGATGGCCCGTAGCTCAGCACGGATGCTGGTGGCCGGGTACACTTTACCATCCGGGCCACGCTTCTCGAGTGGGAACGAGACGGTGCATGTGCTGCCTGCACCGTAGACAAACCCACACCCGCCCTTTGCGTTGGGCCTCCCGGCGTCAGGACACTCGCCGTCTGCGAAGATGCACATAGTCTTGATGCCACAGACCTGGGGAGCAAAGCGCCGCCGGATGCAATAGCGCCAGCGGTAGAGACCATTGACTGAGGTGTTGATAGGGAATGATTTGAAAAAGTCTTTGGGGGGTGCCGCTATGGCTCGTGTCGGTGACAGGGCCGAGCCGGCCGACGACCACGGGTGGAAGTGAGTGCCCGTCCAGATTCCACATTCTCCGCCGCCCATTCTCGTGCGGGTGCGCTTCACAGCCTCAGTTGCGGGCACGGGCTGGACAAGTATGATACAGGAGAGATCCGTCCCCTTGTCCGGATGGATCATGAAGGTTTTCGGCAGGTTCTTGAGGCCATCGGCGAGTGCGAAGCTCCCGTCGAGGTCCAGGACCTTGCGGGGCTGCTCCTCGGCGTCTCCCAGGGTCTCGTCGTCGCCATGGTCCAGGAGGAGCTGGGTAGGCACGTTGATGCGCTTCGTGCTGACACTCATTTTCACAGACTCAAACAGATGAGTTGAGAGGGACACTCTTCGCAACAACGCAGAAACTAGGCACGGGATTCCTTCTTTCCCAGCGGGGTCGGACAAGCATATATTGACGCCTAATCGCGATCAAGGTTATGGGCATGGAGGTCTGTTTCAAATCAGCCACCGGCCTTGGTCACCAATGCTACCTCCATCCACAACTCTGCCATTCAATTTCCCACCCTACACTTCAAAGGATGTGCCACACGTCCCTCGCGCTGTATCCCTGCCCCAGGCCAGTCAAGTCCCTCGGCCGTAGCAGTGTAGGAACCCCAAAAGTGAATTCGGCAGTGTGGCTTAACGGGTAATCCCCCGAGGAGTTAGTTGCAACGCCATCTGTGTGAATGTAACATAACCTCCATGTATCGCAGTCCACTTATTCTCCACTTCGTAGGGCAACAAAAGAAAGAGCCAAACGCCTTCTTTGAGAGGCACGCCTAAGATGGACTCTCCCATTGGGCAGGCCATCCTGGCTAGATGTCAGCTTGGGCCCCTGTCTGTGCAAAATCTAATATATTGGAGCCTAGTGCACGTGAAATACGACATCTAACGTCCCACGGAGTTGCATCGATCTCAACATGCGGGCTCGCCACCCTCTCCGCAGCCCATAAGCTTGCAGCAGTCCACCTGGGCATGCAGCCGACGGGAGAGCACCGAAGACTTTGCCCGAGCACAGTGGAGGGTTCCATCACTTATCGTGATAAGCTTACGTGAGGCCCTTGGCGGCTTTTGGCGGCTTTGTCGGCTATTTCCTGACTGCTGTGCTTGGCAGTGACGAGGACGCTGATGTTATCCCTCGTCTGTTGCCATGTACAGCTAGGTCAACATCAAAAGAGGCAAAAGCATGTAAGACGGACGAATGATCTGCCTCAGATCCATAAAATTACCGGGCTGCTCAACACCTGCAGGGCCAATGCGCGTGATCATCACTCCTATGCATATTGAGCACTTGAGTCGCGCCGGCGTCAGAACGACAAGAACCCCCGGAGGTCCGGAAAGCACAAAATCAGCATCAATATATGGTGTCTCTGCCATGGTAGACCAGGCCTACAGTTGAACTCTATGCCACTTCCTCTTGAAACCCTTCGGTCAACCTCCTTGTAATAACACCATGTCCGACATTCCGATCATACAAGTGCTAGAGAAGGAGCGCTATTTCAATCAACATTTAGTCGCACTTCCTGATGCCATCCCCTACGCACCACTGGGCACCTCCTCCGTCCGCCTACGGACGAAGGTGATGTCCCTCACCTCCAACAATATGACTTACGCAAAAGCTGGGTTTCTGATGAAATGGTGGGGGGTCCATCCCCTTCCGCCTTCGACGCCGGCACCATTTGACGATGCTACCAAATACGGCCGCATCAACTGCTGGGGTTTCGCTGAGGTGCTCGATTCCACGCACCCCTCCGTCGAGAAGGGCAGCTATATCTGGGGCTACCTGCCGATCGGAACACTCGCACAAGATCTTGTGGTCGAAAAGGGGGGTGTCCCGGGCCAAGTCTTTGTGAAGAATGACTACCGGCAGGACATCTTTTCCATGTACAACCGCTACTTCGTATTCCCTCCAGATCTTGATTCGCAAATAGAGTCCCGGGCAGAAAGTGTGGCGTACGATGCTATTCTGCGTGTCATGTATGAGACGTCATATTTGATCAATCGGTTCGTGTTCACACTTGAGCCGAAGGAGACAGTTAGCCCTGGCCCAGTTGGTGTGATGTGGGACTCAGACAAGGCGGATCTCAAGGGTGCAACGATAATCTGCCTTGCTCCCGGCTCCAAAGTTGCACTGTCCTTTGCACGAGAGTTGAGATATGGCGATAAGAAACCGGTGACGAAGGTTATCGGTGCAGCCAGCGACTATTCCATCGAGTTTGTCAAGAAGACTGGAGAATACGATGAAGTCATATCCACAGCCGAGGACCCATCCAAGATATTGGCTGGCATCCCCGATGATAGCAAAATCGTTCTGGTAGACTTTGGGGGCCGGGGTGGTATCGCCCAGAAATGGGCCACAGCCATCTCCAAGTCTCGCAAGAACGTTCTGCTTATGAAGTGTGGCAGGGAAATCTCTGAGCAGTCTTCGTCTGAGGTGTTGGCTAGCTTCCAGCAGGCAAAGTCAGTGACGCCAACGTACGAATCTGCGCAGATCAACGCCAGTGATATTCGAGACCGTGCTCTTGCAAAGGTCGGCGAGGAAAAATATTTCAGGGACTTTGAGGCAGCTTGGGAAATATTCAAGAAGACTCCGGTTAAGGGCTTGAGAATTTCCTGGGGAACTGGTCTGGATGATGTGCTCAAAGGGTGGAAATCATTGGCCAGGGGCACAGTGCAGCCAGACGAGGGCCTGGTTTATGTGATCTGAATGGGTTCAATGTTCGTATCTCGGCTTATCCGGATGACAAGAGCTCATGTGGAACATTCAGAGTAAATGCTCAAGTACCCTCAAGTACCCTAGGGTAGTTTGGTAGAGGCCACTATTTTCCTGTAGAGTCTGGGTATATTTCAAGTTCAACGCTTCTTTAAGCAAAACAAGTCTATGCAAAAGCGACACATGCCGCACTCACAGATTCACCGCCATGGTCATTACAGCCACGAGCACTGCCAACAGCGATGCGCGTAGCAAGCCACCCCCGCTTCCACCCCCTCCAAGTCCGCTCGCACTGCCTTTCATGCCTTCCTCAAAGCCAGCCTCCTCACCGCCTAGGTATAGGGCGCCGGCGTCTGTCAGCCCACCGTCGTAGTCGAACAACGCGACGTTGTCGCCAACGAAGCCATTAACGTCGTTGTCCTTCCGGAAAGCGCCAAACCAAGAGTAGGACTCGATATAGTCCAGACTATCCAAGTAACTAAGACTCTGGTTCATCATCGCCACTGTGTCGTCCTCGTCTTGCTGCGGGAGGGCCATCTCTGTGATCCAAAACTTGAGGTTGTCTGGGTCGACTGCGCCGCTGTCTGACGAGTTGGTGTAATACTCTTTCATCGTCCCTATCCAAGAAGCCAGACCTTCGAAGTTGCCGTACCTTTACGGATGACCGAGTTGTATTAGTAAAATATTTCTTTTTGGATCCAAAAGATACTGGAACTGGACTAACCAATGCAAGGCCACAAAATCTGTTGGACAACCACTGTCCGGCTGGATCTCCCAGCAGGCCTCATTGAACTCCCGCAGCCAATTCAACCCGTTCTCAGACCCTGTGACACTGGGGTGGGAGATGTTCCAACTGCGCGAGGATGAAGTTCGCAGAGGTACGATGTCATCTATGTACGCCCGTGCCGCATCTGAGGGAGAGATGGCGCTCCCGCCGCTAGAGGTTGTCCCGTCGGGTTCGTTGAATGCGAGCAGGTGGGTTGAGCTTGCTGGCAGGGAACTGATGGCTCCTTGAACGTCGGGGGAGGATGCATCATCGACACCGTGGATCAAGGGCACAAACTTGAGCGTCGAGTTCACATCCTGCACGGGATATGCTGACCACGTGTAGTACCAGATATCCTGGAGTTCGGGGAGAGTAGAAGGTTTAGATCGCCCTCGTGTGAATCTCCGATGTATGCGAGGCCGCGTTTTGATGTATGATCCGATTCCTGCGACACTGCAAAAGGCAAGAGTAGTGTGCTTGCCAACAAGGCTGATGATGTTGTTTGTCTCATGCTGGAGAAAGACTCTGGTGGAAAAGACTGGCTGGCGTTCAAGGAAATAGCACTTGTCGTATATACCCTTCTGCAACAAAATCATCTGCAAATTCGGGGGCCTGGTTCATATATACTCAACGACCGTTATCTGCCGCCAAGTTCACGGTGCCATTCCAAGAACCGCTGCCCTGAATCCCACCACTAGATGAGCAGCGTGGTGGTGTACCCATCGCCACAACCTGCTTGGTGACGTCACGAGGGAACCCAGGTCTATTATCGTCTTATCCAGGGGTCCAGCCAAGGCACGCGGCACGCCGACAGTATGAACACATCATCAGCAGAGCCCGCTCTCATCTTGTTGAGGAAGCCTTCCGAACGAATCGACACGCAGACACCAAAAAAAAGACATTGTTGTCAAGGCCGCGACGCGCTTGTGCAGTTACATTGACGAACAGGCGCCCGGCTCCAGCTTTGCTCCACTGAGGCGGCAATAAAATCTGCCGAACTGTGCCTCGTCGCGAGCCTGTCACACGCATGTGGGGAACATTTGAACGCAACCCTGGAAGTCTTCCTACGCGAATGTCTGGCAAAGACCTTCTTGTATGTAAGGTGAAGGCTTCCAAATTCTTGGAGTATAGAGATACATATCCTTATATCTTGAATATACGAGATATATAAACTTTAGACTACTTTAAAGGGGTTCGTCTGAGGTGGTACGTGGGTGTAGCTACCTAGGGTAGGTACTTGACGCGCTGTACATGCTTCCGGGGAGCCGGGACGTCGGGACGCGCATTCGGCAGATCGACGACCAAACAGTAGCCAACCAGTCTTTCACAGGGTTCCTGCGGGCCTGCGGGCCCGTTATTCAAGTGGATGTAGTTCAACAGGGCGCTGAATAAACGCCGTTACGCACAGCAGTATAGCGCCAGGCCCTTATTAGCCTACTAGCAGTAGGCCCATCTTTGAGCCCGCGCGTCACGCCCAAGCCCTCATTGCCCGCCCCCACCCGGTCTGGACTCTAAACTTGGGCCGTGGAGGATTTCGCAAACATCGTACATGTATATACCCACGAACTACGGATGACAATCATGCAATAATTTATGGCTACGGAGAGCCCCAGCCAGGCCTTAAGGGTGTGGGCCAAGATCAGCAAGCGGACACGTCCAGAAGCAGCCATGCAGTCGTAGGATCTGGAGTGACACCAAGCGGCGATTATGGTGCCACTGCCCAGTTTGAGTCATTCATGGGAGACACAGGCCAACCTGTCCCGGCGTTGGACTTCAACGGGTTTGTGCTCCATGCTGCGCCCAAACCCGTTCCCGAAGAACTCCAGCGAGAATCCAGTGGGGCTTCCGTCACGGAGCCAGACGCCGTCATGAAATGTGGTTTCGCTTCTATTCCGTATAAGTCCGAGGACATACATGGCGCCTTCATACGGTGGTAAGCACTCAAGACCGAAGGCGCCATGTATGTCCTCGGACGTATACGGAATAGAAGCGAAACCACATACATGGCGCCTTCATACGGTGGTAAATACTCAAGACCTTCGATGATTATGCTGCGCTTTTCAAGAATTGTTACGATAACTTGGAGCCGGGGGTTGTATTGAGTTACAAGATGCTGTTTTCAAATTGATGTGCACAGATGGATCGAATGATGGCTCGTACATCGAGAAGTTCTCTCGGCTCACCTTGGAGTCCGGCAGGTCTGTTGGTCGAGACCTTGACATACCCAGCAAATATAAGGACATGCTGACTGAAGCTGGCTTCTTGGATGTCGTGGAGAAAATTGGTCCTGTCCCCGGAAAAGATGACCCATCACTCTTCATTTTGATCCTTATTGTCTTTTTCTTTCTGAGCCATTGCCATCGTCTCTCATTTCTGTCTTCTGCTGGTATCAGACTCCTGCTGAAAGGCTTGACAAATCGCTGACCTTCACCAGGAAACCCGTGGCCAGACGATGCTAAATTCAAGTCACTCAGCTACTGGCAAATGGTCAACTCTCACAGAGCGCTCCGTGGATTCGGATTGAAGCTCTTTCGGAAGCTCGGGATGGAACCGGATGCCATCGAAGAACTCGTTGAAAAGGCAAAAACGGACATAACCCATTCTACATTGCATTTCTTCTTCCCCATGTGAGCCCTGGAGTTTATCCCGACCGCCAGGGCTCAGCCCGAGTGCGACCAATGATTGATCAAACGTAAAGATGTGTTGTTTATGGTAGAAAAACATATGAATGGGAGCTGGAGCAGCCCCCTCAAAAACGAGCGAGGACGAGATGGATACGCAAGGGAAGGCGGCCCAGAAGTAGTACAGAACAATCCCAACCATACATACGGACAAGCCACTATTTCTTGATGAGAAGCAATGGCTTGCTGATGATATCAAGGTCTCGACGAAAGTAGAAATACTCTAGCTCAGGACGAGAAGAGCGATTGTGCGTATTTCAGGCTCAGAATGAACGCAAAGCCGCCCCTTGGCAATAACATCTTTGGATTGATTAGCAGACAGGCCGTTCGGTATACTCAAAAAAACGGCGTCCCCTCAATTAGCCTGGTAGACATTATTGAGCATCATTATAGGACTTCCCCCAAGGGCTACTGGAACGTCATCGGCGATGTCGTGCGTCCGTAGGTCTGGAGCACGTGTTGTTGTCAGATGACAGCAGTTTGATAGTAATAAATGCCTTTTGCGGCACAATTCATGTCCGGGTCTTTGAGTTGATTGCATTTGAAATGGATCCAAGTCACCACAGGTGTGCTATTTTTATTCTCGGAGATCGTTCCCGGCTGCCCCAGGGTGAGCAATGTGAGAGGTGTCATGTAGAACTACTTCACGCCGGACTACTCGTTACCCAGCAGGAAACAGAAGGGTACCAGTAATACCTAGTTATTAGATTCAACCTCATATAGCTTTGAGCTGTGCAATCCTTTGTCATCGTCGATCTCGGAATTCCTATGATAGGTTTCCAAGATCCGATTCTTATCCAGCTTCGATTGTGACATGCAATCCTCATCAAACTGCCATTTGCATACTGAGATATGACCAGGATGAGTTGCATTTGGCACAGAGGTCGATGGTACTTACGCTCGATGACATTGGCCTCTGTTATGACAGCCCTCCGGCGCAGTTGTTTTTGACAGACTTGATTCTACCAGCTCCAAGACGATCTTGGAAATCTTGACCAAGCTCTCGGTGAAATTGTCTGGATCCCGCCTCGGCTCGATCTGCCAGAGAAGTGCCAGGTTGGTTCTACTTGTCCTGTCTTGTATTTATGAAGCAAGCAATCCACAGACGGGAAGCCTGGAACAGACGATCCAGTCCAGCCCCATCCTCGGAGCCCTTATTACCGCGAACAGGGCCAACTGACCCACCCGACACCACTGTTGAATAAGATTCTCGGAGACGTCGCGCCGCATGCCAAATCATGCACAGGGTAGTGTATTGTGTATAAAAAGCTTGGCTGTGCCTCGGCCGCGCTCATTGGCGTAGGCCCTCTGGGCATGACGATCTATGCCCCGTGCGGGCCTGTGAGTCGGTAGTGCTGCCGTTGCCAAGACAGTTTACATTGTTTATTCAACACCGGCTAATCAAGGATTCTTCGGCGGATGAACTCGACGCCCTTCATGCTTCGAACTCCGTGAGTGGCCCAGTCTCGAGGCCCGCTCTCTCAAGCGCGATAAGCTGAGTTACAGACGAAGACGCTTTTAAAAGCATGGGCGCCCGCGCTCTAACCACCGCATCTGCCTTGAGGCATCCGTGAACTCATACATACCTAGGTGCTCTGATTACGACAATCTGTCGGGCAATTTCACAGAACATTGACTCATTCCTCGATACCAAACCGTTGCAAAATGAAGGTCGGGCTTGTTCTTATCGCCGCCGTGACCTCGGTCACCGCACATGCTACATGGCAACAGCTGTGGGTTGGGACCGAGGACAAAGTCTCGACTTGCGTGCGGACCGTCAAGGACAACTCGCCCATCGCCAGCGTCACTGATGCCGCGATGTTCTGTGGTCGAAGCCCCGCGGCCTCTTCCGGAATCTGCGAGGTCAAGGGTCAGTCTCGCACTGCTGATTATTCTAAACCATAATACCATACTCACGGTTCTTGTAGCTGGTTCACCCCTGACCGTCGAGATGCACCAGCAGCCTGGCGATAGGTCCTGCAGCCAGCCAGCCATCGGAGGAAACCACTACGGCCCAGTAATGGTCTACATGGCGAAGGTTAACGACGCGAAGACGGCTGACACCTCGTCGGCAAGCTTCTTCAAGGTTGCTGAAGACGGCTACACTGGCACGACTGCTTCGTGGGGAACCGAGATTCTCAATGCAAACTGCGGCAAGAGGGCTTTCACTGGTACGGCTATCTCCTCCTTTTTCAAATACATTGGAGAACTATTTGCTAACCGTTTTGAAGTCCCTGCCAACATTGCACCTGGAAACTACCTAGTCCGAGCCGAAGCGATTGCCCTTCATGCTGGAGCAGGACAGCCACAGCCCTACGTATCGTGCTTCCAAATAAACGTCACAGGAGGTGGTTCTGCGAACCCAGCGGGCGTGAAATTCCCCGGGGCATATAAGACCAGCGACGCGTTGTTCTCCAAGGCTATATATGATTCCAGCTTCAAGTATACCAGCGTAGGGCCCGCCGTCTATAGCGGCTGATATTACCGAAGCAAGCCGGAATTTTGGCCACTTGGACAGGTGCATGATAAATGGATTTTGGCTTCTGACTTTGTATATACTCTTTTGAGTTTCAAATAGAACATGCTAGACTAGTAGGCACCATTGCCTGTTGCGACTGGTTACTCCTTGATCACATGCCCTGGTGAAGGTGAGCTGTTAAAGTCGCCTGGTCTCACTTGGTTGCTGTGGCATGTACGTTGTCAAAGTCCTTGATAGGTGCTCTAATACTTCGCGGCTGAGGCAGCTCACTATTTATTTGGAATGGAATGATTTCGGGGTACTAATTACTGACAGAATTTTTCGTTGGTTCTACAGCTGGGCTTCCATGCCCTCAGTCTACTTACTATTTTCGGGTTTGGTAGTTGTGAGGCCTTTTCAAGTGTCCCAGACAAGAGCCAGATCCAACCATCCTAGCTGGAGAGCATACCCATACCTGGAGGAGTAGGCACCGCTCGCTTATAGGACCAGCCAGCATGTTGGCAGCGCGCTCTTTGATGTTGCGATTGATATTCGATGGGGACCAGAAGGGCTTGAGAATCGTAGTTTGGTAGTCTAAATGGATTCCAGCCTAGCCACGACGCTGCTGCAGCATCGGAAGGTTCGCCCCAAGTCATCTTTTAACATCACTTGGCGCCGTTGTGTAGATTCTTATTAGTCGAAATGCAACTTCTATTTGAAGTCTGGAAAATGAGTACCCGAACCTTTACCGGAGGATTCCAACACAGGCGGACGTCTTGAGCGGTGGATGACACCACAGGTACCCACTGGCAGACTCAGTGCAACGTTGGTCCCCAGTTGCTGTCATCGTTGTCACCGCCCATCTGCCAACATCATTTCAGGCGTCCGCCCACTTTCTTTGGCCGGGCCGATGACGCACAGCGCCTGCTCGGAGCCCTCGAGGCTTTACCAGTGAACATTGTGGATATGCATCTTGCATCCGTGCCGTGACAGCATCCGGACAGCCCGGTTTTATGTGGACAAAGTCTGACGATCAACTGATGAGCAGAACCCAGAGTGGACTGAGTCGCGCCTGTTCGCCCCGACTCCCCATCCGAATTGAGTTGGACTCTCACCCCGCACGATCCCAGCATCTCTCCGCATTCAAGTTCCCACCCCAGTCGGCCCGGAAGTCTGGGCAATGATACTTGCTGGGCAGGAATCCACCGAGCATCCACTCTGGAATCAGACTAACCAAGCCTGCCCGGCTGCCCGGTCCTTCAGCAGAGGACGAGAAGCTGGACCTGCAGCACAAGTGCCGGATATCTTCCGGCTCGCCAGGAACCATGGTGATGGTTGTGTGGAGGCAATATCTGTCATCGCGTCATTCTCCCCCCGGATGAGGGGCCTGTTGAATATGGAGCCTCGCCCAACACTAGCAAGAGCAGGCCACGGCGATAGCTCAAGCCGCCGTCACCGGAGTATGGTGATTGAGTCCGATGTCGTGTTGTTATATCAGATGTGAATGCCGCCTCTAGCTTCGTGTAAACAAGCTTTCTTTCGCTCCACAGCTCGATTGCCTCCCCGAGCCTGCCAAAATGAAGCTCCAAGCCGCCTTGCTCGCCGCCGTGACGGCCGGTGTTGTTGTTGGTCAGACTGACGACACCGGGCCTCCATCGGAGGTGCCCTTCTATGGTCTCAGCCCGCCGGTGTATCCTACTCGTGAGTTCCTGGCTCCTACCTCTGTCAACAGAATGCACGTAGCTTTAGGGAATGCTAACACTTGCTTGCAGCCGTCGGAGATGGAAAGACCAGCCCAAAGTGGTCATCTGCCTATAAGCGGGCCAGAGCTCTCGTGGCGCAGATGACGCTTGAGGAGAAGAGCAATATCACACGCGGGTTTCCTGGCGCCTGTGTGGGTAACACCGGAAGCGTGGCTCGCCTCGATATCCCAGCGCTCTGCTTTGCTGATGCCCCCGACGGAATTCGTGGCCAGGAATTCGTTTCTGCCTTCCCAGCAGGCATCCACGTTGCCGCCACATTCGACAAGGACCTGATGGAGAGATACGGTCGCGCCCTAGGAGAACAGTATTACGCCAAGGGCATCAACGTCGCCCTCGGGCCCGTGGCTGGACCGCTTGGGCGTATGGTTCGCGGCGGGCGAAATTGGGAGGGTCTGTCGAATGACCCATACCTCGCTGGTGTCGGAATGGGTGCCATCACCAAGGGGATACAGGATGCCGGCGTGATCGCCACGCCCAAGCATTGGCTGTTGAACGAGCAAGAACACCGCCGTCTGCGTGGAGATCAGGGTGTTTCCATCAGCGCCGATGTCGACGACAGGACGCTCCATGAGCTCTATGCGTTCCCTTTCATGGACTCCCTTCGCGAGGGAGCAGGCGCTCTGATGTGCGGATACAATCGTGCGAACCAGTCATACGTGTGCCAGAACTCCAAGTTGCTCAACGGCGTCCTCAAGACCGAGCTTGGCTTCGAGGGCTTCGTCGTGAGTGACTGGGGGGCCCACGAGTCTGGCGTAGGCAGTGCCAACGCAGGACTAGACGTCGTCATGCCCAACGGCGGATACTGGGGCAACAACCTCACCCAGGCTGTTAACAACGGCTCTGTCAGCACCGACCGACTCGACGACATGGTCACCCGCGTGCTGGCCAGCTTCTACTACCTGCGACAGGAGAACACATTTCCCAGCCCCGCGGTATATTCCAGCACACAAAAGCACTTTGCCGTCCAAGCCCAGGCGTTTGACCACACCGAGCTGATCCACGAGATTGGAGCTGCGGGAACCGTGCTGGTCAAGAACGTCAACGGCACACTGCCCTTTAAGAATCCCAAATTCCTCAACATCTTCGGATATGACGCTACCGTCAAGGCCCAGCCGTGGGAGAACCCATCCCGCTTCGGCGGAGGCTACGAAGTCAACTTCGGCTGGGAGACATTCAACGGCACGCTGATCAGCGGTGGTGGATCAGGCAGCAGCACACCCTCTTATGTCTTTGACCCTTTCATGGCTATCTCGGAGCGCATCCGTAAGGACCGCGGCACCCTTCGGTGGGACTTCTGGTCCGAGAATCCCTCCCCGGCATATGTGAATGCTGAGCACTGCCTGGTCTTCATCAATGCCTATGCTTCTGAGGCTTTTGACAGGACAACACTCAAGGATGAGTTCTCTGACAACCTCGTCAAGAATACCGCCGCGAACTGCAGCAGCACCATTGTTGTCCTTCACTCCGCAGGTGTTCGTGTTGTAGATGAGTGGATCGACCATCCGAATGTCACTGCCGTCATCTTTGCTGGTCTGCCCGGCCAAGAGACTGGCCGGTCGCTCGTTTCGGTACTCTACGGCGATGTCAACCCCAGCGGCCGCCTGCCGTACACAGTCGCCAAGAACGAGTCCGACTACGGTTATCTGCTGAACTCGACCGTGAGTGACGACTATTACCCCGCTACCAACTTCAGTGAGGGCTTGTTCATCGACTACCGCATGTTTGACAAGGAAGATATCGAGCCACAGTTCGAGTTCGGCTTTGGGCTGAGCTACACCACGTTCGAGTACAGCGGCCTGACCACCTCGCTCGTTGGCAAGGCTTCGAACGAGAGCTTTGCTGAGTACCCCAACCCGGACATCGCGATTGTCCAGGGTGGGCATCCGGAGCTTTGGGACACTATTGCTGTGGTCAGGGCCACCGTCGAGAACTCAGGCAATGTCGACGGCGCCGATATTGCACAGCTGTACATCAGCATCCCTGCCGAGGGAACGCCGACGAGGCAGCTCCGTGGCTTCAAGCGGGTCGGTCCCCTGGCACCGAGCGAGGGAAGGCGGGCTGTATTTGAGCTGACGAGGAGAGATCTGAGTGTCTGGGATGTAGAGAAGCAGCAGTGGAGGCTGGTGAGGGGAGAGTATGGTGTTCACGTTGGAAGGAGTTCCCGGGACCTGCCGCTGACGGGCTCGTTCACGATCGAGTAATATTTGTAATCCACTAATAAAATGAATCGGCTGTGGTTTCATGATGCTTCATGATCACAAAAAACGTGACGTGGTAGATCTGTCGTCTTCAGCGGAAATTGCTGGTCTGTAAATTCTGAGTTGTCTCGGTAGAATTGTACACGATTATGTCTAAGTATTACCTGAGAGACTGCATGCGCAATGGATGAGGTTGATCACTTAGCTTGTACTTGAACTCTTGGTCTGGGTCAAGTCAAGGTCTAATAAATGGACGGGGGCAATTATGCCGGACGCCACGGGACCTGAGACCCCATTTAGTGGTGCTCTTGGCATGAGGGACTCAAAGCCAGGCTCAAGCCGATTGGGACGCTTAGGATTAACCACGCGTACCCATGTGGATCATCGGAGAGCCGCTTCGGGACGACGCTCGCGATCCATGATAATATTCAGGAACGCGCAATATTTATGTGCCACCCCCTCTATAAAGTCCTGTCTCCCAAAGCCTGTTCATGGCATAGAGACACGCCACCGAATGACACATGTGCACTATACGGTCTCCGAGCATTAGGCAATAGGTACAAACATGCATGCATCCCGGGTTTTCTTTGGGGCTGTCTCGGCCACCCTCGGTGTAGTTGGCAGCCCAGTCAATGTCAACACGCGACAGACGAGCGACTACGTCGGATACCTCATTTCAACCTTCTCCGACGCCAGACCTCAGGTCCAACAGTACCTCTCCAACGGGAACAGCGCCTCGAGCTTTACTTTCCTAAATGACGGTCAGCCCATCCTCGCGTCAACAGTCGGCACAAAGGGTGTCCGAGATATCTTCCTCACGACGAATAACGACCGGTCCCAGTACTATCTCATCGCCACTGGTAGGTTCTTGACAATACATGGATAGCCTAGAGGGCTTTATTGGGTCTAAATAACATGCCCTTCAGACCTCGATATCAATGCGGATGGGTTCTCGTGGGACAAAGCCACCAGGACAGGAAGTCGGGGCATTGTTGTCTGGAGCTCTACAAACCTCGTAGACTGGTCTGAGCCCTCACTAAGGTCGTAAGTACTTAGGAAGGCAACACTGCCGCAGACACATATCACCAAGCACCTTTACACTTTTGACACTCGCTACGAAACAGCATCGACAGCGCAACAGCAGGCATGGTCTGGGCGCCCTCAGCTGTCTACAACTCCGAGGACAACCTCTTCTACGTCTTCTGGGCGGCGCGCCACTACGCCGAGTCCGACGCCGCCCACACAGGCACAGCGACGCTGGACAGGATCCGCTACGCGACGACAGCGGACTTCGAGACTTTCGGCGCGCCTCGGGACTACGTCGCGCTGCCGGACACGCCGCTGATCGACCAGGAGTTCCAGTACCTCGGCACACCGGGTGCTTATGCGCGGTTCCTCAAGAACGAGACGGTGAACCAGGTCTACCAGGAGACCACGACGGGCGGGCTCTTTGGCGAGTGGGAACGGATCCCGGGATATGTCAGCAGCCTGAGCCCGGCTGAGGGCCCCGCGGCTTATGCGGACAACTTGACGCCCGGGTTGTACCATCTGCTGCTGGACGACTATACCCAGTACAGGCCGTTTGAGACGGCCGATATCGAGGGAGGCTCGTGGTCTAGCTCCAGCACGAGTGGCTTCCCCACCGGTGTGAAGCACGGGTCTGTAACGCCAGTTACTAAGGAAGAGTACGATGCTATTTCGGCTAAATACCTGTAGTAGCGTATCTGCCCTGTCGTCAGCACATAATGACGAGGCCTCGCTTTCTCGCTCTCTGAACAGCCTTCTATGTGGTCTAGCTTCAGTAGGCACCTCGTTCATATGGCCGGCTTTCATGCGCGATATCTCTCAAGTATTTCCATGCGAAGCTACTGTCTCTATTTACATAGGCGTTCCGTATATACTCAATAGTAGTGCACTCATATCAGCTGTGACCATGATGGACAGCTAGCATTCCGAGAGCGTTAACGGGTGACCAAAATACGTCAGATGAGCCTCGTTGATCCCAGACCCATTCCTCCCCTCACCACACTGCCTCTGCGTCTGGAAATCGCTGGTACTCGTGCATACGAACGTGTTATTGGCACCTACGGGGTCTCGTTGCCAGTACGAGTTGCGGGTCGAGGACTGATATCCGTCACTCACGCCCGGGAAGTTGGGGACGCCGTCGTCTTCATCTGGATGCATGATAACATGATGGGGTCAAAAGAATATCCAAGCCTGTGCAGACCGGCCTCTTCTCGGAAACCATGGGGCAATGCTGTTCTGCTTACGAGTAGACCGGAAGTACCTTGTGGTACAAGGGCTTGCCGCGAGGAAGTTGGTCTCCACCGCCTGGACGTAGAGAGCGTCACCCGTTCGGGGCTCCCCAAAGGTGTACACAGTCAGGTTTGGGAAAAGTGGTTGGAACTGCGTGGCAGCGAGCGAGGCCATAGATCCACCGAGACTGAGTGAGTATGTTAGTGGTGTGAGCATGTGAATCAACCTCCTCAGAAAAACAACCTTCCAGGATTTAAATCAAGTTCAGGTTGAGCAATTCTGTGAAAGAATAAAATCAACACGCACCTATGCCCAGTAATAACAACCCCATATCCAGGAAACTCCCCCAGCACCCCATTCACCAGCCCCAGGACCTGTTCCCTCGCCGCCGTCCAAGCAAGGTAGAACCCGCCGTGCACCAGGCACCCGGCACAGTTCCCCTCCGCGCTCTCGAACGGCGCCAGCGTGATATTGAGGTCGACCTGGAAGTTCCTGTCGGATGCGGTGCCGCGGAACACGACCACCGCCTCGCGCGCGGCGTCGTCCCGCAGGACCTGGCCCTGGATGTCGTACGTGGTCTCGTTGATGAAGCCCGCGCGGGAGAAGCCCGCCGGCGGACCGCAGAGCGCCCCCGTGTAGACGCCCATGGAGAGGGAGGCCATGCGGTCGAGGCGGGCGAAGAGTTCTGGCGAGATCCCCTGTGTTATGTCGCTGAGGTCCGGGGTGGCCGCCAGGGCGGCGGCGAGCATGGACCTTGTGGCCTTCATCGTGGCTGGAAGCTAGGATCGCGGTCGTAGACTTGTCTTGAAGGGATGCTCGACAACTACGTGGGAGGAACTGGACTGTTTATAATTGATTTTACATTATTGTATCTTCGAGCTGTAGGAAGTCTGGGGAGTGTCATATGCCTAGCAGAGTGTCATGCGTCATCTCTGCCCTGGCCCCCGCCTGCATCTGTAATATGTTTTATTATCGTCACAAGGGTTTCCGTATTGGTCGCTTTCCTACCCAGACCCAGTTCCTCTCGACCAGCCTATGTGCTGATCATGTCATTTTTTTTTTTCGGAATCCCTGACAATAGGCCGTAGTTTCCTCTTGCTTCGGCGAATATACCACCAATGACATGTTTCGAGCCTGTCCGGGCAAGCATGCAACCCTTGGGAACCCGGCGGGAAGGAGGTTGGAGTCAATTAGCACGTGGAGAATGCCTCGAAACATTTTTTTTGGCCGAGGCTCGATCGTCATCATTGGGGCTAAGCGTCTGGGTGAAAACCATAAAATGGGGTGACATATATGTCAGGCCCATGAACAAAGCTGGTGTGTAGATGCAGGGCATGCCATTCTGGACCGTTCGTGGAGGTGGAAAATGCCAAGCTCCAATCGCATCCCTTGACGGTCACAGGAGGGTGTCAACCACGACGACGAAGACATACAGGGCTCCTAGTTGAAGCCAGACTCGTCTAAATTCTGATCTATATGCTCGTAAAAAAAGGATGTCACAAGCGTACTATTGAAAGCAAGTAGCCCGCCGCTCGCTATGCAGATAATCTCTTCCCAGGTTCCCAGTTATTATGGCCGCCGACTCCCAGTTGCGGCCGGCCGAATGGACTAGCAAAAACATGATGGACGGTAATAATGAATAATAATGATGCCATGCTTCAGGCCCGAATCAAAATCCCCACGCCAAGAAAGACTTTTGGCCTGCTTCGACATCAACCTTGGAGGATGACTAACCCAGCAGTGCCTTGCGCCACTCGATCTCACTGGATTGACCGAGGGAAGCGCAATTGTTGTGCTCGAGGCTGGCTGGCTGATGGTGATGAGCGCTCGAACTTGAGATATTCTGTCGGTGACACGTGTGTGGCCGCTTCGAACTCCGATGGCGCATACTTCCGACCGAATCCTGCGAGCACCATGACGGTTTCGGCCTTGATCCGTCCCCGATTCATCCCTAGATGTATCCGCAATCCTCCTGGACTGCAGCGACCGCCTTGCCCTCCTCCATTGCTACCCTGTTGGCAGATTTGCTTTCGAGCATGTCGATCCCCTCGATGCCGGCACCGAAATCCATGACCAAGATCTTGGGATCTTGTCCGGTAGACACGATCCTGCGGTAGTCGGATTTGGCGCTCAACACCCAACTGGCATGCCATCTAGGGAAGTCCAGTAACTGGCGGCCCGTCTCCATGTCGAACACCTTGATGTCGGTGTCATACGAGCCCGAGATCAGCCGTCCCGAGACACTGTCTATGTGCAGGGACCGCACCAAGCTCTCATGCGCCTTCATTTCTCGGAGGCATTCGCCCGTGTTGGCGTCCCAGATACGAATCACCTTGTCGTTACCAGCACTGGCGACGTACCTTCCATCCTCGCTGAACTGGCTGCACGCCAACCCCTTGGTGTGACCCTGGAACTCGCGGATCTGCTTGCCGGTGTCAATGTTCCACAGCTTGACCCGGAAGTCCCCACTACAGGAAACAACCGTGTTACCGCGCATCTGCACCGCATTGACCGGCCCGCTATGGCCTCTGAGTTGTTTCAGGAGCTGACCTGTCTCGCGGTCCCAGACGCAGATGCTGATGTCCTTTGAGCAGGTCACGATGTGCTTGTCGTCGAAGCAGGAATCAAGGACGGCAGCGGTGTGGTGACGAAGGCGCCGCACAGGACGGTAGCCACCCTTGACATCGTACACGATGCACGAGGCGTCCGAGCTTCCCGTGACGAGGATATTGTCATCGTACTGGAGGCAAAGAATGGACGCCTTGTGGTGGGTCTGGAAAGAGACGGTTGTCGGCACCGAGGTCGTGCGGTTCTGGTCGGCTTGGGCTCCCGTATGCGGCTCGTGGCTTGCCGAGTGGGTTGGGTTGCCATCCTCATCGTAGAGCAAGGCGTTATCCTTCACAACCTCGGGCGGGCCAATGACCAACTTGCACGCCAGCGTATGCATGTCCCATATGCGGATGGTCTTGTCGCGCGAGCCGGTAATAATCTTTTGCCTGTGCGGAAAAGAATGGTCAGTATGTGATACAGTAATAACCCCATACACTGTCGCCAGGGGGGGAGGGGAGGACAAGCCATACTCGTCGAACTGTAAACAGTAGATGCTGTCTGAGTGCCCGTTGAGGTAGATGGACGTGGCATGACCGCGCTTCCACCTCTGGCCCAGCTCTTCGGTGACCCTGTAAGCATCTTTCCAGTTGATGCTGGGCTTGACAGCGGGCACGCCTAGTCCTGTGCCTGGCTGGATGGGGTTGCTCGTCGCATATGTGCCAGTCTTCTCACGCAAGTAAGACTCCCTCCAGATGTGTTGAGAAGAGACCATGTCGCGCCACGAGCGAGAAACCAGGCTCGACCTCGCCAGATCCGCTGCATCGAGGTGGGCGAGCACCTGGATCGCCAATTCCGCCGGCAGCCTGTCGATGAAGTCGATTCTGCTGATCTCTGGGGCGCAGGGATACAGGACCTGACCACCTTCTGACTGCACCAGGTCCAGGTCCTGGGGATCACCGGCGTCGGAGTCGGAGCTGGTGACAGCGATGCCGATGCCACTCTCGCGGTCGGTCTGGGTCGAGTCCAGGGTCAATCTTTTGTTTTTCAGGACGGGCATGTCGGCTCGCCCCTGCGGATGCACGGTGGGAAATATGTCGTGCTGCCAGGCGGCGGCGGCGGCCCGCGCACCGGAACCGCCATTCCGCGGTATGACAGGCGGCTCACCACCGAGGCCGGGCCTTGGGACCGAGTAGGGGATGTCATCTTGTGGTTGGTAGGGGACCTCGTGGGGGTTCATTGCGAAGTCGCCGTACAGGATACGGGAGTGTCGGAAACTGGTAGCCTGTCGCAGGCGGTGCCACGTCGCATTGATGCCGTGGCTTGTCGTCGGCCGAGACTGCTGTGTACTGGGGGAGGTTGGGGTGGTTTGGATGTGGTGATGTGAGTAGGAGGGGGAGTGGCCCGGACGCTGGTGGCGGTTCGGTTCGCGTGGCTCTTCAAACGTGTCTGTAGCGATCGATGTTCGGCGGTGGACGAGACCTCTGATGGAGACGGAGGCGCGTCTGAAGATGCCACTGATCCTGCCCTTGCCCTTTCCCCTGGCGGCACCGGCGAGGTCTGAGCATGTAGTGTCGTCGTCGACGAAGCCGGTGGCCGGGCCAGTAGCGGGGCCTGTTGTGGAGGCCGAGCTAGAGGGCGTGGCGGCGGCCAGTTGGGAGGCCGCGGCCGTGTGGGAGCGCTCAAGGGAGTAGTCGCGGAACTTGGCCTCGAGGGCGTCGGGCGCGATGATGGTTGACTTTGGGCGCCAGGGCAACGACATGCTTCGACGCTGTTTGGTGGTCTGGCTGCGTCGAGGCAAGGGCGCGCAGTACGAGGAGGAGGACGAGGCAGAGGCAGAGGGGTCGGGCGTGCAGGAGGACTGGCGTGGTTTGAGCGGGAAAGGGAGGGTGTCGATGGACGAGTCGTTGTCGGTTTCGGAGTACAAAGCCTCGTGGGCGGGCGCCCAGTCGGAGATTGGAAAGATGCGGCGGGCGGAGGAAGAGGCCATGCCTGCTCGTGAGTCGGGGGTCGGGAGTGGGATCGAAGGGAGCAAGCAGAGCAGTGGCCCGGGGTTGGCGTGTGCGAGCGAGCACGAAGCTGCTGGCGAGTGTTCGGGTGTTGAAAGTCGAGGCTGTGGAGGAAAGGGCGGAGGGCGGCGGTCTGGGTCCCTTCCCTTCCTCTTTCAATCTTGTCTCCGGTCCTCAGCCTCCTTCCCCGTCTTTCCTTGGCCCGGGTCCCGTAATTGCCAACACACGGGCAGTCGCACCTGCACTGGCTGACGTTGTTGTCAGATCCAGTCGCTGATGCAAAAGCAATCAATGGCTGACAGGCACGAGACACAGACAGAAGGGTAGGGCCAGGGCAGGGCAGGGCAGGGCAGGGCAGGGCAGGGCAGAGACAGGATGAGGCGCAGTAGGGCCCGGCACAGCACGACAAGACGAGACAACACAAGACACAAGACTAATAAACGACGAGGACAACAACAACAACAGGGCGGCGAGAGACGAAGCGAGGCGGCCAGATGGGGGCACGGACAGATTGGGCGGACGGCTAGACGACGGCTAGGCTATCTAGGTTACGTGCGAGCGAGCCACCGGAAGCAGCGTGTGTGGATCGTGGATGACGGATCGCGGGTGTGGGCGTTGGCCGGGGGCAACGAGGGTGAGATTAATGCAATGGTGGTATTGGTATTGGTGGTCGTCGTGTTGATGGTGACCAAGAGGACAGACACGACACGGCGGTGTCAGGGACAGAGGCGACAAAAGAAATAGGACCAGGAAGGGAGGACCATCGGACGGTGACCAGAGTGTGACCTGATAACAATGCGATGCGATGTCTTGCGCTGCTTTGCGCTGCTTTGCGCTCGCTGGTTGGGACTGGACAGACTGAATCGAGAGAAAAATCAATCCAAAAATGCCTGCAGCCTGCAGCCTGCAGCCTGAGACGAGACAGACAGCCGGTAGCAAAAACACGTACACCCGTTGTTGACCCTTGGAAAAACATGCCAAAAAAGACAGACGCATGCAGGCACTTGGGCCCCAGATCCCGTCTCTCAAGCGACAGCCTGCCCTGCACTGACCGCCCCTCGTCAAGGGGTACTCCGAACAGGGGCAAGGGGGAGGGGGTTGGGCCCAGGGGGCGGTGGGCAGGGGCTGGGGCTGGCAGGCACTGACTCTGGCTGTCTGGGCAGCTGCTGGGCTGTCTGGCTTCTCAATCACATGTGGCCGCCACTGCGCACTGAGCACTAGCCTGACAGACTGACTGACTGATTGGGTCTGAGGGGCCTGGGGGCTGAGGGGGGGTAGGGGGGGCCGCCCTGGCTCGGAAAGGGCACGACAAGGCGACAGACAGACAGACAACAAGACGCTAGCAGGCAATCGCAGGGTCCTGCCGCTAGCAATGCCCGACCCGACCCAGATCCAGTGCCCCATTTTCTACCGACTACGGTGTAGCCCGACACGGCCCTGACGGCCTGGTCTGCACTATCGATCTGCCCGTTCCAATCATCAGACAACGGGACCTGAAGATAGCATCTCGGCAGGCAGGCTAACCGACGGCTCGGACACTTCAGAGGCCACTTCGAAAAAAAGAGAAGAAAAAAAAACCATCATGAATGGATTGAGCACGTTGCAGAGTCGGCAGAGTCATGTCATTGCGGGTATCAGAATGATTGTCCTCTCGCCCCAATCGGATCCGGGGTAAGGAGATGGGGGCGAATGAAACAAATCCAAAATCCAAAGAGCAGACTGCCGGTGCGGCACAATTACACAGATGGCTTGAGATGGTCTGCAAGCTACTTAATAATACAAGAGAACACAACACGGATTCTTGTCCTCAGAAACATTGAAACGGCCGGCAGACAAGGGCGAGGGCGTTGGAGATGGCGGTGTCCTGAGGACCGACCATCCATGTGCCCCGACTCGTGAATCTCAACCGCTTCCCAAGTACCTAGTCATTCATGCTGGTGCCGAGGCCTGCGCAACGTGGTGGCCATCGATCCCGCTGCACAAGCATGTCATCACCTGCGGCCGAGTTGGTCACTCACTCTGAGTCTATCCTCAGGTTGTTAGCAGAAATACTCGGTGCTATTTGGCTGCGACTATCAGCCTCGATTGTTTAGTGCCCAGTCTTGGCTTCTATGCAGAGGCCACAAAGTCCACGGGAGGTTTCGTTTCTAATCCCCATACATATAAAACGTAGATGGCGCCTTCATACGGTGGTAAACGCTCAAGACAGCACATCACGAAGCACGAGCGATCGCCATGGACGACCCCTACCCACCATCCCCCGGCGGGTGACCGATTCCTTGATGAGTCCTCGCCGGACGAGGCACAGGATCTCTGGTGTAAGCTGGAGCCCGGGCACCTACCCGAGAGGGCGATTTCCTATCCAGTCACGATAGGGACGCCTCCACCATCTGCAGACCCACAGAAATCTTCTGTTTCGATGCTTCATGACTGGGTGACCCACCCGTAGCATGTGAAGGCAACAACTTGGCGGGGCTTCTGGCCAGGACAACAAATTCATGGAGAGGTTCTGTTTACACTTGGTCCTCGGACGGTGAACAACAATTGAGGGAGTGGCGGCAGAAATACTGTGGTTCGCGAGAACCATTCGAGACCGCACTGAAGACTCGGGAAGCCCCTGCCGCGGTCGTGGATGCTTGCCAAGGGCAATCTCGTGAGGTCAGGCAATAGTTCCATGGTTCGATGGCTATCAGTCACCGTAATAGCTGTCCGTATGAAAAATATTTATTTGGTAATTCCATGGCCATAACAAAACTTGTGTGGACTGTTGTTGTCACACTTTGACTCACTGACGCAGTCACAAAGCAGTCATCTCAATGTCCAGATGTCCTTGGCTTGAAATTCCGAAGCAAATGACTGGAAGTAAACATTTGAACAGAATCATATTCAGGAGAACTAGAGAAGAATCATGGCCGGTTGTGTAAATGTCTAGTTTTGTTTCCAGTATGCACTTCAAGCAGCTGTAGCTTACAGCAAGCAAATGGTCTTGATTGCTTCATTCTATACTGCCCTTCCACAATATTCTCTCGGGACTGTGGAATACCGGTATTGGCCGTTGGAAGCTTCAATGCAAGCTGGAGCCCGGATTCCAAACTTCTGTATTCTAAATAAAGCCGGAGACCGGAATAGTCGGCCGTTACAATCCTAACTAGGTGATGCTGGAGGACTGCCTGCCTACATGAGGAGGACTATGCTTCTGCCAATGACTATTTCAATGCAACTAGTCATCAGCTTTACATGCCTTTTACTACTAAATTTTCCCAGGCAGGACAGTAACATGATGCTCAAGCTTGATACTTGGGTACACTAGCACCCATGAGGATTCAAATGCCTGTTTGTGATGGGCACTTTGGGAACCATCAAATGTGCTAGTCTACACCAGAGGTAGGAAATCTCTAGAACTGTGCCTGGGCTGTCCCGTTGGCACAATTCTCTTGTGAACATCTATTATATTACCACCAGTGCGGCCCAATATGGAGACCGGGGAGGCACTGGGTACTGATGCTAATGCCCAGAATCCCTTGTCCATGCTATGAATGATGCAACCGTTCCGGATGTCCAGTCAGTCACTGAACCCTTTCTACATCGATTGAGCACCGAGTGACATGTGCATTGAATTGAAAACAGCCATCACAGGAGTGAATGTCAGTCCAGCAGTTGGCAACCCTGCCCCAGGTCCGACCTCTCTTCCTACCTCCCTCTCAATCAATTGTCGTTGACGTTTGTCTGACTTTTCACAAACACCCCACCCTACCTCTGTGCTGCCATATCGAAGCATCGCCTAAGCACAAGACAACAACCTCTTTCTTGATTTCGGACTCCTGAAGTCAATCGTTTATATACTTGATTGACCTCAAGTCGCGAAACGGACTCCAGCAAGATGGACGGTAAGGGGGGATCAGGCCAGGAGCATGGCCGCCGACGAGGTAAACACCCCCCCCCCCTCGGATTGCAATGAGTTGACGCTCAACGACAACGAGTTCTAGATGAGGGCGCCGAGCAGCAGCAACAGCAGCAGCAAGACCCGCCGCCGACGGCCCAGCAGCAGCAGCCCTACATGTCGCTGCAATTCGACCCATTCGCCCATGGCCTTGATGGCCGGCCACAGCAAGGAATGCATGAAACACTTGCTCCAGCTGGCCCAAACTATGACTGTAAGAAAAGAACCAAGACCTAGTTAGGCTTCTGTGAAGCTGTGAAGGACTCCATATACTGACGAACACTTAGACAATACCCACCAAGAACAGCTCTTTGCCACTCCTCCTAATCACGACCCCTCCTACCCACCGCACGCATACGACTTCATGAACAGTGGCGCCCAAGCTCCGTACCCAGCGACCCTCCCAGCGCCAGCAGGAAATCAGGACGCCGGCCAAGGAGCTGGTGACTTCTACCACCAAGCACAGGCCCCTCTCGCCCTCGTCCTCGCCCAGGCCCAGGCTCTCGCCCAAGCTCAAGCCCAAACCCAAGCCCTTGGCCAAGCCCTCGCTCAAGCCCAAGCCCAGGCCCAGGCTAACCGCGAATCAGACGGCGTGGCACCGCGCAGCGCGGCGCCACGAAACGAGGCTCCCAACGCTCGAGCAAGGGCTCAACAGGCTGGTGGCGAGCAGCCTGCTCATAGAAAGCGTCCTGGTCCGAAACCTCAGCAGCGAGCCTCCAAGAAGCGCGCTGACAGAAGACCCGTTGCCAAGGCAACTTCAAAGCAGCCTTCCATGCGGCAGCCTCGCCCAGGACAGCCTTCCTCAGGACAGCCTTCCTCAGGACAGGCTGCCGCCGCAGGCGCCAGCGAGCAGCAGGGGACCATCACAGAGCGCCTTGACAGGGGCCTGATCACGGACGTCGCGGGTCTGACAAGAGCGGAGCAGAATGAGGTCCTGCTCTGGGCGCGCCACCAAGAAATGCAGTGGAAGGACATCCGCAAGAACTTCAAGTTTCCGCAAGCATTGAGCACCCTGCGAGGGCGCCACCGCAGCTTGGTGCAAAATGGCAAGCCTCCGAAGACCGCTGTCATGACCGATCTCGATGTAAGCTGCCAGTCTTTTATCCTCTTTTCCCACAACACCGTCCGAGATTCGCAAACTAAATTGTTGACAGTACAATCTTCTCGACGAGGCGGTTCATCACATAGCAGGAGGCCGCGTCGACGACGTCGAAAACTCTGATGTCCCGGCACTGTGGCTGAAGGTGAAGAAATACATCACCGAGCATGGAGGCCAAACGACAGCAGGAGCTTCGAGGCTCAAGTTCGAATACATTGAGCGTAATCAAGGCTGGGAAGCAGCCAGGGCTTGGAAGGAGGCGCCGAAGAACAACAGGGACAAGGCGGAGGCTAAGGCGTCTAAGAATGGCCGCGCACAAGGCTCTCGGACCCAGCACGAGGCTGCTGTTGAGCCCAGCAACGCCCAAGCCCTAAACTACTCGTACCTACCCCGGTGGAATCACGCCGAGTACGCTCAGTACCACGTGGAGGGGGAGGAGGAGGCGGACTTTGGTGACGATGTCGACGAGGAGCAAGAGGGTGAATGCGAGGATAACGATCTTGAGTGGGACAGCAAGGAGTACGACGGTAACATCAAGCAGGAGGAGGATGACACGTAATTCAGCCGGGAGGAGGCGGACACCGCTGGGGATGGACGAAGAGGGACGGTGACGGGGACCTGGCTATGTGACCTTTATGTGACTGATAGCTGGACTTGCCGCAGTTCGTCCATCCAGTCTGGCCCGACTTCGCCCCAGCGCTCCGTAAGTAATTACTTGACTATGCTTAGACTCCTCGGCTCTAGCTAGCGATTCCCTCGATTCGAGAATCCCAAGATAGTTCCGGAATTGTCCCACCTGGGAATCGAACACAGATCATCTCAAGAGGAAGAAATCCAGGCCAAGATGATGGCACTTCATGGCATGCTAGACGAGAAGGTCTGACGCTGGTAGATAAGCATTGCTGTTAATCGTGCAACTTGATACCGCATGCTGCTACTTGTAATAGGCACATAGTCTTTATATTGTGACGAATGAGCTGACCAGGTTCTTTCTAGAAACAGCGGTGGATGGTATTCAATGTATAATCTGATCCCTCGGAATAATAATAGCAAATACTCAAAGCCAGCATGGAAAGGGCAGGAGGGTGTCACTGACGTCTTGACCAATACCACACACTCAGTGTCGGTCTTGGTAAATCCCATCCATGAATTATTACAGGATTTTCCATGGCCATGTCACGGGGCCTTATCTACCTAGGTACCTAGGTACGCCACAGCCGAAGGACTTTCTGGTCTCATGGTAGACAGACACCTGGGTAATCAATCAGATGCCCAAGTGAGAATATGTCACAGCAACTGTCTTTCCATTGTTCATTGCTGAATTACTAATATAGGCTCATCGATCTGATCCTTTTCACCTACTTAGAATATTAAAGACCTCTTTGTCTGTGGTTTGTGAGAATGGCGACTCAATGGATCCATCCATGAGCACGTCCGAATATGAGTCCAAACATTGAAACCACCTTGCAATCTGAACACCGTCATCTGTGCATCCACACAGACAATGGTTGCGTCGGATAGGTTGATTCACTGGCCCATTGTTTGGGCAAGCAGCCCCCACAGCACCATCGTCTGCTGCATCACCTGGAATATTTAAACCCTGCCCTCCCCAACCTGTGTCCAAGTTCGAACCACCCCCTCCGCATCCAACAACCTCCTTTTCTTTTCTTTTGTTGGACACCCTTCTCCCTTCTCTCATCTACAACAGAGTTCAAACATATCCCCCATATTTTTGCCAATCCTTATTTGTCTGTTTGTTAAACACAGGGCCAAAACAGTGGTCTTGACTGCCTCGCCCGGCATCTCTTTTGGCACTCTGTTATCCACCACAGGGTCGGAATTCGTCCACTGCTGAGGGTACAGTTTTCGAACGATTAAGAATATAAACGGCAATCCTGCCCCAAGTATACGATTACCATCAATGACTTCATCCCACTCGCAGTTTGTGGCAGAATACGAGAAGCCCACTGCGGGCTCATCTCGGTCGCCCAGTTCTTCCCCAGGAGTCGACTTTCCTGGAGAAAGGGTCGGGTCAACACGAACCAAGACAGGCTTGAGACTCTGAGGTGGGGGGGATGGTGATCTTGAGTGAAATGACTTCAGGACGAGGAATACGCTCAGTACAACATTGAGTGGGAGGATGACGCTGAATTAATTGCAGCTAGGAGGATTTCTCCGTTGGCTCCAGAGGGAGCCAACCCAAAAAGGTCAGCAAACAATAATCTGCCGCCCTGAGATGATCCATCATGCTCAATACTAACATTATTCATGTAGTCCAAATGCCTGCTCAGCCAAAGCTGGCGACACCGACTCGGCCAGCACAAAGAAAAAGAAAAAGAAAACACTGCCCTGCCCCCATGGATGTCGGTCTCAAGAAAGCGTTGTTGTGTCGACCTCCATTCAGCCATGGCAACAGACTCAATGACGTTCTTCGAATAGAGGTTCGAAACAGAATGGCCTGTTGCGACTCTGTTTCCCATAGCCGTTGGCCAACCATGGCGCATGGATCAGACGGATCCCCTGCGCGTCACTGGCAAGCATCACTGGCAAGCATCACTAGCAAGCCATTGACTGGTGAGAGGTGTCTGGCACTACCAAAAAAATCGTCCGCACCTTGAACAATGGGCGGTCATCTGGTGAATGGCAACCAGCATGACTGGAGCAACATAAAATGCCACCAGGTCTCCGCCGACAACTTGCCTCTGGACTCTTCGGAAACACAAGCAGACCTCGACCTGCCACAACAATAGGCCAGCTGCATCAGACTTTGCTGGGACAACTTGCCACATCCTCAAGGTATGATTGATTAGATTCCTTGTCTTGATCCTCTTCCATTGTCATCGATTCCTCTGCGCTCAAGCAGTATCCATTGCCTGCTCTACTGGGCCTTCTCCGATGTTGACTTTGCCCCCAGGCGACAACACTGTCGCTTGACTACTCCTTTGCCATCGAGCAATCAGATCAACACATAACCAGATCGATTTCCACTAACAACCACATCAACCCCGCAGGCCACATCTCCCTGACCAACCAACCTGGACCCAAGAGCAGCCAAGCCATCACCTATCAAGATGGTTCCTACGATCGCTGAGCGCGCCGCCAACGGTGAGGTCCTGTACGCACCTCACCTGAACCGTGAGGAGCGGAAGGAGCTGCTCGCGTGGGCTAGGGCCCAGGGAATGGAGTACAAGGAGATCAAGACCAAGTACGGCTTCGAGGAGAGCGACAACACCCTGCGGGGTTGGCAAATGTCGCTCAATCGCGGCCGCATGCCCAGGGTCGCTATCTTCACGGACGAGGATGTAAGCTTATTGAAACCAAACCTCAATCTATTCCCACAACTAGAACTCGACCTTGCCCGCATAGTCAGAGAAGCTGACAGAGAATTGTGCACTATAGGACCGTCTACTCCTTCTCGCCGTCGAGGAGCACTCGACGCAGAGGAGGAGCTTGAACGGCATCTGGACGCAGGTGGGGGACTACATCCGAGACAACGGCGGCACCACCACAGCAGGCCCGAGGAAGCTGAAGGAGCGCTGGTACCTGCTCACTGGCCAGGAAATCCCAGCCCATCCTTCGTCTCACGGCTCCCGGGGAAACACCGGTCGTGGTGGAGCCACTCGCACCGAACTCACTGCCCCGGCTCACTCGACCCAGACCGACAACAGGCAGAACCAGGCGACTCCTTCTGTCATGCCTGCACCCAACATGGACTGGGGATTCTACCCAGATCTTACCTGGGTCGAGCTGGTTGACGTCCTGGGCATCGAGGACGCAAGGGAGTACGTGCGAGACCGCCTGGACGAGGTGGGCGATGTCCGTGACGATTGGCTGGTTGCGCTGCTGGGCCGCGAGGGTGCGGAGCAGTACAAACGAGACATCCAGGGCGGCGAAGACCACGGCGGCGACGAGGAGGAGCAGGAGGAGGAGGAAGAGAACTGGTAGCTCACACCTCTCGACCACGCAAGGGATAGGTTGCTTTTTCGGACCCACACAAGGATAGGCGGAGGTGATCAATACTTGAGAGCGTAAAGACGCTCTACTAGATTATTATACTAGACTCTCGACAGGTAGTGGTCACTGCTGAAGTCTACTATGAGGAATCAAAACAAGCACAACCCGTCCAAACCCATCGTGCTCTCTGTAGTAGACCGACCTATCGTGACCCACAACTAATCTTGGCCAAAACATCTCTTACTTGACCCGGGTCGGCCCGCAAAGCATCCCATTCGGCCTCGCTCTTGACCAGTGCGGTGCCTGCCAACACGGTGCCATTCAGCGCAAGGCGTCCCACCTCCTTCCCGTCCCGAGAGCGGACTGAATCCCCCTCGGCCACGCGGGGGCAGACCACCATGGACGTCCTCGTCATCGCGAGGTTGTAGCTGATCCTGGCGGGCACGTCGTCGCCCGCCAGCTCCCCCAGCTCGCCGTCGTCCAAGCCCGCCGCGGCGCACGCCTTGCGGTACAGCCTCACGTACGCCGCCCGCAGGGCCTCGGGCTCGGCGTCCTCGGCCACCCGCTCAGCAAAGGTAGTGAGCGGCAACCCTGCACATTCCTCGTCGCCCGGGGTGGTGAGCCGGTCAGCCAGCACCGACCAGCCCTCCCCGCCGGCCTGGTCCAGCCCCTCGCGCATCCTGTCGACGGGCAGCAGCTGCAGGTGCCGGTGCGGCTGGCTGGCGCCGCTGTGCTCGCCCGAGTTGAAGAAGACGAAGAGCTCCTGGCCGTCGTGGCCGTGGCCGTGGCCGTGGTACGCCCGCACGCACGCGTGCGCCGCGGCCAGGTCGTCCGCAGCCAGGAGGTGTGCCTGCTGCTTGAAGTCGCGGGTGACGAGGAGGAAGTGCTCCGGCACGACGGCGAACTTGTTGAGCACGAGGCGGTGGCCCGGCTGGAGCTCTGAGATGAGCGCTGTGGGGGGCGGGTTCTCAAACGGGTTAAAGGGCTTTGCTGCCGTCTTGCCTGGCCCGTCGCTGGCTGGCGGTGGGCCCTTGGGCTTGTTGGCTAGAGACGGCGAGAAGCGGAGCTGGAACTGCTTGGGGCGTCAGTAAGATCACATAGCCCTTGGGGACATCCAGACGTACTGGGGTTGATCCAATTTTGAGGACCGCCACCTGTGTTGGGTAGAAGTTGACATCGCCGTTGGCTTTGGCAGTGTTGAATTTGGCCCTCACCAGCTCCGGGAGATTGGCGGGAACCTTGACTGCTGACATCCTGGCACGTAGCATCCGTTAGGTTTCTTGTGGCCGCAGCTTCAGCATCCAACAAGCGCATCATCACGATGCAGGCGAGGACGAAGTTGGGCGGTTGTGGCGTATGACGTAATCAGGGGCAGTCAGGAGCTTGGGGCCTGGGGCCTGGGGCGTGGAGCAGCGAATCAATTGCAGTGGACGGGCATGGCATTCGGAGGGAAGAGTGCAGCATGCATTGAGCGGTATTGTCTGATATTATTGGCACTCGGGTATCTTCCGCATGCCTATCTTTTTTTTTGCCAGTATTTTCTATCCATAAAATAAGGGAACGGATATTCCCACCCCATCTATATGCCAGGCAGGCCAACTATCGCTCTGAGCGGCGGCGCGACCCTGGGTAGGATGTAGATTATGTATAGGCCCGCAGAGGCGACCAGAAGACCAGTAAGCTGCCATGTCGATTAGCACGGATACCGCAAGGGGGAACAGGAAGAGGCCATACCTTCTCGATCCACGTGTGGAAGAAAATGGCCGTCATGAGGATCATCCACAGGCTCAGCACAAAAACGGCACCCGCGACCTTGCCTCCCAGAGCGAGCGCATCCCAGGGGCCGCGCGGACGAGGCCTCTGCTCGCCGTCCGAGTGGTCGCGCTCGCGCTCGCCCTCGACAGAGGCGCTCTTGACGGCCCCGTCGTGCATGATGATGCTCCTCTCGTCCCTCAGCCCAAGCACGCCGCCGGCCGACCCCCGCCGCCAGTGGTTCAGATAGACCCAGCCGACCTCCTGCAGCAGGAAGTAGCTCCCGAGGACCAGCAGGAACACGTGGCCGCTGATGTCGTGGCCGCCGCGCCAGTTGCCGCCGGCGGCCCTGCACGCGACGGCGGTGAAGATGTCCCTCCCGCTGGCACCTGCGCCGTCCTCCTCCAGCTTCGCCTCGGCGAGGTCGCACTTGCCGCCGGTGAAGAGGAACGAGCGGTCGATGAGCGCGGGGCCGAAGCACCACTGCGTGACGAGCACCCACCACGTGGTGACCAGGCCCCAGCGCACAAAGGCGCGGGTCTTTTGCTGGCCGCTGCGGACGGCCGGGTGCGTGAGGACAAAGACGAAGAAGGCGAGCGACACCCAGGCCCAGCCGCGCTTGACGAAGTAGACGTTGAACACGTTGGACTTGCGGGCAAAGTACGACGGCGACAGCAGCGGGTCCTGGCTGTGGGCCTGCAGGGCGGGGAAGTACGGCGCGTTGCGGACCTGCGGCGAGAGGAGCGAGAAGAGCGTGCCGAAGGTCAGGATGATGGGGTAGACGAGCAGCGCGGCGGCCTCGAGCGGCGTGGGCAGGAAGGGCGGGTTGCGCGCCATGGCTCTGGCTCGGACGGGCGGCGAGCTGCTGTCGAGGGATGCAGGCCGGTCGCCTCGGCCCGGGCCTGACGACGAGGCCTCGCTCGTGCGGTGTCGTGTTGTGGCTTGGTCCTGTAAGCCTACCATGGCAATTGGTCGGCTGGAGGAGGTTGTGAGGGCGAACGAAGGGGGCGAGGGAGATCGGCAGACGCCCAAGGCCGCGGGAGGTTCGAGGTCGCGATGCGAGCTCGGGCGGGAGTCGTCGCTCGGGAGTGTGGGAGGCAGCAAGCGTTGCGTCGTACTCCGTTCTGCCAATGGCCACCGGGCTCGCTCGATGGCTGCTTGGAAATACGGAGTAGAGGCCGGCGAGGGTGGGCGCGAGTGGGCGTGCAACATTTATTAGCACACGTCTCTAAAGTGACAGCCGCCGCCTCTGTTGCCAGTTCTTTTGCGAGCTATGACGTTGTCATAATGCCAAGCAGGTGCGGCCGCCACCGAGCTTGCTGGCTTCCAGGACCCGGTGGGGCCTCGAGAAAACCACGACGCACTATCATTTCTGCTAACGGACAATGTGGGGTACTGTTAGTACGCAACGTACGGGCTACAGCCAGACACCAGGCCAACTACGAACGAACGGTAACAATGGTCTTGTCCCCGCAGCCCGCAGCGCAGGGACCGTGTTCATGTCACAGTCAATTTCACTTTAAACAAAGAAGCAATGTGGTCATGTTCTGTCGAGAGTAATCCATTGATCATCCTATGTACTGACTGGCCCTTCCGCAGAATGACAGGAAGACGCCATGACCCGGCCTTTCTCTCTATTTGCTGCGCTCCTCACAGCTTGGTTTTTGAAATCAATCGATGGAATCAGATCCAGATGGTATCTCCAGTTTCCCCTGTACAAACCGAAACGCCTTCCATGCCACCCAACGACTCGGAGGGCTTTCATGGAGAAAGAAATGAAGTGTTAAAAAATGCCACTATAGGGCAGATCATGTAGAAGTGAAGTCATAGGCGTACGCGCCCCGGCCGACATGAGACAGCCATCTGGCACTTGCGAGCTCAGCTGCTGGTTCTGCTCCCAGTGGCATTCTACGCACTGGTGAAGTAGCTGAGCGTGGCGCAGAAAGTGCTGCGGTTGTCGGCGTCCTTGGCCTTGGACTCGCCGTCGACAACCACCATGTTGGTGGCAGCCTTGGTGGACAGCCCGAACAGGTGCACGGCCGACCTCTCGATCGACACCATGCTGTTCTGGCAGTCTGCGGTGACCAGGCACTCCTGGTTGTAGTCATCAAAGAACGAGTAGAGGCCGGCACCATAGACGAAGACGTCCTTGGAGTCAATGACGCGCAGGCCCCACGTGCGAGCATCCTTGGAGGCGGCACCGTCGAAGTTGGGGTCGCTCCAGGTCGCGTTGACGGTGAAGGGCGTGGGCGCAACCGGGTTGCCCTGGAAGTAGGCAGTCTCGGTCTGGATGAGGGCCATGTAGACGGTAGAGGCGTTGACGAGCTGGTAGTTGTAGAGGACCGAGTGCTCAGACGCGGTACCGTACATCCAGACAGGCCCCTGGGACTCGATCAGAACACCACGGCCGTTGTAGATGTCGATCTGGGCCGACTTGGCCGTGGGCTCGAGGTCGTGGTCGGCAACCCAGAACCACGTGTTCTCGAGGTAGACGTCAGAGGCGGCGCTGGTGATGTGCATCATCATGAAGGCGCCCTCGCATGCCTCGTTGGCGCCGTGGGCAGTGCCGTTGTTCTTGGCGCACTGGCCGACCAGCATCTGGGTACCGGCGGAGCCACCGATACGGTTGTGGACGTCCCACATGCCCGCTGCACCCTGAGATGAGCCCTTGAGGTTCCACTCGATCATGACGGCACCGGGGGCAGGACCGGCCGTCTCAAACATCAGGTCGCTCATCTCGACGGCACCAGTGTCGCCCGGCTGGCCGACCTGGAACACGGGGCGGGGGGCTTCCATGTTGGCGAAGTTGGGTCCCGATGCCATGATCAAGGGCCAGATCTCGCCGGTCATCTTGATGTCCTTGGGAACCTTGACAGTGTCGGTGATGATGTAGGCGCCGTGGTCGAAGTAGAGGATCTGGTCAGCGGTCAGGCTGTCCATGGCCTTCTGGATGGCGGCGGTGTCGTCGGTCTTGCCGTCACCCTTGGCGCCGGCAGACTTGACCGAAACGAAGTTGGCGGCAGGAACAGTCTCATACTGAGGCTTGCTGCGGGTGAAGACCCCGCCGGCAGAGTTGAGTAGAGACTCGGGCTTGGTCACAGTATCCTGGGCAGCCTGCACGGCCTTGACGGCAGCACCTCCGGCAACGGAGTTGCCCTGGACGAAGTTGGCCACCTTCTGGCTGCCTGGCAGGATAGTCGCGCCGCTGCTGGCGTCCTTGACAGCAATGTCCACACCAGTAGTCATGTCGACATTCTCGATGATCAGGGTTCCGTTCGTGCCGGCCTGGGTAGTAGCATACGAAGAGTTGACACCGATGGGGGTGTTGGTGATGACGCTGTCGAGGAACAGAGCAGATCCGACAGTCTGCGCGCCAGCGCCACCCGTGCTAAGGTCGAGTCCGAGCCCGCAGCTGTCGATCTTGACGTCCTTGAGAGTCCAGACCCAGTTCCAGTTCATGAAGATGGCGGTGTTGCACTTGCTGAAGGTAAGGTTGCGTGTGGTGAACTGCTGGTTTCCGATAAACATGCCGATGCCGCCACCGGTGAAGGACAGGTCGCTCATGAAGCCACCGGAGCCGTTGTCCATGAAGATGCCCTGCTGCTTGTTGGCACCCTCGCCACCCTGAACCATGTTGAAGTGGATGTTCTGCAGCGAGGTTGCCTGAGCCACCTGCCAGTGAATACCCGCACCCTTGGACTGGTCCATGGCGGTCAGGTCGATGTTGAAGTTGCGGATTTGGCGGAAGAAGTTGTTCTGGTTCACCCACCAGTTGCTGCCATCCTCGTAGTTGTAGGGGTCGGCGTCGATGACCGCCATGCCATCGAAAGAAGCCATGGCCTTCAGAGTGGGCAGGGTGACGGCATCACCAACGAGCTGGGTGTAGTAGAACTGGATGATGGGCTTGCTGACCATGTAGGTTCCGGGAGGGAAGTAGACAATGGCAGGCGAGGTGGTGGACGACTCGCAGCCCTGGCCACACCGGTTGCCGTCGGCGATGGCCTTGTTAATGGCCTCAGTGTCGTCAGCCGCTCCATCACCAACGGCACCGTAGTCCTTGACGTTTCGGAAGACCTTGTAGCCTGCCTCGCCAAAGGCTGGGGCACCATTCCTGGCAATATCGGCAAGCCAGTAGCTGCTGCCGCCCGTAGCAGGTGCAGGTGCAGGTGCAGGGGCCTGCGGAGCAGGGGCTGCAATGGCTGGGAGTGCCAGCAGCAGGCTCGTAATGAGCTTGGAGAAAATCATCTTGACGTAGCACAGCTATTCTTGATGTCTGGTGTGGAAGAAATGACTTGGAAAGAAAGTGGTGGAGGAGTCTACAGTAGACAACGTCAGTAAGCTGCAGGTAACTTGTAGAGTGTAGCCAGCTGGCAGAGTCGAGCTTTTTGTAGTAGAAATGAAGCAGTGAATGGTGTTGAATGTTTCAATCAGATGGAGTTGTGTGTCAAGGTGAGGGATGGTAGGTGACCCTTTGTGACAAATGGTTCAACATCAAGAGATACGACTCGACGACGGGGTAGTGAGGCCAAGAGATATAGAAGTAGCCCACGGGCACAATGTGGCGAGCACAGATGTGGTGTCCAATGAACCACAATGCCATTCATTGAAAGTTGTGATTGTGTTGGTCTGCCACCACGTGCCAGGTCTGCCAGGTCTGCCAGGTCTGCCGTGTGCCCAAAACAATGCGGCCTTGAAAGCCTTTGTTGATAATGCTTGCCAGACAGTCTTGCCAGATCTTAGGCCTGGCCACGTAACAATGCACTCTCGGTGTTGGACATGGGGCAGGAGTGGCAAACGGGGACTTTTGGTGACTTGCAATACAGAAGGACTGTGATACTCACATGTAGAGGTTGACGAGACCGAAGGCTGCGATTCGGCTTACTGCTCTGCAGGGTGGCGGATCGAGTTGGGAGGAGGGAAAGGAAAGAATGACTCCACAGGAGCGTGTAGCTGTCAAGAATGAATGAAGAAAGATGTGATGGAAGGGACGGAAGGAAACGAACGGGCGTGTTATGGTTGGGGTTGGTGGTATTAAAAACAAGGTGGGAGAGGTATGGAATCCAAGGTGGCGGGCATGGTGTTGAAGGGGGTTGCAGGGATGTGGTGAATGGAGGGAGGCACTGACTGACAGGACTGGCAGGACTGGGAGGGTCCCGCACAAGGAAAAGCGCCCACCCTGACTGTTGCGGCGCCAGAGCTCGAGCTCCCCTGAACCAGTCAACCCATCCTGCCCATCCCAGCTTTTTCGAGTTTCCACCTGTTCACCCTGGGAGTATCCCAGAACCCTGCCCTATACTGTTCTATTCCTCGGCCTGTCAGCCTGTTTGGTCCAGCGGTGCTCTATGTGCTCCTCGCCTGATGGTAGCGAGGGCAGTAGTCTGATCTGGACCTGTCCTTGATGCCTGTCACCGGGACTGGACTATCTGGCCCGTCTTCAAGATCCAGGCAATTCTCCGTGCCTAATCGGAGCGATTCTGGAGCATCACGGGTATTCTGGGAGGCGCCCGCGCGCGTCAATCCGCGAGCATCCAGGCAGGCCAGGCCGGGCGGCACATGTCACGTACCACCTCAACGGCCGAGAAACCTGGCAAATCGAACACGCATCACGGACACACCTGGGGGACCTACCACCTGCCATCCCAACGCATGATGAGGCACGTACAGTACACGCATACACACACATGCAGACGGGCCACATGCAAGCACACGCACAAGCACACGCACATACGCACACCGAACAACGAGTCAACGACACATTTCGCAAGCAGGTGCCCAGCGCGGACAAGCTGCCCCTACTGCGTGTCAGACGAAGCTTGACATGGGACCAAGCTTCAAAGACGTGAGTGGTGAGGTGATGAGGTCGGGGGCGGGAGGAGCAGCATTCCAGCGCATGGTACAGTTGCAGAGTGGCCGAGTGGCAGCGTGGCAGAGGGGGTCGTCAAATCACCAGCGCACAGATCCAAACTCTGCCCAACCTTGTTCGGTCAGCCAGAGCCAAGTCTTGTTTGCCTCGTCAAGGTTTGTCGGCACGGGGCCACGGTGGTGGGTGGACATGGAGCGTCGAAAGTAAAGTGAGGTTAAAGATGGGATGATGCAGGCAGGGCAGGGGTGCGTGATTGAGTTGCCGTCGGCCCACCGAGTGTGAGGACGAGTTCCTGGCCTGTCGTTGCGTGCTTCTCTGGCCCTTCTCATGCAGCCGTCGCATCCCTTCCGAAAAACGGTTACCCTGCCCTCGTGCCCTGATTCGCCACGGCCTGGCCCCTTGGATCTTGACTGGGAAATGGGAAATACAAGAGTCACCGCCGCCTGCCAGCCAGCCAGCCAGCCCTGCCTGCCTTGCCTGTCCGTCTTGGCACTTCACCGCCGCCGCGCCGCAGCATTTTCGGCGGTCGTCGCCACGCCCCGTTGGGTGACATAAGCACCGTCCAGCCCGTCCAACCGTCCTAGCAGCCGTGGACGCCTGGGCGCTTGCATTCCCAAAATGGGGCCCCCCTTCCGTTTCAGAAACATCCCGCGACAGGGGCCGCTGGTCTACCCCTGCCTCCTTAGCGCCGTTTGACAGTTTTAGCTGCCGTGCCTTGCAGCCCATTCAACCATTCAGTTGGAGCCTTGGACACTCGCGGTTCGGTGGGGAGACGTGCAGACGGGAGATTAAGCCTCTCAATGTGTCAATGCAGACCATGTTTCTTGTACCAACCGCCCCTTTTCGCCTCCCTCTCACCCTGTCACCTCGCCTATCTCAATGTACCATGGTCGACTTGGGGGCCAAAATTACCTGCTGTCAACCCTCTGCCTCTACCAAGCTTGGCTGCTGCCATTTTAAGCGCGTCACGGCAGCGGCGCAGACAGATTTGGGCGCCAAGCATCTCAACTCCCTCATTCGTCTCTATGCCTCACTCGTTTATTCATGCCTGCCTCCCGATGATCAAGGTTATCGGGCATTTCAGCCGTCGAGCCGCGGAATGGACGAACCTGTTTCGAATTGGGCTCGTTTCGACAGCTCTGACTGGCTCGCATTGCATGTGTTTCTCTCTCTCGGTTTAAAAAAATCCATTCGACAGCATCTTCGGATGAACGCTCGACCACCTCTTCCCCCGAAACGCTGTCACTCCTAACTACGGGGAACAGGGGGGTGTTTTGAAACATCCCCACAGCCGGCCTATCGTAACCTGCCGTCAATGCAGACGGCAGACGGATCTTCAGTGCATTCTGAACTTGGGCATCCGAACCAGCAGAGCTTGGGCGCCACTACCTACGGACGTACGCTGGAATCATCTGCGCGGTCGTCAGAAAAAGTCATGTTTCGAAACACAAATATACTGTGTACAGGCCTAATGCCGTCCCAAGGACCGTCCGTCCATTGCAGGCATCCTTGGCATCGTCACTAGGCCAATATCAGGGGTTGTTGACTGTGCTGGCTGTGGCGGGCCACTCTGACTCGACCACACTCAGTATACTTGACGCCGTGACGCCCTCTGCATGCCCTCTGCATGCCCTCTGCATGCCCTCTGCATGCCATGTGGTCATCGTGGCCGATCAGGGCGCCTGCTGATCCTTTGTGGTTATGCTCCAGGCCACAGCGCAATCTTGATTTGGATCATCGGGCCTGGAACCCACAAGCAGCAAGCTGATCGCTCGCCCTGTGGCACTGTGCACTCTCTACAGGCGCGCTGCATTTGCCGCGCACAATCGCCGCAGGGATCCATTCCAGCGGGATGCTCCAGATCTTGGCAGATCTCCCTCCCCGACAAGCATGACGTCGCAGGCACCTCCCTGACATCTCCGAGAGCATAAATTGTTTTCTCCGCACAATCCTGTCTACACTATATGCCCAACGCTTTGCCCCTTGGCCCCCTCGGATGCAGGGTGATGCTTCGGCTCGCGCAGGTTTGCCACTGCCACCTATAGCTATGCTAAATACATTTTGCGGGGGACCTCGGTCGTTGACTCGCCCGCCTGCCCGCATAGACTGCAGTGGAACAAGTTTGCCCAGGGCTCTGGCACAAACCAACAATGGCTTGGCGCCAGCACTCTGCGTTAGTGCATGCGACGGCCCGAGTGGCGATCCTGCGTGAGACGTGGCACAAATCGGTAGAAGCCATGTACAAATCAACGAAAATGCATATCAGATCTGCCACAACACAAAGCAAGTTAACGTGGCATCTCTATATCGCATGGTCCGGGCCAGCTTCTGCTCGCCAAACCGATGGGATGCTGTTCGGGGGCTCATTCCGTCTCCGCCTGCAAACAGCGTTATGCAGTGCCGTTGTCCAGAGGATCGAAGAGTGTGTTCAAATGTTGCTGCTTACTAGACGCACGCCACAACTGTCACGGAGCGATGCGCACATACTGTCATTTTTCAATCTTCGTTGATACAAGCCCAAATTTTGGATTTGACGACGGGAACTAACAGTTTGGACTTGTCGTAAATACAAGAATGCCTGCAAGATCCGATCTATTATGGTCTCTCATATCAAAAAGCATGATTTAGAGGCCATCTTCAACATTTCAATAGCTTATATGAAACCATGTGTTCTCAAAATTGAAGTTTTAGTCCATTAAAACCTGTATCCATATATGCCTTTTAAAGTTTAATTATGTGGTTTCGCTTCTATTCCGTATACGTCCGAGGACATACATGGCGCTTCTGTAGTACTGTAAAGAGGCAAGAATACCAGCAGTAGGGCCTGTTCCTGAAGGCCAAGGCCATCCTTGGAAGCCGGATAAAGAATTCCTAGAGACAATGATACCGTGCTAGTATGGCGAAACGCAAAGCATCCGGTGTCTACATGAGAACTTCAGCTTTTCATATTTATAAATCAGTCTATATCAACAGACGAAGCGAGCTCAAACTGGTTTCTTGGCAAAAGGGGAAAAGCTCCACATAGCCTCTTAGAACTGGGTCATGGTTCTTTTCTTTGCTCGCATGAATTAGTCGCGTCTTTTTTATGTGTCTACCGATTGCTATCCAGCTTTCAGCGACACCTGTTGAGCAATGCCCAGAGATGGTCGCTAGCTCTCTCTCAACCTACCGGCCAGGCTTCTCGTTCGCCCGCTTCTTACCTCCCTCTCCGGCAGCAGGAGGTTCAAAAACACTCCGACCACGGCGGCAATGATGAAAGGCGTTTCCACAATCAGATTGACACCCTGCAAGAAGCCAGATAGACGCACATTGGAGCCACTGTAGTCGAGCACTTGGTTGAACCAGGTCGGCTGCACAATATCCATGAAGCCGATGGCCAAGGATGTCGACAATATGAAGCGATTGCGCCGGGTCCAAGAAATCAGTGCCAGTACGCGCACTCCCGCAACAGCAATAGTACTGTATAGGAATACCTGCATTCCTCCCAAGACGGACGGCGGCATAGACGCGAAAATGGCACCAAACTTTCCAAAGATGCCCATTAATATGAGGAACCCAGACGCGCACCAACCTGCCCTCCGGCTCGCGCATCCCGTCAGCACAATGACGCCGTTGTTCCCAGCCTGACCGACCATCGGGCCAGCTGTGCCGAGCGCGCTGAACAGGCTACCCAAGCCATCACAGAGGATGCCTCCTTGAATCCGGCTGTTGAAACGGGTGCCCTCGATTTCGACGCCGGAGATTTCGGCGGTTGCAAGAATGTCAGGCATTGTGCTCACACCCTGGCAGATGAACATGATGAGCAGCGGGAGGATCAAGGCCCCGTCCACCGAGAGCTTGAAAGTCCTCACCCACAGGAACGTCACCACGGGCGCCTGCTCTATTTGGCTGGGGCTCCAGTATCCTGTCGCGCCCGAGATAGCACATCCCATCGCCAGCCCACAGATGACACTGGAGGATCGCATCAGCGGTGACCCGAAGAACTCGACCAGCACGATCGTCACAAAAACGCTGAATCCAAGCCCAATGAGCTTTGGATCGCCCCAGGGCAGAGGCTTGGGCGCGTCGACGCTAGGACAGAGCGCGTAGAAGCCCTCGCCGTCGTGACAGCTGCTGCTCCCGCCCCAATTCTGCGTTCCGTTTCCGATGAGGTAGACGCCGACCAGGAGCAGCAGCGTGCCTGTGATCAGCTTGGGGAAAACCTTGTTCAGCAGCTTCGGCGGGACGAGGGACATGCCGATCTGGATCCATACAGTGCACAGCAGTGAGCCAAGAAGGGCTCCGTAGGCGTCGGGGCATGGGAGCTGGGTCCCGTCCGGGCCAGTGGAGCAAGAGCCGTTGGCGTACAGCTTGGCTGTGTAGGCAATGGCGATGGCGATGATGTCAAATGTTGGGCCTACGACGGATAACAGTCCAGTCCCAATAAATAGCGGCGTTTTGGCGATATGAATACGTGTTACTTGAAAGGCTGTCGCGATGCCCGTCGTGATGAACGAGGCCGATACGAGATATTCAGTCGTTGCGATGTCCAGGTGGAAAGCACCGCCAGCGAGGGCAAGAATCGGAGAGCTGGTATGTGTCAATCACCTGGTATCAAGTCCAACTTGAGGCATTCTGGAATACTCCAGAACATTCCGAGATACGATAGATGGGAAAATCGTAAAATTAGATGTGCTATGCTTACACGATGGATCCGATCATTGTCAAAGCGTGTTGTAAGCCGAGAACTATGGTTAACAAAATAGGAACCTCGTCGTTCAGGCCGTAGAATGGGGGCTCATGATCCTTGTAAATCTTGTTCAAGGGCCACACATTTGGTGTCACGAGGTAGAGATAGTCCTAGAGAGCATCGTCAATCATGTCTGTGCGTTCAAAGAAAGCTTTTGGCGGATCACACTGCGACGTACATAATGGCCAAACCACCCCTCCTTCTTGGTAACATATTCCTTGACTTCTCGCCATCGAGTAGACTTCTCCGTCATGACGCTGTCGCGTTTGGGCGATTTGTACGACTCGTCGGTATTATCGCCTTTTTCGCGCTTCAGGGGTAAGTCGGACACAGCCATATCATCAATGCGATTCTCCCCGGCTGTCTTGACAGTTTTTGACCCACCTCAAAGGGTAAGAAAAGTTCGACAGTGATTTAGAAATTGGATGGTACGCTGCCTTTGGACATTCTTCTTATCAACCCCTCTCAAAGCTGAAAGGCCTCAGCCAACCGGCGTACTCCGAAAGAGCACGAATCCTCCGCCTGCCGGCCAACTGATTGCTTAAAAATGCCGGAGAAGGACCGCATCAATGCAACTACCGGCATTGTTTTCAAGATTTAACTCAACACTGTGTTACACCGGAGACAATTACCAACACCGAAGCTCGCCTCGTTTTAGAAACCATGACTTCCACGTTGACACTGTACCAGCATGCAACGATCATCACTGTCAATAGGAAGCGTGAAATCATCCTTGACGGTGCAATTCTAGTTGTTGACAATCGCATAGCTTTGTTAGATAAAAGCTCAGCCGTGGCTGTTCACCCTGAATTTCCAAGAGGGCGAGAGGTTCGAAGCGTTGACCTCACCGGCAAAATAGTCATACCTGGCCTGATCAATACTCACTGCCACACGGCCCAGTCTCTCCTCAGGGGCTTGGCCGAGGACCTGTGGCTGCATCCATGGATGTGCGATGCAATCTGGCCTTTGGAGGCATCATATGACAAAGATGACGGCTATCATGCGGCACGTTTGACTATAGCTGAGTTGCTCAAAGGGGGCACGACGACGTTCCTCGAGGCGATGCTCACGCATAGTGCCGGTTTCGACAATGTTGTGCGGGCTGTGGGCGAGTCTGGCATCAGGGCGTGCCTGGTGAGTAGGAAGAACCCTCGAGAAGAATGCTCGATCTGCGAAAGCTTCATACCAACCTGACTTCTCGCAGGGCAAGCTGGTGAAACCGCAGGGAACCGGCACTGGCAGTACTGGACATGATCAGATTCCCGACACCCGTGATAGAGATCTGGCAGAGATGTCTGTCAGCTCCGCCCTCAAGACCCATTCGGCGCACAACGGTTCCTTTTCCGACCGACTTCACGTCTGGATCGCGGCCAGCACGCCGCGAGGGTCTCCACTCTCGGGGCACCACGCCATTGGAAAAGCCTGCCATGAGCACGGGATCAACCTGACGATGCACTGTGCCGAGGCTTCGCGGGATCGCGAAATTTATAGGGACTGCTACGAGGGTAGGACGCCCGTCCAGTTCTGCAAGGACGCGGGTCTGGTCGGTGGGCCGGAGGGCTCCACATTCAAGACGGTCCTCGCCCATATGGTTCACCTGGATCCGGCGGTGGACCTGCCCCTTCTCTCGCAGGCACAAGGTGCGAGCGTGGCGCACAATCCCACAAGCAATTGCAAGCTCGCATCGGGCGTGGCTGCGGTGCCGGACATGTTGGCTGCTGGTGTGAATGTTGGCCTGGGCACGGATGGTGCGCCGTGCAACAACACTTATGACATGTTCCGCGAGATGCACTTGGCGAGCACATTGCAGGCGGGCACGAGGATGAAGGCTGATGTTCTGCTTGCGACGACTGTGCTGGAGATGGCCACCATCAATGGCGCTGAAGCACTGGGCCTGGATGGGGATGTAGGCAGTCTGGAGGTAGGAAAGAAAGCCGACTTCGTGGTCGTGAATGTTCCACTGGGCGCGGCGCCCTTTGAGGAGGAACAGATTGTTGAGGGTGGCGTCGAGCCAGTGACCGTGGTGGTTCATAGCTGTACGGCGGCAGACGTGGAGGCCGTGGTCGTGGACGGGGTTCTAGTTGTCGAGAAGGGACAGCTGGTAAACATGGATGAGAACGAGATCCTGCTTAAAGCACGAACGGCTATCAGGGGCATTAGAGAAAGGTCAGGCGTCAAGGCTCGGCCATTGGCAGGTTGGGTAATCAGATAACAGGGCTGTGGGTATATAAAGACTAGATCAAGAAGAAGAAAAATCGTTTCTTCCGTGGAAGCCATGAGCCATTCGTAACCAAAACCATACACAACGAGCATTTTAATTTCCGGCCTCGCATTCAAGAGCCGCTCTTGGAAGAGCCACGCGTAAGCATCGACCTTGTGTCGGAGCCGGACGCTGGACTATCTCTTCTCTTTTCGAACTCCTTCAGCATAGTATACACCTGAACACGATGAGTCAGTCACGAGCGGTTCTCGGGGATGAGTGAGACGAGTGAGGCGAAGGAACGAGTGTCACCAGCCAGGACAACGTCCAGACCCCGGCTTCCCTGGCCGGAGCCCTGCACAAAAGGTGGCTGCTCTCACAGTGGGGCAACACATGAGGGATAAGAAAGAAGTCCACTTACCGTCCCCAATGGGATGAAAGTTTCGATGTCCTTCCTATAACTCTCGGGGAAGTGTGCAGTCGCCACATCGATCAGTTCCTCGTTGCACCGGTTCCACCGCAACACCTCGGTCCAACTGACAATCTCCTCGCCGACTAGAAACGTTGGGAATGTTCCCATTGCCAGCTCGCTTAGGATCCAATCTCGCTGGAAATATGGCCTTTGGAGGAATTTCGCAAGGCTTGTGAAGTTGGGTAGCTCGCGCAAGTCCGTCATACCCTCAGGCATCTCCCATAGATGTTTCATGTGCTCCATCCAGACGTAATCTGGCGCGTAGTTCTCAGGGTGAAGCTCCTTGTCCTCGGGCGTACCAAAGTGGTGTGGAAGGGCTCTGTCGCATGTACGGATGACGTTGACAGCTTGGTCGCTCGTGTCGTCCTTTGGGCCCAGCCATCCGACAACGGCCTTAGCATTCCGGTAGGCGGTCGACATCGTCCTGTTCTGTTCCTTCTGCTCCCGTGCATCTCTCCTGTTAATGCAGATGGCGTCTAGCCAGACCAGCAATATTGAGCTCTGGTTCTTTGCACGGTCGACCTCGGGGCGCTGGAAGCCCAGGCTGCGAAGTATGTTGCCGAGCCAGCGCGGTGGTCTCTTTTCCGGTTTCGGTTCCTTCGACTTTTTCACCTCCATTGAGGAGCCCTCGCCTTCGGAGGCATTGGAGCTGACGTCCGACTGCGAGAAGACCGCCCTGACATGTCGCAGGGCTTGTCCCAGGTTCGCCGGTATGGCGATGCGCTTGTTGTCTATCTGGACTTTCTCCGATGCATCAGTGTCCCCGTACAGAGCCGACACTCCGATGAATTCCAGCTCAGGTGTCAACTGTCGGTTGACAAGGCGTGCGATAATTATATCATTGAGGTCACTAGCGGGTTGGATTTCCAGGAGGCGGATTTCGTTGCGATCGCGGGAGAGGTTCTTGTAGGTCAGCTGGCGGGTGGAGCTGCTGAGACCCTGCGTTGCCATCGTGATGGACAGTCGTTCTGACGGCTCAGAATTAGTAAAGTGTCAGACGAGTGAGAGGTGTAATTTTATGCATATTGCTAGCGTGCGCCGCAGTTTTGCTTTGTTTGCGGCAACTTGCAACTCCTCTCTTGCCGGTCGATGGATCGCCCCTGGTTTCCTTCGACCTGGCTTCTCCATTTTGATCGTGTTACTAGCCCCGGGCAAAGGCCCTTGACTTCAAATACCATCAAGCCACGTGCCAGTCATGCCAGAAATGATGTCAAGCTCTATCCCTGCTTTTCGAGCCTGATCTGCGATATATTGGCCCCAGGTTGGGGCGCTTTGGAGCGTGGTGCCACCCACAGTGGATCGAAATTCGCAAGGGGGCCCACCACCATCTTCTGGATTTTCAAGCGAGGAGCTACTGTAATTGTGGTCCTGTGGGCAATCTGCCATGAACTGACCGCCCTTATCCACTCTGGTGCGTCGAAATCCCGAGGTCGCCAGTAGCGCGAATTCGACCATTATGTGGACTACTCCCGGGTCGATTTTTTCTTCTTCTCGAAACTGCCCCTCGGCCACCCCGGGAGCCGAGCAAAGAAGCAGATGAGAGGGTGAACCGTGACCGTCGACTGGAAGCGGGTGCTATAACTTGGCCGCCAGGAATTTGGTCGGTCTTCGCCCATACCACAGTAAATTGGGTCGTTTGGCCTATCGTAAGATCGTCGTAACGCTGGCCGCCAATGCAACGTCAGGCAATTTATGCACAAGATGGTTCAGCAGCGAACCGCTGGTGGCTTGCAGGGTTTCTGACTAGAGACTCGCCGACTGCTTGGGCCCACTCCGTTACTTGTCACTCTCGGGAAAACACCTGTCAGTGGGCGGGAGCAAGAACCCACAGCCCCTCGACTCGGCCAAGGGCTTGCCGATGCGGTCAAATGGATGGAGATAAGAGCCCTGCCCTGCTGCATGTGCTCATCGGTTTTCCCTCGGAGTCCCGATTGACAGGCCGAAGAAGTATCCACGCCTTGCCGACGTAGCTCAAGTTACTCACACATACATTAATGGCACATGAGCAGCTCAACATCGACAACTTCCATTACTGAAATATCTCAAGTTTCGAAATGTCAAGTCCCGGGTGGACAGGTCTTCTTGCACAATTTGTTATGCTGCACTAGGGGCCATATCTTGTGTGCACAAAGTGGGTACTGCTCATGTCTGGCAGTGCTGGCAGGTCAGGGCTCCGTCGCGATTCAGTGTGCCGGTCACCATTGGACGCCCGCTTTTTCTTACTGAGGGAGAGAAGGAAAGAAGAAGACGGAACTACCTGCAAATATTTGGAGCACGGCGACAGCCGCACACGAATACCGCTCGCAAAGATTGCGAACAGAACCTGCGAGTGAGAAAATGGTTAGCATGACGCAAGGAATGCCCTCCTCCACAGTTTAAAATGAACTGAGATAGGTACGTCGATGTCACTGGCTTGCCTGGCAAAGCTTGAGTGCGAACCCATGCCTCTTTTCTGTCCCCGATTCCAGGATCATTGCGATTGAGCGCAGGCCGAATCCCAACAGAACGGCACATTGGCCCGCATCGCCGCCGATAGGATGAATTTATCATCTAGACCCCAAACGGCAAACTCAATGAACGCGTCGTGAGTCTGGGCCTATCACCAGGATAAGCGCAAGGGACAGGGTTCATCGAGGACCGGCCGGCTAGTGCTATTTTAGTCATGAAGGGTCCTTGTGCCACCTTCAATTGATGAATAGGTCGGCTGATGTGGGAGTTCGGTGGGTGAGAACTCTCACCGCTTCCAGTGAAGCACGCGTTCTTCCGTCTCGGTTGGACCGACCTTCTCTGAAGGTACAGTAGCTATGACCTTGCGGTCACGACTCTGCGTGCTCGGCGACCTGGTAGTTGTTGTAGCTGTTCAGGTTGCACTGGGTGCTGCATACTACACTGGAATGCGTTGTATCGTGTGCGGCGACTCGATCCAGGCCCAACAATAGTGATCCCCATTCGCCACTCTCGGCATTACTGATGTATGCAAGGCTACATATGTGGAAAGATTGGGGTGCAGTGCAGATGGGGCGATATTGCGCTGGGAAGGGAGGGGATCTGTCGTGCATTTCAAGATTTCGGAAGATCAACGAAGCTCGATCCTAGAAAAATGACCGCGGTAAATCTTGAATGGCGTGAGCACCATAGCGATATTGCTACCGAGCGGTTCCATGTTGCATGGGACGTAGGCATAACCCGCATCCAAGTCTCTATCTTGACGGGCAGCCTAACCCCGTGGCCCCCATCTTTTAACCTTAGTTGCGTCAACTATGTTCGGTAATCTCCGTCTTTGTCAGGCCACTAGAAACCCCTAACCCACTGGAACGCAAAGAAAACGAGATCGAATGTGACAGATTTTCAACAGGCTTAGTGAAAGTTAAAGAAGTCACGTGGCCACGGTTCGGTTGCTATTGGGGAGCTGGATGGTATGAGAAATCGCCGGGATGAATGGGTGCATTCAATAGGCCATCATACACTCGCGCGACCACCCGGAGGAGGGTGAGGTATGCACCTGGACAGGCAGTGGTTGAAGATGCAGACGACAAGGCCTAGAAATTAGCTATGAAGTTACTGTGTAGAGCCAAGGCAAGATGATTTGTCTGCCTAAGTCCGTCGAGAGAGAAAAAAAATAGAAAAAAAAAGGGCTTGCATCGAAGAATGCGAGTCGAAAGCATCTAAACCTTGGAACACTCACGACCGTACCCCATGCCCAGGTGGCTTGGCGGCGGCGCGTCGCCAGGGTTTTCTAGAATTTAAGACGGGTGACTGCACCCGTTTCAGAGACTAAAATTTCAAACAGGACATCCTCGGGAAAAGCAATATTCCCAATATGTCTCCCGATGCATCCTAACTTGAAGACCATGCTCTTTAATTTAGATCGTCTGTATCCCCAACAATCTGCGTGTAGTTGGGCTATTTGTACGTGAATAACCTTCTAGATGTTGGGTCGATGGCGGGGAATATATCAGGGGTGGATTGAATAAACATACTAGATAAGATCGTGGCCAACTGCTTTACTAGTCATAACAGCGAGCATTTCGACCAGATATGTCCTCCAGCATGGCTTATGAGATGGTCTTTGACATCGATGATGGGACAGCAACATAAGCAGTGACATCTGGAAGGCAAGAATACCCTAAACCTGGGAAGAATTCTCACCTAGGTAAGCAGGACCTTGGGATTCGCTTGAAGAACCGGCCATGTGCAGCATGTCAACCTCAACCGTGTTTCTTAATCGTTCACGTGGTCAGGCTAAATGTAATAACTCCTTGGTTGGTCCTGGTAGCGATCTCCAATGGGCGATGCAATCGTCTCGGGCAACTAACCATGTTCCCTCAGAAGCTAGCAGCATCGCATTTTGACAACCCGACAATCTGGATTTCCATCAAGCTTTTGCGCTGGATCGGCGTTGCATAATGACGCTAGGTTCCGCTATGCCGGTACGGCCTAGATGCGATCACTTGGCTAGAGATTCCGGCCTTTGACAGTTGTCTGTGGCTTGCGCCAATCGTCATTGACGCACAAGTGCCGTCGGTTAGTGTCTCAGAACGCGCACACCTAACCCATTACAACGCTGGTGGACAGCTCTAACTGGAATAGCTCTAAAGAAGCGGCTCAGCTGAGGACAATGTACGCGGATGAATGTGAAAACGACATCATACTGTGGCTGGTGAAGCTGCCGTTGTGATGTCACAGATTGGCAAGATGTCAATGAGCTTGGCCAACATGCCTCTGCTACGCGAGTTATACATTGTGTGAGGCGTGTGGTGGGTGGTGACAGCCCCTGGGAGGACAAGCTTAAAAGTACAGCTTCCTGTCGCTTGTCCTCGTCGACCACTTGGCAACTCTCGAGCATATCAATACAAACTTCCTACCTATTATTACCTCATCTCTGCTACAGTCTTCACCAAAAGATAATCATGAGCACTCTCGGCCAGAAAATCAAGGAGACATTTACTGGTCATCACGACCAAGGCAAACGCGATGTCAAAACTCCTGACGTGAACGCGCCTGGTGCTTTTCCGTCCGACGATTCGGCTACGAAGCATCATTCCGATCAAAATAAACTGACAAAGGAGCCACCGCAACACATTGGTCAGGAGACGGAAGGAGGCGAGGAAAAAGGAGCACAACATCACACTGGACACGCTCACCATGACCCGGAGCCAGAAACAAAGCAGGCAACCAGTGACGCTGGGAATTACCCATACTGGGGAGACCTCCCTCGTGAAGGTGGCCAACACGTCCACAGATCTGGCGAGCCGGATAGTGATACCACGAAAAAGGACCATGTCTCGAGCAATGAACCCACCCTTGCTACTGGTGCCCCGACAGCAGATGCCAGTACGATTGGGACGGGATACCCCGGCTCCGATAAGTTGAAAGATAATGATACGAGCAAGGGAGACGAGACAACTCGAGCTGATCCAACCGAAGACTCGAATCTCCAGCACGCCAGCAAAGGCGCCGGAGTCGCTGGGCTCGCGGGCGCAACTTATCTTGCCGCCACAGACAAGGATGATGCGCACAAGACCGAGCACAAACAGTACAAGCTCGAGGACGCGAATACCCCAACAGATGCGAACAAGAGCAAGACAGTTGAAGAGACAAAGACGTTGTCAAGCACGCAAAAGCCTGTAGATGCGGCTACTCCTACCAAGACAACTTCAGCGGGCGACAACAACAGTCACAGAAAGGAAGAAGAAGCTCTTGCTGCTGGAGCTGGAGTTGCAGGTCTTGCCGGGGCGGGTTTCTACGCCTCGCAACAAGGAGATAAGAAAGAACTTGAACAGGAGAAGCGTGATAATAGTTCTCATACAGCGTGGCAAAGCCACAGCCAGACCTCTAGCCACACCCGCACTCCCCGTCTCGACCCGACTACTGAGGCGCAAAAGGCAACCAGTGCTGCGGGAAATTACCCGTACTGGAAGGATGGTGACAATTGGGACAAGTCCACCAACGATACCAAGCCTGCTGAGGCTGCAACTCCGTCTAAGACAACTTCGAGTGGCGACAACGACACTCATCGGAGAGAAAAAGAAGCCCTTAAATCCGGTGCTGGAGCTTCGGGTCTCGCTGGGGCAGGCTACATGGCGAGTAGGGACCAAGGAGATCACGGGGAGGACAAGCGACCATCCTCAACGCCTGGTCAGGCCACATCTCAGGACCATGAGCATCACCGGCACGCTTCTGGCCACCCCGACCGAGAAAATTTTACCAAGCGAGCCACTAGCGGAGCTGAAAACCACACTCAATGGGATGATCAAAAGAAGGAAAACAACAACAAAGGACTTGCCGCGGCCGGGCTTGGTGGCACAGCTCTAGCTGAAACAGGCTATCTGGCCTCAAAAGGAACAGATGAGAGCAAAGGCAAGTTGCTCGGAAGCACACGCGAGACAAGCTCGGGAGTAGCAGCCCCAGACAGCTTTGCGGAACATGATACCACGAGCCGCTATGTTGAGCCTACATCCGCCGGCGGCATTCACAACACGGTAGTAGGCGCAGGAAGTTCGGAGCACTCGCATCCAGCGGGCTCCTCCGACACCACGAGTGCTCGTCACCAGACAACCACAGCCAGCCAAGCAGGCCAACCTGCGGCGCAAGCCGCCGCCCTACAAGCTTGGAACAAGGGGCAGCCTGACTCTTCCAACCCTGATGGAGATAATAGCCGTGACAGCAAGCACTCTCACCTCAAATACGCCGCAGCTGGAACAGCATTCAGCGCAGGGGCTGCCGGAATCGCCGCTGATTACGGTCAGGGCAAGGATCACGAGGAGAGCCCCCGGAGTAACCAGGCCGAGAAGGTCGCAGAGCGGGCGCTGGGGTCGGATGGCAAGCCACACGCACCTTCTGCGACAGAAGGTTCGGGCAGCACGGATGAGAAGAGTGCATCTTCCGCTGCAGCTTCAGGCGTTACTGGCTTTGCCGGGCATTCTGGGTCCGCGGGAAAGGATGCGAAGGTGTTTCACAATTGCGATAAGTGCGGCCACACTAATGACATCAGCCGCTACTTTGACAAAGATGCTGTCTTCCGCTCACAGTAGTGAGCAGGGTTCGGTGATGGAGTGAGAATAGTGGCAACGGGTGTTTGCTGACTTGGTGGTTTTGCGATATTCTTGGGTTTTGGTCGTCGATTCCCAATCACTCCTTTACCAGCCCTAGTGGCGAAGCAGACGTAAGGATCGTTCATTATAATGTTCGTTTTGTACCTAGTGTGTGACGTAGCTCATGAAAGTTCTGTTATCATTTCCTGACATGCTGTGCATAGCTGGCTCCGAGACTGACCCAATGTAACCTCAAACCTCTGACTTGCCGAACTTCTCAGCACTATCATGATCACTATGAACTTCCACGTGTCTTTGTCTAAGATTTCCAGCTTCATCGTGATTTGCGTCCCACTCTGCAATCTGATCGTGTGGGACCCGAACAAGACGATGTGTTGTGGCTCCTCTGCTGTCCACATCCGCCAAAACTTCAGGCCGTACCTCATACTTTCCAAGGCGAGGAAGGACGTACATCCAGGCGATATAGTATAGACCACATACGATGAGAATAGCGATACCCACGACACAGTACGTCGCATACCAAAAACTGACATCACCTGCGTATAGGCCTCCCTCTGGAGGGAACCACCTACCGGGGGGAGGGGGGTTTTTTGTTTAGGTTATATAATGCAATTACTTCTAGATAGGATATTGTTATTTAATTAGAAATTGGTAATAGTGTTTAAATTCTAATATATAGCTATTATAAGGCTGTTAAAATTAAAATATATTATTAAATGAAAGTATAATATAAGTAATTATATATTAGCTTATATTAGCTTTTAGTAATTATTTTATATTATATTAATCTTAATATTATTTTTACTTATAAAAATATTTTATTTTAGATAGATTATTATTAATATTTTAATTATTGTATTAATTCTATTAGGATAAATATTATTGAAAGTAAAATTATTTTAATAGTAGTTAAATATTAATAGGATAATAAAATATACTATAATATTATCTTTTAAAGATATTATAAATAAAGATATTAGGGAAGATATAATAATAATAGAATGTATATATTAAGTAATATTAATAATATTTTATTATAATATTATTATAAAAATAGTTAAATACTCTATTAAGATTATTATAATGCTATTTTAAGTGTAAATTAAGAATTAATATTATTATTATTAGTTTTTACTATAAGTAGTAATTAATTAAAATATATACTATAAGCTTTGGGTTTATTCTAAATAGGTAAAATTATATTAAGCTATATAATAAATAAGATTAAATTAATTAATATAGGAAAATTATCTAGGTAAAATATATTAGAGAGAGATGTTTAAAGGGTAGGATTAATTATATATAGGGATATTAAAGTATTTATAGTTAGGAAATAAGTGTAATACTTAGGTTAGGCGCTAAATATATAGAGTTAATACTTAAATATATCCTTAAGATTTAAGTTATAACTATTTAGAGATAATATTAATTTTAAATATAAGCTAGAATATAGGGCCTAATTACTTAATATATATAGTTCTTATAAAATGTATATAGGTATATTTATATATAATATTAAATTTTATATAATATTAATTAGAATGTAATATACTTATATTAAGTAATAAAACTATAGATAAAATTATTATAATATTAATTTAGTCTTTATTAAATTAGTAAAACCTATTATAAAGTTTTAGTTAATATTATTAAACCCTTAATTAAAAGACTTTAAAACTCTAACCTATTTATATATTATAACTAATAATAGATAGTCTAAAAGAAATATATATAATAAAAATAATAGTAAAAATAAGGGGTACTATATATTAGTATTAGAATAAGCTATTAAGTAAGGTTGTATTATAAAGATATATAAATTATATCTTAAAGGTTAGGCTGCGTTTTAGTTTAAAACTTATATTTAAAGCTTTTTAAAACTTAATAAAAACTTATATAAAAATCTATATAGTTTAAAAAAAAATATAATTCCTATATTATATTAAGATTATTAGTATTAATATTTTATTTATTAAAAGAGTAGCTATTTACTATTTAAAATATTAAAGTAACCTATATTTATATTTAGTTACTTATAAAATCTTATATTAATTAATCCCTAAAGTTTTATTAGTTTTAATATAGCCTTAAAGATAATTAGTTATTTATTTTTAACTATAAAATACTAGCTTAAGTATTTAATCTATATTTTAGAGGTAGTATCTTATTTTTAGCCTTTAATACTTTAAATCTTGTAATAAGTTAGTATTTAAGTGCTTTTTAGTGTTTATAATCCTTAGGTTTATAAATTCTAAAAGATATATATATAGTATTATCTTTTAATCTTATAATTTTCTCTATACTTCTTATATTTATAAAAAAGCTATTAGTATTATATAGTTAGAGTTTATAAAGATTTTTATCTATTTTAACTCTTTAATTATATAGGTAAAAAGGCTCTATAAATATAGAAGGTTTAAAGTCTTTATATTTAATTTTTATATAAATAGTAAGATCTTTAGAATTATAGAATTTAAACTTATATTATATATACCTAATTGATAGCTTTAATAGCTTTTTTATATTAATTTTAAGTTATTAAAGCTTTAAGTTTATATTTTTAAATATATTATAAAGGTTTTATTAATATAGCTTAATAATTATTTAATATATTAACTATATTATTACTACCTTTATTATTTAATATATCTTAATTCTTATAGCTAATTATTATTAGGGTTTAAATAGTTTATTTTTAAATAGGGAATTTATTCTTTTTAAAATTATATTAGTTAGCTTTTAAAGTTTCTATATTTAGCCCTCTTTTATTTATTAATTTCTATTATATAGTAGTGGTTTAAAGCTTCTTTCTTTTCTTTTTTATAATTTTACTTTTAACTATAGTTAAAATTTAGGTAGATTTTATATTAAATTTATTCTTAATTATAGTTAAAATTTAGGTAAATTTTATATTAAACTTATTCTTAGCTATAGTTAGAGTTTAGGTAGATTTTATATTAGACTTATTTTTAAATAGAGTCTTTTAATCTTTTTAGGTAATAGGAGTTATATTAATAAAGGATATATTTATTATTAAGGTTATAGTAATATATATATTCTATTAATTATATATATTTATCTTTTCTAATTTTAAGTTTTAATTTAAAGTTAGCCTTTAAGTATAATATACTTATAATCTTTTACTTTAATATTAACCTCTTATTATAAGCTTTAATATTATACTATAAGTCTTTAATCTTATTAAAGAAATTAATAATTTAGAGGTAAAATAGTATATTCTATCTTTTAAGTTACTTCTTATTAATTTAGGTATTAATATTTATAATTGCTAAAGGCTAAGGGTACCCCTTTATTTAATATTTTATATATTATAAAATATAGCGTTACTTTATAACTCTAGCCTTATTAGTAGGATTAAGGTTCTTCTATATTAAGAAAGATTACTTAGTTTTAGTAGTAAATTACTTTTAGTAACCTTTTAACTTATATATATTCTAGAAATCTAAAAACTTTAGATTATACCTCTTACCCTTATATTAATTTAAAACCTTTTTTATAAAATCTCTAGCTCTATTTAAATTTTAGCTATTTATAGATATTTAATAAAGGGGGGGTTTCTTTTTATTAAATTAAGTATTATTATATATATTAATAAAATTAAACTTTAAGGTTAAGGTTTTTATATTTATTTAAAACTTTTTTTTATCCTTAGTTTTAATATTTATAAATAAAGTAATAGTCTTATTCTTTTTAGCCTTAATAATAGTAGTAATATTTTTATTAATCTTTTAGGTTATCCTATTATTAATAAAAGATAGGTTTCTAAGTGTATTTAAGATAATAAACTTACTATATTAATAATAAAATAAAAGTTTAAGTTTATATTATTTTAAAATAGTTAGTTAAGTTTATTATAAATAATTAGTTTAAAGAGGATAAAAATAGACTTAAAGTTAGCCTATATAGTCTATTATTTATAACTATTATAAGTAATTATAGGTTTAAAAGTATTAATTCTTATCTTAAAAGTAGTTATTCCTTTTTAGTTAGATATTATATTTTATTAATATATATTTAGTTTAAGCTTAGAATAGAAAGGGTGGTAAGTAAGGGAAGATAGATAAGTATAAAGTAGGTTTTTTATATAGAATTTATTTCTAAAGTAGATAAAAATATTAAAAGGGTATTACTTAACCTATAATTTAGAAAAGTAAATACTAATACTATTAAGTTTACCTTAAATTCACTAGACTTATATTTTTAATAAAAGATTTTTAATAATAAATATTTAATTTTATTATAATCCTTATAAAGTTATTAAGTAAAAATAAACTAAAGCTATATAAAAGTTAATAATAAATAAATAAAGTAAAAGTAGATTAAAGGTTTAAAAAAGCTTATTAAAAGGTTATAGTTATAATATTATAATAGTAGAATTATTAATTATAAAGTTATTTAAAATAAGATATAATTACTATAAATATTTTAAAGTTAAAATTTATTATAAAGTTATTATATATTTACTTAAAGTAAAAAAATTAAAAGGTTAAAAAATTAAAAGTCTAAAATTAAGTTTCTTAATATAAAAAGTAGTAGGTAAAAGTTACCTATATTAATACTAATAGCTCTATATACCTATTAGTAAAAGTAGGTCTAGCTTAAGTCTTTAAATAGCGCTAAGCCCAAGGGTCTTAAATTTATACTTTAATATTAACCTTTTATTTAAGGTTTTTAATATACTTTATAAATATTAATAAAGTATTAACTAATAATATAAACCTATTAAAAACCTTTTTTTTACTCTATTTATAAAACTTTAAATAAAGCTATTCACCTTTAAAAGAGATAATTAAGAGTACCTTCTACTACTATTAATAGTAAGTATATTAAAGTTAAATAACCCTTATAAAATTTTATATAAATAATACCTAATACTATTAAATAAATGAGGAATATAAATAGCTATTTTATTAAAGGAAAACTAAAAAGATCTAATAGAAAAACTACTAACTATAAAA